CTAGCATTATATTGTATATATTGGAGTTTGAAAAAATTAAGTTTATTTACAAAACATTAAAGAAAACAGAAGACTAATGTAACTATCATGTAACTAACGCGGAGAGAGAGAAAATTGTTATACATTACTGGCTATTGATTTAGAAAAATAATGGTTTCAAAAAATTTATATCACAATTTAAAAAAATAATGTGTGAAACACATCGGGAAACACTATTTAATATAGGTTTATTTATTAAGGTTTAAAGGCAGTTTAAACAACTGTAAGCATAAAAAATATCTGGAAAAAAGGAAACCGTTTAAGTGTGTGTAATGAAAATCGAAATACACAACTTAAACAATTTAAAAATTCTGTTTAGTCCTGAATATCCTCGTATTGTTACTGACAAAGATATTTATATTCCACAAGACACATTTTTGATTCACAAACGTACAAAACACAAAGAACTTGGACCTGACAAGGTTCTTATTATTTTTGTGAATAGTATAAAATAGTTGACTGCAGTACACCGGACTTAGTCCTTGCTACACTTTTTTGGTGCTTAAAACTTGTTTTATTCAATATAAGTCTATAATTTTTCACTTCAATTAAGCAAGCCTAATGTAAAATTTAAGGAAAATCTAGAAACCATGGTGATACTCTATTGTACTGCGAAAAAAATTATAAAAATTTAATTTGTGTCCAAATGATTAAGGCTGAAATCTAATATAGAAATATCTTGTTAAAATTATTCGGAAACTCAAACTGATTTCAATTTTTTTATATTTTTTTACACGTTGACGATACTCCATTGTAAATTTCGTTTCGTCCAAAGAACATCCATGAGGCAAATGACTGGTTAAATAGTAACTTGTACCTCTTACTCACGAAATCCATTGTTTGGCAGTTGATGCAAAAAAGATCCAAGTACTATTATTTGGCCGTTTCCAAAGAAAGGATCTATGCCAGAACCTTTTACACATTAATCTTAATTACGAAGTTGGAAATTGGAACTGTTGCTTGATGTTAAACTTAATCCAAAGATATTTTTTAAATCATGCGGTCCTTGTCTTTTCAGCAAGATGCATCTCGCTTATACCAAATTATTGTGTGCATTTGATTGGAGGGATCAGACGATATGACCGGGAGGTTGGTGCTAAAACGAGGAATATTTTTCGGTTCAACATGGAGAAAAAATCTATTGATAAATTAAAATTGGATATGACGATGTGATAATTTGGACTTGAGACATAAACTGATTATATCACCTCCCCTCACATAAAATATTTCTCTTTATGAGGTCGTTTTCGTACCATTTCGTATATTTAAATTATAACAGTCGGCTCGGCAGTCGAACTGTAATAGCTGCATATTAATTGCCTTGAGTACATGCCACCCTATTTTCTACTTTAGTTATTTTTTTATCTACAGTAAAGACTTTTCATCCGTTTGGTATATTGCGATGAAACGTAGAATCGTATTATATGAGACAATTCTGATTTTCTTTACTGAAAATGACATTTCCATAAGTTAAAATGAGGCATCGTGGTATAGTTTCAAGGTCTTTTTATCTATAATTCAAATCTTCATTTTTCAGTGATGGGAGGTTTGATTTGGATTTCTAGATAACGTAGTTTCTAGTGATCAGTATTTTTTACCTATTTTAGATAAACATTTGCCTTTTATTTCTGCTTTTCTCAATTTTCATTTTTAATTATGTAGTTCTTCCAGTACTTTAATTAATAATGAATAATAATAGTCTCGCTAAATCATTATTAGTCGCCATTAAAAGAATATGTGTGTGATGAAATAATAATAGGTATACACGTTTGACTTGGGCTTCTTTTCATTCATTTCTTTTTATTTTTCCTTTATATCGCTTGCTTTTTAAGTTAGGCAGTGTAACTTCAACTTCTCGTTTTGTGTCTAAGTCTATTATTATTATTCTGATTTCCAGAATACGTTTTTAGGTATACACATATTTTACGGGACTGATTCTCGAAATAACTTATTCCCGATCAAGGGTATTTCTAATCCACAAGACACATTTTTAATTCAAAAACGAAACCAACACAAAGAACTCGAACCAAACAAGGTTGTTTATCAATAATATAGTTATTATTATCAAATGCAAGTGCACGGTTGAAAGTAAATTTTCATTGCCGTTATCGCCGATACGAGGAAAGTGTTTGCAGAAGGCTGTGCCGGCCATAAACACGACCCTTTTACTTCGTTTTTTTTATTATGCTAATTAATGTTTCCGATTGCGGCGGCGGACGATCTGAAATCGGTTTTTAATTGAAATTCCTCCGAGATTAACAATAAAATTATCGATTCAGTTAATGGCGCGGGCGATTTAGTATGCCGCCGGTACTTAACGTGTGAAACGAATTAATAATGTCCGACACGCAATAAAAATAAACGTCATTTTGCCGAAATCATCGCGACTATATCGAAAAAATAAGGACCAGTCACGAACAAGTCCAATACGTCTACGGGTTTAAAGCTTTTATTGTTTTTGACATAAGTGACTTTATTTTATGTATGTATTTTTTATAGGAAATGGTATATTATGCATCAAGTTTGATAAATGCGACTTTAGTCATGAGTTTGATTTTGCACGAGCGGAGCGAGTGGTTAATAAACCAATGACCGAAAAAGTGACGTTTTTTTCGTGCTGCACTATACTCCATTAATCTATTAGATAGACATTCGCTGAGTGACGTGTGACGTGACTGTCAAATTTCAAAATACAATCCGCAGCTAAAATCTACCGAAATCATGCAATCGCTCCCATACCTCTGACTAAAGTAGGCATTCGTCACTCACAAATTACTATGTGATTATGTTCTGGTAAGTTTTGAAAAGCGACGTCTAAGTATGCAAGGTATATATCAAATTCATTTTTACGTCCTTCTTATTTATTTATTCTTAAGTTATTTTTATTATTTTTTGATAATAGAATAAGCAGGTCTGGAATGGTTGACCGGGACACACGGGGGGAAAAATTAAGACGTCATTTTCGCCAGATAATTTTGAATACCATTCAACCGCCAAAGCTATATATGTATAGAATTTTTCATTGAATTTAAAGAACCATAATATAGAGCGATCTATAGATAGACATTAGTATTACATAATTAAATAATAAAAAAAGATATTCATATAATATTCAAACTTCAAACTTATTACTTATTTCAAATGAAAGACCTTACTTTCAACATGTAACAATATAACAATATTAGCCCATATCTTACTCACATATTATTTTCCTTTCAAGTTTTGAAATCTGGTAAGTCTGAAGTATGGGAGGTGTACCTTTTTTTTGCCTTTATTGTTGTATATTGTTATATACAAATATACCGTAGAGAAGAGGCGAGGTCTAGCAAAAGCTACTCCACTTAACCTCTTAAATATTTAAATTGAAAACTAAATAGGAATTTACAATTACATTGATAAATTAAATGTAGTATAATAGATAAATGTAATAGTAATATGGAACAACAGAAAGTTATTAAAAGTAAAATTAAAAAGAATAACATTGAAAATCAAATGATTTGAGAAGTTAGGAATTTCAATCTGAGATATTTTTTAAAGAATTTACAAGAGCGTTATAAAAAAATAATCTGCGGAACAAAGGTAAACGATATCGTGAGAGTCTGTAGGGGTGCCTTAAAGCCACGATTGAACATTACGAAGCTGTAATTTAGCTCGTAAGTAGGACGGATTGGATGTACTAATATTTGGAAAACTATAGACGCCAAAAAATACTTTAAAGTACTGTCAATTTTTAGCCAGTTGAGTTCCTGAATTTTGTGGGAAATCCTATCAAATTTACGCAAGCCGAAAATAAATCAGCAATAGCTGTTTTGAATTTTTTGCAATCTCTATTTTTTAATTAGTCAGTCTTCCATTTTCTTGTCGTGTAATTAGTTTCAAAGAGTACACCTGGCATTGTTTTTGCCACACTTTTTGGGTTTTTAAAACTTTTATCAGAATCTGCTGAAAATTCCCGACATCAATATACATGCTGTAAATTGGACTGTAGTACAAAGTAAATTTATTCTATTATTTCTTCGTCACACTTACAGAAAACCTTCGATTTTCAAACATCATTTTCGACAAATGATTTTGAATATTTTACAAGTTATAAGATATCTGAAATACGTATAGAATTTTCTATTAAACTTAACTAATCATTTTCGATACTAAGTTCCAAAATTTTAAAAATCCTGCTTGGTCAGTTGGATACCCAGAAATATAAAACTACTACATATACTTTTACTGCGATTGACTAAACTAACTGTTAAGCTATTTGAAAATTTTCAAAAAATTCTAATTTTCTTGATATAGGGCGCAATACAGTGTGTTTCCAAAAACTTTTGCTAACGTTCGATTGGATTCAAGAAAAGACAAGATAATAAGGTGTTCAATATATTAAAAAACGACTTATGTTCTAGGCTACTTCCTGCAATGAAGCTGATGATTTTCTTTAGTTTTAACTCTTAAGTTTATTGTGATCCAATGATCCAAAAAGAATATGTTTCCATTCATATTTTCATGATTTTTCAAAATACTCAATCAACTTAGGAGTCAAGCAATTTTAGTGACCTATTAAAAGTAAATAACGAGAATCGCAAAAAAGACAGTCGACGTCTTTTTGACAATATTATTCGTTAAGATGGTAAGATGAAGTCGTCTTTTTTTAATATTTAACACTCTAACATATCTTTCAACCCGCGTTTATAAGAACATTATTCTTTTTTAAGTTGAAACCCTTCAACTTAAAAAAGTATTTATACTATATCAGTATTGTGCAGTATTGAGGTTTTCATTTTTCAAATAAAAGTATAACAAAATTGGTGTAAAGAATTGAAGAATTTTATAGATATCCTTTTATCGTTTTGTATGGGCTGGTTGTTGGGATTAGAATGTTATAATAACAAAAAACTGCAGAAAAACAAACTTGCCATCTAAAGCAAATCTGATCTCTTTCAACACTCCCGGTATTTCACACGTACCTTCTTCTAGACATTTGGTGACGTTTTTCAAACACATTTTACCCCTGAGTTCCGCGCTAGCCAATACGTCGTCACTCAGCTGCAGATCCAACCCGAAAACACTCCTCGCAGCGGTATAGTTTCGTCCTGAATAGGACTCCTTCGTCGTCTCGTTGACATCTTTTCCGTAATCGAATCCTGATTTTTCGTCGCATTCGATACAATTGGTCGCGACGAAATACAGAACGGCCAAAAACGAGAACGGTTTCATCGCGAATTTTCGCGTTGAACTTAACTCATCGTCGCCATTTTTTCGCGAATAAAGGGTGTCTTATATCGCGAGTGCGACAATGCTCGTTCAACATGTCACCGCGCGGTCAGCGTTTAGGATCGCAATGGGTGACCACGGGATACCCAGCGTCGCGGTGGGTAGGTATACGCTTTTTTCTGCGAATTTCCAGAGGTGGTGGGGTTGACCGTTTTGCGTCATACCCTTTCGACTAGACACTTTTGTTCGTATCGCTTGCCATTTGTGTTTTCCCTCCCCCAAAGCTCAGTTATGAATTCCAAACCAATGAAAATCCAGAATTACGATTTATTTAAGCCGATTTTAGACAGTTGACTGCAGACACGGCATATTTCTGTTTCTATTGTTGTGGTTGTGGTTAATTTACCTATGACCCTTTACCCAAAAAAAACGTCCTTCTCTACCCTAAAGCTTGATTGTTTCGTTAGCATTTTTTATTAAATACGATGAAATGGTGACTTGGATTGTCTGCAGTGACTCACAGCTTAAATAATGCAGTAGCTATAACAAAAAATAACTGGTTTGACTGTATGTTTATTTATTTGAAAAAAAAAAACAACTTATTGAAATTAAGTTATTAAAGAGCCTTCCAAAAAAGTTTGAATTACTTTTTGCCTTAAATATACCTTACTGAGTTAACAATAAAGAATTAATTAAATTATATACAATATTAACGTCACAGCTTAAATGATGCAAAACAAAATATGACCAAATCAATAGAGAAAAAAAACTGCATAATTTGAAACACTCCTGCTATTATTAAGTCGTGCCTCCCTCATTAGCGATAACGGCTTGTAGTCTTCTGGGTATTGATTCAAATAATTTCCTAGTATACTCCGGGAAAATTGTGTTCCATACTTCAGTAATTTTTACTTTTAATTCATTCTTGTTAGATATTGGGGCACTATTTACTTTTTTTTTTAATGTCAACCACAAATTTTTAATTACATTTAAGTTTGGTGACTGGGCTGGTGTCTTAATAACATTTGGGGAGTTATAAAGCAACCAAATGAGGACCCGAAATGATGTGTGCTTTGGATCATTGTCATGATAGAACCGATAATTGTTACCCATATTTAATTTTTGGACACTAGCAACCAGATGCTGTCTTAATATATCCAAATACACATATTGGTCCATATTTCCTTCAATGAAATAGTTATTACCTACTCCTGCAGATGACGTACAGCCCCATAACATCACTCCACCTCCACTGTGCTTTACCGCAGCTTTTAAATTTATCAATTTTAATTCTTCTTTAGGCTTTCTCCATACTAATATTTTTCCATCGTATCCAAATAAGTTTATCTTTACGGCACTTTCTTTGGATAATTCAATGATATGCTGAACAGTTGACGGATATTTATTTACCATTTTGGCTATGTCTCTTTGGATGTATCGATTTCTCTGCTGAGTAATAATTAAATTTCGTTCAGAAATTGTAGTCGTTCGTTTTACTGAACGAAAACGTGTTTTAAAATGTCAAACTAAACACAAAACGGTTGCAGTAATAAATAAAAGCCACGCTGCCTTGGTAAGTTTCAAACTGATTAAGTTGTGACGTTAATATTGCTTATAATTTAATTAATTCTTTATTATTAACTAAGTAAGGCATATTTAAGACAAAAAGTAATTCACAGATTTTTAGAAGGCTCTTTGCTAACTTAATTTCAAAAGTTGTTTTTTGAGAAATAAATAAAGAGACATTCACACCAGTTAGTTTTTGTTATAGCGACTGCATCATTTAAGCTGTGAGCCACTGTATGTCAAAAAGGTGTGCACGCAGGTGATATCATCCCGAAATTTGGTTTTGTCTATTATCATACGTTCAGAAACGCCGAAAATAGTGTGCCAAAACCGTCCTGGTAGGATTTTCGTAAAAAAGAAATTAAAAATTAGGCGGACCACTTATGGAATCTGGAAATAATATAAAAAAAGTAAAGATAAATGCTTTGGTCAGTTTGATTGACTTTTAAAATACACAAAGTGTTTGTATTTCCGTGAATTAACTAACAACTTTGTTATTTTAAGTAGAACACCCTATATATTAAGGAATTTTTCAATTCCTCGGAACTTTGTAGACATATTTTATGTATGTGTCTATGTATGTATCTCCAAGTCTTACCGTTTCTGACGTATTTGGAAATCTATAGCCAAAATGACGATTGCAGGTGTAAATATATCTATTTCTCCTACTGAAAACCATTATCACGTATTTGGGTTCGATTTCCCAATAGAAGAGGATCTACGTTACTGGTGTTATATATAAAAAGGCAGGGTGGCCAAAAACTAACATTAATAATTGAAATGAACAAATCGTTAAAAGTCATTTTCTTCAAATGGAAGTGCCTTACTTTAATGATTTTATCACATTTTGCATTAAAAAAATTGTAGGTTTCCCACTACAAAATGTTGGGGATTTCGTAATATTGCAGTATAAGCAGTAGAGCATTAAAAAATTGGCAATATCTATTAAGTAACCTAAACTATGATCGAATAATAGATTTGTTTATTTTATAAATTATAAAAAAATATACTTCTATAAAAAATATTTTTATTGTTTTTCTGGATGTTCCAAGTAATAAATTTAGGTTGTTTTAGATACTATTGTTTAGTTTTTTTTAGAAAAATGTTTTTTAGGAGTAATACATTTTTTGTTACTAAAAATAGCAATTACATACATTGATTTTTAAACCCAGAGTAAACCAAAATAAAGAGGTTTCTGCAGTGCTTGATTGTTTTCTATTCGTCATATTTCGCCGTCGCATCACTTTTACAATGAAAAAACGTTTTATTGCTAACAGTTTCAATCATTTCAGCTTAAGCGATTATCGAGCTTTTGTTGAGCTTCGTCGTCGAAGCAAATAGTTTATAAAAATATGATGTTATCCGTGGAAGACAATATAAGTACTATTCCTCATCATTTTGGAGGTTTGTTAGTAATTCAGACGACCGTAGAAGCCTTTTTAATGCTATTTTAGGAGCGTGCACGAGCCCTATGACCAGATTCCTCTAAAGGGGGACCTGGAGTGTAGGTCTTTGAACTTAAATTCAATAAATTTCTGATAAAATGCTTGACGGGTTAAATAAAAAGAGTTCAGGCAGGTTCCGCAAGTTTAAATATAAGTTCCTTAGAAAACCTCCTATTTGGTACCTATTTTTAACAATTCAAACGAAAAATTATAGAGGGATTAGTAAATTACGCATATTTAGTTAAATGGAAGAATGGAATGGAAGGTATTATAATGGATGACTTTTTTGCATTACTAAAAAATGTACTTTTTCATAAACAGCATGGTTTTTTTGCTTTGTTTGTAATAATTATTTAAGTAGTGGGCTTGAATTCAGGTTGACTTCTTGTCACACTTTCAGCAAAGCGTTTGATAAGCTTTATCACAATATTCTGCCTGTGGAAAACTTGCCAGAGTTGTGGTGTATGAATGTTTTCCTAGAATATATTTGGGAGAATTCAGAGAGTGAGTAATTACTTACCCAAAAATTCTTGACAATCTTTGGAGTTCCTCAGGTGCTATTGTTGTTCTTTTTGCATATAAATAATATTTTTGAATGCGTTCTAATTAAAATTCGCTCTAAACTCGAAGTACTACAAGAGAACTTAATTACAATTTTCGATTTTTGCAATAAATATAAATTTATTCATAAAAATTGTTATGCTATTTCGTTCATCGAAAATATCAAATGTTCTGAGTATTAATTACTCAGTAAATTTTCATCCGCTTTCCAGGGTAAGTAAGGGGTAAATCTGGTTCTCACATTGATTATACCCCTGAGAAATGCTCTCGAATGCTAGAGTTGGTGACCAGAACCTGTAAGAATTTTAGATCTGCATTTCTTATTTTGAATTTATTTTCAGGCGCCCTAATTACACAAATATAATTTCCAGGGATTTAAATTGGAGAGTAAGTGGCGGATATAACACTCTTAGTGTTACCACTACTAAAAAGGAAACTTGATAACATACGATTCGTCTTATTTGCTTTCCTTGATTCCCCTTCACGTGCTGCCTTTACTTTCCTTCTTGTCTTACTAAAGTGGGTAAAAATTCTTCCATTCCTAGGATTATTTAAAATGTAAATAGATATCGCGATAATAGTATATTATGCAACAAGTGTGGTAAACGGCATTTGACTCACGAGTTTTTAATAAACGAGTGAGTTAAAAAGGTTACCGAACGTGTTGCATACTATACTTGTTCTACGACCGTTAGTTTTGGATCCATTTTCGCAAAACAACACGAACACATTCACTGACACGGCCGTCAGAATTGACAAACGTCAAAATTCAAAGCGAAAACATCCGATTGCTCCCACATCCGTGCGGTAAAATCCCGGAAATGTCCGAAGTGGCTCGGATTCATGGGAAATGAAACTGACGCTGTAGAGTGACATTTCCCGACCGCTAGATCGGTGGGTAATTAGGTATTTAAAGACGGGAGTGGAAAAAATATATTTATTTTGTACATCCCCTGTGTTAAAAATTATCTTGCTCTAAATTTAAGAGTTTAATTGTATGTGTATGGTTAGTTTTACCACCTCTTGTAATGAGACTATTCTTTTCTAAATATGGTATTATAAAATAGTTTTAGGTAGTAGTAGTAAATAAATTAATTTCCGGTGTATTTTATGTTTGTTTTATATTCAATGGCATTCACATTCATATTCATATTTCTTTTTATACTACTTGTGAATTTTTGATTTTGACTACAATTAGTCTAATAAATTCGCCCTATCGCTCCTTGTTATTTACCTGTTTCAAGGAGCTTTGAATTTGTGAGATGTGTCCTATATCTTTCGCAGATAATTATTTGGAAAAAAATCCGTGGCACGAGAGAATATGGTCGTACAAACATTATATTAATTACATCAGTTATATAACGTCTAATTGAACGATTAGGTCGGCGCCTTAATTAGATTTCATTTAATTAAAAAAAAGGCTCGACAAAATTAACGAGTGTTGCATCAAACCGGGAGTTGGTGAACCGCACACACTCGGAACTGAAATCACCAAAATTTGTCACTAACAACTTATTGTCTTTTGCTTGGGGTGTTTTTGAGATCTGCGTAAATAATATTTTTATTAGCGTAGGATATTTCAGAAAATTATAGACAAATTTCTTCCAGTTCCGCTAAATTGTCTTGGAGAAAGGCTGCAAAGTACACGGCTTTTACTTCTCAAATGCCTTGACCACAAATTGGAGATTGCCGGGGTTCATCGAAATTATTTGAAGTGAACACAGCTAGCGTCCAAAGCTTTCAATCTCGTGAAGTAGAAATTCCATCTGGAGTGCCTGAGGGATCCCATCTAGGACCTTTACTGTTTAATGTGTACGTCAATTTCATCACCCCTTGCTTTCTTTCCAGCAACTTATTATTCTTTGCAAGCAACTCAAAATTTTATATTAATATCCGCAATATAAGTGACTGTCTCAAAAGGCAATCAGACCTGTATCGTCTAACTATTTATAATTTTTGAAGGCAACATAAATCCTATACAAGTATACAAAATCATGGCAGTCCTCTTGACATTTTGTTTCGAATCACGGGTCTGGAAGTTATCCTTGACAGTCAGTATCCTCCTGGCCTCTGAAAATGTTTTCATTTATAGAAAGATGCGTCATAGACTTTGAGAATAGTGCTTCTATTAAAACACTGTTCGGTTTGGCTGATGTGCCCACACCTTGACTAGTGCTCTGTGGCATCCTAGCACCCTATAAGCTCTTGAGGTACATTGCACACAAAGAAAATGGACCTGTTGAAGAAATGAATTACTCTTAAATTGAGAACAATCTAAATATGACTACTCTGCAAGTTCGTCGAATGAATACAGGAGCTCACAATGTTCTATAACCTGCCGCCTTAACTGTGAGAACTGGCATTTGTAGATCAACTAGACATAACTATTCTTTCCACCTCCCTTCCCATCGAACTAACTGCGGCTTTTTTTTTGTAGATCTCTTCGGTTCCGCGACCTTCACAGCAATCAGTTGAACAGTTTTTAAGCTAAAAACGTTCATGGAGCAACTCACTTCTTGTTGTTACTGTGATTGTACAGAATATTGTAATTGTACCAAATATGACTGACTATATGTACAATGTAAATTATGTTCTTGTTATTATTTCTTAAATTTTTTATTTGGTAAAAAATTGTGTTAGGTCTTCATACCTATGTATAATTTTAATAATTTTTGCATTTTGTAATGGATAATCGAATAATTTAGGCGTAAGTAAACTTTGTACAATAAAATTATTTATCTTTGTTGTGATTTTTGATTACTTACTCCTTGGTCCTCATTAATCATTAAGTTATTATTTGAAATTTACCGGGTGGACAATTAACAAGGGTATGGAAAAACGTATAACTAAAGAGGCCAAGAAGGGCCCCCGGAGGCGGAATAGCGTTTTTGAATTTTAAACCCTATTTTTTAATAAATAATCTTATAAGACCGATAACGAAAGTGAACAGTGTTTTAAGCGAAAGTGGTGGGGGCATTCGAAAACAAGTGTCAATAATTCCAGGAGACTTTTGTCAAACTTGGGTTGGAGAGGATTGATTTCGATTGCTCGTACTACAAATAAAATTTATTTTTTCGAAAACATTCAATACATGGATATCACAATTATGGGAACCAAAGGTAGACCAATATGGGTCTACATGTTAGTGAAATAATAAAATAAAAATAAAATATTGACGCCACCTATGGGAATATTTTCAGGAGGTGTACCATTATTAAATACTAATAATTAATACGATTGATATGATTTAATAAAGCAATACAGTATATTAAAATAACGAAAAATAATGACACAAAAATGAAACAGAAACAGTTGCGCTTACAATGTTTGGAAATACGATAGAAATGGCCCCAATCTTAATCTGATTGACACTTAAACAATTTTTGGAATTTTTCCAATGCTCGCTTAGATCATATTGAATCAGTAGTAATTGTTATTAACATTTTAAATATTACCAAAGATGCGACATTATTTTATTGATATTATAATTTAGGAAAAAGATATCTAAATAAATGTTAGACTATTTTTTTGCATCTCTTGCCCCAATAAAAGAAATATCGTTGCATTTAATTGTCCTTCATTACTCTTCGAGATAGGGCCGAGTGCCCTTCTTAATTGGACACCAGGTACATGATTCCATAAAATAACGATTAACCCACGTTTACTATATGAGAGTACTTGAAAGAAAGATGGCAAATCAAATGAAAAAGTGTAGGCAGGCTAGTAAAATTTATTAATGACGACACCAAAAGTGTAATTCGGGGAAAAGTTCACTCTTTTCATTTAAAAAAAGAAAAAATTTCCCCAAATAAGATTTGAATGGACCTTAGCAAGGATGATAGTTATCCCTTCATAACATTAACTTTTATGGACCATTCTTGAAAATATGCATATTGCGTAGGAAAAAATAACTCCAATAATAATAATAATCAGATTTGCTGGAAAGGCGGTGAAATTAATTGCACTGTCGAAGAGAGCTGAAGAAAATCTTTTATCTTACCGGCGCCTTCAGGAAAAAATAACATTCAGGAGGAGATGATAGGTCCTCAAATAAGAAATAATATTATGCTTATTTGATAATTTAATTTCTGTATATTTAATTATTTATATAATGTTTAATATAAAATAAGGGCCCATAATACTACTGTTACAATAAGATACTTTCCTTACGAGTATGCTATAATTTTAATATAATATAATAATTTTAGTTCATGAATCCATTAATTGGCCCAAACCCGCAAGGTACTCAATGTATTCAATAAAAACAAGGAATTTCGAAAAGAAATTAATAATAAACAATAATTATTTGTCATTTGTCATTGTGTAGGCCCTTTATATATCGAATTAATGAGATTTTATTACTGTACTCCTTTCTGAAATAGACTTTAATCACAACACTCCTGCAGACTGAACAATTGAATAAAATATGAGACAGGCACTTTATGATTTCGTCCTTTAACAAAGTTAAGCAAAATTCCAAAGAGTATGGGAGAACAACATCACAATAATTAACTTTTTAAGAATGAGATTTTAAATAAGGGGTTAGAAAATATGACTTCAATGCAGCGTCATTTGCAGTAGTTGGGAAAACCAAAAACCCGGCGTATATTCGACGAAATTTTTTCGTTTGCTGTGTTTGCACGGAATTAAAAATAGACGATATTTACATACGGCTACAAGGATTCTTGTGTATGTACACTAAATAATATGCCCATCCCGTCGCGTCCGTCGGAACAGATGTACCTGTACGAATAATTGGGAAACCCGCGGATGTAATTTGTAAATATCTCACGAATCGCAACTCGGTATGCTATGAGCCAGTCCTGTGAATGACGTACAAACATAGTCGATACCGCCTCCATGTTTTTAAAGAGCAAGTTTCGTGCCAAAAAGATGGTAGGCCAGTGGTTTTTTCTAATAATTTCTTCAAACATCTTTGAGCGGAAAATAAAAACCCACTAAATTAAACGTTTTTACTTACTTATTATTATACTGAGTTGCGAAAAAAAAATGGTTAAGTAAATCTCTACAATGTGAATACATCTACATATGTGTGGTGTCCCCCAATAAGGGCAACGAGATACGGTAATATTTGAAATCAGCCAAGGGTGTCAAAAAAAAAAATCAAGTACGGGGTAATTTGGAATTGTAAAAAAAGTGATAATTATTTGACATTATAAATAATAAACTAGAGTTTTATTTGGTAAATTCGTAAAGTGTATTTTTTCCCAAAAACCAACTTTTTTCTTGAGCGTTAAATTCCTTTATTCATATTTTATCTTTGAATAGGTTATTAGGCCATTATTGGACTATCTAATGAAATAAAAACAATTCTCGTTAAATTTAATCTTTTTTTCGAAAATTGTTTTGCTATATGTCAGAAAAATTGACCTGGTGACAAAGCAAGCAACCACAATCGCGTCACGCATAGCACTATTGACTTGATTATTGAAATACGTTACTCCTTACGAACTCCGGCAAGTTTGCTTGAAGAGAGCAAACAACAATAAAAAAACAAGATTTGAATTTATCTCAACTTTAACTATGGTTAACATCAATTTTCGTTAGTGTGTAAAGTGTACTGCGCGTGTTTGTGTGTAAAAACTGAGTTTTAAAATTCAAGATGATAATTACGCCCCCTGCTGGCAATTTCAAAAACTCCAAAATAATTTCCAGCATTTTCTCGTCTGTGATTTATTTAATTTTTTTTTCGAGTTTCTTGGACTGTCCATTTCCTTAATATTTTACCTCGTTGCTCTTACTAGGGCACCAGGTTTATAATTTAATAGTTTTGCTATTATATAATGGTATATTATGCAACAAGTTTTCCAAACGACACTTTAGTCACTAGTTTGTTTAGGTTTTCGTAGGTATAGCCGGTCTTGTGTGTGTGTTTTTTGTTATTATTATTCGAAATCGAATTTTCGCATTTAGTTGCTAAATCATTTATTTAGGCTCCAATGTGGAACTGGTAAAGTAAATTTCTTCTTTTTATTTGATATTTTAAGGTTACGATTCACATGTTGTATTTTATTTTTAGGAATAATCTGACGTATTATTAGAGTGGAATTTTCAAATACTTCAACTTAAAACGGACATATAAACAAACAAAACAAACAAACACACAAAACACTCAAACCAAGATAGAGGTTCTACGATCTGAAGGATCTAAGGGCATATGATCTGCCCAATATGCACAAACAAGACTTCTTTCCCATTTAATGCAGACTTAATTAAAGATTTAAATAGTTGCCATACGTAACTGTACTTTAGGAATTTAGATAACTGTTAAGCTTGCAGAAATAAAGAACCTCTGTTTGCGCTAGAGGAAGAAAATACCCGCACGGTGAAGAAAATATATGTAATATGAAGTAATGTGTAAGTGTAATTATTATATGGTATTGAAATTTTTTAGGATTTCTCAACTCAGCTAAAAAAAACGCGGTGTGAAAAGTGGAGCTACTATTTACATTCATGAGACGTGTATTTTGAGAATTATAGTTAATACCAGAGTAAATATTTTTTCAAGATTTCTTTGATTTTTAGGATTTGTTACCATAACGTTTGTTGAAATTGGCGTCAGACGCACTGACAAACTCAGACAGAGATTATCAAACCCGAACAAGAGAAAATTGTTCAAAAATTATCTGAAGTAGTTTCGAATCAATGGTTAATTGAATATTAGAGAGAACCAACCTTGAAACAAGGGGATACTCTGGCCAGGCCTCATGCAGAAACAATTGCATTTGAAAAAAAAACGAGCGGTTGTGAAACTGCAGGTGTTACAAGTGTTACATTATTTTACAAGAAACAAATAGCTTTGCTCGAGGTAATCTTTTTAGCAAATTTAAAACGGGCACACAACAACGAAACGCCAAAAAGAAGAGAAATTAGAAGAAATAGAACATATTATTATAATTGTTGGATTTTTTATGTTTACATAAACACTTAGCTTTAGCTTTAAAATAACTGTCAACATGTAGTGGCTCCAAGAAAAAAAAAGTGTAGTGGCAACGGTGCGGGGAACTCTGCGCTTTTGAGAGAATTCCGTGAGAGGAGACGAGTGAGCTATGCGTCGAATAGTTTCCAATTTTTAATGCGGATTTTTATGAGTGTAAATTCCGAGTGTGGAAATAAATGCTGTTGTCAAAACCGTCTTCTCCCTTCTTTTGGCTAACCCGGATTCCTGATCCACTTCAAACATCAGTGTATAGTTATGTTGAATTTATTATTTATTAATATTTATAGGGCACAAGGTATGAGAAATAAATTGCGAAATATAAATTTTGTAATATTATTTATTCGTCGGCACCAAACGTATCAGTGCAATTATTGGGTATAAATGGGGAATAGAAAAAATCGTTTCAAAACTGATTGTTTACCATTGATTTCGCTGAATTGGAGATTGTAATGAAGGTTTTCTCAAGGAAATTGTAATAACATATCCTATACATGACAAAAAAGGCGCGAAAATCGATTTTGTAATACTCTTGTTGATGCACCAAACTGAATAAAGTTTTGGTTATTTAAGAAAGTTGAGTGTACCTGCTACTAGTGATATGGAAACCGTGAATGAGTTTGCTTATCTCGCCTTAAAAAACCCTCGGACATAAAATTTCCGGAGCCTTTTTATTAAGGAACAATTAACAAAAATTTAAAAAAAAATCCGTTTTATTCAACTTTATTAAATATTTATATAACCATACTAATATTTAGTTAAATATTTTACTGTATAATACACAGGAATAAATATAAAAAATACATTAAACATTGGTTGTTCAAATAAGTTTATAACCTTGTATTAATGACTCAATAGCTACCAAACAAATTAAAAACAGACATTTACACATACTTACGTCAAACTATATTCAAAAGAGAGATCGTTTAGCAATTAATACCCTAATCCGATACCTGTTCTTCGGTTAAATCGTACCATCCACGAACAGGTTCCTCGACCTTTTGCAACCCCTTCAAACCTATAACAGTCTGAAAGGCGAGAACTTGTACAACCGATTGCACAGTTAAGTTAAAAATATACCTGACCGAGAACGCTCGAACTGAACAACTTTTTATTTTTCACAGTGACCACCAACTTTTGGGTGGGAAGGTCGTTTTCCGAGAGCAAATACTCGAAATCCTCCTCGAAGATGGGATCGCAACTGTCCACAACCACCTGAAAGATAAATTCGAAACAAACGCGCCTTGAAAACACCCTGTATAGTAACTACTTTAGTTTTCCCTTTGACGCTGGTATTTTCCAAGCTACCCAGCCTGAGTTTGACATACGGATCTGGAATGTGGGCGGGGTCGATCAGCGGTAAATTCCTGGAACGAGTTTTGTTTATATGGCTGAATATTGACACTAAGTAAAATAAGTACGTTTTGCTTTAAAAATACTTGTTTTTATATTCAATCTATTAATGATTTGCTAATTGCTATACAGCAGATAAAATTCATTGTTTCCGACTGGAATATGTCGACAATTACAGAAATGATCAAAAAATTACAACCTGCCTTTAAAAATTGAATAAAAAAACTGTTCCATAACACCAAGCGTGACCTGCCCCACCTACTGGTAGAAAGGAAGGAGTAACACGTTTTGTCCGAAGTTTTATTTTAGATTCTCGATAGATGGCTCTGTAATCGCGAAAAGACGATTTCAAGTATTTGGCAAGAAATACACAGATCAATCTTATGAATTTCAATTTAGTGTTATGGTACCTTCATTTTAACATATTTTTTCTACTCCCTACTCTAAAATACAAAATTATACCCTTATCGTTCATGCACAAAGTGTCACTAAAACGATACTTTAGTGGCGTGTTGGAAGCAATAAAATACTTTCACGTAGAAAAGTATAGTATGCAACACGTTCATAAATTTCTTCGGGCACTCATGTATAAATGATTAGTGCATCATAATTGGATATTTTAGAGTAGGAAGTATAAAAATATGTTCAAACTTAGTGCAAAAGTTTAAATTTGCATGCAAAAAAGATATTAACAAAATTTTACAGAAGGTATATTGTTTGATTACATAAATAAAAGTACAAAATATGTGTACTCAATTTAAATATTAAAAATTGAATAGATTTATCTTATTCCTCTTAATAGTTCTTTAAAATTTGGTGAAAACACTTCTCAATAATCGAATACGTTATATTGAAATAATTGGATTCTGGCACAAATTTCCAAAATTTAGGCGTCGACTTACATTTTAATAGTCGATATGTTCTTGCATCTGATATTAATTTTACTTCCCCAGACGCTTTTTGAGTCATAATAATATTGGAAAACTTGCCTTGAATTATATTAATTTCAAATGAATTCAGAAAAAAATCAAGAAGTCACCTGAAAGATAAATTTAAAATTTTATTAAAATATATTTCAATTCTTGAAATATATTTTGAAATTCCGTCAATATTCCGTCCAGATTTTTAAATACTCGTTCAAAATGAAAAGAAAATTGGGGTTCATTTATTCAAAGCCGCTTTCACAGCTTTGAAAAAAGGATTCGTTCAATTTTTGGGATTACAGCGCCATCTGCCGAGAATCCAAAAGAAAACTTCGAACAAAACCTAACGTTTTTGTGGCATAGAACCTGAATCTTTATTAAAAAATGGGGCCTGCATTTAAGATTTCAAAATTGCCCTGTACCCAATGGGTTGGGGTGTTATTGAACAGTTTTTTATTCAATATTTAAAGGCATTTTTTGATGAACTCTCAACATATTGCACCATTTCCATGCTTATTGGTATATGCTAAACTACAATAAGCTTTGTGGTTGCTATTTTCAGTCGTTTTTAAAAAAAATATATATTAAATTAATTAATTAAACTTTTGTTAAGAGCAGGAGTGGGAAATAGGAATGCCAAACTCCCTCAAATCACACAAGGAAGTTCACCCATGCTGCTCGTGGCCCTCTCGGCAGCTTCTTTTAATCTCCTATAAGTTCTTACCGTTACCACAAATTCCAAGGTTACTTACGCGACCCGGTGAACAGTCACCAACAGCTTTTGTCTCAGTTCGCTGTAGGACAGCGTCAGTTCTATCCTTCCGAGATGTTCAGGCAGCCTAAAACTGTACCGTCACACACAACTGTTGCTTTGATAAAAAAAAGACATATACCCTGTTCGTCTGACGTCGTTTATTATGGGATGATCTCAGAACATTGTCAAAAATAGCAAAAAAAAGGTTGTTTGGATCACTTATAATCTTGAAATTTTATAATTGTATATACGAGGGTCACTTGAAAAGTTTCCGACCTAACAATGATAAAAAAAGATTTTTTCATTTTTTTTTATTTTTCTACATAGCCTGCTTGTAACTTGTATACACTTATCCCACCGATGCCGCCATCTCTCTAACCCGTTCAAATAGTTCAAATAATTGTTCACGAAGGTGATTACCACCTCAATGTTTGTCCTTCGAGCGCAGTTGAGTTAACAAAAAGAAGTCGCTTGGACCTAGATCTGGCCAGTAAGGCGGATAGTCAAGCAGTTCAAACCGTAATTCGTGAATTTTCGCCATGCCAACCGCTGCGGATGGATGGTTGCCTTGGTGAAACAGGATTTTGGTTTTTCCTTTTTGAAGGTAATAGATTAAGATGGCTATCCCAAAAAACAATCGCCATCACTTTCTGTATTTTTGATTCGGGCGTATAATGGTGTATCCAAGATTCATCTACAGTATGGCTCAAAAATTCGGATTTATTACGCCTAAATCGCACTAAGAGAGTGTTAAAAATGTTCATTCGAACACGTTTTTGGTCTAACGAGAGTAAACGCGACACCCAACGCACGGACAGCTTTTTCATGCCTAGATCGTCGGTAGTTATAGTTTTTCGACGTGCCAAACGTTCATGATCACAAAACTCGTACGACCACGTTTAAATTCAGCTGCCCACACAGACTCCAACTTGTGCCGGCATCTTCAGGGTGAGGTTGAAAACTTTTCAAATGACCCTCGTATACAGGGTGTATATTAATGGAAAACTAACAACTGTGTGATTTTAAATAGGAGATGCCATATATTAGAAAATTTATAATTCCTCGGAAATTTCTAGACATATTTTACTTAAATCAAATCGCTTCTGACATATTTTAAATTTTATGTCCTAAGTGATGCTTGCAGCTTCTCCAACTGGAAGCCTTTGTTCTTTATAGAAGGGTTTGTTTTAAAAATAATTAAATGCAATCGCCAAAAGTCATATTGAGTATTTGAAAAAGTTTAAACACTTCTAAAGTTTCGCGGAATTCAAAAATACCTTAATATACAGAGAGTTCTATTTAAAATAAGAAGGTTGTTATACATACATGAGACTAAGTGGGTAAGTTGTATAAAGTTAAATCTCAAAAATTATAGATGATATTCATAGTCTTAGTCTTAGTCTAGTTCTAGTTCAAATGTAAAGAAATAAACCTACAAAAATATTTACTTATTGTTGTTTTTTTTATATTTGAGGCTAATACAATTTTAAATTCTTTATGAATAGTATTAGCTAAGACAATTCAAAGAATATTGGATCGTAAAAGAATAAATTTTTAAAAAATGAAAGAATTAAAATTAGGCCCAGAAAAGTTCTGCCAATTTAAAAAATTCACCTTTAAACACTGGTTAGAACAACTTTAATTTTAAGTTTTTTAGCTGTATTTAAAATTTTTTAGATAATAATGTGTTAATAATTTAGGACAAATTTGAGAATACGCGGGCTTATATCATTTTTAAGAATCTCTGCTGCCAACGAACAGGGTATACTCATCCAATTTACGTTTGAAACTGTGACGTGCGAATGGTGGGCGGGGCCCCAACGGACGAACTCTGCGATTTCCTTATCGATTCCTCGATCAGTTTGTTCGATTCATTTTCTTCCGAATCAAACCGACTGAATTCTTCGGCCTCGTTCGGCCTGTATTCTTCCGGATCGGAGTCCGAATAGTCGGTTTCGAACAAAGCGTTGTGCAATATCTAAAATTCGGCCAAACGTGCATCGATTTCGTCTCACAGTGATAATAATTTCATATCTAGGATTACAAAAATATTAAATAGCTTCACGCCAAATTAAAGGAAATGGCCTATAACCGTATCTGTTAAAAATGACACTTATCTTGATTTCAACCTAGTAAAGTCATTGCAACTTGAATGATGGTTAAAACTTTGTTCTTTCGATGAAAATAATATTTTGTATTACTGCTGAGTCTCGCGAGTAAACATTTCGAAAAAACTGGCATATTCTTAAAGGTAGATAGGAAGTTCTATAATGGAATATTTTTATGCTTCTTAAAAGCTTTTCTGTTTGTACTAAGGTTTAGGTTTAAGGTTTATATTGTATTTTGTGGCAAAAAAATATTTTCTAGACTTGATCTTTTGTGGGACTTCAATGTATTTAATGTACTTCCCAACTATGCTTAGATGAATTTCCACCTTACCACCTTTTGGATAAAATTTTATTTTTTTAGATAATGCTGTAACATGTAAGAGGGTGGATTTGTTAAAAATTTTGAAATAGTATGATACAATGCATCCAAGTAAAGCAGAACAAAAGCGACTACTTCTAGATAATGTTATCTATCTAGTAGGTGCAGAAACTAAACAAAACTAAACAACAAAAATTTATATTTAAAAACAATTTATTAACTTTTCAAAGGCCGTTTTTCAAGTTTTCCAAAATTTCGCTAAAAAACGCTACGAAAGGCTTTATAACCACAATAATTGCCTGAGGAGAAAAGCGGGTTGATAAAACGCAGACGCCTGCAACTAGGTTACAGAAAACAGAACTGTCTATCTCAGCTAAATTAAAGTTGTAAATTAAATATTATCAAGAACATAATACTTCAACAATTTCTTAGTCACATAGCAATGAAAACGTATTATACTTATTAATATACTTAAAGCATCGTCTGGCCCATTAATTTGAAATGAAATATTTCTAGTAGCCATATTATTCACCTACTAGAAGCATCATAGAAAATTGATTTTAATAAAATTGGATTTTTAAAAGTGTTGATTTTCTGAATGTTTAGTGAAAATTTGAAAGCTCGGTCTAACCAAAACTGGAATTAAACGCTTATTTATTAAAAATAAGAACCTAGCACATAGCACAGTTTTTTTTGTTTAAGTTTCTGTCTATTTTTAATTGTGTTTTTTTGAGTTATCATTGTTTTTATCTTGAATAGTTTTGTTTTAAAGATTATTACTGTCACAAATTTGAAATAATTGCTGTGTGTTTCCGAATTTTTTTAGAAATCAAATGTGAAATATTTCGAAGTAACCTTGTTTTTAAATTTAAATAAATAAATTATATTTAATAGCATTATCCTGATATATAGCTAACTTAAAATTCGTAACATAACTTTATAACACAAACACTCTTGTATATTTTCTGTTTATCCTCCTCTGTTATGAAACGTAGATTTAATGCTTTAATACAAATTGTAATAAAAAACTCACTTTACATTAGCACAGTTGTTTTTGTAATCCTAGGAAGGTAAATATTTTCAATATTATTCGTAAACATACGTACCCTTAACTGCACAGACACGATTATTTTACTATTCGGATTTGCACTCAGCTCAATTTCCTCTTTGCTGACCTGCATCGATTCCTTACCCAACAAGCTGCGTACACTATAGACGAAACGATCCAAAGTAGCATCCGTGTGCTTGTCGATTATGTTGACGATGAGGGAATCGTTTTCCGGGTTCCTGACCAAAAGGTAAAAACCCTGTTCCCAAATGGGATTCGTGGTATGCTTTTTGACTCTGCTCTTGACTTGGTTACGGCCCACCGTCAGTACCATGTACGGGTCCGGTTTCTTGTAGCTCTTGATTTTCTACGGATAGAAAAATACAAATTTCCGATTTGATCGGAGGTGGTCTCCCACCTTTAGGTTGACAGCGCTGTCTACGTATACCACGAGCAGAGCGGAATGTAGATTTTCAGTTTTTAGCAATCTGGTCTCTTGAAGCGCCTGAAACAGGAAGTGTTAAATACTTCTTACAATCATGGGAGAGTCCGGAAACTAAGGGTTTGAAAATAAACCCCCGTCCTTTGATGTTGATATGTTTTTTTTAGTTCGGGTGTTAATACAGAGTGTTCGAAAAATAGAGATATTGTAGAGAGCGATTCCTTGTTAAAAAATATAATTTTTTTATCAACAGGGATCCTGAAATGCAGGATTTTCAAGGTGTTAAGGTATTTTTTTTTAATTATTAACATCTAAACAATGATGTCCCACGGACACCTTAGCGAATATTATTGCCAAACAAAGAGTAAGCTACTGCTTTTGTGTATCCTTTATATTTTTTGTTCGATTAAAAATCATAAATTCCTGTGAAGACAGAAGAAATAGACTTCGTCAAGTAAGAAAGCATACGGAAATGGAATATGTACATCTCCAATATTTGTTACGTTACGTAACTTAATAATCTATTAGGGCTAAATAACCAAATAACATTGCCAAATTTCAACAGAATCGACTGGATATTTGTGTAAAAAATGAAGAGCCTCTGAAATATTTCAGCCTATTTATGTATGTATGTACCGGATGTTATAAAAACTTATCTAAAAAAAACATTTTTTTTATCTATAGCCCATGTAGGGCATTTTAATACAACGATTTTGAGGGCATATTTATCATATTTTCATATAAATATTAACATATAAATATATGTCCTCGCTAACTCAAAAACATGGAATAAATAATTGCATTGTTAAAATTAAGCTTTTAATAAAAAAAAAACGACTTCTTCGGAAAGTCCAGGAGCATACAGGGCAAGGATTTTAAAGGTTTATTTTGAAGATTTAGTTTGATAAAAAAAAAGGAAAGGAAAAACAGTTTCCGTTTTTATTGCTCCGTCGGAAAAAAATTATTACTTATTTAAAAAACCACTACGGAATCTAGACTGATTCTTATCCATAAATATCAATCGGATCACCACTGTGTGTGCGTTTAAATTGACGTTTTGGTATGCATGAATTTTTTTTTCTACAAATTTTTGATACCCTGTATCTCGAAAACGAGGGAAGCACATATTATACCGGGCGACACAACAAAGTGGGAACACTCTATAACTTTTAAACGGCTTATTTTTATTCCCACTAGTTAATAGTTCATTACATTAAATGCTATTTGCCATTAGACAAGTAAACAAAAGTTTCATTTATAATTTTTTCCATGATCAGGTGACCCGGTACATAGTAATTATGATGGTCACAGCCTCCTAGACACAATTTTCAAAAATTAAATAAAAATTTAATAAAACAAAAAAAAAGAGAAAAACTATCCTATCCTACGTAGAATGTTCCCCTGAATCCAAAAACGCAAAAAAATAGAGGTTGTGCCATTTAAAATTCCAAATTTACTGTCGTTTCCGCTCAAATCGGAAGTGCAACCATCGACTACATATTGTCAAAAAATTTGACATTCAGTCTGTCCCAACCCTTCTAAATTGCAAATCGATATCTCAAGTCGCTTAAAAGTTATAAAGTGTTCCCACTTTCTTGTGTCACCCGGTATATAAGAGGTAACTAATACACCGTGCTACACCACACAGTTTGAAACTTCAACAACCAAAAAGTCACGCTAAATAATTTAACGTTACGCTTTTCAGAAAATGAATTAATACGGATCTAGAAACAAATTAAAATAAGCATGGTCACCTCAGAGTTTTATAAGATTAATAAAATATTCTAAAAAATTGTTGTTCTCATTGGATAAATAATAATTTCACTAGTGGCAACAAATTAAAATCACTTTCAACTTTATATGTAAGCAAAACCAACCAGAAAGACAGGCTGACAAATATATATCGATTTGAATTATAGATTAGTTGAACTGGTAAATAAATAAACAAATAAATAAGTATAATAATGGCATCTCTAATCAGTTTTTACTACTCTCTTGGAATCCTGAAACGACTCTACCGGTCCTTTCTTTATATCTCCACTTACGGCATCGACGTTGTCCCTTTGCGCTGACAGACCCAGCCAACTAAAACGCAAGTGGATTTTTCCGTGTTTAGCGTCATCCAGGGCAAACCATCGGTCATTATCTTGGTCCTTGATCACCTTGAATATTTCAACAGCACCGCTATAATTTTTTTTTTTTAAATAAGTCAGCCTCGAAATCCTGATGCCCAAAAAACTGTGTATACCTGCCAAGGAAGTCGTCCTCCCTGAACTCGTCCTGGTCGTAGAGCTTAAAGTATAGTTGCTGTGCGAGCGGATCCAAAACGATGAACTGGAATATTTTGCAAACGAAAACATCTTAACTTATCGCCTTGTGCATCGTTTTACAACCTAAGGAAAAGTGTTTACCTCGCAATAACAGTCCCATTTGGGATTTAAATCCCGTTTGATGATGTGCGTCTTAAACTCTTGCGCACCCACGTTCAAGATGACGTAAGGATCGGATTTGCCGGTAACATCTTTTTTTTCTAGATCCTTCGCTTCGAAAACGTGCACCCTCAATACGCCCTGAAACCAGACGTCGGGTGACCACGGAGGACGTTACCTCCGCCCCATTTGGACTCAGAAGCAGTGAAAACTTTTTGTTGACATTTTTCTTGACAAAATAACAACGTAGACAGCGCAAACTAATTTTAATATTGTTAGAAATATCGTAAAATTTCCTTCAAATTACGGTTTAACGTGCTTGTAGGGTATTGTTTTTGGTAACAAATTTATATTTGTTTTTAATTAACAGTTTGTAGGTACACTTTTTCTGGATTTCTCTTGGATCGGGTGTTGACCATTTTCATACAACCAAAACACCAATATCACTATCGAATTAGAAAAAAACAGCACTCCTTTTCTAGGTATTCTTATTAACTGAAAACCTGACTTAACCTTATGCCATTTGGTCTATAAAACTCACCCATACTGACCGACGCCTGCAATATCACATCCATCCATCACAACACATATCACCATCCAGTCCAAAAACCTTACGTGATTAATTCCTTAGTTTTCAAAGCATATCAGCGTCTCAACCCAAATTTAGTAACCTAGAATTAACACGTCAGTTTTTGTCCCTAAACAATTATCATTATCAAAATATCAAGCGTTAATCCACTTAAACAAACTCCGTAACTGACCATCCGTTAGCCACTGCAGTATTGCTGTATTTTCAAAATATCACCGATCAAATATCAATAATTGTGAGAAATTATAACACCAAAACTAGATTCTTTATTTGTCATAAAATCTCCTAACATCCACTACCGGTAAAAGATAAAATTCGCCACGCGTTCACAATATACCATGCAACTATGTCGGAGAAATAGGTCGATATCAACCAAACTCAAAGAGCACCAAAAATCATCTTCTTCAATAAATAACGAAATCACCAGTTTCTAAACATAACAAGCCAAAAGACCAAAGTAATTGCATCCTAATAACATAAAAAACACACTTCTATCTCTTTTGGAAATTCAAAATTAAACTCCCCTTCTACCACTACCACCCTATCTACAGTTATTTCAGGTACATGCAGAGCAATTCGAACTCAGTTGCAGACAGCGCTGTAAAGCACCCATCAGCATGTTTGGCAAAAAACGTCATCAAGACAGGGTCAAAACACACCTCAGCAGAAGACCAGAAATATAGATATGTACAAGTTCCGGAAGTTTCTTTGAAAAAAAAATCAACAATTGTTTGTTGCTGTTTAAAAGAAAATAAACATATACTTAATAAAAATAATAAAGAAATATATAAAAATTAAAGAACTATATTTGACCCTGAAAGATCTATAAAAGCAATTTTTAAAAAATAATAATAAATAATTTTGATTTTCAACTTTGCCTTTCTTTAATGTAATTTATTGGGCTAAACCAAACATTTGCATAGATTTATTGGACCCCAAAAAGACCATTATTTAGTTAATAATTCGGAGGGTTTTTCGCGGTAGCCGTTCGTTAGAAGTATTTGGAGTTAGGAAAAACTTAGAAGTTATATTTTCAGCTGTTTTTGCTTCAATTTTTAACGGTTTAACGCTTCTGCAATAAACTAAAGCAGGAGAGAAATACTTTTGAAATTTTTGATTTATCGCATTTATCGTTTGATAACCGAATAGATTATTTTCAAAGTCAAAAAAGTTGTTTTCTTCAAATGAGACACTCTATGTACTTTTGGATAATGGGGTGCGGAAGTTAATCCTGCATCGAGTTGCTATAATTTTCCGTATTTTCAATTGTTTTTTTAATGCGTATTTTCCATTTTAGTGTGATTTTTGGCAGAAACCGCAATATCGTTTGGGCTTGTTAAACTGGAATAATTATTTCATCTTATCTTAAATAATAATTATCTTAAAGCAACACAATTGAATGTAATCATAACAAAGAATGTACCCCTGTCATAAAAATAAGTAAACATATACAAAAATTGTTCGATTTGACCCCCATTTTGGTTCAAACATTGAATAACTCTTCGATGCACTCCTTGCGAAAGAGACCTCTGGCTTTCGTCTGGGCATAGATTAGTAAATCAAAGCAGCATCGAAGTTACAGTAACTGGGATAAGAAGTTTAAAAAAGTACTGCTACAGTTTTTAATACTCTAGAACCCACGTAATTACGCAGTAATTGTCAATAGAAAGTATTTGAAACGGAAAATTACGTTGAATTCTCGCTTACTCTAACGTAATATTTAAAGGTCGCGATTACTTGTACAGGTATAACCTATTTTTTTTTATTAGTTTGTAGCAATGATAATAGTAACTTTCAACCTTTCGGGAGTTTAAAAGATCCTTCACAGTAATGCAACTATGTAATGATATCTAAAGTGAAATTTACTGTCACGCTACTCGAGAAATCACCATAAAGTTTAAAATACTACAACAAAATATTTCAACCAGCATCAGAAAGCACGTTGATAATCATTTCACAAATTATAGGTTAAAGTATCAAATGGTTGTCGGCGGAAGTCTCTTTTGGAACCTTGAAGCTGTTTTCGTAGTAACTGCGACCATACAGTTTCAAATATGTAGAATTATCTTTTTTGAAAGTCGAAATTAACGCAAAGTGAAAAAGTATAGTAGACGTTACTACCAGTTAAAGAAGTAAATCCAAACATGGATTTCGAGGTAAATGTAACTTAGACGTAATAAGTGAAAGTTACACCATCTCTTCTTATAAAATGACATTAAATCAAATATTCCATTCTTTCTGTACTTGAACAATTATTTCTCCAAAACATCTTCTAAACTTATTTAAATATACTTTTTGAATTTTTTTGCATTTTTAAGTTATTTCACAGATATTTTTCCTGATTATTTTCGCTTACCCAGTAGCGATTGTTCATTTATTATTCCTTGCCCGCTAAATTTGGATTCGTGGGTCCAAACAATATTAAGAAACTTTGGATCTTGAGTAATTTTTACGTACATAAAGTAGCAAAATTCTAATCGTCTTGCTGCATCGCCGGAATGAAATTCTTCTACAGTTATTTCAAAAAACGGGTTCATTTTATATTTTCTTTATATTCTAGAAGGTTATCCACAAGCGAGTCACGTGAGAAAAAGTCTATATAATAATAAGAAAAATGACCTCGTTTTCGGGTTGTTTTTAAACTTCCTACGTTTTTCCTAACTTCAAAATTTTCCACCAAACGGCTACGGTGGGAAACTCAGTATACATTTCTTCCCAATTGAATTTTTGGCAACTTGTACTCTATCTACCTATCTAGTGACAAGTCTTTAATCCTCAATTACCTCCGGCTCAATAGACTTCAATTCAGCAGCCTCGATCGTTTTAGTAAACCTTTTGGTGATATTGTTCGGAAAGACCACCTTCTTGTAGATGATCTCCTCGATTTTTTGCCGTACGATGTAACTCAAGCCCGGTATCCCGGTGATACCCTCCAGGTCGAAACTGATGTCGGGCAGATTAAGGAAAAATATTTGCACGCCCCCGATTATGGGCGATTTGAGCAGGATCGGTTTTAAAACGACCCGCACGTCAACCCCCATCTGAAAATCTCGAATTCTACCCACCTGGGTACCCGACACCGAGAAATTAATGTCGCAATCACCGTCGTAACTGAAATGTCGTAATTATGGTCCTCTGTCTAACGCCAACGCCTTATATACGCCAACGCCGACGCCTTATATACAGTGCACGTCAAAATGTTGGATCCACAAGGGACTTTTTTATAAGGACTCCGTGCAGGATGTCCTGCAGATATCTACCTTATTATCTCGCGAGCATATAGGGAAGGTCAAGATATCACAATTATTAGTTTGCTACACAAAACCATTAGTACTCAAATTTCATACCATTCACAGTTTCTGAGTCTGTCAATTTTTCCCAGACGGAATCCTTTAAAATCTTACTTTATTAACTATAAAAAATGATCCGTAGAACAAATTTAGTTAGTAATTTAAATTAAAATTAAACTGGCAAAAATATTTTTTTTCAAATAGAAACCACCTATTTTTACAAACCTATCGTATTAAGAATTAAAATTTAGTACTACTTTATATTAGGAAGTATATTCTCAATATTCATAATTTCGAATCTGCTCTTGTACCGTCATCTTGAAAATATTTTCAAACTTTCAAATTTTTACTACTTATAGTTTTCTTATAACAGATTGACGAAATTCCCGGTGGGACACCCTGTATACAGTATACAGTATATACAGTATATAGTGAATTGAAAATAAGCTTATAAATGTGTTAGACTTATCAAAATTTGACTACACCACTGACTACTAATCACAAATATTGTAAAGGTATAATAACAATTATGTTGCAACAACAATTATAAATAAATAAGAGAAGTCTTTCCTACCAAGTTAGAGTGACGGTGAAACGATTAATTTGGATATCCTGCATTAATGAAAAATAAAATACCACCTAATTATATAATATGCTGATGAGGCAGTAAAGCCGACTTTAATGAATTAACCGTCGATATCCAAGCGTTTTCTCTTACTGACGTCAATAGACCAGACTTAAATTTTTTTAACTAAATTATCAACAGCACGGCTTAAAATTAACGAAGTAAATAACATTAAATACTTGGATATAATAGTTGACAAAAATGTAAAAGGGTCCAATCAAGACTTGTCTGTAAACTTGAACAAAAAATTGCTCATATCCATACAGCACTGATGCTGTATGTAACTGCAGTACGCTATAGTTGTATGGAGTGGTCTCTACGCTAACTCGCTCGAACTTTATAATGAAAATTTACAAAACATTACTGTACTATACTGTATTATACCATATATACTATACTAAATTTTATATTTCAATAATATTTCTTTACAGAAAAGCACAAATTTGCAAATTAAAGTTTAGCGCATCTATCAAACTAGGCATATAAGGCAGAAATTGCTTGTTCCCTTCCATGCCAAAGACAGTAAGTATAGATGTGCTGCAAGCTTGAGTCCGAAGTTCTACAATTGTCGGTCAATTAGCATAAGAAAACTCTTTAAGTAACTGTGTTCTCGATTTAGTATAACTCTAAGGTCTGTCTTTCAGATATTCCGCCATTTCATGCTAGTTTGATCTTTTCCATTTTTTATTATTAAATTTAGGAATCAATTTACCAGGTATGATAATAATAATGATATAATAACTTAAGTAGCAATTACTTTGTTATTTATGGTATTGAGAGAAGTTTTGCAAATAAAAAAAAACATACGTATTATTTATTAAAAAATAGATACGATATATATACAATGTGCTTGTATAGGTGGATTTTACCTCGATTACCTCGAATTTAATAATAATCCTTATTTATGCCTTAAATACAAACCAATAATATAAAAAAAAAATAAACATTTTAAAAAATTAACAGAACCATATATTAATGCTTGTGAGTGAAATCGAAGCGGTTTATACAAAATTTAAAAAAATTAAAAAGCAAACAAAAGTGAAACCATTTAATATATTTATAATAAGTTATCGCTCTAGTCCATGCGTAGCGGATTTTTAGAACCGATATATGCTTTAGTTATTTAATAATTAGTTTAACAAAATCTAAATATGATAAATTACTGCTACGGCTGATTTTTAGAGTTCATTGTCCTCTTTAGGAAGTCAATGGTGATGGGGATCACCGATGGTAGCAATTTGTTTATGGAGAATTAATTATTTAAATACTTAGGGACACCATACTTCCCCCAAGAAAAAAATTATAAGCAATATTTTAATAACTTTCCCTATGCTCCCGAGAGATTCGTAGATACTTACCGGACGCCCTGTATATAATAATACATAACATATAAAAACACTACCCCAACCACATAATGGTAGTTCAGAGCATTAATCGATTGGACTTTTTGGCGCACACTGTATATTTACTCACAAGACTTCGAAGTCGATAATGACGGCTTCCTTGGCGACGAATTTATCGTAAACCTTAACGCCGTCAATTTTCGGTGGCTAAAATGCGATATTTTTCAATGGTTGCCAACCGGCGTCAATTTAGTTTTACCTTGTTACCAAAATCGAGGTCCTCGAACCTGAAAGAATCCACTTTCTTTCTGATGTTCGTTTGGATTTTGCCCCTGCAGTATTTTACGACGAAACAGTTTAGGCTTGGCCACAGTTGCGTAATTATCTACAATTGCATTCGAAAAGGATCTCTAAACAAATACGCACCGGATTTGTACCTCGTTGAGCCACTCGGCTCTTTCCCTGTCCGGAAACGTCACCTATATCCAATAAAATTAAGAAACATAATAGTAACAATAATAATAATCATATCATTTATTGAATCTAAGGGAAACCTCCATTACAACAGTAAGGTTGCTTTTTTGAATAGTCATAATAATAATAATAATAATAATAATAATAATAATATTTATTGAATCTAGCAGAAACTTCCATTACAAGAAGTAAGGTTGCTTTTTTTGTAAATAGTAACAATAATAATAACATTTATTGAATCTAAGAGAAACCTCCATTACAAGAAGTGAGGTTGCTTTTTGAAAAATAGTAAAAATAATAATAACAATATCATTTATTGAATCTAAAATCCATTACAAGAGTAAAGTTGTTTTTTTAATGAGTAATAATAATATAATAATATCATTTATTGAATTCAAGAGAAACCTTCATTACAAGAGTAAGGTTGCATTTTCAAATAGTAATAATAATAATATCATTTATTGAATCTAAGAGAAACCTCCGTTACAAGAAGTAAGGTTGCACTATATGAAAAACAGTAATGGCCAGAGTACATCCAAGCAGTAGGTACAGATGATATGATATTCAAAGTTTAAACTTTTTATTCATTTAAAATGAAATACGGCAAGAAAGTTAATCGGATCATTAACATTCGTGATTTTTCTCAAAAAACGCTTCGTAAGTCAGAACACAATGAATATTTGAAAAATAAATGCTAGAGTCTCTCCTCTTGTCTTGTTGATAGAGTATGTAAGTATATAAGTCCCCAGGCGCACAGAATGGTCTGTTGCGTTCCTAGGTAAAATTAAAAGACTTTTACAAGAACTTACTTCAGTCCTCTCGATCACTCCCCGTACCCAAGACCCCAAATATATTATAAGTTTATAAAGAAAGAGTTATGCTGTTATGTTCTTTTAATATAGGTTGCCATCATGAGTCGATTCATAAAATTCATGACAGCTCCAGTTGAATAATGATAAAGAGGAAAATTCGACTCCTACTGCAGTATACTGCAGTAAATTACGGTAAAAGCAGCCTTAACCCTTATAATTTTTGTTTTATTAGTAATAACAGTAAATTTAGTTTTGGCACAATAACCTCAAAATACTGATATTTTTTGTTCAAATCTCTTTCAAATCTAATTATGACTAAATCATCGGCGTAAAATAGCAACGTTAAATTGTTCATGTTCGTTCGTGTTCATCTTCGTGGTTTGTTCATTAGATTTAATAGGCATAACAACATTTTCGTAGACATTCTGCAAAATTTTTATAATTTTGCAGCTTTGTGCCAAAGTAAATTATGAAACAAAACAAGTTTTACAGCGTTTTAACCCAATGCACTTAAATAATAGAAGATCAGTACAGCTTTTATTTCCAGTAAAACCTGACAATCAATATTGTTGTCATTACAGATATACACAAAATAATAAGGAATTTGAGATTGTGTTTTTCTTGACTTCGTGTTTCAAAAAAATTGTCGCATTAGTAAAACGGTTGGTAAAATTAAAAACATAATTTCTCAATTGGAAAATCTAGAGCTTTTCACTCGCCACATATATTTCCAAAGGCTTAGTTTTCCAATGTTGCGAGGTTACATCAATTGGGTATTAACTGAATGGTGCAAAAATAATATCATTCTCATCTGTGTAGCAAGTTAAATTGGTCTTTTGATTTTGGAGGTCATGCTGTCAAAACAGAGAAGACGCTAAGTTTTTAGTCGTGGCAATTGATAGCCAACATTCTTGGTGCCATGGATTTAATTAAAACTCAATAAAAAGTTTTATATGTTAAGTTCTTTAAGAAAGACTCTCATTGCTAAGGCTATTCATAAATAATTGAAATAATTTTTGCTTATTTCCAACTCTATAATATTCTTCCGGAGGAGTTAAAATATTTTATATTTAAAAATTGTAATAACACATTTTTTACACGCGCTCTCTTAACTGTCAAAATAAAAACTATAACATATAAAATAAAAATAAATATTATTTGGGTTAGTCTCGTATGGGGTCAATGTTTCTTTTCGTTTCTTTATTTGCATAAATTTGTGAAAATTTTATTTTTACCTTTCTTGATTCTTTGTTTTTATCATTTGTTCCTTTCTACCATGTTTTAGTGTAAATAAACACATATCTATCTATAAAAATCTGACAGTTTATATAACTAGGCATTATCCATCCAATGCGCCAATACATTACCGTAAGACATTATAATTCGAAATGAAACTTTACCCATGAAGGCAGCTCTTCTACGATCTTCTTAAAGTGTTCCTTGGTCAGGCCACTAGCTGCTATTTTTTGTCGTATTTTTACGGTCTTCTCTGAGCGGGTCGAATCATACCATATAAACGTGCACAGAGCTAATACGGGTAAAATGAGTGACACGTTTAAGTAACAAACAAGGTACCCAACCAAAACAAGAAATGCCTTAAAAGGGACGAAAATCAAATGTTTCAAATGGCTACCGTGCAGGTAACGTGGTGACGTCACAACTGTCGAATTGGGGACTTTCCTATTACACTCACCCTTTTCGAGAATTTTACTAGAACATTTTTAAACATGATTTTCTCGGAATTTATCGGTTTTATGCCATTTGGATGTTTAATAGCATCGGAGCTTTCGACGCGTTCAAACCGGTCCGCGTTGACTAAAATTTCAGGATCGGTCACGCGTGATCCCATAGCTAAAAATAATTATTTCATTAATTATATACCTTATATGAGAGACTGCGAATTAAAAGATCGCAAGGGTCATGTCAAGGTCAAAAGACTCCCAAAATAAAATAGTGCACACCATGTGCGTATCGTGTGTTTAATAAGCACCTAATAGGTATCCAAATTTCATAAACGAATAAATATATTTTATTAATTCGCTGCCTCTCCTGACCTCTATTTATAGTCTCCACCACTAAATTGCATAGCACGCCCTGTGTGCAAAAAATAAGGACGAAGAAATATAAACCAAATATAATTAAAATGCAACGCAAACTTTCAACCAGGCGAAGGTCTATTAAATTAATTTCCTACAAAATATATAATACTTAATTTTGAATTTCATAGTAACTGGACTCAGAGTAAAATATGATCGTCATTAGTTCTAAGTCGTCTTATTTTTAACTTTAGGCCGACAATATATCATTTAAAAATTTATTTGAACTCAGAAGGAATAAAGTAAAAGTTTGAATAATTGCAAAACACGACTTTTAATTGTTGTAAATCTATAACAAAACTATAATACGAATAGAATACGCGCGTTTTACATAGGTGACCACAATTCACATGGGTCATACTGTATAATAAAACAAAAAATACATAGAACATTTATTAAACACACGTATTACAAAATAGGCATAAATTTTATTATGTATAAGTTGTGGTATACTTGTATGTAAACTCGGTATTATATTAATAAGTAATGAATCAATGAAATTCAGGTTTGCTTGTGTGCAAATGATTTAAAAACTATAATATTTAATCTATACTTATTGTGTTTACCTGAGTTGCAAATGAAACACTCACTTTAATGACAAAACTAAGCAAAATAGCGCAAATGCAGAGTAGGTCCTACTTTATGAGAGAAAAATTTGTGTTTTGAGTCAAAACTGACTGCCACTCCTCGACTATCGTTAATAATTATACAAACAATCGGATTATAGGTTCATCTATCCGTAATTTCTATTAAAAATAAATATGACGATTACATCGACCACCAATCCCTTCCCAATTCTCTTCCGTTTGCCGATTTCTTTTTTCAGGGACGCAAATAAATAAATTGAAAATTAACATAACCTGACTTATTCTTCTTCCACTTCTAAATATCAAAAACTTAGATTAACTATGGTAAATTAAGGAAAGGAATGCATCCATGTATCGCATTACATAATAATTATGAATGTTGATTAGGCATGTGTAACGTTAACTCCTGAATATACCTACTTGTACCCTCCTATATTTTAGGCTTGGAACGTCAATTAAATATCAGTTTAAGAAAGGACTATCGTGCTTTAATGGAAGAAGATGAACATGGAATTAACCAATTCTCAAAATGATTTATGTGTTGTCTTCCACGGATTTATTTTATACTTTGATAATTCTGTGGTGGAGCATTGCACGTGGCGGTTTAACCTCCGCTCGCTGTTGGCAGTATGATTCTGTTTCGGAAGTGTGTGGTGATAATTTTTAAGTGTTTAAGTTCAGCCGGCCCCGCTGTTTTTTTGGTATCGGTCAAAATCGTTTTTTGCTAGCTTAGCAAATTTTGGTTATATTTCTTCTTTGTACGTGTCGGTCATTGACCAAAAGCGAAAACCCTAGACGCAAGTCGGCAATGGACAAATGATCCTAGCAGTTTCGCCCAACAGTTATTGTGAAACGTATTGTACTATTAAACTTGAATTGGTTTTTAAAATGTTATTCGAAATTTTGAAATATAGGTGCTAGCTTATTGAACGCAATATTCTACCCTTAGAAGAAATTAACCGAAACAAGAAGATCCAACTACAGAAATGAACTCAGGTCTGAATACTTATTTATGATAAATTTTTTGCCTAGAATCTTACAATTCACAAAATAACGAAATTATAAAAAAAAGAATGATAGAGAGTGAATGAGTAGATAGATAGATACATTTGAAAAAACTGATGAACAACATGTCGTTAACCTAGGCAATTGATTATTGTTTGCTACTATTTTGTTGTTCTTACACATCTTTTTTCAAATATGTCTTGTGATATTTTCTTTTTATCTATTTTTTGTTTCTAACATGCGACTTTTTTTATGGCTATTCCTTAATAACATGGAAGCTCACAGAAAGTGTTGCTGTGTCCTCAATTGTGGAGATAAAATATCTACAAGGCACTACGCCCAAAAAAGGCTAATAATTAAACAGAATTATAAAAATTTCCTGATAAATATACAAGTGTTATTCAATATGTAACCGTTATTCTTCAAAACAATTTGAAAAATAATGTTGTTGCTAGGGGGAGTATTAATTTTTGTGCTACACTAAAGGTTCAGTGCTACATTGGAGCATTTTCAAGCGAATGTTACTGTTAAAAGTGACAATATTGGAAATAATTATGTATTCATCTCCAAGATTCTGGTAGAGACAGCCTGGAATTTTGTTCTAGGGACTAGTGATCCATTAAGAAATCATCCACCGGGGACAAGCCACTTGCTTAAATCTGCTCTTTTAAACGACAACATTGCAGAAAGGACTCAGTAAGTAGTAATTTAGTCTTTAGTAAAGGGTGGACACTCAAAAGTTTTTTGTTTGATAGAAATTCTCTGTCAAACAGTTGTGTTCCACAAAAACTTGTAACAATTGGCAATCATATTAATGCAGGATCTTTGGTATTTGCTGAGCCTATCAACTATATAAGTAGAGCAGAACAGTTTAGTTTGGTGAATCAGACAAATAAAGGCGAGAGTGACGCAAAAGTGGAAAACAGAGAAGATGTTATTGAAATAAAATATGAACCTTTGTTAGATGATGATGAGGATGATATGCCTAGCCAAGAAGAAACTGAGATCATAATTCCTAATACCACAATCTCATGTGGCAAAAATCAACACGTTAAAAAAATAACCAAAACCGCACCACCAAAAGGAGAAGTGGTTAATCAGGTACAAATAATATTCATTCCGTCAGACAAGGATAGTCCAAAAGAGAGACTACTAAAGAGACAACTACAAGAACTGGCTGAGATAGATCTATTGAAATCTAAAAGAATCCGGCTGTTGCAAAATCTTGTATGGAGGCAAAAAAAAGAAATCGAACAACTTAAACAAAAAAACAACAATATAAGTTAAAATATTTAGCAAAATATGTGATATATTTTTAAAGTTAAATAAATGTTCATTTTAAGCACTATTTTGTTTTGTTGATTGTATTGTTACACAAAGAACATTAAAAAATTAATGAATTAAATGAGTATAATAAAAGAATTGAATTGAGGCCAAATGGGGCACTTCAGTTTCCACAAGGTGTTGCAAAATTTTCATATATTAGGGGAACACTAACTAGCAAAAAGTTGATATAATATTGATATCACCGAAATTGGCTGAAAATTTATACTCCATTGATTAAAAAATCAATCAATCAATATTTTCAAATTTTTTGTTAGTTATGGTTTTCCCGGTGCGATAGATTCGATTCAGTGGGTCTTTGATAATCTAAACAATCTAGTGTAAGGTAGCACCAAGCCAAGTTTGTCCAAATCAATGAGGACCTGCAAAAGAAATTTAATTTTTAGAGTCGAACAAGGTCATTATCACATACTTGCCTTTTCGATTGGATGATGGCCAACTAATCTCTCTTCCACAACCAACACTTCAAGCTGTTTGCTATCAAACTCGTCTTGGGGTATGGCGTATTCGAAAGTTTCATCAAACACGGGATTTTTGCTGGTTTTTACAATCTACAATATCATTCGGCGTGAATAAAAGAGCATATAAGAAAATGTAAGTTACATGTTATTTAAGACTATAAAACTTACACGCACCTTAGTTTTTCTCTTAGTTTCCTTATGTCTTTCTGGAAGTATGTAAATTTTCACGTAAACGCTTTTTGTGTCGTCGAAATGCAAGTCCCTAAAATAGAAAGATTATAATCACTTAATGTCAACATATAAACGAACTTTACCTATTTTTATTTTTTTGCTTTTCCGTTTTTTCATTAGCTTCCGAATTCTATAATCCTCATAACAAATTCAAAGTTTTAGTTTTTAAAAAGTGAATATAATAAGACGGATTTCGTAAAAATCAAAAATCAGACTTTATCTTTGAAGGCTGTTTTGATTGTTGTTGATAGTCACCATTAAAAATATATCATCTTAATCGCATCCATCCTGAAATGCTTTCGATTATTTTGTTCGTATCGGAGCAAACAAACGTAAATCTTATAATAATGCATCAAAATTTGAGTTTTTTGTCAGGGTCTCTCCTGTAAGGTACATATTGTCATAATGTACAGTCCACGTCCACCAACAGTAGATAATAAATAGTTTTTGAGACGCAGGACGACTGCATTTAACTTTTAGATAAAAATTGTTATTCATCAATGTCTTTTAGCCGTAAAAGTATGCTTGATAAGATTTGAGTTTGGCAGCCATTTGTGAGATACCGATATGGACTTAAACTTGAGTTCCAGATTAAATATATACATGAAGATTTCCAAGGGACGGCTGCTTACCAAGGGAATAAGTATTTTTTTATCTAAAAGTTAAGCAAAGTATGTCCCACAAAAGTTTTGAATAAGTGAAAAGTAGGTATGACAGGCATATAGCTAGTGATATATAGAGGGCTCGGCAATGCGTTTTAAAGGCAACATGAAAAAATGTTGAGAAGGAACATTCCATATCGATTAATGTCAGTATGTCAAAAGCACTAAGACCTTTCTACGTACACAATTAACATGGCCGCTGACAGTTTTCAGTGGATGTCACTTTTTGGCAGCATTTTGCAACTCCGATAAAAAAAGATAATCCGGCGAACTCGCACTGGTCACTCAATAATAACTTGGGGTGGGTGTGTACTTACTCGATGTGATGGACCGTAACCACAAGAGTTTGTCGCTGCACGCTGTACCTCAAAGTGAGTTTGATTTTTCCCTTCGAAAGAATATCTGTCCTGAAATTAACGTATTATCACCGGCCGTGACTATATATAGCGATCTTAATTATTAATTATTGTTAACAAGAAATCTAAAATTAAAGCGGTCATATTATATTTATTACCCATGGATTATTTCCATTGTCGCGATTTTTACACCCGCATATACCAAGCGATTAAATTTTTTGTCATAGTACTTCGGGTCTGCGTAATCTCGGTTATAAACACGAGTGCTTATTATCTACGATTAAAGATGTTTTGATAAGTAACGTTTTCCTGTGAAATTAATTAATTAGTTAATAAGCGCGACCTAAAAAAAACCTTTGGGACTTTCCTAGACCATGAAGATCCAGAAAATCGTGCTTGCCCAACTGACGAGAAGTCTTTCAGTTCAACAAAATTTTAGTCTTTTTTATGACGTAATAATATACGAAATGTTAATTAAGTGTACTCAAAATTACAAGAGGGTGTGGCTCCAAAAGACCACAGTTCTTGAGATAAAGGATGTTAACTTACTTTGATATAAATAGACGCACACTTTGGCTAACCAAGGGCATTCCAACGTCAGCAAGAAATATGAAATCAATTATAGGTAAATAAGACTGACGAAAACAGAAAACGTTATAAAAAAATATAAAGAAATACAAAGGAGTGGTTAGTGCTGCAAAAAGAAACTATTTTACTTTAAAAGATGGTTAAAATTATTCAGTTACACAAGAAGGATGATCGTAAAGTTATGGAGAATTATCGTCATATTTTGCATTTAACTTTTGTCTCCAAAATCTTCTTACATACTTTCCACACGGGTTTACACAAGGCAAAAACAATCAACCCGCTCTGCTACATATTCTAGAAAATTTTTATCTAAATCCTATATCTAAATTTCCAATTAAAAATGTTTCAAGTAGTAAAACTCTCAAAAAACTACGATGAACCTTTTTAATAGAAAATTGTTTCTATTTAGTATAGATTAAGAATCTTAACATGTAGTGTTAAACTTATTGGTTGTGAGACCTGCCTGTCAAGTTATATATATTTTGCAAGTTTATTTCCTTTTTGTATCAAGGTTTTTCTAAGTACTCAATATATTTTTTTTAATTCTGAAAAGGCTCCAGCTTTTCTATATTTGATTTAATTTAATAAAGTTTATTTTTTTTCCGAAAAATATTTGAAGTTATGTGGGTAGTAGATAAACGATAAATAATAATAATATAAACAATAATACGTGTTTTAAATATATAAAAATCACATTATTAAAATGTTCCAATATTCAATATTCCATTTTTTGTACTCACATCTTATTAAAAAAATAAAGAGTTATGTAGGTGGCGCCCCGTACATCTGTATAATTGTTATTTGTTAAGTATCCAAAATATTATAGAAAAAATGTTGAAAATGCAAAAAACCAATTGAGGTATTTCTCGCTAGTATAAGTCAGCATCATTTCCGACGTGAGAAACGCGGCCTATAATTTAAGAGATCCCCAGATAGAACCTTTTGGAACTCCTCGTATAGATACGGCAGTTTAACCCAAGCTTCAAATAAGCAGCGACGCGTATTATCTGAACGGAAAATATTAAATTGATTGACATTTCACCATGAACAAACCTCTTGTTATTGAATCGGTTCATAGATTACAATATCGATATACGTATGTATCTGATTTCCCGGAATATTAATATTGGAGTCCAATAAAAACTGATTTTCGTGACTATACTAACTCATTTTCATCATCAATTTAAAAAAAATAATAAAAATCAACACTAGTCAGAAACCCAACTAAAATAATGTTATATTAACAATTGATCTACAATCCGGCAACGTGGCTTGATTGATGAGGGGTGGGGGAATACGGACCAATTCGATTAGAGTAATTCACACTCGTAAGTATGATAGCAAGTATAAATGCCGTACTCTGTGGGAACGAAATAAAATCCTGCTTAACAGTGAAGTAAAAAACTAACTAAATTGCAAGATGTCTCATGTATCCAACCAATATTTCAAAACTTTTCGTACAATATTTCTTTATATTGTCAAATAAGAAGTCTCTGAAGTTTTAATTCATAATATAAAGCGCAATGTCCTACAACTCCATATTGATAACAAAATTAAGAACAAATGCATCTCAGGGTTTATGTGTTGTTGCTCATTTTGTTATTTTTTACGCTTATCAGAAAAGCTATGTAGTTGTTGTTCCAACCCCGTCGAACATTAAGAGTGATACCGCAATTTAGGTTCCCTCATTTATTTTGTCGTTGTGATTTTGCTTAGTATACCGCGCATGCTACATTTCACACACTAACCTGCACTTTGCGCCATTTTCTTTCTAAACAACGATTTCCACACACTGAACTGATTTTCCTAGAACATTTAGCAAGATCTAGGAATATTTTATGAAAATATGCCCGTAAAAATGCCGCATCCAAATTTATTGACGATTTGTCAGCGGCCATGTTGGTTGTTCAGTGCCCCAAGGTCATTGGTTAACGAGTTTTTAAATCTCGCGCATGCTCATGTTTAATGGACCTTCTCATTTTTTTTCATAGTTGCTTGATAAGTATTGCCGGCTTTAGACAGATGCTCTATATCTCTAGTAGCTACTACCTATATGGGAAAGTATGTAGAGGAAGATGTCCATGACTTCTAACTAATGGAATCAAACAGATGGATAACGGGTAGTTGAGTATTTTTTATGTACGAATTAAGTTCCCTTTGAAAAAATAGGCAACTCAACTAACGTAATCGTTAGTCATAATAATAATCGCGTTTCGATATCTACCTTAAAAACGCAAATCCACACAATTACATCTGACTAATACACACAGTGCGAGCAAAAAATCGAGATAAGATAAAAATTTATAGCCAGTATTATAGGATATCAATTTGAGAACTCAAAACAAAGCGTGAAAAACAGTGTCAAAATCTAAAATGGCAACGGACGGTTTAACAGACGATTTTCAAGAGATAAATTTGAGGGATACTGAAATCGAGTGCCGGACGAGACCGGAATCGGATCAGGTCGCGAGTAGACCCTCAAAAATTAAACAAATATGGAAAAGATCGATCGCCAGGGGTCACAGGCGACACACGACCACCCCGTACGTCGAGAAAGAGTTGTTGAAGTGTACGATATCGGGCCCGACCAATTTCGGTAAGGTGGATCTCCTCGAAGATCGGTTCAAGTTTTCACGACACTCGATACAAGCTTGTCCGTTCGACATTGACGGGTACGGTGGCTTGATAATGAGGGACGAGTTTAAAGTGTCCAGACCGAAGAAAATGAATTTGATAGTATTTCTTTTTGAGAAAATTATCATATTTACTAAGGTGGGTAAGTAGGAGTCACGTTTTTCCCCTTTTTCACGGTTAAATCATACCGTCACTACATTGGGGTACTAAATCTCTCACTTTCAAACCCTTGGATCCACGTAGTTGACTGCGCCCGCACTATTTGAATCTCGAAAGTACGTCCTTAAAATGAAGAAATTAATATATATTTGCAGATTTTTTTTATCTGTGCTCTTAAAAACTAGTGTAAATGCTTTTTATTTACTCGGTTACTAGAGCATTCGATTCGGGTAACTAGGATATTTCGATATTTGTCCAATAATAATGTTGTTTGCAGCCGACCGAAGAAGATTCGTTTTACTACTTCGGCAGCATCAAAACGGATCAAGTATCCTTATTACCACCTGATAGGCGAAAGAACGTACTTCGGTTAAAAGATCACGTGAACAGCATAAAATTTCACAAAGATATTGTCTTCAAATTGGAAGCATCTTCCGAATACACGCAATTGAAGTGGCGGACTGCGATCGAACGGTGTCTGTGGACTCAGCTTTTAAAAGCAAAAGAGCAAGTGGCTAACCTGTGATTTATAATACTCATAATTAATTTATTCTGTCATTTGTAAATAGTGTACTTCATTCGTTACTGGTTTTGAGATTAAACGGAGTTGTTATTGTTTTAATTGGTTTACTTTTTTAATCAAATATGTCTGGTTTAGAATTGCATATCTCACCTCGTTCCACATGCAGAGTATAAATTTCATTGAATTATCTAAGGCGCATGTGCGAATTGGGCCAGGACTCATCTAAATTCAATTCAAAACACAGCTGGGGTTATCGGATATATATAAGCACCACCACATATATATATATATATATATATATATATATATATATATATATATATATATATATATATATATATATATAAGTACCACTACAGGATTAACCAACAATTTTAAAACATTTAACTTAAATGAACTTTAATGAAAAATAATTCCAAATCAACGGTTTAGTTTAGCACCAAAATCAGATTTATTATTTTGGTCTGTTTTTTGTTTTTTTTTTTGAAGTTCTATGTTCTATAGTTTTGTTGGTACACTAACGGAAATCAAACACAGAGCAATGTTAAAAAATTATATATTTCGTAATTCGAATGTACAAATCAAATATGAATAAACCACTAACCAATCACACGACCGCCACATTTTTGCTATAAAATAATTGGCATTCCAAATAATCAACCTGGAAAACAATGTGACAAGCCATTAAATCAGATTAATTGCCCGGAGTTGGAACATTGAGAAGTAAATTTTGCCCACCAGGTAAATATGAGACCTGTCTTGATCTTGAAAGTTGGTAAGCGATATCTTCTGCGGCTTCAATTCTCCTAAGTTCTACTAAGCCCTCGCCGGCGTCGCCGAAAGCCTTGGCTAATAATGTAGCAGCCTGTGCATCGCCCTCGGCGGATATTACTGTGGCTTTTTTAGTTTGCTCGGCCTTTTCCACCAAAAATCTAAAACAAAAAATTACTTAAAACATTTTTGAAAAGTTGAACAAACAGAATGAACATGCACCTGGCCTTTTCAGCTTCTTGTTGCGCCACTTGTTTTAATTCAACAGCGAGAGTAAACTCTCGTCCAAATGTCAAGTGTGTAATTGAAATATCATCTAAAATAACCCCAAACTGGGATGCTCTTTCAGTTAAATCGTCACTAACTTTTTGCGATACTAAATCTCTCTGAGTAATTAATTCACCGGCATCAAATTGAGCAACCACAGCCTTTAAAACTTCAGTTGTTATAGACGGTAAAACTCTTTCCTCATAGTCTTGGCCAAGTACGGTGTAAATTTTTGGTAACTGATCTGGTACTGGTCGGAATAAAATACGAAGTGTGATATTGACATTTTGGAGATCTAGGGTACAAAACTGTTAATAAAACGATAACTACATATCTTAGGTACATTTACCTTTACTTCCTGTGACAACTGGCACATTTCTGGGTCTAGACCTAACATCAAAAATAATGGGTCTCTGTACCCAAGGAACAAAAAAGTGGGTTCCTTCTCCAATTACTTGCTTTTTAATACCAGCAAATCGGTCAAAAATTACTGCTCTATGTCCCCCATCAACTAAAAGAAAAATTTAAAATAAACCATAATTCTGCAATTTTCTGTTCACTATTACTTAAAATAATCATGATTAAGGATAAAATAATACAATTAAAAAATCTAATTGTACGGTAATAGGGCACATTTTCATTGCTTCGAAAATTGCACTTACCATTGTACAATGCCGAATTTACAACTCCCCCAACCAAAGCAATACCTAAACCTACTTGACCAATTCGGTTAAACAACTGCGAAGCAGACATATTTCGTGGTGTTTAGCAAAATTACACTCGAAATTTCCAAAGTTTTTGGCCAACCTATGGAAAATCGTGTCCGCTGATCAAAAAAAGTGAGGTTGGGATCTGCTTCTTCTCTATTAGAGGCTAATTTTATTAAAGTCATACGACCAGTCTCTTAAATGGTATCTCATATCTTGTATTACCTACATGTAGACGGTAATACCATAGCACCTTATTTCGTGTCACATTTAATTTTGCGATGATTTTTTAAATTTGCGATTTCCATTACCTTTCCCAATAATGTATCAATATGTAACAGAAATTTCAGTGTTCTACGAATGCCTTTGTTGTAATAAAAGGACGCTGTGTTCGTTATTCGTATGATCAAACTTCTTGCACTTTATTGTTCATTAAAAGATTTGGATGTTGGGGGAGGTAAATTTGATTTAAAAAGGGTTTGGTGAATTGTTGCATTTTCCTCCGGCCGTGCGTTAATTGCAATTTGCTCAGACCACTGAATTATACCTTACTACATATAGGCAATGGCATTAGTTGAAAATACGTTTTGTCTTTTGTACCGAACGCAGCATCAGTTCCGTTCCTTGCACAGAATAAATACGACCAAGATTATTGGTGTTTTACTGGTATCTTTCTATTAGTTCTCCCCACAGTAAAAGGTCTGTGTTTTCTGCTTTTCTGAATGGTTGTGGTTTCATACATTGCTCAGGAATTAGCGTCAATTCATAACTTATTGCGATCTGATGTATTTGCTTTGAGAAAGAACTTTTTCGCTCCGCTCTGGTTCATATTTGGTTGACAGTAAAAAACAATTAACTTCAGTAATCTTTATTACCCGGTATGAAAACTTAATAATTATGAGTTCTGCCCCGTTATTATTTGCTTGTTCTCGATGCTTTACTCGCCATCCCTTCGAGGAATTATCTGCAGGTCAACAGCTTTGCAAAGTAAGTCTAGAAGGTGCTTCACCTTTTAAATGGTTTTAAAAATATAAACACGCCAATAGCATTCCTGCAGAAACAAATAGTTTGTCGACTAGTTAACTACGTTTTAAGGAATATTTTAACCTTACATTTTAGTACAATTTAATTTTTAAGGATTCTTTTTTGCAATTATTTAATTTTCATTGGTATAAGCAAAGGTGTTCTTTTTCAGGAATGTCGTGGTACTTTTCCAGTGGTGAAATGCACATATTGTCGCTCAGAATTTCAACAAACATCGAAAGGTAGTACCAGCGCAATTTGTAAGAAATGTGAACAGAATGTTAAAGCGTATGGAAAACCCACTGCCTGCGAGTATTGTAACATAATAGCAGCTTTCATAGGTAATAAATGCCAGAGATGCACAAATTCAGAAATTAAATATGGCCCTCCTGTGAATTGCGAGCAGTGCAAGCAGAAGTGCGCATTTGACCGACATGATGATGACAAAAAGGTAATATAAGGTAGACAGTTATTAGTGTTGTCTTAATTTAGAAAGATCACTTTTGGTAGGTTGATGGGAAATTGTTATGCTGGCTTTGTACCTTATCATTCAAAAGGGCACTGGCCAAAACTAAACAGGGGGATGCAGAACGCAGAGCTACATTAAAACGGACGCAAGGTCATAAAAAGAAAGATGGAAAGTGGGTGATAATTTGTAAAGTGGTGCAAATTTATTTTATTTAAGGCGTTCCATTTTTATAGATTACGTAGTCACAGTAAACGACCCAACCGACCTGAGATCAAACTGCCGATTCCAGACGGGCAGCCTCCTGTTAAAATGGCTAGAAATAATTCTGTACCTGGTGTGGTTGGATCTGACTTAGATCCCAATAGTTCCGATCATGTTGTCGCCATGACACAACTCAGAGAGCAAATTGCTAGTTTGAAAAAGCAAATTGTTCAGAAAGATGCACAACTACTAGGCAAAGATAAACAGGTAAGCACATAAAAAGCACATTAATTAAATAAAAAATAGCATGAAAATATTATTATTATTATTTTTTATTCTTTAGATTACTGAGTTGAAGGCGAAACATTTTACAACCGAATCAGAATGGAGAGCTAAAATGAAAACCAACCAAAAGGAACATGACGATAAAGTTGACAGCCTAAATAAACGTGTTGCTGGCCTCTTGAAAGAAGTTGCGGGTCTTTCCAAGTCGGCCAAGAAAACCAACAAGAATATTACCATTACAAATTCAGATGCAAATAACAGCAGCGGAACGGACAGCCCCAGCGTACCATAGAATGCATGATATTTATGATGTTTATGTAAATAATGGTAAGAATTGGTTTCATTTTTAATTTTCTGTATTTCTTGTCCTTTCATCATTTGTTTTTTTGAAAATTTATTTTGAAGGCAACAAAACATATTTCTGGAGGGTTGATGAGAGGACAATATTGGTTATATCAAAGTGTTTTATTATACCCAGGAATTTTCTTCTAGGGTTATATTTATTTGCAACCGCTGTAATTTGTCCTAGAAATTTTTATATTAAATAAATCGTCAAGAAAATATTCGTAAGGGCGTTCTTTTTTAAAATTCGTGTTTCGGTCGCCACCCCAAAGGAGACCAGACAAGCCTTTCGCCTTGCCATGTTTCAAATTTGTCATTTGTTTGTGTGAGAATGGAACTTTGAAAAGGTCAACTATTAATTTATTTCATAAGAATTAAGATTAAGCGCTTTGCTCAGTGGGAAATGCACTAAAATTCCGATTCTTTAAACTTTCATTATTGTCAATTTGTCAATGTTGGATTTGAGATTTGCGTGTTTATGATTCCTGAGAGAACTGATTGGTCTGTTGAGCTCATAGAACAAATTCTTAATATTATCCTAACCTCATTTCTCATGGTTAATAAACTTGTATAACGCGATTGGATAAAACCACAGTTTTTTACCATTTTATCAATAGCTTGTTCTGTCTCTTTTGGTTTTAATGTCGCTGGTAGGGATGAACAGTGTTATACCAGAAAAAAAACTCGATCCTGCCCGTTATTCGTTTTTAACAGTCTCACATTTAATTGTCGAGATGAACGGAGGTTGCACGGTAATACAATGGATTTTAAGCACTTCAGACTGAAAAGTTATTCGGGGGAATATGAAATATTTCGAAAATTTCCTCACATAATTATTTCAAATATAGGAACGCACCTATATAATCAAAACTAACTATGTCGACGCTTTGCCTGTGTACAGAATATAGGCACCAGCATAAAATATTATCGAGACAGTTTAGGCATTCAATATGCGTATGCGTTAGTCATTTCAGACTGCGCCTTCAACCAATAAGATCTCGCGGCGTTCAACAATCAACATGGCCGCTGAAAGTATGTCAATTCGAAGATTACTTAAGATGTTTTCAGGGGAAAAACAACTTAAGTATGCTATTTAGGAATAATAATAATAATAATTTCCCTTCTGTAGAAAAATGTAATAGCAGTGTGAGGGACATCAAGTATTTACCGCACTAATGTTATCTAATGGCTATAAAACCCTTATTTTTCTTATTCCGACGAATCTATTCAAAGATTACATTTTTACACGTATCTATACCGGGTGACCTATTGCGAGTATCAGAAGAACGAATACCGAATTTATTTGATTAGCTACATCTGTGATGACGTCACACTCCGATAAAACTTAAACTATATTCCGGTGTGTCTCCAAACCTTGTCCGCAAAGTAAAAGAGGTAAATTTCAATTTTAAGAAACAATTTCTAGCATATTTTTTTAGTAGGTTTGTTTTCCGTTACAATACAGAGCGTTGTTTTTTACCATCCGCTACTCTAAAATACGATAGATTTTAGTCACGGATGGTCATTTGACGATTGTTAGCTCTATAGAAACCCAACACATTGATGTACTTCTTCAGGCATTCGTCTAAAGTGGCAGTTATTAAAGAAGTTTTAATTAAAAAAAGAAACTAACAAAAGTTGTAGTTTGCTTTTATCAGTGTATTCCAATTTTCATAACAATGAACTTAAAACAAAAAATACAAAATTTCCGTCTAAATTTTGGCTAGAATTTGACTCTGTCAATTTAGGCTAGGAAACACTCCGTATAAAGGGTGTAATTCGCTCTCACATTACTTTTTATAAAACTTCTGGACTCCTCCTGCGTTGGTTTTTGTTGAGTCTAACTTACTACCGTTTCGCCAATCATCCTGTCGGCTTCTTCAAAGTTTAATTGAAACTGTTAAGTTTAAATTTCAGTTAAGAAATTAACAAACTCAACAACTCAACAAAAACCTACGCAGGAGGAATCCAGAAATTTTGTAAAAAGTATTACAGTGGCCTGTGGAAGTTTCTTTGAAAAAAAAAAATTATCACGTTTTTTAAAATTTCAGTGCTTATCAAGTTAGAGGTTATGTGAAACGAAACGTGATCGTTGTAAAAATTTATTCAGCTACGTTTCCGCGAAAAATGATGGTTTAATTGGGACACGCTGTTAATGTTGTATTCCCTACTCCGCCGTAACCTTTACCCGTTTTCCTTAATTTTTGTTAAAGGGTTTATTGCGCCCATGTTTAAATTCGTATAGAAAGCCGGATATATTAGTTTTATGCCAAGATAGACTTGTTTTCCGTTGTTCTACTACTTCTAAAATTCCCTCTTTGAATTGCTTTGGAACGATGTTTCGATCAAAAAGAAAGATTGATTGATTGATTTCTGAAAATAGGTGTAAGCAATGGTACCTACGTATACAAATAATCAGATTCAATATATAGAAACATCAAAGACGTCATTTTTTCGAAGAAGCAACAACGTCGCTTTGTGGAAGATATTTTAAATTGCTAGATCGCAGTCGTAAATAACCTGCTATTATACATCCTACTTTTTTTTATTCATAAAAGTCTAGTTGGCCCGCGAATCACCCCGTATATTTGGCAGCCAGGATATCCGTAATGAATTTTTTTTGCAAAAATATTTATATTTTTTAAGTATACTTTTAAAATATTATATTATATTATTTATACAAGGTGTAGAGAAGTAACAGGTTTCTTATTTTTATTCGAACACCCTGCTAGTGAGTCATTTTTAAATTCCTCTGGATTTTTTAGACATATTTTATATATCTGTTGTATACTTGGGGTTGATTTCATTATAGAAAGCAATCTACTTCAATGGTTGATATTTTGAAAATAAATATTATTTTAATTTTAAAAAATATTTAAATAAGTTAAAATGTTTTTATAAAGTTAACGTGATAAGGTTTTAAAACGTTTTTTCAATGTGACAATGCAATGACGACGTAACACGTCATAAAAAAAACAATAGAGAACTTCAGAAACGTCATTATTTTAGCTTACTGTGAGTTTGGAAATCCATTTTTAAAAGTTTTATGTCACCTCACCCAGTCATTTTTTTTGTTATTTTAACCCAAAAAATTGATCTCTATCAAACGTTTTTCTTAAAAAAACTAAATAATGGGAAAAGTGCTAATAGTAAAGTAAACAAATTAAAAAGGCAATTTAGAAAAAAATATGTCAAAATCTGATTTTTTTTTATAGAAATTTATACTTTTTATACAATAGTTTTTGCATAATAGGGATGAAGTTTTTATAAGTTTATAGTCTTCATTTAAAACAGTGTTTGTGTGTTCTGGATATTTTTTGAACAATGTTTAAAAATGTTTTTGACAAAATTTGTTTCATTTTTAGAAATTAATCAACAAACAATTTAACAACAATTACACAATTCTCTCTATATATAGTGCTGATAAAAACTATGGAAGCTTTTAATAATGTTTATATATATTAATGTATGAAGTAAGCTTGAGCATAAATTAGGAGAAGTTACTGATATACTATGTTTAACAAATATAAAGAAACGTTTATGGTTGAAAATAAGTATGAAATTTCTTTATAAATTGTATTTTAAAGTAAGCAGTGTTGATACTACAGTGCAAATAGTTATTTTCATCTAGAATTATAGTCCGAGCCGGGAAGACATCAAAGGATTGATGAAATGACTTTCAAAATATTGAAACCCCCGAAAATCACCCAGACAAAGTAATAATTAAATCTCGAAATAGTTTTGGCATTGAAATAACCCGTAGAGCGATAAACGATTCCGTTTAATCAACGGAGGTCTTCATGGAATATTTGCTGTTAAAAAACCGCTTCCCTCTAAGAAGAATCGAGAGGCCCGAATGGCCACAACTCTACTGTAAAACATAGAGGAGGGAACGTAGTGGTCTGGGGATGTTTTTCTTGATCTGAGACAGACAAGTATAGAGAAAAACGGATAGATTTCAATACAAAGAGATATTGGAAAATCAAATTGTAGCAGAGATGCCATCCAAGACAGTAAAAGAATGATTTATAATGGGAAAACATAAAGGCCGTCCCAATCGCCAGATCTGAATCCTATTAAACATCTTTGGGATGTTTTGGATCGGGGTATTCTAATGAATTCCAATATTAAAAATCAACAGGAACTCTTTAGTATTTTGAATCAGAAAAACTGCAAAAGTTTCTATACTTATTTCCAGTTTTTATTTGAAATTTCTTTAAAATCTAAAAATATGACATAATTTGCAGAAACAGATGTGCTCAAGATATTAAAAAGTTTCTATTCTTTTTCTTTTTTTTTTTCATCAAATGCCCATTATAAGATATGAAAAATGCGGTATTTCCATTTGAAAAAAAAATTATAACGATTTTTTCATTTAAATGTTTAATGTTATATTTTGATCACCCTGTATTTATTTATTTTTAAAATATCACAACATACCGCTAAAATATATGTACAAACAATATATAAACAAATTAACCCCATATATCTGGCAAAGGCTTTCAATCGGATAAATTAATGTATATGCAAACTTCTCTTTTAAGAATAATACTGGTATAGATTATTATACATGAAATATGTCGAGAAGGTTACGAGGAAATCAAAAATGCCGTAGTATATATGGTGTTATATTTAATATAAGAAAATCGATACTACCACGTATATAAAGCAATATAATATATTAATAATATCTAAATCTTTTCGTTTTCGTTACACGGTCTGACATAAGTGATTATCCCATATTAAACGGACCGCCCCGTACTATGATCCACTGATAGATCGTGAGTAATTCGACCAATCGTTTATTTTAATCGGTATTTACCTGAAAAATTGGTCGCTGCGTAGGTAACGAAATACGAAATTTCATCGACGTGTTCCGCCGCCGGCTTTGTCTGTATTCTGTTTGCCGCGCTTCAGTGTGACAACCAGAATCGTTAAGGGGCATTGACGATGGGCGGCGCGAGGTGCGGTGCACGACGCGGCCCTTACCATAGGCGCGGCATCGGGGCAATTTCGCACCGGCGACCGTCATTTTAATTCGCGTCAAATTTGGAAAATTCGCGGTTTTCAAAGGACCTACGAAACTTTTGGTGTTCTATGTCCGGCGAAACAAAAGTAACCCTTGTATCGCGCACCCTCTATAAAATAGGAAAACGGTAAATGCAAAAATTGACGCTCTCGACGAGACCTTAAAGTTACGGCCAATAATTTATTTTTTGCTCATTACTGCGACAACCTGAAAATTTTTGAGTAATACTAATTTTTTTTGTGTTATTTCCGCAAGTCTCGCGCGTTTTCTAGTTCAACAATTTTTTTGATCGAACATACGGTTCTCCAGGTTTTTCGGTCCGGAAAAAATGATTCAAAATTATTAAAAAAATACTTTGCGGTACTTGATCCCGACTAGTTTCGATAGGATGAATCTGGGGATGGCAGTCTAACTTCACATTTCAACCCGATAGCTCGAAATTTCGGGCACTTACTTTGAATTATAACCACTTTCGCATCACGGCCAATGTTAGCCAACAAAAATGGCTGTCGGTTTCGGATGGCCTTAATATTTTGCTGGCCATTGCGGATCGGCTGGTACTAGAACGTGGGGAAACTTAGCTGTAATAGTTCGAATGTTATTATTCTTCAAAAACCTGTCGAATGTTCGTTACGGAGAACAGAGAAAAGAAAAAAGTTTTTAGTTACCCAGATCTCGAGTTCAGTGTAGAATGTATGTAGGATTATGCATTGCATATTGTAAATTTGTAATTCTCAAATCCTAACCTCGTATTTCGCTTTACGATAAAGCACGTTTGCGCCATTTTACCAATTAAAATTTGAATAATTCTAATGTCACTATTTTTGTTGCGTTTAAGATTTTTATTTGCCAATTGCGGAATTCGAATGAGTTTACTTGTTTCTTTGACTCGATTCATGCTTTACTTTAAAATTTCTGAAAATAAATATTTAAGAAGATAAATTCAAAAGTTACGCACTCAGGAATTTTAAGAAAAAGTTTATATAAATTCATTAACTTAGATGTCCAATAATAAGCTGAAAAAATGAAAATGAAGTCGAGGTTTTTGTAGTTTAATAACGCCAAAAATACAATGACAAACAAAAGCAGAATCAAGGCCCTCCGTTTTTTTTTTTAATGACGGGGGTTCTTTGAGATTTAGATAATATTAAATTGGTTTTTGAATTTTGCAAGTGAAGAACAGACGGGACAAACGATCTAGGTTCACTTTGGGCAAGTTTTAAGATAGAACAGTTTGAAAGTGTCCTATTATTAACCGCCTTATAAAGCAACTATCACCAAAAACATATTTTTAAACTAGAAAATATAACTAACTACATAAAAAAATATGAAAAGCCTGTTTAAATCCGAAAGAAATTTTGTTTAAACTCCTTTTTAGGAAACAGACGTTTCTCTTTTCTGAAAAATGTGGTCGATTTACAGTTTCTGTAGAGGAGAAAAGATGTTTTACTTCTATCAAAAAATGATAAAAAAAGGCATCTAAGTCATTATCACCCCTATTGTTATTACTGGTCGGCAACTCCAAGTAGCAATTTTGTTGTTTTCCAGAGATGCTCTAGGATTGGTTATCGGATTTAGTTCGGTTATTCGTCGTTGGACTTGACGGTTCTTTCATTGTACGTTTGTTTCTCAATCGTTTTGCTATAGACGAAATTAAATCCGCTAGCTGAACTGCCATTTGACGTAATAATCCTGATTTTCCACATTTTGGAGTTAGATCGTTTTTCCAGTGTGTTTTTGGTTAGTGAAAAAATAATGACGAGCTATGGTAGTTATTTCACATTTCGATTATATTAACTTGGATTTTGATTTGCCAGTGATTAATTTGCGTAAATGGAGCTGCAAAAGCATTAAACAAAGTTGAAACAACTATTTTGAAAAATACAAACACGATTTTAATAAGTCATTGAAATTCGATGCCAGTTTATGCCCGGTGTCCTTATTTGTATTTGGTTAGTTTATTGTTTTTGCATTAAAAAAGTGCAACAATAAACTAAAGCTTTGATTTGATTTTTATTGGATTCTAACCTCACAAGATCAAAACACATGAATACCCATATTAGGGTTGCCAACCGTACTATATATATACCAATTTATTGCATGTCAGCTTAAACGTACTATACACTGTTTCGAGTCAATCTGTAATGCACAGTCCAAAAAATTTGTCACTTTCACCTTTATTTCACAAAAGACTACATTTCATCTGGAAAAAGTGAGCGACCCTAGCTCCTACCGAAATAATTGAATTTACTTACATTAGACTGATTTTCACTGACGAAAACACATTCTATTCATTACAGGTAAATTGTGTGAGTTTTCTGCGAATTTTGTCTTTTCTTACAAACCAGGCATCCTATCCAAGTATCCAAATATTCTTTTCAAAAGTCATATTTGGTAAATCGCGGTAAACAATAGAATGAAACATTTTTTTGTTATTTGTTTATGTGTTTTGTTATTGTCCACTTTCATATGTTGCCTTTTTCGAAGAAACATCCGAACAGCCGAAAAAAAAACATTGACCTCGCTACCGCGTGCAAAGATTAACGTTCGATCTTCGAATCGCCTTAAATACTACATTATTCGGTTCGTTCAACTCTCGTACTCGGCAACCGACGCCGCCACTGGTCGGAAACACACCCGGCCGATGAAGGACCACTAACTTGATCCCTCCCCAGACAAGCCAGTCCCAGAATGGCGTGGTTTGAGTTTCGCTCGGCCTGCCACTAGTCCGCGTCGTTTAAATTCGAGGCAGGGAAATTTTCGTCTTAAAAATAACGTTATCACGCCCCGTCGTGATAGCTGTTATCGTTTTGCAAACCCATGTGATCGTTCGGACGTCAATTTTTGTATTTTTGGGATTTCGTATCACGCGAAAACGCGAAACAACGGCGGAGTCAAAGTGTGCGCATGCCGTGACGACACAACCGAAGCACGGTTCACACGATCGGAATATACGTTGCCGTTGCGTTCCGTGCAAATTGTTAAAAATATCGAACAAGGCATTTTAAAAACTGAATAATGTTCGGAACCGATGATGATATCTGAGAGACAAACCGGTAACTTTCCCGAAGAAAACTCGATACAGGTGGGTCTTTAGTAGATGTGTTTGGAAAAGGGCGGGCGTTAACCGTACAATTGTGTCGTGGGTGTTACTCTGTCCGCTGGTGTCGTCATCGAGGAGGCGGAGGTCGCGGACCTTCCCTATTCACTGCTTTCGTGGCCGTCTGTCTGGAAATGCCTACTTTCACGGCGATCGTACTAGCAGATTATTTTTCGCTGTGAAAATACCGTTTACCTACCTATTTATAAGTACGTATCGGGTTAGGAATATGCGGTGCGTTAGTGGGGATACGAAGTAGCTGTACATGTATAACGACAGCGTCGTCCCGATTTTTGTTTAATTTAATTAAAGTACAATAATTTTGGGCAAGTTAATCCAAAAATGAGGTAGGAACCCTTAAAGCAAAAATAATTACAATCTTTTAAACCCTAAGCTATAAAACCTAGGTAACAAATTTCGAAGAAGGGCGGTAATTAGAAGATAATTTTTATTTTATTTTTAAAAAATACTTAATTATTAAGTAGACCTTTTACATGTAGGCAAACCTTTGCATTACATGATTTCTTGTATAATTTACAAGCATTTACATTTCTCGCCCTGTTTTTCAAGAATCTCAAGAAAAAACACTGGACTGGAAAAATCATAACTTTAAAAATTAGCTGCCAATGTCGGATGCTAGATATTCCGATATTAGGAACACAACAGTATAAGAGAAACCGAAATGAATTTACTTTAAAGATTTATTATTTTAAAGAACAAAAGGTACAAAATGACGTAGAAAGAAAAAAAAAGTGGTTATTAACCCAAACATTAACTTCCGTTAAGTACATCCTATCCACTAGCGCTTGAAACTTAACCGTTTTCTGATTCCTCTTAAAATTATTCTTTGTATTCTACTTGACTTGTATTTTTATTTCTTGACTATTTTGGTTTAACAAATGCCGTGGAACTACTTTTGGTTTAGGTTCTTTGGCTGTTATTAAGGCAGTGGCACCATCTTTCTTATTAGTGACCGTGTAAGAACAATTTGGCACAGGTCTAGGTTCTACAAGGTTCTTATCTGTGCCAACCAAAACTATATATCAAATATGTTATGGTAACAGTATTTTTTGGTATCTGCTTCATTTTTTTTACTAAACTATAGGGTACCTATGTATCATCGCTCTCATCTCTGTACGGAAACCAAAAGTGTACGATATTGCGGCACATTAGATCCCTCACTTTATAATTTTTTTTTCAAAGAAGAAAGTTTGGCTTAAACATTTTTATATAAATTAAGGGCTTGAAATTTACTGAGTCCCATCGTAGATAATAAAAAAAATTACTTACCTCTGAGAAATATGACGACACTAAATTGCAAATGTCAAATTTTCAATTTTTTGCTCGGCGCCTGCTCTAACGTTAAAGCCACCCGAGCAAAAGGGCATTTTGCCGCTTCAACCGTATAGTAAAAAATACTTATTTTCTACATAAAAATTATAGTATGATATAATTATAATATATTTAAGAAATCTAACGTGGTAAGTTGGTAACAAAACTAATTTATATAGTCTGTCTAAAACTAAGAGAGAAGGTGCGTCAGTATTTTACCTGCTTTCACTCGTATACTAAGCTTGGCAAAATCCACTCATTTAGCTGACAGTGTTCTACCTTTGTCTATTACGAACCGATACCGTACACTCGAGATAGCACCAATTACCGGATAATTACCGAAGTTTCCTCGACAAAACGCAGTCGCATTTTTGAAAAACTGCTGCCGAAACTCGAAAGGCCGTCTTTAATTATTATGGATAATGCACGATATCATTCTATACTTAGTGAAAGTGTAGAAAATGCATCGACAAGATGCGCAGATTAATTACCCAGAAAGTGGTCTAAAATGTGAGTTGCTAAAAATATTCAAAAATTACAAAAAAAACTTTCCATATGCTACAGACGAAATAATTTCTGAAATGAGTCATCAAGTTTTAAGATTGCCTCCATACCATTGTATATTTAATGCCATAGACTTGATGTGGGCTCAGTGCGAAATATTTTTTAATAAAAATATTGTGAGGCACAATATTTTTATTGTGCAGGTGCAGGCAGTGGTATATATTAGGCAAGCAGCTCTCCAGACAGTTACCCAAGAAAATTGGAGCAGTTGTATAAAACATACAGAAAGTATAATAAAAAAAAATACTGATATTAATGTAGCCGAAGGCTGATTTTCTTTAGTAGCGGTACCTAGTTCCAATTTTGGCTCTGAAAATGTTTCATCGTAAATACAAACTAAATATGTGTACTTCTATATTTACTCTTAGCAAAATATGTTTTATATTTTTTTTATATTTTTTAATTTTCCGATTTTTTTGGTATTTATTTAAGAAATTATCATAATTTTTTCATATATTTGAATATTTGCATGTCATTTAGGAACACTCTGATCTATTACCTATTACATAGAAAATACCAAGTACAACTGTTTCTGTCTTTCTTACTCCCAAGTAATATAATCGTGATCGTTAGTGACGGCTGTCTTGCATCGATCATCGATCAGATAGACATTTAGGATAGAACAACATCTGTTGAAGTATAAGTTGAAGCAAGACAAACAATCTATTTTCTTCTGTTCGGCATTTTATTGCCGATTAGGCCATCACAAATCGTACCGACTATAGTTATAAACATATGTGATATGAAAACAGGTAAACTAAAGCTAATTTTTCTTTCTTACTTTTATTTCTGCAAATTTTTGCCTATGAAGTCTCGTTGGAAAGCTATTTCATGCTCAATTGTCAAAGTGGCTAAACCATTAAGACCATCTCGTGTTGTAGAACGTAAAAAGTTGACAGACATGACAGAGTAAAGCTAATCACGCTAATCTGTAGGAATCGAACAATTCAGTGCATGATTTTATTTTCCATTCCCAGCTGAAACGAAAAGAGTTCTATTTAATTTAAATCAGTTGCTTCCTAGACGGGTCTAGAAAGCTCCGCCGCCACTGGTTGTTCGGTTGTCCGTAATTTTGGCTGCTAACTTCACACCACTGTTCTTAGGGCTCTCTTCGCTATGTCTCTTTGGGTAAATTAAGCTTGCCGTCCTTTTATGGATTGCAAACAATAGTATTTTTTAACTGTTAGACAAACCCAGAGAATGTACTAAATGAATTTTTATTTTATTTAAAAGAATCGACAGATATCAATATCGAATATAGTTCGACACTATTTACATGTTTATCTGACGCCGTTTCCAACAGCTGTAATTTAAGTCGTAGAGTCAGTTATCCTGTACTTATTTTAAAATTGTTTCGAATATTTTATACAGGGTGAGTCAAAATGAAAAATATTAATTTTAGTGAAAAATCAATTAAAACCCCTATACTTCCATCAATTACTCCTATTAATGCTCTTTCAATTTTGTGTGAAAATATTCCAAAACTTGAAAGATCTACAGTATAATTCATTCAGATAATAGCATTCATTATACGTTAATACAAAACAATATTTTACGATAGGATTAATATGAAAAATATATTATTAATATTGCTAATAGTTCCAGAAAAAAGCACAAGAACTGTTTAATCAAGTTTCACTTCGAACTATAGGGCAGTATAATAATAATAATAATAATAATAATAATAATAATAATAATAATAATAATAATAACTTAGATTTGCATGGCCAACTTACATTTGATCTAAAAGACGCGATCTGAAAACGTTATTTATTAGTTCAATAATATTTTAGGCTTTATGAATGGTAGAATTCCTAGATTGATGGAAAGAAAGGAATCAATTTTTTGGCTTAGTGCCATATTTTCTCATAATTTAACAAATTTTTGTTCGTAAAAATATGTATACCTCAAAAATTACCCAGTTCAGGTATAGGGGAATGCTTAATAAAATTGAAAGAACATTGATACGAGTAATTAATGGAAGTATAGGTTTCAATTTATTTTTTCACGAAAATTAACTTTAAAGCAAGTATAGGAGTATCGAGAGAGCACTAATAGGAATAAAAGTTAATATTTTTCATTTTGACTCACCCTGTATAAACGACTCGAACTATCTTCAAGTATAGGATAAATGACCGTACCGCTTTATAAAAAAATATAATATTCGTTTTCCACATAATTATGAATCACCATGTATCATGGAAAATAATTTTGTTTTGTTTCCTTTAGGCTTATATACAACTTTGGTATTTAATATTTTTTCTCTAAAACAAATAATAAATGAGATATATTGCTTTGACGCAATATTTGGACTAACTGTATTATCGATATTCTGCCACATTCAAAACGAAAATGTCCCTAGATCGGATCCCGCTGTGTGAAGCAAAAGTAGCAACGCGTTTCGTATATCATTTCGGAAAATTAAAGAGTTTCTGACCGCCTCGTATCTCAAAAGCCCGCGTAGTGGTACTAACAACAATCAATAAACATACATAGTCAAATTAAAATATACCGAAAAGGTTTCGTTTAACCTCTGCTTCGAAAAGTTCATATCGTCGGTGACGTACACCAAGCCGATAGATAAGCGCGCGAACCCCAGTTTGGCCAGACGCGATCCAAGTGAACCCTGCGAAGTGGGCGTTGCCGGCAATATTCGCCGCACGCCCCGATTTTCGCAACGCGGCTGCCGGTATAAATAATAGGCATAAAAACGTCACTTCGGTATTTGTCGTCATTGCACGCGTAAAATCGCGGCGCTTACGCGAAAGATGGACTTTGAAACGCGCTGGTTCAATTATATAAAGTACAGCCTACTTATAAATTCTCCGATTGGACGTCTGATTCCCCGGGCCGTTCTAACGAATCAGAACGATTTAAAAAATATATACTATTGGAAAATGGTTGTTTTCAAATCGGAAAGCGAAATTAAGTGTAACTGTGTGACGATAAGGGACACAAAGTCGGTTAAACAAGTAGCATTTTTCCACTGAAAGCAGAAAAACAATTGAATTTAGGATTTAGGAAAAATGTGGAAAATATACCCAAAAGGTCAAAACTGAAAAAACCGAATTATCAAGACATTTATCTGAAATAATTGTCGCTCATTATTATTATTATTATCCAATTAACTTTCACGGTGTAAGCATTTTATTTTCTTAACGCCGGGGGTTCACTAGTTAACCAGGAACGCACCGTGCACCTTGGGTTACCCTAGTACTCTTCTTAAAATGTGGGCACTTCCCGTTATTGCCGTGGACTGAAGTATGATGTTATGTTTTCCGTGTGAAGGTATCTTTTAAAATTCTTTGTGAGTGTTCCAGTTGCGCCAATTATGATGGGGACAATTTGGATCTTAATATTACACATTCTGCCTATTTCGATGGCTAGGTGCCTGTAATTAAGTAATTTTTCGGCTTCTTTCGCCACAACATTGTTATCGGCTGGAATTGCAACGCCAGCTATCGTACATAAGTTGTTATGTCTATCTTTAATAACAATATCAGGTTGTTGATTCCACAGTATTGTAACATCTTCCTTGCTTGTGACCTGCTCGGCTCTGTGATAATACCAATTTCTGGTGGTGTTAATATCAAAATTTTGGCATATTTTGAAGTGCAACAGTTTAGCCACATTATCATGTACTGTTTATATACTAATTTTTTGCTAGTATACGACAGCCAGAGAGGATATGATTCACTGTTTCTTTCTTTAGGATATTTTTTGAGTAATATCCCGCGACTATTAGGCTTTCTGCCTGTCCCTTAAGATCTCCTTTCGCTAGCCATCCGTAGGTGTATCTAGGATTTATTTCTTGGTTATCATTTTGTCGCGCATACTGTCCATGCATTTGTTTATTCCTCCACTCTGTTTTCAGTTCACTCGATAATTTCTCTTTTATTTTTCTTTTCTGTTTTTCTTCCGTATAATCCTGGTTTCTTGGCAGCCTTAATGATATTCTAAAGGATACAGCTAGTTTAGTTATCGATTTTGTCTTAGGCAGTTCTTCGTCATATACTCTTAGTAGATTTACATATTTGTCTTCTAAGTTGAGTATAGCCGACTTGAAAGTCACTTCTATTTGCAACAGGCCTCGGTCCCCTTGCTTCCTCGATACATATAATTTGTGTATGTCGACTCTTGGGTGTGTTGCATTCTGTACATATTAAGAAGTTTTCTGGTTCCTCTATCTAAAGTTCGTATTTCCTCTAATCTAAAGTCAATAATTCCAAAACTAAATTGAAGAAGGGGTAAGGTGAACTGTCCTATGGCACTGATTTTTTTTTGCTGCTCAATTCTGTTTTTAAAATCTGTCAAATAATAATAATTATTATTATTATTATTATTATTATTATTGGTCTTTTGGACTAGATGGCTATGAGTGGTTGCGAAATAAAACTCCATTTTCCTTTTATTGTTTTATTTGAACGTAAGAAACGATTTTTGAATAAGCGATACCGTAAAATTAATTTTAATATTTGCTATAACAATAATTAACACATTAAAATCAATTTTTTGACTAGTGTTCTATTTGGCAGGGCTGTCATTATTTTGCATAGCCTTTTTTGAACAATTTTTTCTGCGCCTTTATCGAATCTTTAGAAATAATGAAATCGTTCTAGCTAAAAGGAGACGAAAATTTGGTGTTAATATTATTGTTACTGTTATTAAACACTCATAGCCATTCAGTCTAAATGAGAAATGTTCTGATAGTTCGGTAATTTTCAATTTTAGACTATGACCTTTTTGTTCTGTTGATAATTAGATTAATACAGCGTGTTTCATTTAAAAAGAGTACATTTTCCTCATTTTTTCCTAACCCTACATTCAATTGTTTTTCTATTTTCGCCATCAGTGGAAAAAATGCTACCAGTTTGCTAATTTAACCGACTTTGTATCTCTACTCATAACAAAGTTATCAAAAAATATGGGTATTAGCATTTTGTAGCATAGCCATTAATAATAATAATAATAGTAAAAACAATTACACGTTCATTAACCACTTACGAATGTTACCATAACAATACTGTATGCCTGTATTGGGTGCTGTTGAAGTCAAAAATATTTTGCATACTAAATATTAATATAAATAAATGGAATGCCTGATACATATGTATTTAACCATAATATTTATCGCGTAGTTTAACGACGCATTAATTAATACACTGGCCAGCAAAACTAACGAACCACTATTTTTATTTCATAATACTTATCATATATTTTCTTTTCTTAATTAAGTACATTCTTATTGTAATTTAATAAATGTATTAACAAAAGATCAATTTCCAAAAGAAGATAGGAAAAAATAAATTAAAAAAACACAATAAAATTCAAAAAATAACAAAATATATTAACTTCAGTTAAAAATAATAAATAACGGGTACTTCTTCCTCTATTTTAAATATTATTACGCTTAGAAGTACGGGTCTTATCTCGTTGTGATCCAAATTATTGCATATTTGGACAGTATCTCTACTAATTCCCTTCAAAGTGTTGAGACGGTTAGGAAGTTCTTGAAACGCCTGTAGTCTCAAACATTCTCAATTGGATAAAGATTAGAACTGGTTGCTGGCCAATTGATAATTTCAATTTCAACCTCACCTCATCAGGAAAATGTTGCGCAATCTGAGCAACATGTGGTCGAACATTATCATATGTACCTATCTGCTCTTATTAATAATTACCAAGTCAGTACGAGCAGTTATAGAGATTCGTCCTCAAAACATAACAAATATTCTGGTGTGTTCGATAAACTCTATCTGGGTTGTGGAACCAAAATGTGGTTTCACCTGACTAAAAAACTCTTTCTAAAAACGCTTTTTAACATGGTTTTATCAATCCAGGAAGTAGTTTTAAGAGGTCCTCCCTACTCGGGCCCATTTTTCACATCACCATGACATAATTTAGAACACAAATTATAAAACGTTTCAGTATTTATTTCCAACCACATATCCCTTATCGCAAAAAGAAAACATAACAAACATTCGTTTACATTTGTTAGGCGTGATAAAAAGGAATCAGTGGCGTACCTTAATATGTGGAAATTAAAAAAGCCCTAAGTTACTTCGAACATTAATAATATCAACATTATTAAAAGTTTCCATACTTTGTTCCACCACTTTTTTATGGGGCGGCCATACAGGAAACATTTTTTTTTTTTCACATAAATTACATAATTTATTCCAAACACTTAGTTATCTGTAAAAATAAACTTGTGTCTGTGTGTGTGTAATATTAAGTGCTCGTTGTCATGTTTTCAGTTAACTTGAGCCATCGCAATAATTACGAAGTGTCGCCACGGTCCTACAACTGAAGTATTTAAAATAAATAATATTTCTTTATTAGCTTGGGATGCTAGATACAAAAACAATTTTTTAGAAAGTTTTACAAAATGCATGAACAAACAAAACCAACAAACAACATAAGTATAACCAGAAATCAACATATAGACAAAATTAAGATCAAACAAAAATCTAGACATCACATATTCCCTCAAAATAGTTTTAAGGTTATTGAAATTACCACAATTTTTCAAGGTATTTGGCAGTTTATTATTTTCGGAGAGACCCTTAAACAGAATAGAATTTGTCATTTGGTTAGAGCAATACCTATATATTAAAATAAAATCATTGCGGTTTCTCGTATAGTAACTATGCACTATGCATGTAATAGTTTATTTCTTAACTTATCCATAAAAATGTTTGCATCATAAATAACTCCTTGTCTAACCGTTATGACATTAACAGCATTTGACAGTGGGTTTACAGGAGTGTATCTGTTACACTTTAAGATCGTTCTTTAAAAAAAGAGATACAGGTTCCAGCGATGTAATTCGTCTATCAAAATTTGTGAGATTCAACTAACCAAAGCTGACTACGCCACTGGATCCTACGTAAAAAACTCAATTCCAAGCAGTTTTCACCTTTTTTTATAAGTTAACGCTCAAACGAGCTAGACAAGGTTTAACGTGCAAAATTTTCAAAATCCATTTCTAAAGGTTCATATTTATTGCATGTTTGGTTTATTGATACGCCGTAAAATCATTAAAGATAGGACCTAATGTACAAGGAATCTAAAATTCCACAATATCTTTGTCATTAAACAGAGCATTAAACGTATACATATTTACAAGCTCACTGTATATTAATATTTGTGAAATTCAATTTTTTAACGCTTATTTTACTATTTTCATCAACTTTGTAATGTCCTTAAGATTATACCGGGCAATACTTCAAACATGAGACAAACCCGGACTTTTGAGTAAAAAGAATATGCCTATGTTTAAATTCTGTGGATTTTACGTGGTGAAATGAAAGTAAACGGAATCGATAATGAATACCAGGTTGCCACGTTTATTTTCTTTTTTTTTTTTAAGTTAAATAAGTGCCATAACAAATTGGAACGAACGCAACTGTAAAAGCAAGTAGAGTTCTCCAGACGATATACGGTTTTTACGACATAATCCGATATTTAACTTTATATTTAACCCTCATTAAATAGATTCGAATACCACAATGACGTTCCAGAACCGTACTTCGGTACTTCGTGCCTACAAAATCTGGGAGGTGACCGATTTGTGTAGAGTTTCATCATTGAGATTCCTCAATTATTATTAGTCCATGCAGCAAAAAATACTGTTTCATAAAACTGAAAGCATACTCCGATTTTACCAACCCCCACAAAACAACCAATAGTAAATTGCGAAAACATTTATTATAAATCAATTATCTATATAAGATTTTACTGTATTGTATTGTATTGGTTTCCTAGGCAAATATTTGTTAGACCCGGTATATTAAATTAGGATTATTAGGCAATTACTCTTCTTGCGTGATTCAATTAGCATTTATCAGCCTCTAAAAGTTATTTTGGATTTTTACACGTTTTGGTGGACGTTTTTAAATTCAAATCTGCACCCCTCCCTCTCGCAGGAGCAGGAGGCACCCGTCGCGGACCTCAAGCCCCAACCCGCCGCCCCTTCACCGCTTGCCCTGCTGGCAGCCACGTGCAGTCGTATAGGCCCTGGAGGAGACGCGGCTAGCACGACCCCCACCACCGTGATAATGTCTTCCGCCCCGTCGCCGGTCCAAACGATCAAACAACAAGGGGTGACGGTTACTCAGGCCGCTCAACCCCAAACTCCACAGGTATGTTTAGAGATCTAACCACCGTGTCCGAAACTGTAATACTCGCAAAAACGGGTATGAAAAGATTGAAATGCGAATTTATATGTATATAAGTGTAGATATAGCTCATACCCAAAACATATAAACAATTGTTATTTACAATATAAACAATGTTTCAAAGCTTGATTTTATAGATATCATGAACAATTCGATTTTATTTGCTCATTAGTCAATCAATAAAAAAAAGCACCTCTAGATATTAATAATTAGATACTATGAATACTTGAATATATGAAGAATATTTTCATTTAACTTTTTTAATGAAATTTTCAATTCAAAATGAAATATAATATTAAAGATAAGTGGTAAAATCACCTGACTGTCCCTTATTTGTTCCGTCATACCTGCTGTATGTGTAATGGAATTTTTCCACATTTCAACATCCACAAGCATCTTGATTATGATCATCTGTGACAATATGTCGATTATAATCGTTTTTGTAATAAGTTTAGTCGGCAAGTAGACATCTCAGCCATATCATTAAAGAATATGGAGAAAATTTATGCGAGTATTATTCTATTGCTTCCGCAATCTAAACCTGCACTACAATTTTTTAATTGTTTATTTACAGCATGTTTATTGCCAAACTCTAGTTTAATTGCATTCAATCTTTGTAAATATTTTTGGAAATTTAGAAAAAAATAGAAACAAATGCTTGTATATCGTAAGTATCATAAGTATGAATTAAGAATTTTGGGCGGATTACAACAATAGACTGAGACAAAATTAAATTTGGTTTTCTGTTTTCGAAAACTTCGCAATTTGAAAAATACATTATGGCCCAGTCTTTTTTTATATAAAGTAGAACAAGAATACATATTCGATAATATAGGACCCGCAAATATCATAAAATTGACGGCTGTGACATTTTCATACGTCAGGATCTTTCGCGCATGCTTCTAAATTTCAAACACTTGCCTGTACTTTTCGCCATTTTCTTTTTAACCCGTTTTTTCTCTGTGGATTTAATGGGATCTGAGCACATTTTGAAAAAAAAAAATGCCGGAAAAGTACCACAAACCGCAAACTGAAATACACGGTCACTCTCATTTACCGTCGTATAACATTGGAAAAGTGACATCTGATGTTTGTCCCATTTCTTATTTAAAGGCGCCGGTAAAAGAATTAAATTAAAATTGATAAACATTTATTAAAACAATTATTGTTGTGTAAACATTAATAGCATAATTGTTATCGCAGAAGTTGGACTTTTAAATCTGGTTCTGTGGAAGATTTAGACACTGGAAGTTGAAAACTTGAAACGTACTTAGTAGATATCTAGTTAAGTGATATAACAATAACATTATTTAAAATTCACCTGGGATGAGCCAATAGGGAACTGCTGTTTGTTTATTGACCCTCCCTTCTTACGGGAAAAAAGAAGCAATTAAAAAACGGACGTATATTTTGTAAGTGTCTTCGAATGTTAAAACTTGAGATATTTGGGTTTAACCTGAATAAGTTTGGAGAGTTCTTTGCAAAACGAGACCTCTGGATCATCCGATTTCGGCATTCGGCTATACAGCACGCCTAGTTTTATAGGAAATATTATTCTTAATAATGTCTACCATGTTGATAACAAATAAGAATATATAAAAAATAAGTACTTTAACACATACCTCAAGATGATTTTTGACTTTGACTGCAAAATGCTGTCGCGAACGCCATCTCTTATTTGTCCCACTTTTTAAATAATGCTCGGGAAAGCTCTGGTTACACTACTATTTTTAGTGAGTATACTGTGGCCACATCCAAACTGTCGAATTAACGAACTGTCAGCGGCCATGTTGAATCGACATCTGAGTTGACAGGTCTTATTGGTTAAAAGCGAGTTTTGTATTATCAACATAGACAACGTACTATATATCTAGTAAAGATATGCCAGTGATAAAGACTTTTAAGAAACAGGTTTTTAAGATTTAAGAAACGCTGAATCATATCCTATCTTTATTCTTTTTTAGCTGTTAACCTCTTAAGCGTTTGAAATGTGGTACGGACTAATAGATTTTTGTGGATTACGACTTGAGTTTTCTTTCTTCCATTTCAAACATTTGCCATTTACCTATACAGACGTATAGGGTTTTTTAATTATTATGGACAATATATCAATATTTATGGGCCAAATTACCTCAACGTATTGTGGGAATTCGTATGAATGTTCAGTTCCCAGCTCTAGAACTTGTAACTTGTAATGACCCTTACCCTTATTCGTTAAGGTGGTCAGCGTGCCAGTAGCCACCGCCATCACCACCCAACAGCTCCAGCAGCATCTGCTGCAGCAGCAGGCTGGCGCCCAATTGGTGGCCGCAGCGGCGGCCGGTCAAAATATCGCAGGCTATGGGGTGATGCAGGCGCCCGTCCAGACGCTAAGCGTCGATGGCCAGGAGGCGATATTCATCCCTGCGATGAATGTGGCAGGTATACATGGTACCTTTTAAGTACGTGATCAGTCTTCGTTAGGTGATTCTTGGAGGTGATTTAAGGAAAAAATAAATTAAAAATGTGCTCCACTGACGTAATAGGTTTCTTATGAACCATAAAAGTTATTGACAAAAAAATCGGTTTTATTTTAAAGCCGTTTATATTTATTATATTTTTACTGATTTGCAATAAGTGATATGAATAGCAGAATATAGAAACAATAACCGAAGATACATAAAAACATGTACACAGGATACATTCGTCGAATTTTTGGGCGAGGCGCTAATACATTGTTGCCAGATGTCCGCAATAATAAAAAAGAATTATAACTGAATTAAGTGAATGAAGTATTTATTTGCATCTCCAAAAAAAAAACTTCAATCTGCTTTGGTAGCTAAAAATGTTTTTCAATAAAATATATTTATTTCTTTTTCAGGCGGGACTCAGCCCCAGCAGATTTTCAGCCCCGGTCAAATAATAAGAGCTCCTACTAACGTTATACCAGCCACTGCGACGAATATGCAGGGCCTGCCGACCACAGTTCAGCTTCCCAACGGACAAAGCGTGCAGATGCGGCCCGCAGCTCAAACGCAGATCTTTCAGTTTCCGCTGCAGCAGACGATACCAATCCAAGTGCCGATTTCCTCCGGAAACGGACAAACCATTTACCAAACGATTCACTTTCCCGTCCAGTTGGCGGCGACAGCGTCGGTACCAAACATTATACAAGTATGTCCCACAGATCAAACGTATTTGATTGTGGAACAATCCGAGAACAAAGGGAATAGTTATATCCGCCAGTTATGCGCTGCGGTGACGTCACTTGGTATTACGTATATAGAAGGACATTTAGTGCGATAGAGTTTGCCAAATTTGATATCGAACTAATAGAGAAACATTGTCCTATAAATTTTCTATATAAAATCTTTGAGTTGAGGTCAGCCAGAATCTGCGGCGCTTGCGAGTAACTATTCTCTTTTCTTTTACTGTTTCCTTTAACAATGGACAATAAATCCAAAGAGGACCAGACAAATCTCTACTCTCTGTTTTCTGCCGTTTTTTTCTCTTTCTGTGAACTCACATCCTGTACGTCCGCCTAATCTGTAGCTGATGCTGTCCAGTTTATTACCAGTGAGAATTGAGATTGGGATGATCATATTATTCGTTCAGTAAACTCCAGAAAGCCACTGATGCCTCTATATTTAATACTTTGAAACACTACCACTTTTCTAAAATAACCGAACTCGTCAAATCACAAAAAACTTAAAATTTTAATGTTCTGGTATCTTTGGATATTACGGCATTAATCGGTAAAGTGAGGTAATTTCTAATCATATTGCAATGAAGAATGATTGTGTTTTGTAGACATTGATATTAATTTGGGTCTGTTAGCTTTTTTATTATTTCTTGTGCTGGTTAAAGAGAAATAGAGTGCTTAAAATCAATTTTATATTAAATTTGTTCTCACGTGACTCTTATTGGTGGTAAAAAAGCGATTCCGATTTGTTCTAATGAATCGATTTTTTTTTTATATTGTTTACGCCCTTTTGCACAAGAACGAACATTTTTTTTGGGTTATGGGATTTCCTTAAACTTCTTCACATTGAGCTTCACCGGTGTACGTATATGACAGCATTGAAATTTTATAAATTAGGCCCAACCTCAGCTGTTGCCTCAAGTAGCAAATATTCTGACGCCTACAGGTCAATTGCAATCGATACAGATAGCTACGTCTATGCCGCAGCAGCAGCAGACTGCCGCGTCTACGATAAATCAACAAGTTGTCGCGGGCGATAACGGAGCTCAGTTGACCTTTACAGGTACAGTAAAAAAATCTTACATTTCTAAATGGTTAGTAATTTCTAAGGCTGCGCTGCTGCAGCCAGTGATTTTTATGAAAATCCATTATTAGTTCGTGTACAGTTAGCTGCATTTCCCTAGCACGCTAGTTCAAAGAATTTCGATGTTTTCAGGAGCCAACGGTCAACAGTTTACGGTAATTCCGGCAACAAATCTACAACAAATCCGGAACGCGTCAGTCGGCAATTTGGCGAGCTTGGGAAACATTATCCAGCTGCCAAATATACAGACCATGCCCACTATACAAAATATTCCCGGTAGGTGTGAGTGGATAAAAATTACAAGAAATATGATAAAATAAATTAATCTGTGTACCGCTAAGCCTATTTTAATAACCACCGCTCAATAACATAACTTTAAAAATATTCAATCGCAACCGCAAAATAATATATGACATAAACAGGTACACAAAAAGATTCATAAATTCCACATATCACTAGGGTAAATCGGTCACAAGACTTCACACGATTTTTAAATAATTGTTTACTACAATTTTATGTAGGAACGAGTTACTGAGTTATAGGGCAGAGGTATATAAAAATATTTTTTTAAAAGAACTATCCGCACTGTGGTATGGATGTGGCATCAGTGAAACGAATATCACCTGGTTGTGCATCACCACTTTGAAATATAAGTTCTGCCAAGTAACTGGGTTCTTTTGATTTCAAGATTTTATGCAGGTAGTACACCATATGACCATATCACTGACCCATCTTATGCCCATGATGACTTACATGCCCTCTGGATAGTTTCTCTACATACTAAGATAAACATTATTCTCTTTCTGTATTCCATGTTTATTAAAATTTATAAGAAAATGGCATATTCAATATCAAGATAATCAGATATACAGAGTACCAAACTTTCTAAAAGTAATTTTTTAACATCTACCTTAATCCTAATACCTGCGATCAGATTATTCTCATATCTTCTCTGTAGATGGCTGAAATTTATAAGGACAAACTTATACTATTTTAAATAACATTTGGTGTTCTTTAAATTCCTGCATAATGGACGCATTAGCCCTCAGGACAATTCTTCAGCGCCAGAAGCTGACATGCGTCTATCTTTCTGTTGTGGATAGCTTTGCTTGACCATGCTCCTTAAAGTAGAATTGATGGACCAAAACTAGAACCCTGGGGAACACCTAACACAGCTCTTAATTGAATCAGATCTTACAGCAACTCCCTCAATCGCAGACAATTTCACTGCATAGATAATTTTCAAACTTAGCTAAACAAAGATCAAACTTTAAACTATCAAAGAGTCTAGTCATATCTATTAAATTAAAATCTATTAAGTAATATGACTGATTGAAGGCGAAAGCAATATTACCGGTAATCCTAAGCAGAGCTCTAGCACAGCGATAAATTGTACAATTCATTCAAGTTAGAGGGCATTCCAACCTTGCCCAAGGCAATAATTGCTGGAACTAGATTGCAAAGATACATTTACAATTTTAACTAGTGGCTTTAAACGGTAGAATAGAGATAGTTTTAATATTTCTATGGAAATCTGGTCACTCCAACAGCATGATTCATGGCTAAAATATCATCCTCAGACACTAAATTAATGTAAAAGTATGCTGATTGGATTTTCAAACGCGTTTCAGTAAACTCTGAGAATTTCTGATAAAATCTCCATTTTGACGTCGATATTTTCAGGACTCGGCAACGTTCAAGTTATAACGCAGCCTGCTCAACCCCAAATTGCGGTCGGACAACAAATCCAACAAGACCCCACGGATCCCAGCAAGTGGCAAATTATCCCGCAAGTGGCTACCGCCACCCCGACGATGCAAGCGCAGAATGCGACCCCCTTAAACGTGAGTTCCGTCGACACTGGCGCCGTCACTCAAGCATCTACTGACGGTGCAGGGATCGATGGTCAGAAACAGCGGGTTCGGAGGGTAGCTTGCACTTGTCCCAACTGTCAGGAGGGCGAAAAGCACAGTGACAGGAAAAAACAGCACATCTGTCACATACCAGGCTGTAATAAAGTTTACGGAAAAACAAGCCATTTGCGGTAAGACAATTTTAATTAATACATTACTGAACGCGGCTGTGTTCTGATTAGGGTGACCTCAAACTCCCCAATTAAATTGGAGTCATTGACTTTGCTATACCATAGCAAATAAAAGAGAGTTGTAGATTTCCTAGCGCCACTCTGAGTTAGAAATAAATAGAAAAATAAATTAATATCGCTTTATTTCAAAATTAAAAAATGTGCAATATAACTAAAAGCAAAATAAAAACGCAAGAAAAAAAATCATGAAATTGGACAGCAAAATTTTATTAAAGGTTGGTTTCCCCTGGTTGGTTATAAGTAGTCATAGGATGGAACCATATGTATGACAACTAAAAATGCGATAATGCTGATAACGAGAAAGTTTTCCATCCTTTCTTTTCAAATGTAAGATCAGCAAACATAAAAAAAATAAATAAGTTATTCTACCTGGGAGTCCCAGTAAGAGCAACAAAATACATTATTAGGGACACGAACCAATCTAGAAAATCGAAAAAAAAAGTGATTCGGGCAACGGAACACGCAGGCAATTATATACGAGTTTCTGAAATTCAAATGTTTACTGCTTTGGCTTTACTTCTGCAAGGAAAGTGGCAGGGGATGCTGAAACATTTTCTGAAATAAATGTCCATGTCTCCAAAAAGGCATTTTAATTCCGATTGCTTACCTTGCCACCTTGCCAGTTGACGTTTTCTATCATAATCGAAAAATAATAATTTTATTATACAACTGACAGGTGACATTATCCCTAATCTAAAATCCAAGTCTGTTTTTTTTCTTTTATGTAAATTTCATAGCCAGCTTATACAAAATTAGGCAGCTTATATTATAATTTTTTTCTAGAGAACACAAATATCTACCTTATTTACATATATTTTTCCTTTTGTAGCGATCTCGAGTTGTCAAATGATAAAAACAACCTTGCAGGTTATAAAAGCCGACGGATCAGATGGAATCATTTTGCAATCTCGCCCAGATAGGGAAATAGTCTCCTTAAACATTACTCCATTGTGGCAAACCCAATAAGCCCTACTTGTTAGACAGTGTCACTAATATATGGTATTTGATTGCAACCGCAGGGCCCATTTGAGGTGGCACACCGGCGAAAGACCGTTCGTATGCACTTGGCTCTTTTGCGGGAAACGCTTCACTAGATCCGACGAGCTTCAAAGGCACCGGAGGACACATACCGGTGAAAAGCGTTTTCAATGCAGCGAGTGCAACAAGAAGTTTATGCGGTCCGACCACCTATCCAAACACCTCAAGACCCATTTAAAACAGAGAATCACGGTAAGTAGAGTTATCGTATTGTTACGTCAAACTCACCGGGAATGTTTTGACACTTGCTTCTCTTTCGCACTTATGATATTGGTAGAAAGCAACACAAGCACATAATATCAAGCATTAATTTTTGGTGATTTTTCCCATGTAATATGCAAAATGATTTGTTTATTACAGGAGAAAGATCAAGATGATGAGGAGAACTGGGAGATGCAAGACGATCCGGAACCTCAACAACAAGAGGAGACGGATTCCAAACCACATCCCGTATGGATAACGGACAGCAAAAATAATGTAAAATACGCGATAACTCATTTGAATTACTCTCAGGTAATTGTAAAACTGTGAAAAAACCAAAATGGAAACCAAGTTGCGTTTTTCATTCCAGGAGGCGGCAACATCGACACAGTCAGCATCCTCAGACAGTTCTAGCAATGAAGAGAAAATGATGATAACTATAAGTGCCGCAGAAGATGAACTAATTATCGCGGACCCTTTAGATAGCTGAAACTAAATATGCCACTTTTTGTATATTTTATTGTTATAAATAAATGCCTATATTGTTTGTTATTTATAATTTTGTAAATAAATATATATCTAGTTGTTTTTATTATTGTCAAACAATATTTAATATCTTCAATCAAAAGTCTGCAGTCATCATAAACTGAACTACACCCCCCATAAAGACCAATTTCGGGACCTTACTCTTAGAAGTCGGAACTTAAACTAACTACACGCGATAAAAGTCAGGTAATACCTTTACTGGGGATATACGAAACCAAATTTAGCCTGAAACTTCTTACCTTGATTCATGATTAATATCTATATGATGTCTAAAGGCTATATTTATCAATTTTAAGTATGGCGATATTCCTACAATTTTTAATAGGTCTTCTGTCTGCTAAAATCAGTTAACCAAAAGCAAAGATTAATTATTTGGCTCAGTTTATCTTATTACTGAAAAAAAGAATTCCCATACAGCAAGGAAAAATTCCAAAAAAAAAAACTTATTAAAAAAAAACACATTAAACAGTAATGTTTTTTATTGTTTTCTGGAAATGTAACATAAATTAACAAAATTCGCATTAAGTCCTAAATTATTGATTGTAAACCAGTACAAATAGCTTATAAAAATATATTTAATGAAATTATATTACAGTATTTTTTAAAAACACTCAATTATGCAAAGTCAAATACAAGAGAGGCAGTGGTACTTTGTGACAAGATTTGTATGTACAATTTGATGCAACCAGAAGTTGTGAAATATAATTTGAACTTCTGTAACATAAAAATTTCTAATTTTCGTATATGCTGCTGCATTATAGTTATTAAAAATTAATACAAATTTTAAAAATAAAGGAAGTTACTATAAAGATAAGATTTATAATGTTAAAATATGATTTTTATATAAATTTTTTGTTAGTCATTTTAAGGATTTTGATAGGTAAGCTACCAAGTCTCATATTTGTCATTTTAAGGTTTCTCTGAACATACATTTGAACATTTTTTTAAACAATCTCGATAAAATAAAAAGCAAATTGGACTAAACTTTTTAAAACTGAAGGAGCAGTTACAAAAAAAGGGAAACAAATTAGTCTAATGTTAAAAAAGTTGAATGAGTAAATTGAGAATTTTCCTATTAAACAAATGGCGAGGTACTGAAAATGTTACAACACTCAGACATGCCGTAATTATAAATTTAATTCAATTTAAGGTTGATATTTAAAATCTTTCATTATAAATCACTCTGACTTAACCAAAATTCACCTTTTTTTATACACATGATACAATAGCAATGCACTTTTGAAATGGACATCTTGATCTTTGCTCTACACTACATTACAAACTATACAGTCATTGTAAGAAATGACCTCTGCTGCAATGTGTCTGAAGAATCTTTTGCTTGAGCAGAACACAAATCTGATGGAGGTGTTGGCAGATTTATCTTATTACATTTACCATCAGCACCCATACTGAAGCTGAAGATTGAAACAAGTGATGTAATACGATCAATTTCCATTGCTTCAATATTTGCTGAACTTGTCTTTTGCTGGACATTTTCACTGACCTCAGGGGCACTATTTATACCATCGTTTTTGCTTGCGCGAGTTTCAACCTTATGTTTTCTTTTTTTTGATGAACTTCTCTGGGTGGCTTCTTCTGTCTCTCTCTCACCCCGACGCCTCTTTAAGGATTGGGCTGATGTGCTAGTTGGGAGAGCATTCGAACAATTAACTAAATCGATGGATTCATAGGTTTCAGAATGTTGTTGATTCTGTGCACATTTAACACAAGACGCGGAAACACAATCTTCCTTTTTCTTGGCTTGAAGTTCTTCATTACCTTGATCTTTCTCGGGCACCAGGGCGACTCCCCTGATTGATTTAGAATTTTGATAAATTACTATGTTGTAGGCCTCTTCCATAAATATATACCTCGCTTTTTGTAAAACAGTCGCGACAAGCAAATTTTTATGCAAACTAGCACCACCACGATGAGATCGAGATTGGGCTATTTTTGTTAGGGATATTCCGATTAATCGTTGGGCTTCGCTTGCCATTTTAATTAAAATTTCACAATATGTTAGTATTTAAATTCGACCACACTATCGCCATGAGAGTAATCAGGATGTTATCTCCCTGACTCATCAACACACAGGCAATCACCACGAAACGCAATTAATCACAGACGCACATCGATTCGTAATACAAAGGAACGCTGCGGAATATCACCAAACAGCGCGCAATCTTGCCTGTATTTATAACTTCGTATTACAAACGTCACAACCTACTTTCAACGTGTCGTTCACCACACGAGAAACGACGAGCGACATCGAACGACGACCTTGTGTTGATAGCTATCACGGAACACAAGAAACGTACGTTTAACCTTTATGAATTATTTTCTCAGACCAAACGTCGCGTTCCGTAATCCATAAAAAAAAACAAATACCATTTTATAATCAAAGATCCTATGGATTGGTTAGGTTGGGATATTTATTAGAGCTGCAAGTCTATACGCTGTTTTGATTTCGTTGATATCACAAATAAATAATGTTATATTTCCAATTTGTGACATAGTTTTAGAAGAAAATGTGAATTAATTCCTCTATTTACTTGTTTTATTGTGTACAAGTAGAAATCCCGATGGGAGTTACGGTTCTAACCCAATTTCCTGTTGAGAACAGGACGGGACCTCAAACTATCGAGATCCTCTCCAAAAGAATTAACGCTTTAGGAGCTACTCAGCAAGGGCAATTTCTAGTGGATTGCGAAACGTATAGTTCTGTGCCGGCACTAGGGCATCAGAGAACTGTTCACGTGCTTCACAATTCAGAGCAGCCAGCAACGGTATTCTCACTTCTAGAAACTGGTACGAAAACAATACCTCTGGCCACGGACGGTTTATTTGATTTGTTAATGATGAAAATGTCAAGCTTCTACCAATCAAAGAAACAAACAAAAGCAGAAGCAAAAGGACCGAGATATGAAATTGGAGATTTTTGTGTGAAATTAGGAACAGTGACTGTTAGTAGTAATTTTAAGGGTATTTTGGTAGAAGTTGAATATAGACCTTGTGCAGTGCCAGTAATGTGTTGGGATTTAATTATGGAATTTATGCAAGGATTTCTTGGATCATCGGGTCCAACAAATCCTCCCACATTTTTTCAAAATCGTATGCAAGAAATCTATTCTCCCCTGGACACTATTCAACAATATTTGGAGCATTTCACAGTGTTTAGGAAGACACCTGGCCCTGGAATGCTGATGAGGCCCCAATAATTCACACTTATTTATTATGGGTAATTTTTGGTTCAAGTTTCAAATATATTCAAAAATCTGTGAACCATTATATTTTAACTCAAATAACTTATTTAATAAAATAACTTTTTTGTAAAAATACCTGAAATAAATGATCATCCATCGTGAACATATTAATAACATTAAATTAGTTTAAATATCAAGTTGTATTACATGTGTTTTTACCTAAACAAAAACAGTTTTTAATTACAAGCTCTCTGTTTCTCTTGGTTAAACTGCCTCATCCGTTCCTCCAATTCCGGTCTAAAATGCCTAATAAGACCTTGAACAGGCCACGCAGCTCCGTCAGCCAATGCGCAAATAGAGTGTCCTTCAACTTGTTTACTTATTTCCCACAACATGTCTATTTCTTCTGGTTTCGCGTCACCATCAACGAATCTATATATTATCTTGTTCATCCAGTGAACCCCTTAAACAGCAAAAACCAATTTTCACCGTAATGAAAAATAACATAAGTTTATTCACCTTCTCTGCATGGTGTGCATTGACCGCAAGACTCATGCTTATAAAACATAATCAACCTGGCTATGGCTTTAACAATGTCAGTTTGTTTGTTCATTACAATCAGAGCTGCTGTGCCTAAGCTGGTTTGACAAGCAACTAAACCGTCAAAATCCATAAGCGCCTCTTCACAGACACTAAACACAAAAAGCATAACATGGTGCTTAATGCTATCAACCTTAACATTATGTCCATTAAAATAATAATTCCTGTAAAAACACATCCTAACCTTTTTTTAAATCTGAACACCTTTCATTGACTTTAAGGTTATCTAACCACACTAACATTGTTATATTGAACAATAACCAAAATTATAAGGTAGAGCAAAAATATAGAAATCAAAATTGAAGATAAAGAAATGAATAATTGTACTTACTTTTTTGGGATCAATGGAGTGGAGGATCCCCCAGGGATGACAGCTAAAAGATTATCCCACCCACCTTGGATACCTCCAGCATGGCGTTCGATTAATTCTTTCAATGGAATGCTCATTTCCTCTTCAACTGTGCAAGGTCTGTTTACATGCCCAGAAATGTTAAACAATTTGGTGCCCGAATTACGAGTTCTACCAAATGACGCAAACCAAGCCCCGCCCCTTCTGCATATTGCCTAAAAATAGTCACGAAATATCCCACTTAAATACTGGCAAACAGACAAAATTGTATGTTTGAAAGTCACTTACAGGGGCAACTGCAATAGTTTCAACATTATTTACTGTTGTTGGACAGCCAAAGACGCCAACATCAGCAGGAAATGGTGGTTTTAGCCTTGGTTTACCCTGTTTCCCTTCCAGTGACTCAATTAGAGCAGTTTCTTCACCGCAAATATATGCCCCAGCACCTCGATGCATGAAAACATCAAAATCAAATCCAGAGCCACATGCATTTTTTCCTAAAAAACCTGCTTGATATGCCTGTAATAAATGGTAATGATTATTTTTGTTATGTAGTCTTGACAATATTATATAGATTTCTTACTTCAGCAATGGCAACCTGCATGTTTGAGGCTTCATTGTAAAATTCCCCCCTTATGTAAATATATGCGGCTTTCGCACCCATTGCTTTACCAGCAATTAAACAACCCTCTACTAATTTATGAGGATCATGCCTCATAATTTCGCGATCTTTACATGTTCCAGGTTCTCCTTCATCAGCATTTACCACCAAATATTTGGGACGGCCATCGCTAGGTTTATTCATAAAAGACCATTTCATTCCACTTGGAAAACCAGCCCCACCTCTACCACGAAGACCAGATGTTTTAACTTCATCTAAAATTGTCCCATCGGATAAATTGGTGAACTCACATATTAAGGACAACATACTTATTATCCAATCTGATCCTTTTAATAATATTTCTTTTGTTTTATACCAATCCCCACGTTTCATAGCACCTTTAAGCCTCCAATCATGTTTTCCATAGAGATTTGTAAAAATCCTATCATCATCAGAGAGAGGGCCAAACTTAGTTTTCGTTTGTGGAGGAGGAGTGCCAGGCGGAGGAGGCCCAGAATAGAATGCGATTTGTCCATTAAAAATAACGGGTGCGAGAATATCTGCAGTCAAGAATTATGTAACCAAAATTGATTGAAGAAAATCGAAATTAAGACAATACCTTTACGGATTATGTGGTTACATTTTGATAGATTTCGAAACTTGATTAAATTGCCAGACATTCTAATAGTATTTATTTTTACTTAAATATTTTTTATCATCTGGTTAATTAAAGAGGTTAACCAATAACACCCGCAAACTATCGATTCTGTGAAAACGTCATAAATAATATTTGTGGCCAATATCGTTTAACTCTTTAGCCTTGTGGATTCTGTGATGGAGCATTGCACGCGGCGGTTTAACCTCCGCTCGCTCCTAGCAGAATCCGCTGTATTCGTCCCAAAAACCTTGATATCAGTCATTTTTCGTGTGATTCAGTTTCTGAAGTGTTTGATGTTTGGTTACAAGTGTTCAAGTTCTGCCCGCCCGCTGTTTTGATCGTTCGCGCCGGAGGCCGGATGGGCCCGAATGGTCCGCGGTGGTAGCGGAGGGATGCCGTTTTTTTTTGGTATTGGTCAAAATCGTTTTTTGTTAGTTGAGCAAATATCGGTTATATTTCTTCTTTTTACGCGTTGGGCTATTTCTAAAAGTAAAAATCCTCGATAGAAGTCGACAATGGGCGATTGATCATAGTGCCTAACAGAAATTGTGAATCGTTTGTCTCTTTCTTTAGCCCTTTGTTTCAGGTTAATGTGAACAATTGGTTACTTTCTTTCCCGAGTGTCCTTAATTAAATTCCCCCACGTGGTGAAAACGAAGAAGGAAGTGTCATTTTTAAAGGCAAGTTGTGCATTCTGTGGTGGAGCATTGTATGCGGCGGTTTAACCTCCGTTCGCTCCCGACAGAATCCTTTGTATTCGTCCTCAAAAGTTTGATATCGGTTTCCACTGTTTGGACTTAGTGTTTTTAGTGTTCAGTGAATGTTTTAAAGTGATAACCGTCGTCGGCCCCGTCCTTTTTCCCTGTTCACGCCGGTATGGAGGCCGGATGGGCCCGGATGGTCCTTTGTGGAAGCGGGGGGAAGCCGATTTTTTTTGGTTAATTTGGTCAAAATCGTTTTTTGCTAGCTGAGCAAATTATTGGTTATTTTTCTTCTTTGTACGTGGTGGTCATTTACCAGAAGCGAAAATCCTCGACGGAAGTCGGCAATGGGCGAATGATCCTAGCAGTCGAGCCCAACATTTTTTTGTGAAACGCATAATTGAATTGAAGGCAAGTTGTGGTCACTTCAATTTTTTCCTTTTTATTTCTATAATTTGTTTTACCCATATAGCTTTGAGTAATGATTATATTCGAAAAAATATAGGGTATAAGGTTCAATTAATTGGAAAAACTGTTTTCAATATTTTAATTAGAAAAAATATCCACACACATTAAACAGGCATTTGCATGCAGCTTAACCTTAACAGAAAATCTAAAAGGTGCATTTGAACTTTAACTTCTAATGGATTTTTTGTATGGTAGAAACCTGGAACTCCGGCTTGTTCCAAAATGTGTTGTTGATCGGCAACCTAAAATAATTTAAATTTTATCTTTATTAATACTACCCTTGAAATTTTTGTCAGGTTACTTTTTTATCTAACTCAAGTACCAGTTTCATATCAAAAGCTTTTAGTTCTTCTTTCTGTTTAATCATAAACTTTTGTAAAACTTCTATCTTCTTATCTGAATCATTTTCATATGTCTTCAATAAATCTTGTTCTTCAACTAAAAATAAGTTTGCGTGTAGTGAATCCAAGCCAAGGTAATACTATAACAGATATGAACCTATAACTAAAAATTACATTGTGTTTTCAACAAACTTTTTTTTGAATTAATAAACTGCAATCTTTGCTGGAAAAGGTGCTGCTCTGTTACTTGCTGTATCTCCAACAATCCCTTCACGATCTCAAATACCGTTTCATTTAACAGGCAATTGGCCAAACTAGACAAAAGTTCATAAGGTAAACGCATTTGATACTTTCTACAAAAAAATATGACTAGTCCAACAAAAATGTGGTCACCCAATGCACTTACGGCGACAATTCACTAGCCATATTTTGTAATTCTTCCAATAAGAAATACAACTTCTTTTGTAAAAGCTGAGATTCGTCCATTATATTAACTTATTGAACAACCAAAAATAACCTTCTTCTTCTTTTCTTATTTCTGTGGGATCATTTTTCGCACGAGACCTCCACCCAAATTCTCAAAACTTATCTTAGTATTCTGTTTTGACATATCTACAAATCTTCTTTTTTTATTTACCATGCGTTGAGCGACAGGTTTTCACCCATGTATAGACTTGAAAATATTTGAAAGAAGTTATCCGTCACCTACCCGATTGATCCTTGCGTTTTGCCTATTAAAAAAGAAGACAGACCAAAGCACTGCGTTTACAAAATTGTTATTAACTGTAAATTATGACGTTTTCATTAAGTTCGTTTATTTATCTATAGGTTTTCGTTGTTTATTGTTCGGCATTTATAGCATAATAATAAAACAAAAATACGAAAACAATTCTGATTATTTATCAGCAAAAAATACAATATAATATTGGCACTTTTTTTATGAAAAAAAACCTGTATTAAAAATTTGGCTACATTCATGGCTGTTTAATATCTACTTATATTGAAAATTGGTTTAATCCTCATCTAATCCGTGCTCAATCGGTTCCATGTGAAAGCCGCTCTCAGGGTGGGCGTGATAATTCATCATCCTAAATTTGCCCTCCTTGTCGTAATATCCGAACTGGCCTTTGATTATGCCTTCTTTGTCGCGTTCTTCAAATCTAAATTGTCTGTTGTGCCTGCAGGACATAAAGAATAACACTTTTTTTTAGAATATAAAACTATTTTGTTTGTTGAAATTTTGTTTGTAGGTTATAACTTGGTTGTAATCTGGCCGCAATGCCTTATGAAGCAGTGGCCAAATAAAGCATATTTGAAAAAAAAAACAATTTCTTCTGAATAAAACCAAAAAATATAAGATAATACACATAAAAGGTGATTCGACACTAATAAAGCGGTCGATATCGCTTCCGTATAACAATAATTAATACTGACAGTACCTCGCGAAAGTGCCTTGGTAAAACAAACATTTCGTCGGTTTTTGCACCAATTTCTCTTTTAATTGAGCGTAAGAATAAACGTGCAAACAGGCGTTAAATGTTTGACTAGTTCATTGTTGCTATTGGAATTCTGCATTTTAATTGTGTACAAATTGGCAAGTATTTGGTTAGTTTCGCTTTTTTTTTTTAAAATTAGGCTTTATTTAGCCAGTGCTTCATAAGGCAATTCGGCCAGCTCACAACCAATAATGGCAACACCATAGGCTCCCGGTGGGAATCGGCCCCACAACATGTGGCCACTTAGTTTTGATTGGTTTCTGTTATTCTATTTTTATTGTTGAGTGTTCAAATAGTGTGTCAAACTAATATATCTAATTTAATATTTGTTTTAAAGAAGAATGTTAAATAAATTATTATTATTATACTGCCTAATCGTTTAAAGAGCTTGTGATAGCGTGTAGCGAAGTAGGTGGGAGACAGTTCGAGAAATAAATAAAGTAAAACTTAATTTGGTTTGCAGTTTTGTTCTCAGTTTTGAAGTGTTTTTACGGGAATTATTAGCAATATTATTGCATTTTTAAAAATATCCCCAGCGGAAAACTCTCTTTAAATTATTTTTCCAAAGTTGGGCAGTTCATAATTTTTGTTTAAATCTCGTATTTAATAAATTGTTTCCGCACTCCACTTTGTATTAGTAATTTGTAGTAACATTAAATTATTATACTTAATTCGTCTCTGTAGACTTTTCACGTTCAGGTAAAATTTTCAGTTTTCTGTTCGTAAAGTACTAATAAGAGTAAATAATAGAAACCTAATATACAGGGTGTTCCATTTCATTTTTTCACTAAAAAAATGTCTTTTAGAAAGTACGGCGTAATTAAATTTTGCTGAATGTAAAATACGCATTGGTCGGTAGACAAAAGTACATAAAGTACCTTAAACATATAATAAGTCAAGCCATTTATTTTAAATTAAAAAATAGGTCATTGATATTATCGAATTCTGCACACTTTAGCATAACGGTAATTTGTGCAACGAATTATTGACAAAAAGGGGCATAAAATGGTTCATAGAATATAAACAATAACCGAATAACTTATCAAATCGATTTAATCTGGCAGCATATTTTGTTGTTGGTCAATATAACGTAAAAAAATGTGTTTATAAGCAACCGGACACAAGCGAGAATGCGAAAAGTGATTTGGAAACTGTCATCCGATTAGTTAAATCGAATTATATCAATGTCTATAGCAAAAATTGTTTTTTAAAACGCTTCACGGATGGAAAACCATTATTCCTTCATTCCTAATGCGTATCTATAATTTTGTAGGATTATTGCTTCATATTTTACGATTGGTTCCAATAACCTGCTGATCCGGAGGTGTACATAGAATTGCATAATTATTGCCAGTTAGGTTGGTACCAACCATATAGCTATCAGATATAGTGACTCTACCATACTAAAAATTGATGCGCCACAGGTGGCTATGATTTTTTAGTAGAGAAGGTATAGAACTTTTGCGCATGCGTCATCCCCAACTGACTGAGTTGATACATTGCCATAATGTTTCTGGAAAATTGATTAATTTTTATAAGAATGCAAGATCAATCTCTGAAATCCGAACATAATTGGCAACGCCGAGCTAAGTAATTACTGTTGGCGCAGAAGTCTGTGCTGAAGTTGTTTTAATTTTGGGTGTAAATATCTCTCCACCGTACTCACAAACTTATATAATTTGTGCTTTCCATACTTTGTTCTTTCACGAGATTACAGAAAATGTTACAAATAATAGGACCCAATAGGATTTTAAAGAAACACTGATGCCTATATATTTGACATTTAACAAACTGGAAAATAGACTTACACAAATATTTAGATGTGTATTTACTAAACAGAATTCCCTACATTTTTAGTTACACTTAAATAGCTACGAAGGATGTTTGGGTAATATGTTTTTTCTATCCCCATCTGTAAAATACCTAATTACCCACCGATCTAGCGTGCAGGAAGCGTCACTGTACCACGTCAGTTTCGTTTCCCATAAATGCGAGCCACTTCGGACATTTCCGGGATTTTACCGCACGGATTTGGGAGTAATTGGATGTTTTCGGAGATACTTCCCACGCTTTGAATTTTGACGTTTCTCAATTCTATCAGTCATGTCAGTGAATGTATTTGTGTTGTTATGCGAAAATGTACCCAAAAACTAACGGTCGTAGAAAAAGTATAGTATGCAACAAGTTCGGTAAACTTTTTAACTCACTCGTTTATCAAAACTCGCTCCGCTCGTGACAAATAAACTCGTGAGTCAAATGCCGTTTACCGCACTTGTTGCATAATATACTATTAGTTTACAAGAATTACAGGAAATGTAAGGAAGAAATTAAGCTACAATTTTTACTAGAACAAGCATAAGAAATTCCCATTGTCAATTAGTCTCTATAGGAGCTGCTTCTTGAACATTTTTTCACTTAGATGTTTCATGTGCGATATCACCATCACCAAGTTATTTCAATGGAGGTTAAACCTATGAGTTTATGAAAACTAACACTTTTCGCAGATTTACAAAAAAAATAGCTTATAAAAAAATACATGTAGAAATTGCATCGTATCTTGAAGAACAAGAACGGCAAATTAATTACTGAATTTGACTGACGCTGACGTGGGTGCTGCAATTCTGCTCTGCTTTTCCAGACCTTAATTCTTTTTTTGCCCCAAAATTTAATAGGATTTCGACTTATTTTGAGAAAATACTGTCAGCGGCCATATTGTTTGTTGAAAAGTCTTATGGGTCCTACGTCAGAATTTGCAATTAGAGCTGGCATTGGTTAAAAATGATATTTTAAATCTCGCGCATGCGCACGATGAATGGAACTTCTCACAAAAAATTTACATAGTTGTTTCATGAGTTCCTGTACTGTCAGCATAAGCAGCGCCTTTATATGTCTAGTAGCTATATGGTTGATACCAATTTTGAAATTAGATTAATACGGAATCGATTAATTCACACTCACCCTTTTCCCGTATCGTAGCCCCATTTGTAGCTCATCGGTCCATCGTGTCCTGCCATGTGAAAAATGAGCCTCTCCCCTTTGCCATTACTCGGTGCTCCGTGAGCCGACGCAGCGTGCGAGTCGGCGAAAGGTGAGTATTGCTCGCCGCTCGAAAAATGGCTACCCGACTTTGCCGAATCCCCTGACGTTTCAAGATTTTCTTTAGTTGGTCTTGGCGCCCGCTGTGATTCCGCGCCCTGCGCCTCCGCCGAAAACTTTTTTTTTGGTATAAGGATAACGGGCTTGTCTAGCTTCGCTGTTTTCCCGCGCTGCTTTTGTATTTTTTCCAGCTTCTTAATCGTCAGCTTGTCGATCGGAAACTCGGGTTTTATCGACGCGTTTTCCTTCAACGCAGGCGGTAAACTTTTGCCTTGTTTCTTAAGCACCTCGTTTAATTTTTTTAAGTAGTCCAGGGGCGGACTTTTCGTTTCGACCTTTGGTATCGGCACCGGATGGTAATACAGTTTCGGGTTGTTGTTCGGATTCCACGACGTTTCGGTCGGCGCGACTAGGGTGGTGGGCGGGACGTCGATTTCGTAAACGGTAGGCGGCGGAGACGCAGTTTGCGTGACGTATTTGCCAGGCGCGACAGGGCCGTAATAGTATTGTTTAACGTCCCGATCTTGAGGTGGCTTGCCGAAACTTTCCGGCAAATATATTTGGGTCGATTGTGGGAACGCGTCATAGGCGATGGGGTAATATTCCTGACCGACTACCCTAACGGGTACCGAACCGGAAATGACGTGACGAACCGTCGCGGCCGCGACCAAGGCCACCTACAACGTAAATGTGAAAGTTGAGCAGCGTTGTCGCCGATAGCTTCGTTGTTTTCGAAGTTGCAAATGAATATATAAAATAAAGGCGTCGTGTATGTGTAAAAGAAAAATAATACTAGGTTATGAAGAGCTGTCCTTACATTTAACCCGAAGAAACTTTCAAAAATTAACTATAAGGACTATAATTAACAAGATTGCTTTCGAAAAATTGTCGCTGGGCGGGGCAAGTTCGTAGCGCGTAGCGCGAAGCAGCTTTTTATTATAAAAGGAAAGAACTTCGCGATTTCGCGTGGTAAAGGGACGCATTGTTTTTCTATCGTGCTCCTGCGGACCACTACGGAACTTTCGCAAAATCGATGTAATTTAATTGTGCATGCACCCTGTATAAAATGTCCTTCACATCTCATCGAACTTCAAAGTTGCAGCAAACATCGGTAAATATCAAAATGTGCACAAATAATAGCGTTGTCGAATGATATTTTTTCAAATATCTCGCGCCCTGTACAATTAACGAAACTTGAAATTTTTAGGATATTTTAGATTTTTAGCCAATAAACGACACACCCTGTATATGATACAATCATTGTTCGAAGTAAAGGTTATAGCTCTGGATTTTCAACGCGCCCTGGTTCAAGAATCTTTTGAAAATAGTAAATGGTTTTCGAGAAAATAAGTTTTTTCTGAAACCATGCAGTGCGCTGTAATAATCAATGACGTCATGGTGTCTTGACAGCTCCCGAAATAGCGATTTCAATATGGACTTTTTCAAATATCCCGAGCAGCGTATGTGATAGACGAAAAACGCAAATACCAAAATTGTAGCTCTTGATGCGGCCTATAACACCGTTTGAACCAACTAGTCATATTTTTTACAATTTTTGATTTGCGGCTAATAATTTCCTCTGTAAAAAAACAATTTTCTTGGTCTTTTAGATTTTTGCCTATAATTTGAAAACCCTGTATATAATCGAAAAAATGCCTGCAATAAATGTTATTACACTGGATCTTCTGCGTTTGCCGGTTAAAGAATTTTGCCAACCGGAACAACGATTATGGAGGAAAACATATTTTTCTGGAAGCTAAAATTACCAAAAAAAAAAATCAAATATATTTAAAAAATACTTGGTAATATTTGATTGCGCCCAATTTTTACTTCTACGCTAAATTTGAAGTTGATATCTGCAAATTTAGGACACCTAACACATTTCTCATTTAGCACGGAATATCGGGAACACCCTGTACAATAGGTGAAAATCTTAAATACAAAAGTGAGATCTGAATCATAGTCTTTCAGTTATAACCAATTTTCAATAATAGGGGGACCCATTTTTCAGTTTTTTTGAATTTGCGGCGCACCCTGTATATTTTTGAAAAGTTTATAGAGGTGTATCTTCTGCTTCTTCTGGTTCAAGATTTTTTTTGGTCTCGTAAACAGTTTTTGAAAAATAATATTTTTTGTAGAGCTTCCGACACTGGCTGCATATATGTGCCAAATATGAAGTCGATTGCTTCAAATTTCGGAGGGGCATTTCTTATAAGCTTATGCGCCTCGTGGAGGGTTAAAAAGGAGGCAAATTTCAATTTTGTAGCTCCAACGGTTCGAAAGTTATTCAGGAAAAACCAAAAGACGAGAATGGAGAACGGATAATAGACAAACAGACAAAAAAAAATGTTTTTTCGACGGTGATCATTTCTGTACCAACGGCAATCCCGTAGGACCTACCGTTACCCTGATATAAAACTCTTATATGAGCGCAGATACTTTCGAAAATTCGATTTCATCAATTTTTGAAAGTAACAAGATTCCTTTCGCAATCTCGTTGCTGCGCGAGGCGACTGCTCCGCGCTACGCAGACTACAAAATCGCTAGAGAGACGCATTGTTTTTCTATCGTGCTCCTGCGGACCACTATGGAACTTTTACAAAATGAATGTTATTTTCTTATGCATTAATTTTTCAAATAAACTTCCACAGGCTACTGTAGTACTTTTTATAAGACTGGATTCTCCCTGCGTCGGTTTTTGTTGAGTCGAACTAGCTAAAGTTTCGCCAATCATCCTGTTGACTTCTTCAGAGTTTGACTGAAACTGGCTCATATTTTACTCTGTACCTGGTTGTATATTGTTTGAGGGACGCGGAGCTAAATGAGTGCCATAATCACCGTCTTGGATAACTGATTCCCATATCGGTGACAGGTAGAGACCTGAGTCGCGGTTAAGATTGTTAGGTTGCTTATAGACTCTCGGATTGTTTGTTGGTAGAAGAATTGATTACATGCAAGAATTTTAGTTTCATCAAATAAGATTTGTGTCCGGTTTCGTGATTGTGTTCGGCAACTGCTGATGAGTTTATTTGTCTTAGCCTTAAGGCTCTTTCATGTTCTTTGAGAATAGCTGATATTTTTCGTCAGGTCTCTCCCATGTATTCTTCGCCGCATATGCATGGAATGCTGTCAACTCCTGGCATCTCAAATGGAATTTTGTTTTTGTTGGATCGAAGATGTTGAGAGATTTTTAGACAAGTGGTAAATCTGGTTTTGACGTTATATTTCTTTAGAACTTTTGATATATGGTCAGTGATGTTTTGAATATAAGGATGGACAACAGTGGCAAGTGTGCTTTCGGTTTTATTGTTATTGGAAGCAATAAAACGAACGAAATAACCCAAAAAAAAATTTCAATTAAAAAAATTCAATGACGCCGAGTTTCAAAAGTTTAAATGTGAGTGTGAACTTCTACCTGTCTGCAAAATTTGAAGTCTATAGCTGCAAATTTAACATACTTGCTACATTTCTTAATATAGCACGAATTAAATCGAACATCCTGTACAATAGGTCAAAACCTTGCAAAAGTTTGAGCTGTGCAAACGGGCTATATAAAGAAACTGACTATTGAAGCCCAGCCTTCTAGTTATGATCATTTACTATTATAAGGAGACCACAATTTTCAGGCCACACCCTGTATATTTTTTAAAAAATATGAAGAATAAGCGTTTATAGAATTTGATCTTGCGGATTATCTCGTTCAAAAATTTTTTCGATCACATAAAAGGTTTTCGAGAATCGATTTGTTTCTTAAACCCTTAACCTCCCCCCCCCCCCAATTATTTCAATAGGTGCCATCAGGGGACCAAATACTATTTGATTGTCGAATTTGAAGTCGATAGCTTTTTTCATAGGCTTATGTATATCGTAGAGCGTTGAAATCTCAATTTCGTAAGTCAAACGGTTCCAAGGTTATTACGTACAAACCAAAAGACGAGAACGGAGAACGGAAACAGACAAAAAAAAAATTTTTTTCGAAGCTGATTCGTTAGTGAGGAACGCGTATGCTTTGGCAAAGAATCGATTTCATTGATTTTGCGAAAGCAAGAACTCTTAATAATTTGGTAGGGGAATTAGTGGTCTGGAAAAGTGTGTGTTTGTATTTTGACTCCAAAAATGACTTTTAACTCGATACTAACTAAAAATTAATTACTGGATTGGAAATTTTAAGCTCTTTACATAAATCGAGATAAGAAAAGACTCGTCTTCAAAAGGTGTCCGAATAATGTCACATTTGACAGCTGTCAATTGAACCGATTTGGTCTTAGAGACGAAAAACCTAACCCGCCATTTTCGGGGTTTCGCCTATATTTGCCATAACAATTGATGGCTTGTAAATCTGAAGCTGTTTATATTCGCCAAGTGAGATTTTGGCGAAACGTCTGCAGAATTCCAGTCGGATGCAGGCTTGGGGATGCTAAACATGGCGGAGAGTTTTAGATGACTCGGGTGGATTTTAAAGGAATATATAGAAAGCTTTTTGAATAACTTGTAAGATATAACAGCACAGCCATTTCTGATATAGAGTTAATATGTGTTTAGGAATTTGAAATGATTGTCTCAATCGAGTATTCCTAGAGCGGTCACTGGTAATCCTAATTAGTTTGTTGGATGAATATGTGGGTGTACTTGACGTGATAATCTTGAGAGTAAACACTAAGACGACTGTCCATGTTCAACCCATTTTAGAGTTCTATATGGTCATATTTTTCAATTTTGTCATATTTTTTCAAATATTTTTATTAACAAGACCTCGACTTTTCTAAACAAGCTTCAATGGGTAAAAAATTCTGGGTAATAATCTGTTGATATGTTTGTGAAACTGTAAGCAGGGCTCCAAGTGCACTTGCAAGTTTTTAACACAAGTTTGTTGATTTATTGTTATATTATTAATTCCTTGCTTAAATTTCGCTTTATGTCAAAAATGATAAGGCAGCATTTGGAAGAATTGAATTGCAGTTTATGACGATGATCAGGTCAGCATTTGCTGATTTGATGCAGTTAGTTGTTGATATGGATTGAAGCCAATATAAAACTGTTTATTATCCGCATATATCTGCAATTCACAATGTTTGATAGAACTGAAATGAACAAAGACCGTAGATCCGAAAGTTTTGCTGTCCCAGAGGTCATCATAAAGAATTCCAAGAATTCCGAGAACCAGTTATTAAAGTTAACTTTTTGCAGTCTTCTGAGAATTTTTGCTTGCTTCATTGGTCGCTAGTATTACGAAGTAGATAGCAATAAAACGTCAAAAAACAGACAGGAAGTATTTTTATAATAAAAAAAACACACAAGAAGTGGTCGACAACCTCCGTTAGGGGATGGCACTAGAAAAAGAAGAATCCCACTATCTACACCAGTTTATTTCATACAATACAGGGTCGTTTAAAATTAATGGTGTTGGCATAATACAAAATTCTAAAAGATAATTAAATCCCCTTTAAAATGACTTGGAATAGTATATGATAAAGGATTTTGTTTAATAGTGATTGTTCAATTACTAAATAATTACTAAAAAGTTACTAAATGAAGTTTACATTTATTTTCTATGGATAATATCTCTTTTTTTCATGAGAAATACTTACTGTTTAACAATAATTAATCAATTATTAATAAACTACATGACTTTCTATGGTTAATTTTAAGGAAATTTAATAACCTTATAGAATTTTAAATAATATACCTACAGCCTGTCCCATTTACAAAAACAAAGTTTTGTTTAATTTGTGTATTCTTTCTGATCTGTAGAAAAAAAAACAATAACAAGAACTTTAATGCGATATAAAATTACAAAACGCGAAGTTGAAACTTGGTTTGTCTTAACCTATTTTCCTAGTCTAACCTAACCTAACTTTGTGACGACCTTATTAGATACCTAAGCAAATAAGCTGTATAAAAAATAGTTTTTTAATTAAAAAAAGAAAAACATTCTACAAAAGGGATAAAATGATATTACAAATCTCCTTATTAAATTTAAAACTACTGAGACCTTTTGGTATAATAAATAGTGGAAGAGATTGCTTTATTATACTTTGTTTCTTAACGCTAGAAGGTTATAAAACTTAGTGGTCTTCTCCGTATTCTATAAGCGTATTGTGTGAAGTGTGAAGTAAAAATAATCAGAAGAAAGCAGTTTAGCTAATTGGTTGATCTTTTTTTTTTGTGGTAGTTCGCGCCGGAAATTCAAATATCTTGGTATTGCGGGGTTTTAAAAGAGAAGAGACGAGAGGGAGGGAAGATGACAGCTAACTCTCGGTTACCCGATAAAGTGAGACGTTCTAAATAAAAATTCCAATGTGCCCTTAGAGAATATTAAAATATTAAGTGTGTTATGTTACCCCATACTACATTTTTATTATATAGTTTTGATTATAATATTTCACTCCACTTAAATAAGGATTCGTTAAAAATGTTTTTTTATAGATACCAATAGATATAACAGGTTTTTACGCTATATCAACAACAGTGTTATTTAAAATTATTATTGTCAAAGACGAAATCTCAATCGACTTTGTGTTAAAATTTAATACTTTAATAGAACATTGCGAAACTACAAATACGTACAAACACGAAAGAGAACAACTTAAGTTTCCTTTTTCTTTCAATTTAAGCGATTAGTTTACTTTTCTATTTTGGCGAATTCTTTTACTCAACTTTTCGATTCGTATTGTTCGTTTTTAAAACGGTTAATGGGTCCACTCGCGGAGCATGTTATAGAATTTAGATCTCGTAATTTAATACATAAATTTTTTAAAGCAGAGCAGTGTGAAAAACGTTTTTGGAGAAAGGAAAAAATGGTCAATTGCTTTGGTTCCACCAATTTGAAAAAACGTTGAAATAGATCTGAATTTCCCAATGACGCTAGGGAGGTATTAACTTTTCTTTGTGAAAAATATTTTTTTTTATTCTATATGTATCCCGAATGAATCGGTTGTCGGTGTTTAAGAAACAATCTGTTATTTAATATTATCTGAAAGATCCTGTCGACGATTTTGTGGAAATTGGCCAGTGGTTATATTAACTGACAATATGATGAGAATTGTGGAAAAATATATTCCATTGTCCTTTTCAAAGGTTTTAATTAAAATCGGAAGTCGTTGAAATATTTATTAACAGCTTATCATAAAGTAGCACTCTATATGTATACGTCGGTAAATCAAGATAATCCTGAAAGAATTCAATCAATGAATGGTAATTATAGGTAGTTGTTGTCATTCGACAAAAACTCTAATAACGAAAAACAAAAAGTAATGACCAATTACAATTTAAATAATATATATTTAAATTAAAAAAAAAGTGAAATCTATACTCATTTCGAGATACTTGTTTTCTTTATATTCGTTCACCGCTTAACCGCCGTGAAATCAGTTCTTAATAATAAAGTATATATCCCTTCACTCACCAGAATCGACGGACGAAGCATTTCAGTTACAGAGAACCACAACACAAAAGAAGTCTACCAAATTGTAAAACAGTATTCGGCTTTGCGACAATTTATATATACGTCACCCACCTTTTCTACTCGGCCGGATTCGAAGTAATAATTATAACGGCCTTTTTTTCAAATCGGCTTAAAACGGAAGTTTTTGTCGTGCTTTGGAGTTTGAGAATATATTTGACTATGAAGCACAGAAATACCATGATAATTTAAAGTGACGTAGAGCGAATACAGTTTGTACTTTGCCGTGCATCTGTAGGGTAGGGTAGTTCATAGGTCAGCAACACATTGTACACGGAACGATTGTTTCTTATTACTAAACGTGAAAACATCGCCTTAAAAATTGCAATATAAAACAAGTTACTAAATTTGATTTAAGTTTATTTCGGCTAGTATGGTTCGTGCTCTGATGTCTCGGACATTCCGTCATCGTAACGGTGTATCATGCCGGCCTCTAGCAAATATTTCGGTGGTTTAACCTCCGGTTTTTCCAAGAGGAATTCACAAAACGCCCTGGTGGATCTGCGAAAAGCAATATTATTCCCTAGGGGTATACCACAGAATATGCAAACAACAGAAGCCTAAGACTAACATAAAAATAAAGATAAAAGTCGGCAGTTCCAGTACCGGGCGCCATTAATGAATTCATTTTAATCTTTGGTTGTTCGCATGTGTGGTATTTCAAAAACAAGAAAATGTTGATAGTCAATTATGTATAAATTTGCAATAAAAAAATTTAATACGGTTCTACGATGCGTAATGGGTCTGTTGAGACATTTGAAGATAAATTCTTTTAAAATACATACAAGGAAACTTTTGCAGACTTCAGTAATGCAATATGTATGTACGTATTAGATCTCAATTCTTTCGTTACATTTTGTTTTCCTCATTAGAAAGTACCTTTTTTATTGCCCTTATAGTTATTTTTTTTTTTAGTTTCCGTTTTTGTGTTTTTTTTTCTAATATATTTTTTCTGTTCTCTTTTTTAGTTTTTAGTTTTGCGTATTTCATTTTGCAAAAATTTGTTTATTCTTTTACCAATAAAGATTATTTATTATTATTATTATTATATTTACTTGAGGTGGGTGATTCCCTGCCAGACGGCTGCCATGCTGGCCAACCTTTCCGGTACGTTTTCGCAAGTCGTCCACCTTTTATGGTAAGACTCGGCCGGAGGACGCGTTTGCATGTTCGGTGGTAGTGCACTGCCGAATGCTACCTGCGTAGGCCGTTTTTTGTATGCCCGCGAGTCCCTTGCGATTTCAGCGTGCAAAACCGCTCGCTGCCCCATCTGAAGAAATAACGTGTTTGACGCAAAGCAAATAGAAAACTCAACGCCATAAACGAAGTTTGCGTTGGTTTAGTTTATCAGTTCGTAGTTAGGAGATCAGAAAACGTCATTTATAATGGAAAAGTCAAAGTTGTATGAAACAATCACAGACCGCTAAGTTTTTAAGTTAACATTCCACAGACCTTGTACCTAATTGTGAATTGTGCTGAATGACTTGAACTTTATTCTTCCAACAATGTTCCAGGATTCTTTTCGCGAAAAGAATGCTATCATTTTTTCGAAATTTAAAGTTTGCGCACGCGCTAAACTTAATTTAACAGTAAGGTAAGGGTTACCTCTGACTGAATGTTGTCTCTAGTCAAGTGTTGTAATAATAAACTCTACAATTTTACAATTATACAATTGTACAATTTTATTGTTTGGAGTCCTGAAATTTTGGTAGCCGGAAAGAATTTATAATTCATGTCAAAATATTAGAAACAAACCATATATTTGGGAAACAGCAAAGCGTTAAATTACGAACTAATGTTGGACTAGTTGACAATTCAGGCTTGGAGATTTGCAAAACAAAAATTCGGTGTTAGAACAAACCTCTTAGTGCAACTGTTTGCACACAAAAATTTCATTTTAATTACAGGTAAATTTTTTAGAGATCTGTGAAAAGAACTGACATTAGGCATATCTTCCATGTCTAGTGACCTGTGGAAACTTAACCTTAAAAATTAGGGTTATTATTTCACCATAGAGAAAAATAACACAAATAGTGTGACGAATTAAATGAGAACAATCGGGGTACAAGCATACTTTGTAGCGCAACTCAGGATATTCCAAATGGAAAAAAGAACAAACATTGGTTATTGATGCATGAACCGGAAAACTACCGAATTTTAAAACAAAATATCCATTTTATTATTGTATATGTTTAGTTTGATTTGGAAAAAATGAACCAAAATTCCAAAACAAAGCAAGTAAATTGAAAATGAAAATGACTAAAAGATTTGAAGATTTCTTTTTCTGTAATGAGAATTTCGTTTCCAATAATTCAAACCCAATCTCTTTTAACTTTATATGTGTAGTGTGAATATATTATATATGTACAGGGGCCATCCATTATATGGCAACTCTAACTTTTTTATTTTACGTTTTAGACAGCAAAAAGTTTAATGCAAAGGTTGTAAGGTTTGATGTGCAGGTTTAATATTACATACTTGTTTATATACGGACAGCATTTCATTAAAAGTTGGTAGTTGGCCGTGCATCATCATGGTGTCACGCTCGTTCAACCATGACAATGTGACAGTGTACAGTGTATAAAATTATTGTGCAAAACATTGTCGTTGTATATAAGAAATGATAAAAATTCAAATAGAGCGAGACGCGAATATATAAAAATATTAAATAGCTATTAAAGATATAGAGGACCTGCCTATGCTGATTGATAACACAGGAAGTTATGAAGCAACTATGAAAAAACACATGCTAGAGATTTAAAATCTTCTATTTATCTATGAGCTTGAGGTATTCAAGAAGCAGCATGGCCGCTAATAGATCGTTAACAAGTTTGGATGCGGCGGTTTTACGCCAGTTAAATCCCAAAATATGTACAGATCTCATTGAATCTTCAGGCAAAAAGAAGTTAAGTGTGTTAAACTGTTTAGAAAGGAAATGACAGCAAGTGCATCATAGCTCCCTAAGGCGAATCAATTTTTATTGTAGTAGGACCACTATATTATTTAATATGGACAAACCACAGCGAACATAAGCGCATACCATCCAAAATGACATTCAAGTTTAGACAATCTTTTAGAAAATCTCAATCAATCAATGAATTAGAGAAAATTATGGTAACAGGATGGCGCTCCTTCTCATAGTGTTGCTCCAGTGATAGAATAATAATTAATATATATCCGGAATACATTGTGGGATTCGGTACGGCCAGTCAGTAGCCTAGATCTTACTCTTCCAGATAACTTTCCCTGGGAGTATTTAAAAACAAAATTTATTCTGAGTCAATTTATTACATACAACGACAATATTTCTAATTTTTGTCAAGTGGAAACATTATTCTTATATCGAATTTTTAACAATATTAATATTCAAGGTATGCCACAACTGTCATAATTAAACAAAAAACGCGGCATTGGTATGACGCCACGATGATGCATGGCCAAGGAAGTGACGATTTTATTAAATCAGCGTAAAAGACCTTCCTTTTTATGAAATAAGTTACCGTGTATATAAATAAGTGTGCAAGATTAAATCTGCACATTAAACATTGTAAACTTATATATTCCAAAATGAAAAATGGAAAACTTAGAAGGGCCAACATAATAATAATATAATATAAATATAATGGATCTATTATTTCATTTTTCAATTATTGTACGGTTCCGTCCTATGAATACCTATAAAGAACCAAGGAGAACCAAGTTTTAATATTGTTTTGTTTGCATTTTTATTTTGCTTTTTTTGTGTTTTATATTTTTTATTCTTCAAATAAAGTGATGTTAATTTTAGGAAGCATTGCAGTTTTATTACTTTTCTCTTGAATTCTAAGATAACTGTTCCCGTACAAAGTTCCTACTTCCTAATGCCACAAAATTAGTTCGTCCTGTAGCTGACGGTGGCGCTTGTGTCTACGCTTCCCATATCTACTAGGGAATCTACAACTCTCTTTTTGATTCGTTAACAAAATAAATATTTAACTGATAGTTTGTTTTTCTGCCAGCAAAACACATTAGAAAGAAATTAATAAATACGCCCGTAAACAAATTCAAGCAAAGTAAGGATTAAATGTTGGACAAAATTCATCGGAAAAAAACGCTTTTTACGTGTGGCATTCCAGTCGACTCTGCCACTTTCTCGGGCACCGACGCCAACTCCCTGACGCCGACTTTCACCGACGTCACTGCATCCCCGTGGAAACCAATCTCAAACAATCGGATCACCGACTCGACTGTCAGCGACAGGGCTTCGTCTCCGCCCAAGTTTTTGAGCCACTCGATAAAATCGGTTGCAATCTGGAATAACACTTTGCGGTATCTGCTTAATCTGCTTCGTTTGGATATGTAAAATGCGAGTCATATTGGATGTAATGGATATGGGTTAAATTGGTTACTCCCATATACCTATTAGATAATATAGTGGCTCTGCTACGGTAAAAATTGATGCACCGCAAAATGCCGTAAAAATGTCGCATCCAAATTTATTGAAGATCTGTCAGCGACTATGTTGGTTGTTGGTTGTTGTCATTGGTTAAAAAAAAGATTTAAGATCTCGCGCATAGTTGCATTCATAAGTTCCTGTATTATCAGTCATACACAGAGCCTCTATATCTCTAGCCTCTATATCTCTGTATAGCTGACCCATTAGTTTTCAAACTAACTAAATATGCTAATATTTTGGAGGAATCAGGTATTTCACACAAAATAGCAGATTGTTGATGGACTCTTTGGAAATTAGTTTGGTAGTATCGGAACTACTATATTGCATTGGTTAATGTACCGGATGATCATTTATAATGTCCCAACCCCCATTATCTTTTTTATTTAACATTTGGGAAAAAAATGTCAAATACAATAGTTGTTTAAAAAATACTAATCTATTTATAAGATATAGATACAGATAAAACTTATATATTTTTCAAGCCCCTATATCTCTAGCCTCTTTATCTCTGTATAGCTGACCCATTAGTTTTCAAACTAACTAAATATGCTGATATTTTGGAGGAATCAGGTATTTCACACAAAATAGCAGATTATTGATGGATTGTTTGGAAATTAGTTTGGTAGTATCGGAACTATCATATTGCATTGGTTAATGTACCGGATGATCATTTATAATGTCCAAAAACCCATTATCTTTTTTATTTAACATTTGGGAAAAAAATGTCAAATACAATAGTTCTTTAAAAAATAGTAATCTATTTATAAGATATAAATACAGATAAAACTTATATATTTTTTAATTGAACACCCCGTATATTGCAGGCATAATAAAATCCCCTAAAAATTCTTACATAATATGTCCTATATCCAAATCGAATAGTTTTTGAGATAAATGCGCTTTTAACATAAAAGCAACATTGAAAAATAAAATAATATTCTAAAATTTATTATTTATATCTTAGTTGGTTTATTAAACCAAATAAGAGAGCTAAATTGGCTCAAAGGAACTACGTGTAATTGACAACCGATTGTATGTTTCAGTGTTCGGCAGCAAAAAAATACCAGCTAATACATGATGATGTCTAACTGCAATTTTTATCTGATAAAAATGCATGCATAAATTACATCGGTTAACAATTTGACAGTGGCGTACAGGATGACTTTTTTCTTATTTTTTGCAAGTTTTTTTTCGGATTAGGCACAATACTATGCTCTGTTTCTTATAATGCGAGAGAGTTATAAATCATTATTGTACAGTAAAACTTAACGGTTTTAGTTATATTCCATAGGCGTAGTATTGTACCTATGATAATTGTCTCAGGGAAATTTGTCCTATCAATCAAACCATTTTATTTGCCAGACTATATTCAAACCATAGTAATTCTGCATTACACTTGCTCGGCAAAAGTGACTACACTGTCATCGAAAAAAACCGAATACAAAGGAACTGAACATACCTGTGGTGTGCAGACACGTATTAAATGAAAAATTATATATTGTAATTTCTATGAAAACTATTTTTATAAACTAAGAAAAAAAAAATTAAGGTATAACTAAATATAAGGTCGTTTATTAGAAGAGCCAGGCAGAAAGGAAATAGCAGCGTAGTATACACCCAAAAAAAAACTTCATTTATTTTACGGCATAACACTTTGTTCCAGTAAAAAATATTTTTGTATATTTCTTAAGAAAGGTTCTATTTTTTTGTAAGTTGATGTGATTAGGTACAACATTTCAATTACTAGCAGCGACATAGGCGAAAGATTTTTGAAAATTGAATTTGAAATCTAAAATATGTCTTAATATATCTTATGAAAATGGTCAAAAGCATGAAATAGCCCGGCCAGATAGGGCGACTGACTGCGTTAGACACTACTACGATACTTTATTTTATAATTTGTTAGAAGTTAGATAGGGTGTTATGTGAGGTCCAAAGTCTAAAGGGTATATTGTAAGCAAACCTCGCATGAGTTTTGTAACTTGGACTTTTTGTGCCCCCCCCCCTCCCAAATTCAAAGTATCTCCATAGACCTATTCACCATAAACAAGCAGCGATAATACCAAAGTGTCACAAAGTAGGATCTTTAGCATAGATGGTAAATGTTTTAATTTTTGAAACGTATATAAGCAATTTGAAGTTTTTGACCGACGTGCGTTTCAAGTAATAATCCGGCGTCAAATATTACGACCAAATTTTTTGCTTCATTAACCAGTGGAACAGGCATATTTTCAATTTTTATGTTAAAATTGGTCTTAATGAACTCCTCAATATATTTGTTGCCAGCAAAAGCAAAACTTGTAATTTTGCAGGATTGGGTTTTAAATTGTTATTGAAGGCATAAACGTGGATTTCATTTAAATCTGAATTAAAATTATTTCGCTACATATGGAGAGTGCCAATATTGCTGCAATTAAGTTGACTGCTATGTCAATTGAAAATAATAAGGGACCTAGAATAGAGCCTTGAGATACACCCGCGGACACTATCACGTAATCTGGCTTCTCAAATTGATTAGGCGTGTGAACTTCTATTGTTAAATTAATTCTCAAAAAGTTTGATTATACTAGATGAAAATCCAAAATAGTGAAGCTTACTAGCGGTAAAGGATGGCTACTAGAGGGCGAGAAGTGTATTATCATTTTTATCGCGGTTATGCCTGATTATATTTCAAATGTCTACCAACAATGTAGATGTGCGCCTTAGTGTTTAAAATTATTATTTCGGCAGTTGTTTCGTTCTTAAAATTCCCCACCAAAACTCAACAGCAGCAATTCATATTTTAACATGCCTCAACTTGATGGTAATTGTCTTAATATTGACTAGCTTATAAAAAAGAACTATCGAGCAATCGATCATATTGTCACGATACTACTCTTTTTAATTTTCCTTCTGCCACCACTTCGGAAGTGAAAAAAACTTTAGTTGGTATCAAAAGCGGCACGACGGGCGCAGATAGTATCAGCTCTCAAATTGTCTTTGGTTCCCATATAACTTTTATTTTAAATAGATATCCCTCTATTTGAAAGGTGGCGCTAGTAATTCCAAATGTAGTTCTCCTACAATTAGTATACTGCCTACCCTATCCAAGGTATTGGAAATCGCAATTTAAAAGCAGTTATAAATTGTTATAAATTCTTCCCGCTACCCAATCTGTGTCAGCTCTGCAGAGCGTAGATGACGTATTTTAAGCTTACAATAGAAATAAAAATACTTGTTTGGTTCTTTTAGACTATAGTAAAGCTTTTAATACGGTAAACTATAAAATTTTATATACGAAGCTTAAGTATTTGGGTTTAGGTGACTTAGCATTGAATTTCTTGCAAAGCTATTTTTAAAATAGATTTGAGGGTGTTGTGTTAGCTGATGAAGCTTCACAGTTGTTGCCCGTAACTGATAACGTAACCCAGGGTAGCATATTGGGACCTATTCTTTCGGAGATTAGTGAAATTAATATTAAATAACTCTAAAACGAAGTTGGTTATTTTTGGACTGAATAGAGTTGAGCTTGGCGATTTCGTTAAATTCAAAATAAAACTCAATGGGAGTGATGTTAGTCCTATTAAAGTGGGTACAAATTTTGGGATAAGCATTGATTGTGACTTACACTTTTTAAGTCATGTATCCGATATTCTGAAAAAGTGTTGTTTTTTAAAATGAAACTTTTATTTATGCCTGAAGATGTGCTAAATAAAAAATAAAACTTTGCCATGCTCTGGTACTCTCAGTACAAAGAGAGGTTGAAAAAAAAACTATATTTGTATCAGAAAATTATAACTGGAGCAAATATTCTCGAAAGGCAAACTAGGCATTGCCAGCTTCTCAGAATTCCTAAACATCGCACTACTTGTTTTCATTTCATTGATTTTCTTATCAGGCCCCTAAACTTTTTAATAAGCTTCCAGCTGATATCAGAGGTGCTCCAACCGTTTCTGCTTTCAATAAAAAGTTAATTATTTTTATTATTCTAAGAGGGCTAACATAACCGGTTTATTTTAGATATACCTACATGTATATATATTTTTCTTTGGTTGTTATTTTTTGTCTTCTTTTTTCTTAAAACTCAGATTTATCGGGTGGGTGTATGAGCAACTATGTTGAATACCGCCACCCTTGATAATTGTTCTCGTGACTGTTCTCAACTTTTCTGAACTTTAGGATATAACATTTAAGTGTTCACCCTGTTAAATGGTCCCTGTCATTGCGGATTTATTATTTTATTGCTGTCTCGCATAAAGAAACTAGGTACAGTTTGTTGTCTCCAATTATTCCATATCTACTTATCAAATTTATTGAAATTCTCACCTTTTCGGTAATGGTTTCGGCTTTCTGATTCAGACTCATCTCGTCCAAGGACAGCGGCGGCAAAGATCTCCAAACTGCTGCTCTATTCGGTTTGCGTCGAAAAAAATCAGCGTACATTTTCGATTTGGGCACTTGCGGTTGGGTGCTAAAAAGCGCGATTGAGCGCGTTCAACGAACCTAAAGTAACGGAATTTTCGCGGCAATGTCGCGTGAACGCAGCGCGCAAATGCATTCGGCGAACGTATTCGTAAACTGATACTGCGAGAACGTTTACGTAACTGACATTTCCGGTGAATGCGTCCGCCTTTCATTGAGTAATGTTTCCAGTCCGCTATATTGACTTCGATGCGCAGTTATTTTAAATAAAACTTACCATTGTTTTATTTTGTAATTGAATTTCATAAAGACCGCATAGCACTGCAACAGTGCTTACCAGTGTCATATAACTGCGACCACTCAAAGGTTACAGTGCTAGTACTTCTAGATCACTCAAAATCATTTGACACCATATCTCAAGAACTTATGTGTGATATGTTATACTTCTACGGGATTACAATTGAAGCTCTTATTCTGGTAAAATCAGCAGTTTAATAACTTGCCCTATGATCACTTCTGGGGCAGCGGAAGGTACGATTGTGTCGCATTCGCTTTTTTCAATTTATGCGTCAAAAATTGTTAATTCTGTCAAACATTGCGAACTGGCTTACATTACATTAAGAAATAATTGGTAAAAGCTCAGATAAATTATCACCTAGAAAGGACTCAATTTTTGGCACAAAACAAAATCTGAAAAGTTAATAATATACCAATCATCCGACAAACTTGTGTTAGAAACTTGGGAGTGCAGTTGGACCCATGCTTACAGTTTACATTGAAGCTTTTTTATGCAAGCCGACGGTTTGTTAATAAAAATAATTAAAAAATATGTGAATTCTTAGTTCTTTCACAGTTGCTTTACTGTGACGCAGAGTATATATACTTTTTAATTGCCCTACAGAAATCTCGTATCCAATCATTTTTAGATTACGTTAAAAATGGTTAAACTGAAATTGATGAACATGGAGGGTCGTCGTAAAGCATCATATTGTTCTATTTACTCACAAAATTATCACTTCAAATATACACACATATTTATCCAACACACTAATTTGGATTTCCAGTGTCGACTCTAGAAATACTCATTTCAAATTCCTAAACATAAATCCACTCAAGTTCACAAATTCACTTTACTACTTTACTATTTACTTTTTCTACTGAGCTGATCCTTGTTAAAAAATCATTCTATAAATTCTTTTAAAATTCACATTCGGAAACTTTAAAGTATCATTTTACGTTTCACATTCTATTTTCGTTAATAGGAAGTTTTTTTTTGTAATTTAGTTGTAGTTAATTATAGTCTTCACATTTAATTTTTCTTTTTTTTCACCCAAACTTCGCATTTGGCCAATTTTTCCTTTGTGTTATTTTTTCTTTTTTTTTATCTATTTCACTTTGTCTTTTTTAAAAAGTAAAGTACGCCTGGTTTCATAAAAAACTGATACGACTCTTAAAGCACGTTTTTTCAAAGTTTTGAGCAGTGTATTATAGGCCAACATATCGTCATGCAAATTTCATTGTTTTCATATTTCTAATGTTTCAAATAAAAAAAATTGTCAACGTCAAGGCTTAAAATACGAGCAGAAAGTTCAAAGCAAGAATTGTGACCAAGTCAGAAGATGGTTGGTCCTTATCAGCGGTAGCTCAACATTTTAATGTAAGCAGAACAACCGGTTTTTCCATTAATAAAAGGTGTAGACAAAAAGAAGCGTTTGAAAAGAAAAGGAGATCTGGCAGACAAACAGTTAGTTCAGTTCAAGAAGATCAGGCGCTCCTTCGGATAGCCTTTCCAAAGCGCGAAAAACGCAAGGAGTCTGTCGGAATTTCCAGACAGTAAAACCACAGTTTGTTGAAGAATTAAGGTTTCGCAGATCAAAAAGACCGCACTCCCTCCCCAACAGAATCAAGCGTGGCTTATTTTCGCTCTTAGTTATCAAGCGCAAGAACAGCAGTCAAATTTTACGATGAAAAGATCTTCGAGACTTTCAATGAGTGTAAAATCAAAGTGTACAGACTAGATAACCAGCGTTTGAACCCTCGATATGTTGACAGGTAGAGAGCTGCAGGCCGTTTCAGTGTAAGTGTATGAAATGGAAGTGGTATGGCGGATTTAGGGAAGATTTGTTCCTCAAACTTGTGCCGAAATATTGAAAAACGTTATGGCGCTCAGCATGGAACAGCTTTTCCCGAAAAATAATTATATTTTTCAACAAGACAACTGTCCTGTCCACACTGCAAACATCGTTAAACTAATGGCTCCAACATGCCAACATTGAAACCTTGGCATGGCCGAATAACAGTCCTGCAACCCAATCGAAAACATGTGGGGGATAATGGTGAAACGGCTGTATCGAAGAAATTTTATGCTTCGAAGCAGCGCGGAGCTATGGCTATTGGGAGGTATGTCGCTTGAAGAAAACTCCATAACTCGTTTCATGACCATGGGACGAAGGCTTCAAGCTTTTATAGATGCGGATGGAGATTGCACAAAATATTAAATTCCTGAGAAGTGTTTCTTCTTGCTCTCTTTATGTTGATAAAGATCAACCATGTTCTAAATTTGTCCTTGCATTTTCCTAAACCCGCGATAAAATACCCGTTCGATCGGTTACGGTTATTCTCGGTACAGAAAAAATGTAAGGATACCAAACGACCCTTTTAACGAGACACTAAACCACGCTGTTGCCAGCTTATAAAATAATCCTAACCTTGACGAAAATATAAGGTAATGTTCGCGACATCCTCCCACCCGAGACCTGTCCTTAACATTACAATAGGGTCTCGGACTAAAACATAAAGCTACATAAATCATTTAGGGATTTTGTCACTCGTCCGCACTAACTAGTGTGTCGGGTACTCTGCTTTTTTTCGCTCTTGATCTTTTTCTAGCTCATTCCATCCTCCCCAGGCCAGAGATCTGGATCGAAGTAGAGCCAACTTGGCCCCTTCCACCATTTAGAAGACTCTAAGTACTTGGCGGAACACCCACGAGATGGCAGATCGGCAGGATTCAAAACTCCGGGAACATAACGCCAATCTTCCCAGGACGTTAAAAGACGAATTTGGGTGACACGATTATGCACAAAGTTACGCCATTCTTCATTTCGACGAATCCACGAGATGAGAGTGGAGGAATCGCTAACCAAAAATAACCTTTCACATCATTTCTAGGGTTTGGACAACAAGCTCTAATCATGAAATTATAATCTCTTTTAACGGCGACACACGGCTCAGAAACATAACAGCTGCGTAGGCGCTCTTACTAGCATCACAGAAAGTGTGTAGGCTCGAAGCATTAGCTTCAGCCGGGCCAACTCTTATCCAACGGGGGATCTTCACATCCACTAAGTGTGGTAATTCTTTGACCCATTGGCGAAAAGCACTTTCAATCTCCTGATTCACTGTGACGTCCTATCCTATCTTTTCCTTCCAGCTTTTCTGCGGTAATAACTTCAGAATCATGGTAGTCGGACAGGTGAATCCTATAGGATCAAACACCTTTTGCGTTAACGAAAGCATCAATCTCTTGGTGACAGGTTGATCTGCTATCTTGCCCAACTCTTCCATGTAGCCTTTGGAAATGGTCAAAAAATCACTGCTCGTATCCCAGACTAATCCTAGCAGAGGAGTAAGTGAACACTTTGATGAGACGTCCATTTTAACTGGTTGATGCGTGAACTGCCACCCCCGTAAGTCGAAACGGGCTTCGGCCATGGCACTAGTAGACTCTCTGATTAACTTGTTTAAGGTAAAATATCAGACACACTCGAAACACAATTGTCCACATAAAATTCTTTGGACAACCTTAGGAGACTCCGCCTAGTATATGGAGCTTTATTTGGAGATATATAAGGTATGGTAACAAAAAAGGACTGTTGACGCCAAAAACAACTCGTCTATTGTAGATCTTTTCGCGGCACTCTGAATCGACCCATAAGAAGTGAAGTTAGTCTCTATTATCTTGATGAACACTTATTTGTAAAAAAGCCTTACGAATGTCCGCTGTCACCCCGATTCGACACTGTCTGAACCTGAGTAAGATGTCTGGAATTAGCTCAATTAAATTCCCCCTCTCAAGGCATTGGTTCAAAGAAGAACTTTCCTTCCCTTTGGTTGAAGCGTCAAAAAAGGGTCGTATCTTGGTGGTTGCGTTGCTTTGTTTTATTACAGGTTTGTGAGGCAAATAGTTCCTTAGTACCCCCACTGGCATACTTCTTCGATAATCTTCTCGGCTAACCACTCTTTGAATACCTCACTGTACTCTTCGAGAATCCCTTCAGACCTCAACTTCTTGAGCATATTATCCAGTCTCTTATGTGCAACATCGTAGTTACTTCACAATGGCGGATGACCCTCCACCCATGGCAGCCTGACCTTATAACGGCCCTCCTTGTCTACCTCTACTGTGTTGAGGAAAAAATCTCTTGCCGCCAGAGCTAACTCAGCTTTTGATTCTTGCTCGCTGGGCTCTGTAATACCCAAAACATCGAGTTTCCACAACTGAGTAAAAGATGCGTCATTTACCATTATTTATACTGACTGAAGAATAGAGTGGCACTCTGCCCATTAAGGTCCATCCCAGTATCGTCTCGATTGCAAGCAACCCGTATGCTAGAAGGGGTCTTCTTCCAGTGTATATTTTAACCGTCAATTCGCCACAATTAGCAATTCGAATATTCAACCTCTCCAGTTCTTCAGTCCAGACGCCATGAAAAACAGGAGAAATATCATTTCAAATCACTGGTTGAGACAAAGCTTCAAAGGTATGACTATGATTATCATGGTTGAATTTTAGCTCATAACAGTCATAATTCTGATCTGAAGTGACTCCTCCAAACAAGCAGGGGGAAGAGTAGCTCAAAGATTGCGCAATAGATTTCAAAATGTAGGTGTTTTGTGAACCAGTATCAATTAAAGCACGAACTAACCGTTGAGAACCACTGATACCGAATAAATTTACTCTCAGAGTTTGCAAAAAGACGTGGGTACTGGAGGTATTTGTACAAGTTACAGTTCCCGAAGCACCAAGGATGCGTTAGAACAAAATGCTCTCTGTTACATAAAATGCAGTCCAGTCGAAGCTTGCACTTGCGCGACTGGTGTCCCATCTTTAAACATCGAAAGCAAACTTTCTTGGAACTTAACATGTTCCGTTTCTTCTCTACAGTAAAACTTTGCACTTTGAAGAAATTTTGACTCGCGTGCTCCCCGTTCCAAAATATACACTTCGCGGAATCGCAACTTAGTAAACCTGTCGCGGTAGGAACATCCGAATCGACAGAGTTCAACGCACAACATCTATCTCCCATTCCGCGACCCGAACCTTTCTGACCTCCTGTGGATCGCAAACCGAAACTCTCAGACTCTAGGGAGATCTGCTGCTCGTTCTCAACTTCGTTTTGCAAAAACTGCATGAGCACATCTAATCTTTTCTCTAACCTTTCCCGCGAATTATCCGGTTTACCGAATGGTGAACGTTGCCACGCGCGTATTAAGTCCACGGGTAAGCAATTTGATTTGATTTGATGAGCGGATACAACATAGCCGCACATTTGTCAGAGGTTATGCCCAATCTCTCTAATGCACGCAACTGTGTCTCGGTCAACTCCATTTTTTTCCCGCGACACTGCGTTATCTAAAACCAACTCCAGCAAACCGCGAACGTAAACCTCGATTTGCAAGTCTTCACGACCGAATCGCGACGTTACAGTCGGAAAACTTTCTACCAGCCGTCTAGCCCTACTGCCTGCTGCGGTAGCTTGTATCAAATATTCGACTTTATCATTTAAGGCGATATTGCTGTCTTCATGTATTTTCCGGAACTGGGACCAGAAAGAGAGCCAGTCTTTCACATTGCCGTCAATTTTTTAAAACTCTATAGTAGGTAAGGTAATTTGCGCCTAAATCTTATACCAACTGAGCCATTACCCCCTGATACATGAGATTGTGCATCTTCCGAAGCAGCTGTAACCAATCTGGAGCAATACTCTTCACACTTTACATTTAACAAAGCAAATCTTGACTTATAGGCCTCGGTTGCCTCTATTTCAGCCACTAGGCCCTCTTTAGTAGCATTCTCCATCAACAAGTCAAAAATATCAGAGTCAAGCTGCTCTGTTTTTTCTCGTAGAAGATCCCAGGACACCCTCACGGCCTCCACGTAACTGTCTGAATACTCTAATACCTTCGTACCTAATATAAGCATAATATGCGACTTTTGCAAGATATCTTCACAAATTGACCAAACAGGATGTCTCTTATTGCTTATAATAATCTCGTGTTCAAGCAAACAGTAAAATCAGAGATAAGTGATTAACGCAAAAGTTTTGTTATATATTTTGTTGTATTTTGTTGTAATATTGTTATACACGCTCTTGACTAAAAGAGCCAAACTCAACTCTTAAAAATATGCGTATTAATGTTTATTACTCAAAATTTTTTGCATAAACCTGCCTTTAGATCCCATATTGAACTTCAAAACAACTTTGTTTTGTCAAGATGTGATATGACAGCCTGATGTGTATCAGTTTTTAATGAAACTAGTTGTACTAAGAGAGCCCTAAAAGAGCCCTAAATAAAGTATACTTGCAATACTTTCTCGATGGTGTCGCTTTTTGATTTGGCGTCCAACTCCCTCGCGACTTCGTGGTACTCGGCCTCATCTCGGATCGACCTGAAGAAAAAATTCAAACGGAACCTTTTCCAACCCAATTTTTCTCCTTCCTTTACTTGGTGCTGATTCGCCTGGCTGAAATTTCAAACCAATCGTCGTCGCGGGCGTCGCCGCCGTCCTTTATCTCCAAAGCGTTGACTTGTTCCTGAAACTTTTTGCTCTGGATGCTCAATATCGACAAAATCCGGGCCAGGATACGCTTCGGGAACACTTGGTTCAGAATAATCATCTGCTTGTGCGCCGGCTGAAATACAATGTTACGTCAAACCATATTAAATGATTACTGAAAAAATATGTCGGCGCCCTTGGCTTTAAATGTTTATTTTTGTCTCGTGTTATTTATCAGCACCCTATACCTGAATTATATTTGATACATTGGAAAATAAATATATCATATTATTTGAAATTAACTTTAATCATTTAATATTTATAAAAATGTCAAATACACTAAGTAACTTTACACAGAACGCTTCGAAAACAAAATTTTTTTGGGCGCTGTTAAGCAAAGTATTAATATTTTAAAGTCAAGAAAACTAACAGAACCATAGGTACCAAAATAAGTATTCTTTAAATTATACTCTGCTCATAAATTCAGTCTCGCTTTGTTATCATTCTTAGCGATATATATGCGATATGTTTTAAAGCCTTTGATTGCACACTTTATGTAAAGGGGCTAGTGCAGATCCTTCTTGTATTTTTTTTGCATGTACTTTAATTTAAAAAACATATACATAGAAAAAAAATTATCCAATTAAAATAGTCTCTATTTTCTAGAGTATATATCTCAGAGTGTATGAAACATTCGATAGAGGGCGTAACAACTAACACAAAGCACAAAAATGTGTGTTTTTTTTATGTAATTCACAATAGAGAACTGAATTGTTCATCAGAAATTTTTAAAAAATTACAGAAAATCTGCGCCACTGACTTTTTTGAAATCCTTACATATTTTTTCTTTGACTAAGAAATTCACTATATATCCTCTTTGTTTCTTTTCATTGCATTTTGTAACACCCTGTATATGTTCTCATGTGAGATATGATAAAAATAAAATATTAGATATTAACAAATGATTTTCAAATCACTAAAGCATTTTACTCGTTTTTTTTCAGTACTAGCGAGATAATAGTAGTGAAATAATCCTTTTAAATATTAATAGATTTATTCTAAGAAAAATGTCAACCTAGTGGACTAGGTTGACATTCTTCTTAGCGCTGTGCATGACAGTAACATTCCGAAAATGGTAGACATGTGCGTTTAGCTGTCTAACGTGTAATATTCCTACTTTGTTGTCTTCATATTTCCAAGAGGTAAGACTATGTTTATGTTTTCATTGTGTACCTTGAAACAAACTTTTTTTCTTCTTTTAGAAAACATGTATCATATATATCGATTTAATTGATTTGACAATAGAAAATAACATTCATAGTGTATGGCACCCATCCCCCCCATTTAACCCGTAAGATATAACCTTCAAATGTTGGTCTTTAGTCATGGCTCAAAAATAGCCCTGGGAGAGTGATAGGTACGAGGTTAGCGCCAAAATTTCCCGGCCTGACATAGATGCAGCTCCAGTATCACAATAAAACTTTGTCTTCTTTTAAATACGTATCTTAGTAGGCTGCGAAAAAAAAATAAAATCTTGCGTCAAATAGTTTTTATTGACACCATTTTAAACAAGACGTGTCTGAAAAAATGTCGCACATAACGCAAATTATAGTATATAGTAGTATAGAGCAGTCATAAATTTTGTGACAAAAGAAGGGTTACCACCTAAAATTATGGATGGTGTGTACGACCGAAGAATGGGCAAAACGTTTTCGAATGGGGCAGGAGTCCCTTGAAGATGATTCAAGAACTGGTCGAAGAGTGGAGGTCATAATGGAAGATATTGTTGCGATTGTGGAAGAGGTGGTATTACTAAGCTTTCTGATACAAGTGTTCGTCGAATCCTGCATGATCATTTAGGTATGCATAAGGTTAGTGCAAGATAGGTTCTATGCGCGGTCTTTTTTGGAATTCTGTGTGTCGGAACCGAATCCTGTGATAGAAACTATTATGACGGGAGATGAAACTATGGTTCTCTATTATGACCCTCTATAGAAAAAAGAATCAAAAAAATTCAGAGTCTGCCAGTCAACAAAAAAGGTGATGGCGACGATCTTTTGGGATTGTGAAGGAATTCTTTTGATAGATTTTAAAGAAACTAATACCCACTGTCAATGGTAAATATTACGCAACATTAATTTATAACTTGCGAGACTGCATACGTAAAAAACGTCGAGGAAAACTGCCCAGAGGCGTGCGTCTTTTGCACGATAATGCACCTGTCCATACTGCTGGTGTTGCAGAAGTTGACATTTTAGAGTGTGGGTTCCAACAGATAGATCATCCTCCCTATAGTCCAGATATGACCTCCAGCGACTATTATTTGTTTGGATATTTGAAAAAGGACTTACGTGGACGGAGGTTTAACGACGAAGTTGATTTAAAAGAAGCTGTTTTAGCTCATTTTGCAGACAAACCAAAAGAACATTTTTTTAAAGGGATTGAGTTGTTAATAAGGATATGTAATAAGTGTATTGAAGTTAAGGGGGATTATATTGAAAAATTATAAAAATTTGTTACTCTACTTTGTTTCTTTCTTATTCAAGCCGGGAAATTTTGGCGCTGCCCTCGTAAGTCACTATTGGATAGCTGCTGCTGAGATGCTACGCCGAGCGTACTTCAGCGTTACAAGTGTAGCAGTAAATTATCTCCTAGCTTGAATACCAACCAACCAACAAATCTTTAACTGAACCAAAAAATGCTGTGACAATAACAAATGTGGTAAATAACTCATCCATTCTAAGCACAAATAAGAACTTTGTAATACTTGCAAACATAAATCATGCGCCTTTACTACCGTGCCTTGTGCAATTAGTAACAAAGAAAGGTGTGGTGCCACTGCCTTAATAACGATCTCTTCATATGAATTACAACTTCAAGAATAGTAGTAGTAGTTCCATTAAACCCGAAGAGTCAAGAAATAAAAATTCAAGTTAAGCAAAATCCCAAGTATAAACTAAAGGAAAAAGGCAATGAGAAAAAGGTTAAACGAGCTTCAAGCTCTTCAAGGACAGAACTTGATCGTAACTGAAGTGCAATTAGTGATAATATAATAATAAAATTTTGGATAATTTGCCGGTGTATATCCGTTATTTTCATAGATAGAAATTTGAGATTTTCACGACAGTGAACTAGATTTTTGTGAAACTACCATAAATTTCATAGACTTCTTAGTTTTTATGATACAGGGATAAGTTGAAAATATCGCATTTTCAGGCACCCCTCGGATCCCAACTATCAGATAACTTATCGAAAATGTGAAAACTGTCTCTTATATAACTTTTAACGAAGAATTAGTATACAGGGCCAGGTCAAAAGCTTATAACACCCTACATTATTTTCAATAGCATATTCTGTATATTATTAGAATATAAAATAAATGATAATTTTCTAAAATAAATGCTTACTTTAATAGAAGGTCATAAATAACAATACTAAGCAATTGAAAATTAGATATTGTTAACAATAGCTTTTGAAGTTTTATAATAAAAGTAAGCTTACAACAACAGATTTGTAGCATAAGTAAACACAAGAAAATACATTATTAAAAAGAGAGAAGAGAAACAAAGTTTTGAAGGTAATGTTTACATTGACGACCATTTTCCCCTTTAAAAAATCTAAAATTGAGAAATCGGGAGATCACGGAGGCCATCTAACATATCGGTTGATACATAGGTTGTTAAAAGTTGGAAAGTTATTATTAAAAAAATCCCTTAAGAGCATAGAGTTATGATTTGGGTCACCATTTTACAGTAAACAGCCAACATAGTATATAGTATATTTAGTATATTGAGGAATATTTTCCAACAGTTCTAGAATAACTTCAAGGATTTCTAGGTATCTACTTGCTGTCCGCCCTCCTTCAAACTCCCTCCTAGAAACTATATGTTTGCCCAAAATAAAACATGAAACAATTCCGAAGCGTCTTTGTTGTGCCTTTTCAAACATTAAACGCTGATTCTCGGCACAACAATTTTTGATATTGCGACGATTGAAAATGCCCGCACTTGAGAAACAGCATTCGTCTGACCAGATAGCAAACCTACCAAATAAAGCATTAGCATAATAGCGCTAGCAAAACATTATTATTCCAATAGGGTATCTGGTCCATATTTTGCCAGCTCCATGTCTCCCGGTACTAAAGATTTTTCGTTGTTCATTTCTTTCATTACTTTTTCTCTATTTCTTGCTTTTACCTTTGCTTGTCTATCACAACATCGTTTAGTTTTCTCAAAAATTCTGTTCTATCTTGCGTCAATTTTGATTTGTAGTGTTCTTCCTATTCGTTCTTTTCAGTTAAGTTAATATTTCTTATATACTTCTTTTTATGAAACTTTTCAAAAAATTCCATGAATGTGTTACTCTAGTTCATCCTAAGTGTCTTTCTACGTTTTCAACACATTTCATTCTTTCTTTTGACAACTTATTTTTTGTATCTCTGCTTAGTTGAACATAAATGGCTCGATCTTGTGCGTTTTTCGTTTTTTACCACATCTCAAGCTTTTTTGTGAATACATATTTTAAGGATAAAATTCATAATAGCCATAATAGCTTACCCAGCCTTGGAAATAAAGCTGCTTCACAATTTTAATTTCTCTGTGTAAAACATTTTCATAAAAGAAATTGTTATCAATCAAGCGAAAGTACGAACAGAACGGGAATAAACTGCTTTGAGTCGATCCAAAAATCGCTGAGAATATTTGACATTTGTTTTTGTTTGTTGCCCTAAACATTAGCCACAGTCATTGTCCATTTAATTTTCGAAAATTGTCAATTATATATTTTCAAAAAGTTACAAAAAAAACAATGTTTATCGTCTTTAAATATTAAAAAAGTAAAGTGACCTGACCCTGTATACTAATTCCGAAGGCGGAATTGAGTTATACGGAAAAAGGCACAGTTTTCACATTTTCGATATGTTATCTGATGGCTGAGATACCAGGGGTGCTTGGAAATGAAATATTTTCAATTTAGCCCTGTATCTAACTAACCAAAACTAAAATCGCTATGAAAATTTTGTTAACGGCAGCTTTATTTTTACTAAAAAGTAATAATAAAACTTTAAAGTAATGTTCCTTTCGCTTTTACTTTGTTTTATACTTTTCTTTTTATAGGGACTTTTGCTATATTACGAATACCTAGGAATATTGGGAACCCATTTTAAAAAAAATTCCAGTCCAGCGTTCCTTTTTTTTGATTCCCGTTAAAATAAATCATTTTTTGTTAAATACAACAAAATGGTATCCGATAATAGGCTACTTCCCTCTACAACGTACTTGGTTTTTATAGACATTTCATCAAATCGGCCGGCTTTGAATGTTATTATGGTGTCTTCCAGTGCTATAACTTACTATGGAGGCGTCCGTTTCCAAAATGCGGAATAGCTCGTACCACCAGTCGCGAATTTGAGAAGAGTTACGTTCGTATTTGTCGGCGAAGACTTTTCTGTCACAAGTAGCGTCTGGAAATCCAGCGAAAATTTTCCATTTTTTCCAAAATTTGGACCCAAACTTTTACTTACTTCCTTTCCGGTTGCCCATAGCGGAGTTTGACGACGTTCCTTACACCGTTCTTCCTGGACTGACGTTATATGTGTCCGCGTCAGTTTTCAAATTTCGTTATTATACGTCATTTATAGTTTTATCGATATATAGACCATTGATGTAACGTTTAGAGGGGGTTTGATTTCGGGAGTCGTCGGAAACAGGTACGGAAGTCGTAAATTGTTTGAGGGTTACCGCGTTATCTCATTCGAAAAAAAACTATAAAGATTCAGACTTCTGAGTCAATGTCTTAAAAAAAAAATTGATAACATCATTAACGCAATCAACCAATTGCTTCGGAAGATTAAGTTCTTTACTCTGATACGAAAACAGATTTGATTTCTTTCACATCAGCAGTACTTTTTTCCGTAACTAAAATGTTCGTGAATCCTGATGAAGACCTTTTCCTGCCAGACTGTTCGATATGCACTGTTAAAGAAACCTAACAGTTCAAAGAATATATCCTTGGTATAGAAAAATACTCTATTGGATCCATAACTTTTCTTAGAAATTGCTTTAGTGTATTATGTTCTGGGTGATTTGATTTTATTATACGATAAGAGCGATTCATATTTGATGGCGAATTTGGCGAATAATTTCTCAATGGATAATCATCATTGAATGCAATTTGTCTAATCTAAGGAATATTAAAAACCCTATAGAACAAAGAACAAAACTAAACAAATTTCTGGGAATAGTGAATGTTTTAGGAAAATCGTGTCACATTGTCAGTAGATCTGGATTTTCTAAAAATCGAAGATTCAATTTTTTTACATTTCCGAACTAATACAAGATCGGGAAACGGTAAGGTTCCCCCGATTTTATTCGCCAACTTCAAATAAATTTGATCGTGTAAGGAACTGATAAGCGTTTATTGGCTGCCATTCCAGACAATGCAGATATCGTCCACATATCTTTTGTAAGCTATTAAACATGTGCAGAATTCACTATCCATAATTTTTCTTTCAAGACTTTTTACCAAACTTTCTCTTAAAAAAAGGAGATAAGCAAGATCCCATTGATAGTCCCGAAGTTTGTCTGAAAAATTATTGGATTTAAAAAAAAAGTTCTAATACTGTCATCAAAATCAGAACTAGATCATCGAATTTTTTAAGATAAAGAGAAATCAACATCAACATCTGAAATGTGAATATTCTTCAAGGAACTGGTCAACTCCACTGATTTTTTTGTAGAATAAATGCTCTGAAAATCAGTTGTACTAGCTTGATTCTGACAAGGTGGCCCCTTGAACGAAACTACGTGTCGAATAAGAATCTCCTCTTTATGAGCCTATGCAAGGCGTTTTCTAATTGAATGGCAATAATCAAGGCGACAATTTTTGAGTTCATTTTAAAAAGAAAGCTTAATATGTCCTAAACATACTTTTTTTATATATCTGTAATACCATTTTAGATATTTTAATGAAATTTGGCACACATGTAGAGAAATTATTTAGTGTAAAGTCTCTTCATAGATATAAGAGAGTGACTAGCTGATACGAATTGAGGAAAGACCCGGGCAAGCTGTAAGAATGAAATATGGCCGAATAGGTTCGTACTTTGCTTAGAATTTAATTATTTGGGGTTTTGTTAGGAAAAATACTAAACAACATTTATTTATTTATGTGTGTATTTATGTTTAAATCTAAAATAAAATTACAAATTATTTTTATTACATACTTAAATTACATAAAATTATTCACATAATATATCAGTATCACTATCGCTATCATCGCCTGTTCTAATTATTATTTGTTCTATGTTTTTTTGCAATATGGATATACGATTGTTCTGCTTTTTCTATATGTTTATCAGAATTTGCACAACTTTGTGGAGGGATGTTAAAAACTTCGCTTTCTATAAGTTTGAGTTAACACGGGGAAAAACATTGTTACGACGAATGGCAGATTTCAGTTGGTGCCAAACATGTTGAACGGGATTAAATATACAGTGGTAAGGTGGAAGCCTTAAAACTGTATGCCTAGATTTTTTGCATAATTATCACAGACGTATTCCTTTTGTAGGTTCAAGCTTTGTAGAACCTCAATTAATTACTTTTTGGTATAATCTTCGTGAAAATAAATGCCGTTATTATACATGTAGTTTTGGATTGTTGCTTTTGTGTCACATGAGGAAGGGTTTTGGCCAACTGTCTAGTGTGATTGTCCATTACAATGACGCTATTAGGAGAAATGTTTTTAAATCAACTTTCAAATAAATTAGCGGTGGTGTCTTCATGGTAACCTTTGTTCCTCGTATAACTGGTTAAGTTTACGCAGCATTATATCTTGATCACTTTCATCTACACTCGAGAAAATGTCAGCATCGCTTCTTTTTTTCCTCGCTTAAATGGGATTATTCACAATTTTCCATACAGTTGATGTTGGAATTTTGTGGCCGTTTCTTCTAAAGATGCTTGCTTGCTGGCACCACGTTCAATGAGAGTCAAATAAACATTGTTTATAACTTCCTTAGTCTCAATAGAGTAGTGTTTTCTACATTTGGGCGGGAGAATCTCCTGAGATACACTAGACTCGCACATACTTTGCATAATTCGCACACGATTCACACGCTGTATTACACACGAAATAAGAATGATTACTAACAAACTTAAACTAAGTAGTATACCAAACCAAAGAATATTAAACACAAGTAGGTATAAAATTATTTTCTATTACGGACCATCATTTTACCTGAATTTAAATTCCGAAACTTTAGGTAATAATCTTGTTGCGTTGTATGTTAATGACCACCCTTGGATAATCCCATTCAAAAGCAATTGGTCACTTTCTTATATCTATGAACAGACCATACCACTTTTTTTTTAATACACCAGTGGTGGACGTACTGAATTTCACTCGTCTCTTTTGGTAGACATTGAGGGTGCGCCACTGATTTCTCTTAAAATACAAATTATTCTCACAATCTGCAATCGTTCCTAAAGAAATTTAATTTCTTGATTTTTTCTTGAATCCGACGTACGGTTTACTTTTTTTTTAGGTTTTACTAGTTTTTATTTTTAAGTGAAAACCGTGCGACCGATTCAAAAAAATTAAGAGATCTACTCCTAAATGATTCAAGGAATGTCATTCTTTTTTTAAGCAAATCAGTGGCGTGCCACCCATTGTGTATGAACAAAGAATATTTTGGTTAATTAGGTGGCCACTGCACTGGTTAAATCGAGAACGTTTTTTGTGAAAAATAAAAGATCTACCGAAAACAAAATATCTAGTTTATAGTTACCAACTAGGATCATTCAGAAAAAAAATTAGAAGATTGTTCTTTTTACTTTTACACTTTTAACGAAACAACATAACATCCTAGCAATAAGATAAATAATAAACAATTCTTATTGAAAAAAACAATACCTACTATTAATAATTTTTAACAAAATTGTCTGGCGATAAATTAATTACAACCCTTTTGAAAAAAAGTACAACATAGAAACTAGGTAAGGTGTTGAAAGTGTCCTTGAAGGATACACGATGCAGTACTTTTCCTTATATTATCGCGCACTGTTAGAAGTATACCTCCAGTATTTCTTATTAAATCACAGGAAGCTCTGCATACGATCCTTCAGCTCTTCTACAGTGTTAACTGGGATGCAATAAACCTGAATTTTGAGATGCTCCCATAAGAGAAAGTCTAAACAATTTAAATCTGGGGAACTAGAGGGTCATAACAGAGGTCAGCCGCCACCTACCCATCGGTTATTAAGTGAGTGATTTAAATATTCTCTTAGCGCAACACTAAAGTGAGAAGGCACACCGTCATGAACCACATTCTGTTCTGGCTATTGGCAAATCCTCTTCTAAGAACAATTGCAGTAAAAACATTTATCGAAAACTGTTCTTGATGTTAAAATTCTACAACTGCATGTGGGTTTTTATCTGCGCAAATGTTGTTATTGTGGAAATTTCGGATTACAGTTCTGGAACATTTAGGTTCATCCCTAAGTAGTATTTCTTGGTCAAACAAGGGATAATGCGCAATTTTGTCCAAAATCCATTGACAAAAATTAACATGTAAGGCAAAATCTTTGGAAAATAACGCTTCGACTCGTTGAATATGATATTGGTACAATAAAAAATACTCCAAAATTTTCCCAACCAAGAAGTCCGTTATTCCAACTTTTCGATACTAAGTTCAGATTTTTTATCAATAAAATTTGAAACTGCTACTTCAATTTCTGTAGTTCTTACGATTATTATTAAATTATTATTTGTCCTCAAAGTATCTTTTTAGTCAAACTTCCATGTATATTTCAAAATGTTCGTCTATCTGTTATGACTCTATCAGCAAAGCACTCTGCCATGAGACAAACCATACATAAAATGCATATCTGCTAACTCCTCATTAGTAAACTCGGCCATTCGTTTTTAAAATAATAATTCTAGAATACCTTAAACACCAAATTATTAAGACGCGAAGAACTGAATTTAAAAACTGATGTCAAAGAACTGTCAAGCAACCGCCTTGACACCAGAATTAATGATTCTTACAGGCACAGCCTACTAAAATGGTAAGAACTAATTATAAAGATTTCAAAAACTCACCTTAGAACCGATAGACAACAATGATTTTAAGTGCGTGCCTTTGAAAAGACTAAAGCTAAAGCTGTAGTGTAAGTTGGAATTTAGCAGACTGATTATTTCATACCTCAAAATATTTTTATCGGAAATGTATTTAGACTGTATATTCTGGGTTCTATGGCTAAAGCTTTTTTAATATTGCTAGGATTATTTTATAAGAAATTATGCTTTTATAAAATTACTCATTAAATCTCAAAGACTGCACAAATCACGGTTTTTTTATAAATAATTCATTACTTTGTATACACAACAATGTAAATAGTATATTATGCAATAAGTGCGGTAAACGGCATTTGAGTCATGAGTTTATTTGACACGAGCGGAGCGAGTGTTTAATAAACGAGTGAGTTAAAAAGTTTACCGAACGTGTTGCATACTACGACCGTTAGTTTCTGGGTACATTTTCGCAAAACAAAACGAATACATTCCCTGACATGACCGTCAGAATTGACAAACGTCCAATTTCAAAGCGTGGGAAAAATCTCCGAAAACATCCGATTGCTTCCAAATCCGTTCGGTAAAATCCCGGAAATGTCCGAAGTGGTGGATTCATGGGAAACGAAAATGACGTGGTAAAGTGACGCTTCCCACACGCTAGATCGGTGGGTAATTAGGTATTTTACAGACGGGAGTAGAAAAACAATTATAAAATACTTATTATTATATTTTTCCCGTGTGAAAAATATTAAATCATTATTTTACCCATGTTAAATAGCCTGCTAATGGTATAAGAAAAATAAAGGAATTCACTGCTTGTCTTCGTTGTAAAAATATAAAACATTGCAACCAATCATATCGCTATTAGATAATGCTGTAAAACTGATGCATCTCAGACGCCTATCACATTTTCGTAAGGAAGTGAACGATTTTCCGTGGATGCTCCTAAATTCCGATGACTAACCTTCTTAAGAGGATCCCGACAAATTTGAATTGGCTGAAAAATACCACATCCAAACGAAAAACTGTAGAATTGACGAACTGTCAGCGGCCACGTTTAATTTTTCAACGTCGCAAGATCTTAATAGTTGGTTTGAAATAACAGGCGCTATTGCATGACTCTTTAAGTTAGTTCTCAACATTTTGGCTTTAAAAGTGCCAGCGTATGCCGGAATAGGTAACATATTTCCGACGTATGAAGGAAAATATTGGCGACGTTATTAAATATAAAATTATAGAAAAGTTCTAAAATAAAAGTAACACTCATTTTCGCATTTATTTTATTAATATTAATACCGAATAGGAGTTCAGTTTTGCTGGTTCCACTGGATGTACTTGAACTACGTTGAAACTTCTACTGCGACCAAAACTTCCATTTTAGCTTTGGAAGTTGGTGAGAAAAGATCCTACAAATATCCTTATTGCGTATTGGGTATTTTTTGTCAAGGATATCTCTTCACACTTCACAAGGTAAGAAAGTTTAAAAATAATGGGAAAAGGACCCGCATTTTTTTAGACGTATTTTGCTGTTAATTTGCAATTATCAGCGGTAATGAAAATTATTAGTCATTAATTTAAACCAAGTAAAAAATCTACACGATAGTTACTACTTACTTAAAAGGTTTGGTACCTACTCTTAATTAACTCAGTTGTTAAAATTTTGGTTTTAATTTGGACAATTTTTCAAATGAAAGTAGGTATCGCCAACTAAAATTTAAATTTAATAAATACCGTTTGATAATTTCTGAAAAATATTCTGTCCAGCAATGGCGATCTTTTGTATTTCGTCTTGAATTTTCTGACCAAAGTCGCCCAGCGCTGAAACAAGAAGTTTACGTCTATAAAATCGCTGAAAACCAAAAATTCAATACCACTTACATATCTGCTGCTGATTACCGACTTGAAACATCTGAAATTTTAAAGTAATAAAAAGTAGCAAAATAAAATTTTAAAATTATTTCTTTAAATAAATTTTATCTATTACTTACCGCGCAAAGGAGCAACATAGCTACAAAAAAAAAGCGCGCCAACATATTGATACCCGTTCCACAGATATGCAAATAAAGTAAACGGAAAGTGTAACAAAAATTCACCGTCCACTAAAAAATTACGTAATAAATAATAAAAAAAAGCCGGATATTCAATTATCACGGCAATTATTTTAGTCTTTGTACAAGTGTCAAATGGAACGAAGTCGTATATTTGGTACCTAATTTATTTGCAATGGCGTGCACGGTTTTCATTTTTATATGAAATTCTTCAAGTGAATAGATAATAATATCCAAATTAATATGAGTTGATGTTCCGAATGATTGATTAAACGGTTATTGTTTGATTAGCGCTTGTGAGTACAAAACTAAACACATTAAATAATTAGATTTATATTAATTTCACAATCGCGATTCGATAGGGTACTAAAGTAGTTAACCTAAAAAAGTGAAAAATACCTTTAATTGTTATTGCAAATGGGCAAGTGATCTCGACACCTATGCCCATAGCACAAATGAATGTAAAATTCTATAAATATTGTTCTATGATTGAAGAAGGAATATATGAGAAAACCACATAAAAAACATCCTAAATTTTTGAAAAATGGATTGTATTGAAAAAGCTTTAGATACCCTCTATATTGAATCACGAGGTAACATAGTACATTAATTTCGCTCGCGAAAGCACGTTTAATGCTGAGCAGTAAATAGCCAAATCTATGGTTGCTGGTTTTAAAGTCCCTTTTCTTTTAGATTTTTTATTTTATAATACAACGGTACCAGTGATTTCGCATCTGGAAATAAACGAACAATGGTCCGTCACTTTTCTGAGGAACTACGTTTCGAAAAATTTACCACTTCTTGTCAAGCATGGGGCAATGGATTTTCCAGCATTGCAGAAGTGGTGCCCCAACTATTTCTTGTATTTCACTGTGTGTCTCCTGTTAGTCTATTAATATTGTTATTTATTTGTTCTGCTCTAGGAAAAAATTTCCAGAAAAGGAAGTCGAAGTTACAATTACACCTAATGGCTATGCAGATGGATTGGTCTGTTATAACGGAACCGAGTATTTTTGCCTTCCAGAAGAGAAGCAGATGATGTTCAAAGAGTTTTTGAGACTTTTAGATGAAAAACGGTACCCTTCAATATAACAATGCATTTCATTCAGAAAATATGATCTGAAAGATGATCTTTTCAGAGACAATTATGTTGTCTATATTCAACAACAGAACTCAAACCTGACTTCCGATTTTCCGGAGTTACTGGAAGACATTGACGTTGAGATAGGGTGGGCATCTACAGCATTCGATAAAAAACCTGATGCTGTAAATTTTTGGATGGGTGATGAACGTGCCATAACGAGCAGTAAGTTAATGTTAGTGTACTGGATGCCTAATTAAGGATTCTCGGCTCTATCTCAAAAATTAATTGTCATAAAGACTTGGGATGAAAAAACATTACAAAAGAAAAAATGCAGGAAATTATTTTTAAGTTTCTAAAATGATCGTCAGGTGGCGTAATTGGATCCTTGGATATTAAATCCCCATTTTTCAGAAATAACCTTATATTACAGATAGCTAAAATGGCACCCTTGTAAAGCTGGGATAAATTCGTTTCTTTTACCTTAAATGTTTTTTCCTCTATCTCTGAACTAACTCTGAAATGACTGAACTTATTTTGTCAAAGTTGAAGTTGAGCAGATTGATTTACATTGCTTGTATCGCCGCTAGAGGGCGTTTTGTGACATTACTGAGGATTTTTTTCCTAACCTATATCTTCAAAATAAATAAAAACTCGAAATATATTTTTTTTTATCCTTCGGAATATTTTTTGTATAGCTGCCATTATTAAATCCTAATTTCGACCTTTTCTGTTAGAAGATTGAGTATCTTGCATTAAAATGCAAAGATTTTGAATTATATTGTTTATCTGTTTAATTTTTTTTCATTATTGTAATATACTGTATTGCTACATTCAAGCAGATGTGAATGAGTAATAATTTTTATTGATATTTTAAATATAATGGTGTTTTAACAATAAATATTAATGTTCTGAAAAAATTCCCAAATATTGCGGCGTTTAGTTTTTTTTTGCTGATAGTGTTGGCCCTTGTTTGAATATGACAATTGCAATAAAGGTGATATTGTTGCATTAATTTTTTTGAGAAAAAAAAAATTGCACTGATGCGTTGATGGCCTAAGAGTGTTTTTCAACAACTCCAAGTATAACAAATTGCATTCTGACCTTACATATATATCCCTCACTCATCACACTTCGAACACTTTTGGAGCGCGAGCATTGAAGATGCCAAGTGAGATTTTGGCGAAACGTCTGCAGGATTCCAGTCGGATGCAAGATTTGCAGGATTCCAGTCGGATGCAGGATTCCAGTCGGAGTTCAACGAGCGAACGGATGATATCCCGGAATATAGTGTCATCATATATATATATATATATATATATATATATATATATATATATATATATATATATATATATATATATATATATGTATATATATAAATATATTTTCCGTATTTTCGCTTTAGTTGTAAGTTTGTTCAGCCCACGATAATTAATTTTCGACATAGGGCCGAGTGCCCTTAATAATTGACGATCCAGTACAGTAAACAAATAATTTTGGGTAAATTTTAAGTGCACAAGGATCCCTATGAAAACATTTACTGTGTCGTCGATGGCTATAAAGACTTTATATTGTCACCTCCTATGGATTTACCTTACATACCATATAAAAAGTTCCCGGTAAGGAGATACAAAGATGTTGGTAGTGGCAGCTTTGAGATCAGTGAAATTCCAAATCAAAAAGACATATCCTGGATCGCATTGGACCCTTTAAAACCGACAACCACTAAAGGTAAACCAAGACTGTTCAGGGTTAGGGTAGAAAAAGGAGACTTATTATATTTGCCTGGATTGTGGTTTCATCATGTTAAGCAGAGTCATGGGTGTATTGCCGTAAATTACTGGTATGATATGGATTTTACAGATCCCAAGTATTGTTACTACAGAATGTTGGAAAGTTTGTGCCAGTAAGAATGAAAAGCAGTTTTTTTTTATTGTGACTATTTCAATGTGTTATTAATGATATTAAAATATCTCAATACATAATGCAGTTTAACTCATAACCAAATGGATTGTGTATGTCATCATCCATTAACTAACAGCAGAATCATAGACAAGTGGCAGCCTGAAATTCTCAAAAAAAAAATTATGAAACACTGTCTAGCCATGGTCTTCAATATCATAAAAATAGCATGTTTGTTGGTCGAAATATGATGAAGATGCCGACTGTTGTAGATCTATAATTTTACAAAAAGCGAACAAGCATTCACATCAATGCAGTGATACCATTGTTCTAGGGAATTGTGCTGCGAAAAATGAAAATGAAGTTTTATTTCCCAATGTGATGCAACAATAAAACAAGTGACAAAATGTATTTGTCAAAAAATTGCATTTGATTCAACTTGTCTGCTAAATTTCATGTTCATTAACGCATTTATAGTAAAATTATGGAAAAGGTTTTTACCGCTCTGCCCATACATCCCCAGTACGATGAAAAACTTAAGGCTGCTTAGTAAACAATGTTGGGATGTGAAACATTTTGTTTATAATCAACCCGTGATTTTTCTCTTGCCCTTTCCTTGCGGCATCATCTTGGATTCCAAAGATCCTGCTAATTCCATAACTCAGTACGACGTCGAAGAAAATCTATCACATTTGATGACTTTGGCAAGATTAGCTCTGGAAAAAGGTGATACTGAAAGGGCTCAAGCTATCTTGCAGATGGGCATTAAGATATGCGAGGAGTACGAAGTTCACGTTGCACTACCCTATATGTACGATGTGTTAGCTTCAATATCTTTCGCTCTCGGTAACATGAGTCATGCTGAACATTTGCTCGTGAGTGCTATAGAGAAACTCATCCAGTTAGGGACACCGGAAGACGACACTCAAATCGTAGATTTTCAACTAAGACTTTGTAGAATATATAGTGCTTACAACCAAAAAGACCTGGCTGAAATAGGTTTCCAGGATTGTCTCGGAAAGCAAAAACTTAAAATACTAAACGGAGACACGTCGACGAAAACCGGGATGCTTTACGTAAACACTTTGTTTTGGTACGGATTACACAAAATCAAAAGTTTCGACCACGCGAGCGCAAAAAAAATGCTGACTTCCGCATACGATTACTCTATGAAAATTAAAGGGCTGAGTCCCTACCAGGAAATGGTCATACTTTACACGTTATCTGATTTATACATGCAACTGGGGGAAAACAGTGCTGCCTTACAAAACATGCAAAGCGCCATATTGTTAGGAAAAGGTATTGGAAGCACTGACCTTCCAAGATGTTACTGGAAACTGGCTCAAATTTACATCAACTTGGGTGCTTGGGATAACGCAAGCGAATCAGCGACCGAAGCGTCCAGACTGGCTGAACTTTTTGGCGAGGCAGTTCTCAAATCGGAAATCGACGAGACTTTACGAAAAATTAAGGACCACAAAAAATAATCATTTAACCATTGGATTATTTAAAATCCAAAAGTTCAATAAAAACCAAAAATTCAACCTCAATTTATGTTACAAAATAAATACAAATTTACAAAAAAAAAAAGATAAAATAAGTAAACGTTACCCCTGCCTACTCATAATTAACAACCACTTTGCCTCTTAAGTGGCCATCTCTTACACACTGAATAGCGTTTGGCAAGTCACAGAACTTAAATTGCTTGTGAATAACTGGTCTGATCTAAAATTTAAGTTTTTTTTTATAATGTCCAAACTACTTAAACCAATGACATGCACAAGGAGACCCAAAAATTTAACCCACCAACTAAAATATGCGCGTTTTGCATGTGATCAGAGTATGTATGTTGGCATTATCAAGTTCTAGTGGGGTCTCCCTTACATATGTCATTAACTCAAAACATTTACTTCTCCCGAACGGATCAGTTTGTCCACAAATTCAAATCCGCTAGTAGAAGGCACAAAGAATCCCCATCTAACTGTTCTTCCCGATGCAATTCTGGTGACATTATTTTCTAACAAATTTCTTATGCTGGCAGCAGTGCCACACAACAAGCCTCGATCGTCGTTATTGGTCAAAAGAGGTGAGTTGAGAGTAATATAGGTTTCATAGTCCCATGATTTTGGGATATTTTCAATCCCTATTTTGGCAGCATCAAGAATAATATGGTATCTATAAAAAGACAGATAATCAAGCCAGATGTATAAACAATAAGAGTAATTCTTACTTTCCTTCTTGACACACAAGTCTCTCATAATCTTTATCATTTCTGTCGTAGACAACATCAGCACCAAGAGAAGTTAACAATGGAATAGCATCACTAGAGCTGGTTGTATATACCTATATGTCATGACAAATGAATAACACATTTACCAGGATCAGAAAAAAAATGTACTTACCACACACCCTTGAGATTTTAAAAGTTGTATAGTGGCAGTGCCAACTCCACCAGATCCACCCAACACCAAAACCCTCAACCCCCTTTTTTGCTTCACCAGCAAGTTCCCAGTTAAAAATAAGGCGCCCCAAGCAGTCATTGTTGCATACACGAGAGACGCACTTTCTTCATTTGTCAAAGAAAACGGTTTAGGCAGAATCTATAGCAAACGAATCCCTTGACAAAAAAAAATAGAGACCCCCGGAGATAAATTTGCTCACGTAACACTGTGAAACATTTACTAACTCCGCAAAAGATCCCTGCTTATGCAGAGGTATGAAACCATAGACCATATCTCCTATTTTAAATGAGTTGCATACATTCTGTCCTTTGCCAACGATTACGCCTGCAAAATCTCTACCAAGGACTAGCGGAAATTCTATTTCAAAATTTCTTAAAACCTGAAAAGATGCTCGGCCATATCCAGCTGAAAATGACTAGTTAATGCGAGTGAAGAACACTATAAAAAGTTTAGGACTTAGGATTTAATTACCTAGCATAGCAGAGTCAATAGGATTTACTGACGCTGCCCTAACTTCAACCAGTACATCATCGGGATTGTTCAAAATAGGAGCTCTATTTTCGGCTAATTTTAATTCATCTAGATCTCCATAAGAATGAATGCACCATGCCAACATTTTATTTTTCTGAGCGGCTAAAGGCTTTTGCTGCGAAAGGCCCCTTTGAGCATTTCTAACGATCCGTTGAAGTCTTAGGTTGAGCATTTTCGAGTAAGATTCAAATTTGAAAGACCACAAGGTCGGTTAGTTTGTCATAAAACGTCAAAAGGCGTAATTTTAACTTCATTCTTTCGGCATCATAGCATAACTGAGGTAAGAACCGAATACGACTTCGCACAACAAAGTGAATAATGGACTTTTTAATTCACGATTTGTGATATGTCTTCGTATTTTGCCTCAAAAAAATAAATAAATTACGTTAGTCCACCTAATGTTTAGTATTTTGTTATTGTTAGTCGTTTAATTCTCATTTTAGTGATGTAGTCACATAAAAGATTTGATTCCCGACCTATTATTTTTGACATTTTGAACTGTGGTTTTCAAATGTATCGTAACGGTCATAGGTCTGTTTGATCTTGTAAGATTGAATGCTACCGATTTGGTGTTTTGCTTTTTAAAAAGTGTAATGGCCGCATTAAGAAAACCTTCCGGGTTGAGACCTCCAAAAATTGTTAGACCTCTGCAATCTATTTGCGGGAATGAACATGTGGAGCAACAGAAACCCGTAACTGATATCAAAGTGTTGAGGCGTTCCAGATCAGCAACGGACTTGCTGTTATTCGAAGAAAAGCACTCTGATAATCAAACTGCCACTAAAGCCAGTAGTAAAATTTTTCTGCCATTTAAAGGCTTAAGGCGTTCCAAATCAGTATGTGACTTGCGAAGCATAGTTAGAAAACCATTACATGCTCCCAAAACCTTTAAACCAGAAAATATCAAAGAAAACTTAAATAAGAAAATTGTTACGCAAAATGTAAAACAGAACCCTCGACTTGGTATTGGTACTAAGACAAACAGCAATAAGTTACCATCTAAAAGGCCCTCTCCTGCTGGATCAGTTGACAGTGGTCCTTCAAAACCAAAAATAATCAAGACAAACAAAATTGCTAGCTGGGATTACAAAGCAAGGTTTAATCAGTTGCAGGAGAAATATAACTCTTTACAGGAATCAACGAAAACTATGAAAACTCAATTGGCAGGTAAGCCTTTAAATTTTCAATGGGATAAACTCTAGTTACTTGCATTGACCAACTTAAGTTTAAAATTTATTCATATTCGTAGAATCAGAACATATAAGAGAACAGTTTTCTACATTGCAAAAACTTTACAAAGATGCACAGGAACAAATTAAACTTTTAAGTCATGATAATGAGGCACATATCAAAGAAGTTAAAAGAGTAACTGGTAAGAATATGGAAAATTCAGTGATTTGAGTTTTCATTATTGCATTATTTTTTAGACTTACTTTCTGAGTTAAAGGTGGCTCATGAAAAGTTATTGAAAGAGCATGAAGAATTAGCGGGGATTGTAACTGAACTAAAGGATGTTAAATCTGAAAAGGATCAATTGACAATTTCATTAAATCAAGCCAAAGATCACATTTATAGCATAGAGACAACTCTTCAAAATATGAAGCAAGATTTGCAGAATTATCAAACCGAAAGAAGACGCCTGCATAACACCATTCAGGATTTAAAGGGTAACATTCCTATATAGACACAAGCAGCTCTTGTAAATATAAAAATTTATTCTAGGCAACATAAGGGTTTTTTGTCGGGTAAGACCTCCCATAAATTCGGAAGAAATGGATAGTTTGCAGTGCCAAATAAACATTGATCAAAACGTGCTGGAAATTCGCAAAAGTCGCGAGAGCTTTAGCAATATTACAGGGAAAGTTCAGGAACAGCGTGGCGAGTTTACATTCGATAGGCTGTTTCCATGCGACAGCACCCAGGAAGAGGTTCCCAAAAAAAAAAAATTGTTACTGATTTTATTGAAGAGCAATTTCAGTTATTTGAAGACTTGGCGCAGTTGGTGCAATCTGCTCTGGACGGTTACGACATTTGCGTTTTCGCGTATGGGCAAACCGGTTCTGGTAAAACCTACACTATGCAAGGCGGGGACAGTGCGCATTCTCGAGGAGTAATACCAAGAAGCATTGACTTGATTTTTGAGAGTATCGAAGTATTGAAAAGGTCGGGTTGGAAATATACAGTCCATGTAATTATAGTGTTTAATAATCGCCCTCAAAAACTACTATCCAAGATTGTAGGCAAGCTTCCTCGAGATTTATAATGAACAAATTAGAGATTTGTTAAACGCTAACAGCCAGCAGAAACTCGATATATATTTCAATGAGGGTAAAGGTATGACCGTGCAAAATTTGTTTGTCAAACAAATCTTTTCCGCTCAGGAACTAAACAGGTGTATGGTAACCGCGCACAAAAACAGGGTAGTCGCGGTAACTAACTTTAATGAGCACAGTAGCAGATCGCATGCTGTTACCAAAATATGCCTGGAAGGTAAAAATTTCGCCAGCTGTAAGTTTTTCCAAAAGCTGTTTGTTTTTTTAGGTGTCTCTACTGAGCAAAATCTAGTGCTTCGGGGCTCTATTAATTTGGTAGACTTGGCCGGATCCGAGAGCGCGAGGGATCCAGTTAACAATGATCGGTTAGCGGAAACAAAAAATATTAACAAAAGTCTGGCGACTCTTGGAGACGTAATCGTCGCCCTCAAAGCCAAAAATAAACACGTGCCTTACAGGTAAATGCGCAATTTTCTATTATAGGCGTCATTATTGTGAGGCTATAATTTGTGGTAACCTGTTGATTGTACCTAGACAAATCTAGCTAACTTCACATTGCGTTATGGATATGTGTAAGAGTTTTTAAATTGATAAAAGTCTTAAAAAGTATTCATGTGCATTTTATATGAAAATAATAATTGTGGTAATTTAAAGTAACTCTGCAACTCTTATTTTTGATTTTAAAAGGTATGATGAGTACTACATTGGTATTATAATTTATTACATACAGCACTGTAAAAGGTAATTATATTTTTCGCTTCAACCACTGCATGACCTCTTTTTGAAATGTCACTTGATTCTGGAGATGTAGATAATTGTGGCTCAATTTTAAACCTGCAATTAGCTCTTTCATAATTAATAATAAAAATAAATTGTACACTAATACTTCTCTCTAGATTGGGAACCTAGAGTGCTTTTATTACAAAGAGAAACTTCTTTTTCTCTGGAGATTTGTACTCAAAGATTTTTCCTTGATTGTTTATGACACAGCTGCACAAAGAAGCTCCATGACCTGGTTGTACCCTTCTGTAATTATATGAAAGTCAATTTAGAAAGACAAAATACATTTTTATATCCCGTTACCCTGTTAGTTTTATCCATTTGCTTCTTGTCTTTGGATTCTTCAGAAATCGATAAAACTTGCCTTTTTCACATTAATTATGCTTACAGCCTGATGCGCCATTTGTAAGTGGGAGCAACAGCTATAAGATAGATTTTGAGCATAAGACAATATTAGGTTGATAAAATGTTAGATAAATATTTATTCCTATTGATCAGGACCGCCAGAATTAATGATTGTTTACTAAAGTGATATGCACTTATATTCTTTTATTTTCACTTCGCTGAATATATGTTATAATTATCATACCTCAGCGCAAAAATCCGTGTTTGTTTTTAAAATATAACGAAAAACATCGCTAAAAGAGAACACGAATTATATCTACATTAACCATTTTGTTTAACTAGCCAAAACTAACCTCAAATGATGACGTCGCAGTAATGATAGGTATTGACAGCAATATTGATCCAGTTTGCTTTGAAATTTTTTTCGAGTGCGATTTTTTATCTGCTTTTATTTAGGTGCAATTCGGGGACACCTGTGTGATTAAAAGTTATTTTTTTTAGAAACTCTAAGTTGACATATTTGCTTCAGTCCTGTTTGGGCGGCAATTCAAAGACCTTAATGGTGGTGAATATCGCACCATTTGAAGAATGTTTTAATGAAAGTATAAGCTCGTTACGTTTCGCCGCCAAAGTGAAGGATGTTAAAACAAATTCCAAAAAAAACAAAACTGCATTGAACACCTTAGCCCCCTCAAAGCGTTAGTTGTTAATTTTATTTTTTTTATTCTAATTAAACGTGTTTTTTAATTTTGTGTTGCTATGTAATGGATTAGATTTTTGTTTCCCCTTGTATACATTTATGATTGTTAGTTTGTATTTTATTAATAAAGTGCAACAGAAGACTACCAAAAATGGGTAATCAAATAGTTTACATATTTAGTAGATGTGGAAATTTTAACTGTGGTTGCGAAGTGACATCCTGCTGTGGAGTGTTGCCTAACTGCAATTTTTTGATTTAACCAGGAAATTATAAAAAAATAGCAAAATTTGTGGTTATTTAAAACTACCCGGAAAACTCCGTTTCCAATCCAAAAAAATATGCAGTAATGAAATTCATAACTACTTAATTTTTCAATTCTAAACCAAATTTTCAAGCACGAGTTTTTTAGTAGTAGTGTTTTATTTAAATGTTGTAACAACGCTAGCGCTTGAAAATTATAATGTAAACTTATTATACTTAACACCAGAATAAAATTTTCATTCTGAAAAGAAAAAACAAACTGAATGAATTTAAGGCAGAATGAATAGAAAAGAACACGGCCTAAGAAATGATAATGACAAGGGCCGAATCATGGTATAAAGAACTATGGTTGCACCAACTCACAATTTGGATATCTATGAGCATACTAACAACGTAAAGTAACTACAGGATTAGCAGTTTAGTATGGGCACAAGGGATTATTATCCATAAAATAAACTTATTTTGTGTTCTGTAAAACAGTTTTTAAAATTTTCTGGTATCCACTAACCCATCTACTGTTTACATCACAAAAATGTTGCAATGTATTTTTCAAAACTGAGACAATCAGTTTTCTGCCCATTCGATTAAACTTGGTCCATGTAACGTGATTTTTATTTCTTCTAGCTTCCGTAATTTATCAACTAGCTTCCCTTTATTTTAAATACCTATCTCAATGTTCTTGAAAACAAGATTCTCAAAGTCTCAAGCTTTCACAAAAGTTAGTTTGAAACTGTCGTTAATTTGGGATTTCCTCTATACTCTGTAGCAGAAGCCGAACTATTGTTCGTTGGATCCTATGCAACCATTTATTTCTTTAAGTATTGGCTGGCGATTCTTGTAGATGGATTTAATGTCGATAATCTGAATCTCAATGATACAGATAGGAAAAGTGCGCTTACATTAGTTTCTCTAGCAAATATGAATTAACGTTCTATTAAAAAAATATATTGATCTGGGGATGACGTATAATCACGCCACCGAGCTCTTCCGCTCGCAAACGTTTACGATTGGCGAAGCGGACGAAGATAGAATGATCTCAAAAATATTGTTGACTGTTTGAAGCACGCGGACTCTTGTTTGCAATAATTTTAAATCTTTTGGTGCGTGTGTTTAAATTGTTGTTGTTAAAAAAGAGATAGGAATTTAATTTAAAAAAAAAAAACACGTTTTTGGTAGGTAAGTACCGCGGCGTTTTTCATTTTACAAGTAGGTCTGAGTTCCGATTCATTGTAACGGTATTTTGGCTTAAAATAGTGAACAGATCCAATGTAAATTACCTCTAATTATAGTCAAAAATTCCCTATTGGGTGACCCTAAGGCGATAACAATTATTCCAAACTTCAAATTTAAAATTAGCTATTCAATTGAGGCGTAATTTGTTGCTTTGCATGAATATAGGTTATGATCGAGGTGTAGTGGGTCACGACGATCTGAATGAGTATGTATAGAAATGTTTTCTTTAACGTTGGACTTATGGACTCTTATGTAATGATATGGGGAACACACGTTGCCACGCATAGTGTAAGTTTTTAGGTTTTTGTATGAAAGAATTATTTGAAAAAGCGATTTTGACAGAGCAAAAAAATATATTCCTAAACAGGTGAAAAGATGTTGCTAGATATACATATTTAGCTTAGATCTACACCTTGCCTTTAGTATAACAATAGGTCATACCCAAAATAAATTCGATATAAATAAATAAAGTCAATATTGGCCAGAAACATAGTGAAACCTGCTTTTGAACAGCTGCCATATCAGTTAACAGTCTTTACATGGAGTGAGTAATTTATTCAAGACAAGAATTGCAATAAACACTAACATTTGTTGAGTTGAGTTTTTGCATATATTGTGAATTAATATTATTATTGTTAGTTTCAGAACAAAACTGCCAGCGCATTTTTTCCAAACGAATTGCATTGCATTGCATTTATGTTTATTTTTGTAGAATCTGTCTTTCTAAGAGAATACAATTTAAATGGAAATTTTTAATACTAAAAAATTAAAAATAATTAAACGTCAGCTTCTGTTCTTATAAATCTTAATTTAAAACAAAGATACAAAGCAAAAATTAATTGACGAAAATACCTGGTAACTATTGGCAGCTCATAACAATTCCTATTTTTTAAATGGTATAGTTTGAAAGATGGATTGGTTATTTTCTCGAATACCATTATTAGGATTGTTTATACATATTTTTGTTTCCGTTTCGATGATTAATGATTAATACAATTAATTAATTATACCATAGCTGTTTTCATTAAACTTTATTTTAATAGTTTTAACCAAGACACATTTTACATATGGGAACAACATTTTGGTTTCTGAATTCTAATAATTAAAATATGTACATCGAAATTTGGGATCACGGGTTTCCCTTTTTTGAATCGTTTCAAAAAGGCGAGAAAAAATAAGTATCGTACAAAAATTTAACGGGCGTATATATTTTTACACCACTCAATATATTTGTCAAGTAGGATTGACGTAAGAATTATATTACAAAATATTCAACTGATAAAATCTGAATTGATTTTGCGAGGGACGAGGGGTTACTTATTTTGGAGCAATTTATAGATGCAGTTTTATCATTACGCTTACCCAGACTTTTAGAAACAGCATGGCTAAAACCTTGGCTAGTGCAGCTGCCTTAACGTTGAATTAGATCGGTCTGAGAATTAGGATTGCCACCTTATCAATACCAAATAGTTCCTAATATTATTATACGAGTAGAGACGGTCTCACTAATTTGTTGCAACCTTCATCACTCACACTATAAGTGATTAAACCGCTGATGGGTTTATTCCTTTTTATGTTGATTGATGTTGATGGGTGTAAAGTCTCGGGTCTTATTATCAGCGCGATGATAAGACAAGTTGGGGAGGTATAATTTCCAATGCATTGTATAACGGAGATTTAGTCTACATTTTCACACTGGATTGTAACTATATTTGCGATTTGGTGCTAGTGTTTCCCAAATTGTATCGGTAAAAGCTGTGTTAATTTAGTGTATATAGTATAGCAGGACCGATCAATCTTGTAAGTACCTATTTTCAATTTTAAAAACACGTGGCACAGTAATTCTTTTGGTCTATTAAAAAACAGAATAAGCTAAAAACACAGGAACTATAGTAGTGACTGAAGAATAAAAATATATAACCTTTGCATAAAACAAAAAAAACAGTACCTAAAACTAATGTGTAATTTGTGACTTTAAAACAAAACTGACAATGGCTGCATTATCTTCTACGTATCTTTCATTAATTTTTAGTAGAAACCCCGGAAAAGTCAGGGCCTTCGTAAGTTTATAAGTAAATAATTTGTAGTAATTTTGTTTAAAGTAAAGGGTAGTTTGTTTTTATTTTTTATATTAAAAACGAAACTACATGGAACTATAAAATATTACTATTATAAAAACATACTTCACACTCTCCGTGTCATTCTTAACTAAATTGAAGGAAAAGATTATGCAGTGACATAAATATTATATACATTATTTATTGTATATTTTATTTAGAAACTTTTGTCTCCCGCGATTTTTTTACATTTTATTTTTTTATTTGGAAACTATAAGTTTTATGTAAACATTGCAGGAGAAAAATTTCTAATAAACCCATGTATGGTATCCCCTTCGTTTATATTAAAAAAATAAAAAAATATGCAAAGTGTATTTTTATAATAGTAATACTTCCGTAATATTTCTATTTTCGTTTTGAAGAAAAAAAAAACATCGCCATATCTGTACCGAAATGTTTGGCTTTTGATCTTTATAGAACTATCCTTTATTTTAAACAAGGAATCGCAGTCTAAACTTTTTCATATTTAATTTGAAATACCGTGTATTAGAAAAATCATAATTTTGTTTATAGTAATTAATTTTTTGTTATGGTGTTGACCACAATTGTTTTTCCTTATTACCTATTATAATGTGATTAACAATATTATGTATTGTAATATAATTAATGATAATATATATTAAACAAATTTCCTATTATTTTTCACGCTTTGGAAATTTTGTAAGTGAACATTTTTTATTACTTTTGATTGCTTTCGAAAACAATTAAAAACCATTTGATTGACAAGTTCACTTTTTTACACAAATACCTCAGCCCTCCTCTTGTTCCTTCGTGTATCGGCTATCGACTTTGTTAGTTCATTACCATTGTTTTGATCCAACAATACATATTTATCACACATGCATAACGTCTAGACATGATGCAAATGGAACATTTCTAAATAAAATTTAACGAACTCAAAAAATGACTTTTTATTTGACGTTTTAAGAGCTTTTATTTCTGACAAAAGTTTATTTTAACTGATCCATTAAATAAAACTTTTTTATGTTCAAATTTTTAAAAGCATAATTGATGAGCAATTTACTCAGTGTTTTAAAGTGCGATTGCTGTTGATGTAAAAAATGTATTAATGTTAATTCGATATTGTTGTTGTTTAGACAGCGTCACCACTTATATGGGAACATTTTTATATTTTATTTTTTCTTACGCTTCTGAATTTAAAGGTAACAACTAAACGGGTGTTTGCACTAAATTTAAAGAACAATTATTCAGTCTAATCCATCTGAGTAGTTTGATTCCAATTTCTTTGTATTAGGAAGTAAAAAGTCTGTCCGATTTTTTCGAAAATTTGCACGTTTGTAGAAACTGTTCCAATAAAACGATATTTACAAAAATAACCAATTTTTTTTTATAAGACATGTCAATTTTAATACGTAACATCTTTCTAAAATTGATTTAGTTGTTTCGATTGGATAATTTTAAAAAAGTAGCTATTTGGCTATTTTGAAAGGAGCTTTACCTATGGTATGTATGTCTACCGCTTGTTGTTCGGTCATAAGAAAGTGTTGTTCATCTGGTGCTTTTACTACGAATTTATCGATATACATTTTATTTAATACTCTCGATTTCTTTGCTTTATATCATGTTAATTTGAAATATTTGCTTATGTCGGTGTTTCGTGGTATGTAGCATGGCCTCCAATTGAGTTTGTACTCCTAACTTTTCTGATTTTTCTGATAAATCTGCCAATAAAACGTCTTCACAAACGTTTATTACCTTCTTTTTCAGGCATTACTTTTCAAAAATTTGGTTTATTTGTTCTGATGGTGTAATAAGTCGGACGGTGCTCTTGTGGTTGCTTGAACAATTTCATTACGTAATATTTCATTTTTCACTAATTTGTATTCTTCAGACTCCATTTTTGAAATTTAATTGTCGTGTTTAGACTGAAGCTATAACATGTCAAAATATCAGGCTATTTATTTCGTTCGACTTACACTAAATTGAAACAGTCAAAGTAACGAAAAGGCACTCGTAAAGGGTTTTTCTTATATAGTTATTAATTCATGTAGTGGAACTTCTATAGCCTTGATATTTTCATAGAGAAGGGAATAATTGCCTCTATACATTTTTTTAAAACATTTATTTATCTCTGTATAAACAGTACTTAACAGCTCTGCCCTCGATTATTTATCAATTATTTATCACAGTGTTGGAGAGATTCACTTATTTACAATACTCAAATATGTTTTAATTTGCTTAACAAAAAGTGTAAGATTTTTCGTATTTCTTACGTTTTCTGGAACCTTGTGTCTTCATGGCTAGCTAGGGTTAATAATTTGTTGATAAATATTATTTAGACATTGTATTCACGCACATCGTTAGCCGCTGTGATAGTTATATTGGATTTTTGTATTTTATTTAATATTTTGTAAATTAATTAAATTTGTTCAAAGTCCAATATAGTACTAAGCCTCGGAATATTTATTAATTTCAATTAGTCTTACCACATGTGAGAGGAAATCATTGATATTATTTTTTAAATTATATATTCAATATGCTCTAATATCAACTAGCAGACCTTATATTTTACTTTATACTTTATATGCTAAAGCTCGTCTATTTTTGATTAGTTATTCGAACCTTAAACGTTTGGATCTGCTTATTTTTTTGTTTAAATGTTATAAATTGTAGCTTCTTATATTTTACTCGTAGCCAACTTCAGAAGAGACTAAGGTCACTATTTACAGTATTGTTTCCTCCAACTTGTAACACAGTATTATCAGGAAAAACGAAGTTTGTGCTCCAAGTCCAGCTGTTTTTTAATTCAGCCCGTACAGTGAGCCCAGTAATGGCCCCAGCACAGACCCTTGACTAATCTCGCATTCACTCAACAGGCACAGCATATAATATTCCTCCCAGTTTACGTTTTTTCATCAATGCTAACTACGTTTAAGGCCTTTTTTAAATCAACAAATACTATTGTTACCAAAAGCTCTTTATCAACTGCCCTAGAATCATAGTCAATAAGGTTGAAGATTGCACCCAGTGAACTGCTTTGTTTAACGAAACCATACTGAAAATGTTCTATTTGAATATACTTCCGTCATAATAATTATTTTCTCTATAATTTTCGAGAAGATTCTTATCACCGCAATTTTCCTGTATTATTCATATATTCTCTCCCCCAGGTTTGAAAATTGGACATACATAAAAGTACCTTAAAACCTTATTAATAATATCTCTTTTTAGGTTATGTATCTCCTTGAGTGTCACCCAGCCATGGCCTGGGGTTGAGTTTTGTTTCAGTTGAGATATGATATGGCTAATCTCCTGCTCATTAGTCAGGTCTAGAAAAATACCATTCTCACATGTAATGTTTGGAAAATTAGGGCCTAGACTTGAAGTTTGAATATCATAAACGCCCACTAACCTTTGCTCCATTTTCTTTCTAAACACCGATTTCCATATGTGAAACTCGTTTTCCCAGAACATTCAAAGCGATCTAAGGATTTTGAGAAAATACTGCAGTAAACATGCCCCATCCAAAATTAATGAGGATCTGTCAGCGGCCACGTTGGTTGTCGAATGACGCAAGGTCATTGGTTAAAAACGAGATGCACTTGTGGATTGGATTTTCTCAAAAAAATGTTCATAGTTGCTTCACAAGTTCGTGTATTATTGGCATTAGGCGGGCCCTCTGTATCTCTAGTAGCTTTAACTGACTTTGGCTTCATTTTCATGTAAACTACCAAAATGTCACTCTCGGGACGGTTTAAAAAAGTAATTGGGGTAAAGGATTTATGGAAATCTCAAAAAGCCGCCGTCTTTTTTTTTTTATTATATATAACGAATTCTCAGGCTTCGTCAGGCTTTGGTTAAATTTCACGGTCAAATAAATGAAACAAAAGCCGGTGTCAAAGTTCGGAAATGCTTGCGTGTGGTCGTACAGTAAAATTGCGGTAGGTATGATCGTATATAATTACAGCGAATTAGTAGGTAATCAGGGAGATAAAAATATTCATGCATGTGTAATTTGTCCTTATCTATGATCGTTACAAAGTTCAACGCTAGAAACGAAAACCAAACACTCGATGCGTGTAGAGTGGCTTGGAATCCAAGCTATTGTCGTTTAATGCATACGCAAGGTTGCCGTTCGCCAGGAAAAATTAGTAAATTTAGAGGTTGGCTTGGAAAACTGACAGAACGGATTTAAGTGATGTAATGTCAGGGGAATTCGTTTTTTTTCTCGTTTTATTCAACTTTTTTTTATGCCAATTAACTTTGAAAGAAAACCAATAAACCCCGATATTCTTATACACAGGGTGTTTATTAATTGAGTGACGATGCGAGGATGTGAATCCTTGGGTGATTTTTACAAGTTGATGTAAACATATGTATGTCGTAAAAACTATTAATTTCGAAGGTATTAAATGTTAAAAAAAACTTCTAATGAAAGGTGAAAATTAGTTTTTGTTCTAAAAATGTTTCCATTCATATTTGTGCTTACGAAATATCAATATCACCGAATCGATGAGAAAATGATGGACCAAATTCGCTCCATTTTTAATTAATTTAATTAAAAAGCAAAGCGTATTATTTTTTCTTCAAAAAAATTCAGTTCACACCCCGTACGAATGTTACATAAAAAAATTGCGTCAGAAAATGCCCTTTAATGATAAAAAGGTGCGTACTAACTTTCTTAAGTAAATAGTGATAAGAAAGTTATTTTTGTCTTAACATTTTTGACACCATCGAGTTCAACAATTAAAAGGTTTACGACGTACATTGATAATAACTTTCTTTAAATCTCCCTAGATTCACACCTGTAAGTATCGGCACTGTACCGGGTGTCCCAACGATAAAGTAAGGTAGGGTCTCACCGCTCCGGTAATATTAGTTCCAAATAAAATATGCCGGGTGATAGTGGGTTTTATTACAAAAAATGATGAAAGAACTGAAATTTGTCGAACATTATTAAACATATATATAGGACATATCTAGCAAAAATTGTAGGGTCTTAAATTCTACACTAGTTGAGTGGCTGCGTCATGTAAGATTAAGATTAAGATTAACAGTTGGGAGAGCTAGCAGTCAGCCTGTCCGTCACTGCTACCCAGAGGATCTATTGTGACTCTCTCCATAGCTATAGAGCTTTATCCAGGTTCGTCTCTCTAACCAGACTCAACAACTTCGATAATGGCTCCTTCTCTCTCTCTGCCTCTGGTTTGATATCGCCCAGCAGATGGAAACGCACTCTCGCTAGGCCTTCGTAGTGGCACAGTACGTGTGCGGTTGTTTCCTCCTCTTCCTGACAGAATCTACATTCTGTGTTTTCTTCCACTTCCATCAGGCTTAGATGTCTCTTACGCCTGCAGTGGCCCGTCCGCAGACCTACCATTATTCTTACGGCTTTCCTATTGTAGCTTAGTAGGTCCTCTGTAAAATTGGCCGATGGGCCCCTTAGGAATTCCTTGGCTTGTCTTTGTCCCGGCATGTCCCTCCACCATCGTCGGGATTCTCGGTCCATCCAATCCATGATGGCTGTTTTTGCAACGGGTTTGGCCACCCCACAAAAGGGTTCTGGTCCAATCAAGCGCATGGACGACCCTTCGCGGGCTGCGTCGTCTGCGCCTTCATTACCTTTATGCCCTCCGTGCCCCGGTACCCATGATAGAGTAACTTTGTTCTGGCTTGTTATCTCGTTTAATGCCTTATGGCAGTCCAGAACTAACTTGGATGTTATTTTATTAGATTGCAGGGCCTTTATAGTCGCTTGACTATCGGTGTAAATTGCAAGTGATTTGTTACGGATCTTCCTCGCTTTTATTTCTCTTGCACAGTGTTCTAGTGCAGTGATCTCTGCTTGGAATACTGTTGCTGGCTTACCCATTGGAATAGAGATTTTCATTTTCGTCCTGGGTTCATATATTCCGGCTCCTACTCCTTCTTGAGTTTTTGAGCCATCATACCAGGTTATTTCTGCCTTGATTGGTGGCCCGTTTTCCCAGTCTTCTCTGGCAGGGATTTGAGTCCTGTAGTGGTTAACGAAGCAATACTTAGGTGTTGTGCTGTCCGTAGGCAGCCCTAGGACATTGTCCGCCCTTACCTCCAAGTAAAGCTTGTTATGTTTCGTGCTATGTCCACCAATTATTGGGGACTGGCCTTGCAGTAATCTATATACTGCGGATCTTGCTTCCCCTTGTTTATAGATCTGTATTGGTGGGATGTTCAGTAGGACCTCCAGCGCTACAGTGGGCGTTGTGCTCATGGCCCCCGTAGCGCACAGACTCGCTAGTCTTTGCACGCTACTCAGCCGCCTTATCGCCTCCCCCTGCGTGGTTCTTGTCCACCAGACAATCGCCCCATACGCTAACAGGCTACGTCATGTAAAAAAAATATGAGATTTTTTTACAGGCTACATCATGTAAAAAAATACGAGATTTTTTTAAATCTCACAGTTTGCAATATTATATTATACACAAAGTGTATTATGAATGCCGATTATTTCTGGACGAAGCACAGATATGACGCTTAGTTCTTAAGTTCATAAAAGTGTAACTTTTGTATTCACTGAGAAAATATTAATTTTGCCACGTGATGAAAATGCAAAACTTTACCGCTAGACCAAATTTAGACCCTATCTTATCATACTTTTGTGACGCGCCCGGTATAATTCTAAATATTTGAATTTAGTCTATCGTTGCGACACCCGGTATGTACTGTAACCAAGACCCTTCGTTTTAGTAATCCGTGACAAGTCATCAACTTTGAACTACCGATTAAAACATAAGCGGTAATCGCCTTTCCGAAGATTAAACTCATAAATTATGGGTTATCTAGTGTTTACTGTATAATATCCTAGAGCTGCTACTTTTTCTAATCTTGCCGAAGTCAAATTGGATATTCGTATCGGCCGCCTCGTAAAACGTCCGTGACAGTTCTTGTAAAACATAGTTTTACAGAATGATTCATTTTAAAATGTTTTTTAATCTGCGCCCTTATCTTTCCATTGATCCGTCTAGACTTTGATATATTCTTTCGTACACCCAATTGCCAGAATTTTTATTCTTAATTTCCGACTTTGATCGATGACGCTCAATATTTGGTAGTACCGCTTACTCAGCCGACGTAGGAACTTGACGCATCAAGCCATTGATCGTGAACTTGGAACCTTGTCGGAAAGCTATCTCTGCATATTTCATTGATGTTTTGTACCTTACGTTTCAGCACCGAAAGGATTTTTTTTTATGTTTCTTGTTTAAAAGAAAAACAGTGAGTGACGTTATTACCATATTTGTTTTATGGAATATTTTTAGGAAAAAAAAAATGGCACGCCTCCTATTTTAGAAAAAAAAACCGTTTTGTCCAATATTATGGCAAAAGTAACATTGTAAAGGTTTAACTTAATTTTGTAAAATTTTTATTAACAGAAAATACTTAAAAAATATTTCGCAGCGTACAATGCAGTGTGCAAAATATCATTTACAAAAAAAATGCTTACAGTTTCATCAAAATTTGGTGCCTTAATTTCAAACACCCCGGATATTCGCTTTAGCGTTACTTAACCGTATCTCATAGAAAAATATTTATTACACAAAATGGGAAATATATAATTGCAAAAACGATACGGAGCTGCATTAAAATTACACGATCGATCTTCGATGGATATGAACTCTGATATTTTTGAATGTTTCGCTAAAACAAAACATTGTTTATTTTTCATACTATAGAAAAATAAACATAAAGTCGACAAAAATATATTTAAATAATAGTCACCTGCGTAATACGCAGCCGCAAAACTACGTAGCTTCATGCGACATTCTTTCTTTTACCAAAGTTGTTATATGCATTGCCGTATTAAAACAAATAGCTTTCGGATTGTTTTTTTTTTCATATATGATATACGTACCCCTCGTCACGCAACCCACCCCCTGTCGGAAAATCGACGCCCCGTGCGAAGCCTCGCTCGTTTCTCGGTCACTGGGACTGACCCGTCGCAATTTACTTGTCGAATGCGCCAAACTTTTTGTTTTATCTATCGGTCCCTCCGGTTATCAACTAATAATAATTTTTGTAGTGGTGTTTCTTTTTATCTGATGGACAAATGAATGTCGTTCCATTTGCGTCCGTGACGCTGAACGGTACAGTACCTTGATTTGTGTGTGTTTCTTTTTTCTGTTTTTGTGTGCCGTTTTTTAGGGAAAATTGCATTTTGGAGGATAATTCGTTGGATAGAATGATGTATATCGGGTACGTATTCGTAACCTTGACCCAAGTGTCCAGCGAATCCTTTATTTGCTTCGAATTATTAAGTCTTTTGCAAATTTTTATTGATTTGATTAATGGGGTTCATTAAGTATACACATTCTTAAACATAGTAGGTAGAGGTTGTTTTTTTTTCAGTAATAGTTTAAGAGAAGCTCGATATTCGAATACCTAGTGACAAACAGGCTCCACTATTGTATGAAATAATCCACTGTGTGGATTATTTCATAAAACTCGAGCGTTGATGTGGCATTGTTGACGCAGTTTTCGATCTGTTTACCTCCCTAAAAAACTTCAGAACTCTCTCCGCAGGTGTTTCAAATTCCTCAAGTGCTGTTTTGGGAGGATCGTTATCTGGAAACGTAATAATCCACTTGCAATAAATTATTGTTAATCACAATATTGGAGGTGTTAATGATGATTTATGTTGATGTTTTGCCGGACACGCGGGCTTTGTCACCTGATAAGTTGCCGATTGATTTACCTAAACTGTTTCTTTACATATTATCCGTTCATCAGTATTTTTTTTAGATGTCAATCCTAATTTTTTTTGCTAGGAAATTTCGCGTTCATTTTCTTTTTTGTTTTTTTTTCAAGTTTAAACCAAGCGACGTTCACAGTTTTTTTTTGTCATTTTGTGTAAATAAAAAAACAATTTCATAAAGTTAAAAATTATAATAATTTAACTTATGTATGTATATGTAAGAAATACCAAAATACTGATTTATATTTTATTTATAAATATACACGTTATTTAAAAAAATAAACTTTCTTTTGTACAGGGTGTTCCCAAATTAATGCACCAAATTTTTATGGCACATTCTTCGTCGAAAATAATCGTAAATTCTTCCTTGTCGAGATACCATAGGGTGTTGAAACCTACGAAAAAAACAAGAACTAACCAAAACAATGTTTTTATCGTAATTTTCAAACCACTCTAGATATTTAATTGATATTTTGCACACTGCTTACAAGCAACAAAATATAGTTTTGGATGCCGAATATTTTTGTAAAAATTTACCAGTGGCGTCCGACCAGATTTTAGACTTTTGGTTTTTAATATTTACATTTTTAAATAGTTTTTTCCTTAGAATTTCAACACAGTGTATCTGGGAAACGAAGCGTTTCTATACATATGTTTATATAGGACACTAGGGCTTATGTTCTAAATAGAACATGCTATAAATATTTAATGTATTGATTTCGGAACTTGCTGTATACCGGTACTCCCAGTAAAGGGTACGGTATTAGGGAAATGCACGAAAAAAAAAAGTAAATCAATCAAAGGAAAATGCTGGAAATTATTTTATTATATATTATAATTACTGGTACTGAGATAAAGTCCAATCTTTTTTGTCTAATGCGGTTTGCTCTATATCTGCAAGGAAAATAAATGTCCATATTTTCAAAAGGCTTAACCCATTTTAATAAACTTTTTTTAGGCTCTGTCGTGATTGCGGTTGCTTACCTTACCACTATTTTTTTATGTAATCAGTTAGTCAAATAAGCGCTAAATAATCCAGTGAAAATTGCACCTAAACATCGTTATCCTAACATAAAATATGAATAAAAAAACTTAAAGTTTCCTTACCGTTTTTTTTTTGCTCGCAGGGATATGGACAGCATAGGTTTCACGTTAGCCTTGGGGGCGCTGCGAGCGCTGGCTTTCGTTTACGACGTGCTGACTTTCCCCGTCTACGTTATCCTCCAAAGGCCCTGGCGGGCTCGTCAGCAGTCCAGGAAAATCAAGGTCAGTCGGACGCTCCGCGTCTTCCGCAAAATAGCCTTTTATTTGCTTCGCTCGCTGCAGAATAACCGCTTTCGGATGGTTGCGCTTCCTAGGAAATGCTTTTCGAATGCGTTCCTCATTTCCAAAAATACCGATTTCGAATGAAGAATGCCTTCACGAATACCTCAATGAGTTAATTGCTTGTTTTTCTTTGCAACCGCCGCCATTTCCCATGTTATCACTGAAAAAAAAAAGTATTTTTCAATATTTTGAAGACTGCAATTTCTTATATTTCTCTTATTTCCGTAATTTGTATTACTGGAAATGTTCATGATTCAAATTTATACAGCTTGTCCCATTAGTAATGATACATGGCAAAATAGGAGATTATTTAGGTAAAAATATTATGATTTAACGAAACTGAACTTACAAGGTTTCAAAGTTGCAATTTCATTTTTGATTTTTTTAAATAGTTTTTTTGACTGATATCACTTCTTACACCTTTTTTACACACCCGGCCCGAGTCGTCGTTTTCGAGAAATTCGCTTTTGAAATATTCGTTGCACCTAATTGCTTTGACTAACATCATATCAATAAAAGACGGTAAATTAGTGCGGAGTAGGCTCTGACGAAAACAGACACGATAAAATATTTGCAAAATTTTTCAAAGCAGGCTTTGACTAAATCAAATGCGATAAAGGCACCTAAGTAGGTTCTGGTGAATTTTTCTGCTAGTTTATCAGTCTCTTGGGTGTTTTTAAAAAGTTTCGTTTGGTTTTTCGATAATGACAAGAAATAAACTATTTTCCTTGAGATGCCTGACAAGATATGTTTATACGCACAAGCGGCGAGCTCATAGACGTTATTTTTAAGAATATTTAAAAAGACTCGGCGCAACTGGTTGGTTTCGCGCCAAGGGGGATTCTGTGGGCCGACCAAAAATTATTACACCGCAGCTGAATGACGAAATTTTAGTTCAGTAGCTGAAAACCCGGAAATTTTCATTTTCGTGCAAGATTGGTCAAGTCAAACGCGTTGGCCGTCTAGGAGTCTAGTTTTCAATCCTATTGATTTTTATGTTTTGGGGTATATAAAGTCGGTAGTGTATGAAAAAGGAGTTCATACTCTAGGTGAATTATAGCATAGAATTGAAAATGCCGCTGAATTATTTCGAAACGATAAATTATTGTTTAAAATCAGGCAGTCTTTCAATAAACGTGGCGAACTTGGCGATTAGAAATCTTTTTTTTTACGAATACTTTTTGTATTTTACTTTAGTTTAAAATTAATTTTGTTTTTCCATAAAATTGTTTTCATTGACGTCGAAGTTTTTTTGAGTCTCTCAAAATCTCTATTCAGGTCTGTACTTCCAGATTAGCTCAGTTATATGCATTATCTAGCTTATGTTAAAATTGATGGCATAAAAACATGAAATTTTAAATATTAATTAATGATCTACTGAAAATTTCAAACCTAAATTTCTCGAAAATGGCGACTTGGGACAAAATTTAAAAAGTATACCTTTTTTGTGTAAAAACGGTGTAAAAAATGATATCTGCATATTCTAAAGCTCAAAAAAGTTAGGAAGTATCAAATTCACGAAAAGTGACGCCCTCTATAATTTGCCAAAAATTATTCAGAAAAATGGATTCCTCATGTAAAAAAAGCTCGATTTGCCAGATTTTGTACAAAAAGCTCGATTATATCAACTTTTGGACTAAGGTAAGTTTCGTTAAATCGTAATATTTTTCCTAAAGAAGCCCATATTTTGCCATATACAATTACTTATGGAAAGCCTGGAATGTCTACAGTATGTCCACAGATGGAGAAGATAAGAGAACAAATAGACAAAGAGGTGAAAATAATACGGGAAAAGCTTTTGCTTGCTTTAAAAATAAAGTTTGCAATGCCTACAGGCGACGAAAGAAATACAAACAAAAAATTTGCGAATGTTTTAAATTTCAAAATACGTCACATTACAGATTTTCCAACAAAAATTCAAAATTTTAAGTTTTTGAAAAATAAAAACATGTCTACCTATCTGTTTTTTTTGATAGCTACTATTGCACTGGCGATTTTTTGGAACCCCTATAAATATTATTTTTGATTATAAATATTCCCTGTTCTAAAGTCAACATAAAAATTCTGAAAGGTGCAATCAAATAAAATAGGCGGAAAATATTTTGGTTTTAAATAGAAATTTTAAAATTTCATTAACATTTTGCATTTAATCTGAAATGTTATATTTTTGATATTTTTTCATATCCTGTACAAAACAACTTCAAAACTTATTTTTAAAGGAAACAAAAACAATAAAGACTTTTCTGTATCCTTTTACTCTATGTGTCCTTGTCTACTCCATCTCTGGATATGCTGTTATAAATAGCAAATGTTGAACTGAAATTCTCGAAGTCAGATTGAAAATATTTGCGTTTCAATTGTAATTACAAGTCATATAATTCTCTTTAAAACTAGTCAGACGGTGTTCTTTTTCTTATTTCATTTATGGTCTATCTTTCAAAGACAGAATAACTGCTCATTATTTATGCAAAACCCGTCCTGGGCGCCCAGCATCATTTTTAAATCACCCTAATAGGTTTTCCGTTAAATACCTAAAAAATTTTTCAACTACTTCGCCTATTATAAAAATAGTAGTTAAAATAAAATTCAATAAAATTAAAGCTTTTCGCATATAAATAAAATATATAGTCAAAAAATTGAAATTCAGTACTAAAACAACGAAAGTACAGGTAATTCAATTTTGATAGATTGTCAAAACTAATCAGGATCGGATTCATCCGGGCAAGTTCCATCGTCCACATTAATTATATGGGGATCAACTAATTCTTCAAAAATATAATACTAAATTTTATTTTTGCTGACTACTTGCTACCGTTCCCATTACAAAACCACAAGATGCGTTTTTACTTTTAACCGCATCATAACAATTAAAAAGTAAGTCTTTTTTATTCAAAGATAATGGACCAGTTCTATGCTATGACGTGGTTGCTCTTGATTCGTGATTACTTGACAGATTTACTAAGTAGTTTGTTTGGGTTTATATGGGACAACAATATGTACCTGTATTGTTAATATTAGGTCACATTTGGTAATCAATTATGTATTTAAGTTTTATTACTGCAGCATTAAAACTTAAAGACAAAAGTCGATTTATACTTTCAAAATGTAATATTATTATATATAGAAAGCGTTTTCGTGGACAAGAATTGATTTTCTTATTGTATAGGGTATTCCCTGTATGTCAAATAATTCTTCGGAAAATTATATACATATTTCATACATAATATCATATACCTACCGTTTCTGACATATTTTGAATTTTATGTTAAAAGTGACCTTTGCAAGTCTAAATATCTATCGATTTCTCCGACTGAAAGCTTTTGTTATATATTTGGAGTTTATTTCCTTATAAAGGAGAATCTACTTTAGTGGTATATGTTGATATTTTAAAAATTAAAAAATACAGGGCCACCAAAAAGTAATTAAACTAAAAATTTTAATTTTTATGATACTACCGTATTGGATATCTAAGAAAATGGTTTTAGGTTTCCTATTTCGAATAGTTGTAGATTTCGAAATATTAGCAATAAAACGTTTTTCCACTGTAAAAATGTTAACGGTTTTAATTGGCCAAGAAGATAAAGGTAAAATACGACAGAAAAAAAAAAAACAATCGAGAACTAAAGAAATAGCTTTTCTTTTGACAATTTTGTTTTAAATTTGTTTCACGTCAAAAAATGCAATAAATTTTATCAAGAACATTTAGATATTTGCTGAAAAATATCCATATTGACAAAAACCCACTGGAAAGACAGTTTTAAATGATTAATAGAGAATTTTTAAAATTTTAGGAGTGTTATAAAAAATTATTATTACTAAAATATATACAAAGTTGTTTTTATGGGTTGTAGGATCTTGCAGGCAATAAAACTCAGATTTCAATTTGCCGACGTTTCGAAATATCTTATTTCTTCTTCAAGGCTAATGCGCATTTATAATCGTTAAAACTTTATAAACACAAACAAATAAACGATATATTGGGCCGGATTATACGTAATAAAAACCTAAAAATACGTAACGGCACTGTGAAAAATATTTAAATATATGAAGATCGATATATTCGTGAACTAACTAAACGAATATATAACGATAACAGTAAAAAAAATCACCAAAAATGACCATAAAACTGCCAAACATTGAATTCCAAACTCACAGCAAGGCAAAGTAGTGAGGGTTGTTTTTTTTGTCATGTTTCGTCGTGTCAGGATTTTTAAAGTGAAAGAATGTTTTATTACTATTTCGAAACTTTCAACTTTTTCAAATAGGCAACCCTATACAAAGTCCCTTTTCTTTAATACGAAATACGATAAAATTAGAAAAATTTGAAAAAAATGACTTTTACGATTTAAAATTTAAAATTTATTTTTAAAATCTCAATACCCAACCACTAAAATCGGCCCCCGTCTATTAGGAAATCAACCTTTATGGCATCAAATTAAAAATGTCACCGACGGTAAGACATAGGTATAAGATGAGGATATTGTATATGAAAAATGTCTGGAAATTATGTTATATAGCGAGCGTTCTGTTTAAAATAAGAAAGTTGCTGCTACACTCTGTATATGTAACAGTATAATATTTTAAAAGTATAGTAAACTTTTGTCTCTAAGAGTTTTTGATTTTAATAACAGATTCTGATCCCATAATAAACGATCTACCCTTTACATTATAATAATTATATACGGAGCGTTCGGTTGTTAGACTCCATTATAATAAACAATTTCTAATTACTTTTTATCATCATGCTGTTGGCTTCTTTAGAGCTTGACTGAAACCGTTCAGTCAAGTTCAGAAGAAGCCAACAGGATGATTGGCGAAACGCCAGCAATTTCGACTCAGCAAAAACCGACGCACGAGGAATCCAGACGTTTTTTAAAAAGTATTAGACTAGCCTGTGGAAGTTTCTTTGAAAAATTAATTTCTAATTGGATTGTATGTCTATGGCTGAAACCGTTTTCAAAGATAGACTATTAGTCACTGCGTTTAACAAAAATTTAACTTTACGAAATAAAAATAGTACGCCACAGAACTGTGCGTGAACATATAAGAATTAATTTTTGCAGAAACAACTTTCATTACTCGAAAAATCAAGTAGACAACGTGTAAATCCCCGGACAACCCTGTATACGGACGAATGATCATGTGCTGTCATTTTTGCAATCGGAACAGCTTCATAATTCTTCACACCTACCATTTCGCGTTGCATTCATATTGTTTTATATCGCACATCATCGGTGTTTTTTCATTATTTGTTTTTATTGATTTATAATGTTTTCCGCGCAAGCAATTACGCTGCGGGTGAAAGGGTGTCTTATTTGTTTACACGCGGTTGCATTACAAAACCTTCTAGAAAAACTAATCAATGAATAATTGCAAATTACTGTTTTTTCTAGTAGTAATTAAATAATCGTTATTATTACTATCAAGGTCGCGTCGGTGTAAACTTGAAAATCCGTCTGTCAAATGATGGTTTCGATTGGCGCGGCTGTCGCTAGGGGGCGTTCTAACATTTTTGACTTTGCACTAGTTTTGTTTTTGGATTAATTATTGATCCACATAGCTACTAAATATTTCAACAAAGAAATGCAAAAAATAACGAGAAAACAAATCTTATCAAAATTCTGAAATTCAAGGCAACTCGTCAGTGTGCATATAGGGTCCTGTCATAGGCCCGATAGACAGGATCCAATTTCTTTCTACACGTGTGTTTATCAGATAAAAATTACCGTACATTTTGGTGGTAGACGCGATGCAATTTGTTTTAGCAAAACATGCTTGACTAGTATAGTTTTTAGTGTTCGAACGTTTTCAATTAAATGGCAACATTCAAAAATGTATTTACCACTGGTGGGTGTATAAGGCAAATTTATAAAGCAAGGGAAAGAGGGATCCTTGTTCGACGCGCTCAATAAAATTCAATACACTGATTACATATATTAAATTCTGTATTCTCCAAAACCAATATCTGTTCAATTCTGATTTCTATATACGGGCTAATTAATTTAAATACAGTTTTTTAAAACAAATTGTTTTTATTAGTTTGTTGTATAAGACTTTTTAATTTTCCTAATTAAGAAATGAGCGTCCTGTATAGGAGATTTGGCTTTTTAAGCGAAAAACCAATCTGGCTAGTAGATATTGGCCGAGCATACCGCCAGGCAACGACTTCATAAAGCGTTACTAGATAAAGAGGGTGTTTTCTAATTGAATGATAATAATAAGGGGACAATTTTTAGGTCCTAAACGTATTAACTTTTGAGATACAGGGTGGTAAAGTTTTCAATAATAAAATATATACTTTAAATAGCTGTAATACCACTTTAGATATTTTAATGAAATATGGCACACATGTACTATGTATCAAGAGGCATTATTTTGTGTGCCACTTTTTTTTTTTTAAATACACCCGTGGTGAACGTACGGAATTTCACTTGTCTCTTTTGGTAGACATTGATGGTACGCCACTGATTTCTCTGAAAATACAAATTATTCTCACAAGCAGTAATCGTTCCTAAAGAAATTTAATATCTTGATTTTTTCTTGAATCCGATGTACGGTTTACTTTTACTAGGTTTTACTAGTTTTTATTTTTAGGTGAAAACCGTGCGACGGATTCAAAATAATTAAGTTTAGTGTACCACCATTTTTTTAAAATACACCAGCGGCGGGCGTGCGGAATTGCACCTGTCTATTTTAGAAGACATTGTTAATACGCTACTGATTTCTCTTAAAATAAAAATTATTCTTACAATCTCCAATTATTTCTAAAAAAAATTATTGTTTTGATATTTTCAATCCGATGTACGGTTTGAAAAAAATAAAAACTTCTTCTCTACATGGTCATAACATATCGTTAACATGATAGCATGTAGAGAATTATTATCCCTATTTCTTACCAGTGCAGTGGTGACGTTTGCATTCATTTATGATTTGATCTCTTCATTTTATTAGAGGATTATATTTATTTCAGCGAAAACCGTACATCGGATTGAAAAATATCAATTAAATTTCTGTAGAAATGATTGGAGATTGTAAGAATAATTTTTATTCTAAGAGAATTCAGTGGCGTACAATGTTTTCCAAAATAAACAGGTGAAATTCTATTAAAATATCTAAAGTGGTATTACAGATATTAAAAAAATATTTACCACGCTGTATCTCAAAAGTTAAGATGTCTAGGACATGCAGTCTAAACTATATATAGCGAAATTGAAGGGACTGCTTTTTTTAGTTATAAAGAGTTTTCGTTATAAAGAGTTATAAGCACTTGAAAAATAAGAATACGCATATTTGATCTGTAATATTTAATTATTTTATATAAAAATTTTAACATATAATGTTTTAAATAATCGGTCATTTTATTTTGAATTTTTTTAGTATGCCAATACGCATCTCGTACTTTGGCTTGTATTTTCACTATTTCTTCGGCATCTTTCCCATGATACATAAAATTTCTGTAGCAGCTTAAGTGAATATAGGGCTCGTTGAATGGTTGGTGGTGATCCCAGATCAACTTCTTCATCTTCTTCTTCCTCTTGGTGCTCTTCCTCGCTTGTTGTTATATGGCTTCCTCTGTCAAGTTTGCTGTTGTAGGCAAATCCTTATCTATCACCATAAAATCCTCACGTGTAAATGTAATTGTTGTTTGAAACTGTTTTATCCACTCGCTTAGTGGCCGATCATCTTCCAAGTCCTTTTTGCATTCTATCTCGGTAATAAGTCCTGCATGACGCTGAGAGTGTTGAATTGTTTCTGCTGTCGCCTCTTTCCAAGGTTTACTAATAAAGTTGACTGCATTTAGCATATTAATGGAAAACTTGTCTTCGGACTCGATCATTTCCACTAAAATGTCTTTCGTGTATCGACTCTTGAGACATTTTATTACGGTCTGGTCCATCGGCTGTAATACACTTGTTGTTTTGGCTGGAAGAAATGCCAATTGAATATTCCGCAGATTTGGAATACGGGTGTGCAGGCCAGTTATCTAAGAGAAGTAATATTTTCCTCCCCTTTAATTCTACATCCCATTTCTGTATCTCTTCTTCAAAAATTTGCGATGTCAACCATGCAGATTTGTTTGCCTCGTGACCGGCAAATGATTGATGTTCTTAAAACATCGTGGGTTAGTTGATTTTACAATCACTATTAATTAGCATTCTTTATTCTGTGCCACTCATATTGGCAGCTACGTTATTTAGAAAGTTTTCCATCCACACACTTTTCGCTTCGAAATTTAAGAGTTTTATCTGGCGTCATTTTGTAAAAAATACCAGTTTCGTCAGCATTAAAAAATCGTCAGCAGGGTACTTTTTTGCTAGTTTTGGCCACATCTTCTCCAGCCAATCGTTAGTGACGTTTCTGTCGACATGTTCTAGGGAAATGGCGCATTTCAGAACACTCTAGTTTCTTGATGGTGTGATCTTTGGTCATCAACATTTCCACTCCACACAGTACATGTGACCACATGCACTCAAACTTCAGCGTCAATTATTTCAAGTGATATTTATATTTTTCTTTTTTTGTGTTTTCTTTGTTTTTGCAGTATTTATTGCAAGTAAAGTTTTGATACTTTCATTATTGACCCTGTTCAGTCACTCATTTTCTTTTTTAAAAACCGGGAATATTTCGAACTGCATGTATCACGTCCAACACTAGAACGCGAAATGTAAATTACCCAATACATAGATTAACTCTGAGAAGATTATTTTGTAATATACCAACACAATTTGAAATAAATATTATTATTATTTGCATGGTGTCATGGCTTTAGCGAGTGTTTTTTTGAAAACCAACTTTTCGAGAATACTCTCAAATAATTAATAAACAAAAGTTTAAATCAGCAACTTTGTTTATGCATTTTCGCCTAGTAGTGTCATTGAGTCGAGTTAAAATTGCAGTTACGGTAAATATTTTTTCCAGAATTATTTGACAGGCGAATTTTAACGGAACGCGCGGAAAGGTTTTGTAAGCGGCGCGAATTTTTCTGTGCTTTTTTTCTCGTTAACTTTTGTGATGTGTGTGCTGACCGACGTTCTTTATAGGCAGTAATAGTAGCGTCGGAGAGGGAACAAAGGAAATCAGACGTAAGCGTTGATATGAAAGGAATCGAAACCGATATAACTAATCGTTTTGTCGAACCGTCCAATAACAACCAGGTATAAGCAACTTTGTGCAAAAAAAAAAACGTATGTCTTAAAAAATATACGTAAAAAAAAGTGTAGGAAGGATAGCACTGAGGTGGACGGTGTCCTTTCTAACATTTTAATGTTCGTACCGCCCCTAGGAGCGCAGAAAAACAGAGGAAAACTCTTGCCAAAAATGTTTTTTTTAACCGATGAACTCTGTTTTTCCCCTCCAATCTAGTTTTTTAACGGGATATAGGGATAGGAGGGTTAAAATGTGGAACAATTTATTTTTTTTAATTATATGGCAGGTATAACCTAACCTTACTAACATTCACTGTTGCCTGTTACTATTTTGAATTTTTTTTTCTATTGACTTACCTTGGCATTAGCATGTTATGGTACTATTTGTTTTTAAATTGATGGTTCTAGTTGCTTAGGATTTTACATATTTTTTTAACGTTATTTTCAGGTCGGTTTGTATGTTCTGTTGTACATAATGTATATACAAATTGTACATTTTTTATCGGTTGTATGTTCTATAAAGACTTTATATCATGTTTTGTGTACAGAGTGTGTCTATATCAAATTTAAAAGCACGTGAATAATTTAATTAAAATGCGGTAAAACTTTTTAACAACTTTGAATCAAGTTTTTTGTAGTCCTATTTGTTTTCTTAAGTAATTCTTTAAATAATACTTCAAAATTAATGTGTGAAGTTTTACAGTATTTTTTGTTATTTACATTTCATTTTCTTGTGTTACTGTTTACAAAATGTTACTAAATTAAAGGTCGATTGGACTCTAACTCAGTAGTAGTAGAGTGATATTGTGATTATGGTCTGAGGGAAGTGACAGCAATTTCTAAAAAAGTCAGTAAATTAAACTCATCATCTATCTATCTATGTCGTTCGGTAGATATGTATTTATATGCTTTGCCATATTTTACAATTCTGGACAACGGCGAAATTTTAATGCTACAATACATATTGTAAAAATATTGTCATAGTCAGTGAATGTTATGACGACAGGGTGATCTTTAATGGTGTGTCAATACTGAGGGAGATAATTCTTAAGCTCGTCTTAAGAAAAAAGCTTCTTTGTCTTGGGATACAGCATTCCTATGATTCATCATATTGAAAGAAAAAAATTGCCAAAAAATGAATGACATCATTAAATCAACAAAAACATAACGACGATTTGATAATGACATTTACAAACTGTTATTTAATACAAGCTAACTGGATTTGTATCTTTAAAAATTATTATTACTTTCAATCCAAGGGATATCAAAAGAAAACATTCGACCGAAAAAAGGTCATTAAAGTACCATTTTTTCTTCAAAAATACACGGCGTGTCTGTGCCGTGCACTTGAAAGTGCTTCTCTCGAAATGCAAAGTGCCAAATGTCAGAGAGATATACCGAATATTTCAAAAAGCATCAAAAGATTTTAAGTTCGTAAATAGTCAAAAATCAATTTATTTTTTCTATGTAAACATATATCATAACTTGTTCGATTAATATAATTAATAAAAAAAACTTTTTTTAATTAGTTGCTAGATTTTATTTTAGTTGATTTTAATGTTTTTAAGATTTAATTAGTTGTTTTCGAACTTAAAGATAACAAAAACTTTCCGGTATTGATAAACCAAACACCTGTTTAAAAGGTTGAACTACCAAATGCGATCTCATTTGTGGTAGTCAGTGTTTCCGATTCGCATTATTTACAAAAAAAAATCTCGTATCGTACTAATATTCAAACGCTTTTCTGTATAGGCGCAACCCATCACTCAAGATACGAAAAGCATTACCTACCGTTCTACTGAGCAGCCGAAAAACTACCACATAATGTTGCTGCGCGAGAAGGTCGACACTATGGCGAAACTGCTCGAGCTCGTCAGCAAAAAGTACCCGAACAAACGTTGCCTCGGCACGCGGCAGATCTTCGGCGAAGACGACGAAGTCCAACCGAACGGTCGCGTGTTCAAAAAGTTCAACATGGGCGACTACAGGTGGAAAACGTTCTCGGAAGTGAACACCTTGGCTACCAATTTCGGCAAAGGCCTGCGCGAGTTGGGCAACCATCCAGGCGAGAACGTGGTGATTTTTGCCGAAACCAGAGCCGAATGGTTGGTGGCCGCCCACGGACTGTTTAAACAGAACATTCCGTTGGTGACCATTTACGCAACTTTAGGTGGGTTACATTAGGGTGGTCCAAATTACGTCATGGATGTAAACGTTGTCGCCATGATTTAAAGACGATAAACGGAAGAACGCAAAAAGTAAAAAAGAACATTCTCAATTTTTCGTGAATGCAGCTCAATAAAAAAGTCGACATAAACCCTATATGTTACTCGCACATGATTATTTAATTGCTAGAAATGTTTGTCATTTAGAACACACCTACCAAATATGTTTGAAATACGCTAACTTTTAATAATTTTATGCGCATTCAAAGTTTGAATCCACGTGGAGTCTGCTAACATAGACAAAATGGGCTGTGACCTCACAATGCACTATTTTCATGCATAACCTAATGTAACGTTCGAATTTGAATAACGTAGATAGAAGTAGGATCGAGATCCGTTGTTGATACCCCTTACGAAATTAACAAATGCCTACATCAGAGAAAAAATTTGTTTGACACCTTGAAACATGCTAAAGTAACACACTACACAAAAATTGTAATTTAAATGACCCAGACAATTATAAACCCATATCACTGTAATGTCTGTAGTATTAAAGAATACTAAAACAAATGTCAAATTATCTAGAACAAAAAGATATTCTCATTCTAGGCAGTTTGGGTTTACGGAAGGTAAAAATACCACCTTAGTAATTCTAAAAGTGATTGAACATATAAATTGACTTGAGAAATTAGAATATACAATCACTACATTCTGTGGCCAGAACAAGCCTTTAAACTGTGGCTGGCACTACATATTGCTAGTCAAACTTTCCTTCTACAATTATACTCTAGACTTACGAAGCGACAGCAAATGGTTAACTACGCGACTTCAAGTAAACAAGAAATTACCATAGGTCAATTTCAGGTCCAATTTTAAATTAAATAAATGATATTCTGATTATTACGTAAAATAACAGGCTATACGAGAAATAAAGTACGACACACACACAAGCACACGCACTTACAGACAGCACTAATGGTGTCGCGCAGAGCACAGCCGAGAGCAGATCAATGGTTTGCATTAAATAAATCAAAAACCCAAAATGTGGTATGTTCACTAAAAAGGATTGAACCTATAGGTGACAGTGTTAAATTTTTGACTAAACCTAGACTAGTATCGAATACAAACATCAAGATGTACAAAAGTATTTTTTTTATTGCGAAGCCTCTTCTCAAGTTCTGAGAGAGACGTACTTTTTACTCGGATATTCTTATCTGGGCATCACTTTGGTGGTATTGAGAATTGAGAAAGGTGGGTTTTGCGATTCAGAGAAATAATAAACCAAAGCAAAAAAAACGAACATTCTTCAATATTAGCGCAAGTATTTAATTTTTCTTGAATGCCAACAGGAGCCACATTTTACTTAAATAATCAATCGTTTGCCTCTAATAAAAAGTTTTATTAGTATATTTGGAACACACCTGTCAGATATATTTTAAATACACTAACTCATTCATTGTGTCAAGTGTTCGGTACAGGGGCAAAATCAAATCTTTGTTTATTCCAATCACGTTACATATAACAAAGACTTCTGCGGGGTCTATTGGAGCAAAATCTGATCCGGTTAAACCCAAAAAGAAAAAAGAAACTTTATCAAGTAGATCATTTTACCTATTTATACTGTGTATTTAACGCCAATAAACCATTATAATCATTATTATTATATTCAGGCGAGGAAGCTATAGCTCACGGTATCAACGAGACCGACGTGACGACCGTGGTGACCTCGTACGAGCTAATGCCCAAATTCAAAAAGATTCTGCCGATGGTTCCCAAAGTCAAGACTCTGATCTATATGGAAGACCAGCTACACGAACTAGACACCAGCGGGTACCAGGACGACATTACTATCATCAAATTCACGGACGTGTTGGAAAAAGGAGCCAAGTCTGATGCCGGTATGGGCATTACCAAGCGTACGCGTCAAACTCAAATTGTAACTGCGTATTTTAGTGGCCGCTCCGCCCAATCCTACGGATACTGCCATCATAATGTACACAAGCGGTTCGACGGGCGTGCCCAAAGGGGTCATCATTCTGCATAAGAATCTCATCGCCACTCTGAAAGCGTTCTGCGATTCGGTAGACATTTACGAGAACGACGTGATGATCGGGTTCTTGCCATTGGCTCATGTCTTCGAGCTGCTGGTCGAGACGGTGTGTCTGTGCGCCGGAGTGCCCATCGGTTACTCGAGCGCTTTGACTATGATAGATTCCTCCAGCAAAATCAAGAAAGGTACCAAGGGAGACGCGTCAGTGTTGCAGCCGACGTGCATGACATGCGTCCCGGTAAGTTTTCGATGTGGGCGGGGAATTAAAAAAATTGATACTTTGCTTTTCTGAAAATGCTAAAATGGAAACAAGTGGCCCCTGCGTAATTAAAATATTTACAAACAAATGTTAATGTTTTTATCAATCTTTATGAAAGGTCGGCTTTATTTTTGATATACAGGGTGTTAAAAAAAAAACGGATTTTCCTCATTTTTATTGAACGGCAATAACTGAAACTGAACCGATCTGAAACTGCTTTAGATAATTTGTTGAAATTTGGTAGGGTCCCACAATGCATACAAATGCTTTTTTTGGGGTCTAAAATAATTTTTCCGCTTTCACCAGTGGAGTTCCGTCGGGGTAGGCATCACATCACATTGAATATTTTTACAGAAAAAAAAAGATACGCCAAAAATAGAAAAAATAAATTACATTTTTTACATTGATTGAAGTGAAAAAATGAAAAAGAAATCTTATTTAGTTATTAGAATTAAATTTAAAATAAAATAAATGTAATGTTCTTGCTCTACCAATCATCATTTTCATTATTCAACCGATTACAAGCAATTTGGGAGACCTCATTCTTTTTTTTTCTTAAAATCATTCAAGGAATCCCACACCCTTAAGGATCAGCATTTTATTGTGAAACACTCTGTATAGAATATTAATAATTGGCAGCGCTATGTTTAACGAATTTGAAAAATTTCCACCCTGTTTATAAATAGGTAATGTCAAAAGCAGCTCGCTTGATGTCATGTAAAAGCGAAATTTCAATATAAAAAGGCAGTATGTGTAAAAGGTGAGGCAAGTTGGTCACTTGCTTGGTAAGATGAAATTGCTGAAAATGTTTTGTGTTCCATTTTGGAAAATGTTTCACAAGTTGTTATCGTTTAAATATATACATCATATTTTTCAAAAATTTGTATTTTACAAAATAATCCTTTTCTTTCTCTGTCTACAGCTCAGTTTTGTTTAAAAAAAAAAGTAATACAAAAACCGCCTGTGGATTATTAAGACTTATGGAAGGTATTCCAAAAATATGTATTTTTAAATAATTGCCGTAACTTTCTCGCTATGGAGAATTTCGGTTTTATATCCCCTTCTTGGAAGAAGAGTGGCACAATTAAAAAAACTCAATTTTTAAGGGGAGCTATTATTTTAAACTTTCAGTTTATTGTAATTCCCATTACTTAGTTGTAACATTCAGTTTGATTACAAAAATAAGTACAATTATTGATATGAATTTAGTAAAATGCAAAAAAAAAGAATTTTAGAAATCTCAATAAAGATATTTTTTTTTTGCAATTTTCTTTTTAAATGTATCATTTTTCTCCAACAAAAGATTTCGAAAACAGGCATCAAAAAAGACAAATATTTTTCCAAAACTTTTTGCTGTTGAAACAAAAGTTTAAATGAAATATATTAATAGAAACAAGTTTTCTTAACACAAACGGCTGAACTCAATGTGATTCTACTAGTTTCTGATCACTAAGGAATAAATTTCCAAGCTTGAATTTTAATAAACATAAATTGAACTTAGTAGGAATTTATTAAAAAATCAGAATATTCTTATTAACAATTTTTCATTTTTTCTTTCATTAGAAATTTGTGTGTTATGCTATTTAAGAAAAGATATCCATTGATTGCATACTGATAAGTGGTCATCATAAAGGGATTTTTTGTTGACCTCAACAATTGTCTGTGTAGAAAACTACATCTAGGCTTTCATTAATGGTAGAATATTTAGGCTCTAAACCTTTTAAATAGTGAAGTATGCACGTACCAATCTCATTAACTCCTCTGTTACCCTCGGCTTCATGCCAGATACAACATTTAACTTCTTTAGATTTCAAATTATAGAACGTTAAGTTATACATAGATAATTTCGAGGTATAATAAAATCTTGACCTCTTTTTGGGCAAGGTAATGCAGCTTGTAGGTCAACTTTAAAATTGTCTTTCAAATTCTTTTTCTCCTGCTCTTTTTCCAGCATTGACAGGATACGTTCTTTAAACATCAATTAACTACTAAATTGTTAAATAAAAAAATAAATAAAAAAGTGACAGTATGACTTTAAAAAAATGCTCAATTTTATCTATGACATTTGAAAATAATACCCCTTAATCAAAATTCAGTCATTTATATTGGTCATATTTTGAAATGATACCCCTTAATAAAAATTAAGTATATTGATATATCTCAATGAACTAAACAGTATCAACAACATGTGACGTTCTTCTAGCAAACGGTTCCCACACTTCAACTTAATTTGTATCGTTTAAAAAAAAAGACAGTTTCATGCTAATAACTCAGAAATGCAATTCTTTAAGTTCTTTCAAGAAGGGGACCTGAAAATATATCTATAGCACTTTAAACAAATTAAACACCAACCGTATTCTTCCTACGTCTACGTTTTATATTTAATTACTACCTTATGACGTCACCGGACAAAAGCCACTTATTCGAGACTTCACCAAAACGGTTTCGAGGTTCAAATGACCTTCCTCTTTTTCCAAACGACTACCACCGAAAAGTAAATTGTTCCAGTTGATCCTCGATCGAATCTCGAAGAGCATCCAAGAGAACGTTTCCAAAGCAAGTTCGTTTAAAAAATTACTCTTCAAATTCGCCTACGATTACAAAGTAAAATGGAGGAAACGCGGTTACGAGACCCCGCTCGTTAACAAGTAAGGTCGCGAGGGTGGGTGGAGCGCGTAATAGTTTCACTTATCGACGTTTGCAGAGTGGTGTTCAGCGCCGTGCGTCGTCTGATGGGCGGAAGCATGAGATTGATCATATCTGGAGGGGCGCCGCTATCGCCCGAGACCCACGAGCAAGTCAACACCTGCCTATGCGTAACCATTATCCAGGGCTACGGTCTGACGGAGAGTACGTCGAGCGCATGCGTCCAGGACAGTACGTCTTAGCCACGCCTCCCATAGATGCAAGGTCTATCAATAGTTGTTTTGTTTTTTAGTCACCGATATGACTTTTGGGCGGGTCGGTGCGCCGGTCACGATATGCGAGGTCAAGATCGTCAATTGGGAGGAGGGCAACTACAGGGTGACCGACAAGCCTTATCCGCGAGGCGAGATTGTAATAGGCGGCGACAACATCACCGCTGGATACTACAAGCTGCCCGAAAAATCGAAGGAAGACTTCTACGAAGAGAACGGCAAGCGGTGGTTTAAGACGGGCGACGTAGTCGAGGTACACGACGACGGCGTCGTCAAAATTATAGGTGAGTGTTCGTATTCTGACCTCTCAACTTCTTTGTCTAGGTTAGGACAGTTTTGACCTCGCTCGAGGTCGTCAAAGGACTCTTCTTCAACGCCGCATTGATATTTTTATTCACACTTTAAGGAACCGTACTGCAATTGTTACAGATCGCAAGAAGGACTTGGTGAAGCTTCAAGCGGGCGAGTATGTTTCGCTGGGCAAGGTGGAGTCGCAGTTGAAGACGTGCCCGTTGGTGGATAATATCTGTGTGTATGGCGAACCGACCCAACACTATTGCGTGGCACTGGTGGTGCCGAACCAGAATAATCTCGTCGAGTTGGCGAAGAAGATAGGCCTGGCCGAGAAACCGTTCGAGGAATTGTGCGAGAACGCGGACATGGAGAAAGCCGTCTGCAAGGAGCTCGCCGAGCACGGGTTGAAAGGTTAGTTGCAATTTTAAAGCTTGTGTCAAGTTGGCAACACCGCAAACGATTGACGCTTTTGCGAGCAATGGCCTACCAAATTTTCCTTCTGTCACTATAAAAAAATGAACAAATGTTGGAAAAATTAAATAGCATGTGCTAATAAGTGGGGATTTGGGGCGGGTATAAGGTGCGACAAATTGATGCCTATTTCCTTAAGTCTTTTTATTTCTGTCTCATTTACGTGCTTTAACTTGTTAATATGTAATATCTTATCTCGAAAGCAGTCTCCTTAAACTAGATAACATCGCATAACCATTGTGATTCAAATTTGATTGAAAAAGTCATGTCGTTGCTTTTTTGTGTTTCTTCAAAAAATGTATGAGTTTTGTGTGAAAGTTGTCTTTGATTGAAATTTGTCTTTGTACAGTGTGTCTCATTTTTTATGCTTTTAATTAATTGAAGGGTAGCACAAACAGAAATGTCATAGCTGTCTATGCAATATACAAACTAATTTTGTTGTTTTTTTAACGGAACACCCAGTACATGTATTAGTTTAATTTTATTATACTTGTTATGAGCTTCTGAAATACTATTATTTAATTTTAAATTCTTTTTAATAAGAATCGTAATAAAATCATAACAGAAAAAATCATAACAGAAAAAAAAAACAAGTTTAGTTTTGTGAAAAGTGACTACGTCACTGAACCCTGCATACTCAACACCAGTTTTCACCTTTTCGATAAGGAAACACACAACTGAATTACAAAAAGTTTGTAAAAAGGCAAAATTTCCGAAATCACCCTGTACCTAAAAATTCAAAATAGCTATGGCATTCTTATCTGTGGCACGTTTCAATTAAAACAAAATTAGCTGTGGGTCATGTAATCAGCAACACGCTACAAAAATGGGACACAATGTACAATGTCTGTTCATTTTTGCACTATTTTTGGAAACTATAAGAAAACGAAACGTTTTAACGCCATTTCAGCTTTATTTTTATTAGTTTTTTTTTGCCATTATAAATAATAAAAAATTACTGTTACCATTGCAATCTTTTAACACCATATTTTGGCAATGGCACTGACATCAAAACAAAAATAAATATCTACCACATAATTATTAACATTTTTTAAAATAAATGGCCTTGCCCTGTAAAATTTTTTCAACGTTAAAAATACAAAATCCAATTTTTGATATTAAGTTAAAATTAAGTTTCCTTTTTAATTACAATCACATTCTATTTAAATCTAGATATATATTATTGGCCTCCCTTGCCAAAGCTTAATATGTGCCAAGAAACGCGGCGTTACCACCCGAGGTCATTTTTCTCCGACTATTTATGATCGATTTTTTTTTACGAGGTGCATTGAATGGTTAAAATATGGAACAATTTCATTTTAAAATCAGGTATTGCAGTTTAACTGCATTAAAAAAAAATGCTCGCACACTTAGTAGTAGATGTGGATACCAAGTTCCGCGTTTTTAAATGGAATACCATTGTTTTACATAATTCATGTAGCGTATCTTATACATATCTCTTATTTTTTATGAGCAAAAGAAAAACAAAAATTTAATTTTGAAATTTTAAATTGTTAGAATTACATTTCTAAATGAAGCATAGAGAATTGAAATTTTCAGTTTTTATGGATGTTTAGATAAAACGATAACTCAAGAAAAAGTTTCTAATTTGTTTACCGAAAAATATCTAGAAAGATCCATTACAAGTTTCACAGTAGTAGAATTGAGAGAAAATTTATAGAAACAGGGCATGTAAAAGATCGTCTACTGCCAGGTCGTCCAATTCCTATTGTGCATCTTCGGCAGTAGTTTGAAATAATAATGATAGCCAACGTGTGTGTATGAAAAGAAGTATCCCTACAAGATTAAATTACTATAGGAGGTGAATGAAGATAACCTCGACCGCAGACTAAAGTTTTGTGAAACGGTGATGGAAATAAACTGTTTAGTGGTAAAGGCACATTTTGTTTGAATGGTACAATAAATAAACAGAATGGTAAGTATTGGAGAACAAATAATCCCCGATCGATGAGAGAAAGTCATATACAAAACCACAAAAAACAAATGCTTGGGCAGGGATTTTGGATAACAAAATTATTGCACCTGATTTCATTGACCAAAAATCTTATTGGATTTACAATGTCTTCAAAATGACTTATTTCCTACTCTCGCGGTTTCTTTCCCAAATCAAAATTAGATCTGATGACATGCCAGACAGACAGATTTGGTTTTAACAAGGCGATACTGCGTCCCATTTTGCTCGAGAACATCGTGAATATTTAAATACAGTATTTCCCGGAGAGTGAATTGGTAAAATGGGATCAATAGAATAATTAGCATTCAAAATCTCCCTGATATTTAAACCATTGGATTTTTTCCTGTGGGACTATTGAAAATTAAAAGTATAAAAGGAAAAACCACGAAATCTAGAAGATTTAAAATTTATAATTAGATACGTAATAAGACAAATGAATGGGTATCGTAAGTATTGAAAGCGTTCGTTTTCAAATAGAATATGTTAAGAATGGTAGGCATTTTCAACACTTAAGGAGTTTTATTTAGATAGCGCTATTCACTTTTTTTACCGATAGAATTGTAACAATTTAAGAACTTTACTGGTACTTTGTTTTTTATTTTTTATATATTTTAGCCGTTCACTCTATATGTACGTTATATCGGCGAATATAGCTATTTCTACTATGAAAATACTAAAAGCAACTTTAATCTTTATATGCAATAAACTCAGATATTCAGTATAACTTAAGACCAAAATTTTAAATGTTAAAATTTATAATAAATTGCCTATCAAACTGAAGCAGAAGCAAAATTCAAATACACTCTTAAAAACAAGTCGTAAGAAAATAAAACTATCTTTATCTTTATATATGTATTTTTTGCAGGTAAATTGGCGAAATTCGAGATCCCCGCGGCCGTGAAGCTTGTGGCAGAAGTCTGGTCGCCTGATATGGGGCTGGTAACGGCGGCGTTTAAATTGAAACGAAAAGATATCCAAGAACGATACCAGTGCGAGCTACGAAGGATGTACGCGTCCTGAAACCGGTCCGATTTTATATTTCACAGAGTTAAGTGTTAAAAATCACCGCAAAACGGTTCTTAAACCAATTCTACAGACTGTCTAAAAACTCGGTGTTTCAATCGTCGTCCGGGAGATCTCGTAAAACGCCCGCCGTCTTCAACACGTTTTGGCAATAAGGGATGATTCGTTCGCTGCTGGACATCGAAAGACTGTGATTTTTTTAAAAAGCCCCGTTTTATGAGATCTCTTCCCTTCCAGAGTTCGGTTCCGCCGCGCAGGCCTAATTCGCAACAATGGTGTCGTTTTAGCACAAACTATTATATTAAGTTTAGAATTCTCGGTAATAATGCTGCAATAGTTAAGTAACCTCGAAGCCATGGTCTCCGGTCCTCTATGGAGAAAGCTTCGGGGTTGCGGCGGTGATATTGTTAAAAGTTTTTTTTTGTCTTTTTTGTTGATTATTATCATGTTGAAGACTGTAGGTAGGCAACTGGAGTACTTGTCAAATTATTAAGTGTACATCGCAGACGCGTACTTAACAATGTAACAATAATTATTGTATTTATAGCAACATTTTAAACGTGTAAATATTTTCCCAATTTTAAGTCCCCTAGGAGAAAGAGAGGTTCGAAAAATGTATTTATTTACCATAAGAAATAAATTTCTTTTACTTTTGACTTGGGTTTCTTTGTAAATTGAAAATCCAGAGAGGTTATAACTTATTTTATTAACAATATGAAAAAAAAATACTTTTTTTAAAAAAGCTAATCTGGAGATGGAATGAATTAATAAATAATATTGCACTATGACCTCGTGTATTTGCCCCATATGTGCAGCATAAACACCGACGCGATGAACAGCAGGGACATTACCAAAACTGGAACTGGGCCTCTACAACACAAAAAATATCTCAGTTTTTCAAATAAAAATTAAAAAATTCTCAATTACAGACAAAATGACAAATTATTAATATTTTTTAATCCAATTTTTTAAAAAAATGTGGCTAAAGAATTACTAAGAGAGATGAATCATGTAGTAGAAATTTTCTAATAGCACACCTAACCAATCCTACCTTGCACACATGAATAACAGAATCGTAAGCGCTTTTTTTTAGAGACTTCATTATTTCAGCCTAAAATATCAAAAATACTCCAAAATACTGTAAGCATAAAGATTATTTTTTTAAAAATCGTGATTTTCATCTATGTCTAAATTGAAATTTCATTTACTATATGGCTTTTTCAAAGACTATAGTCTATAGTAGTAATGAACAAATTTTAGAATCAAAAAATGAAAAATAATTGTTTGTATATTGACACAAATTTAAAGTAATTTATTTAATATAAAAATTTTTATACATTTACTATGGCAATTTCTAACTGAGAAACTTTTATTAATCTTATAGTAGTTAAGAGTTGATTTTACCGAATCAAATATGTGATTCACAATAGAATAATAAAACTGAAAAACATCACAAATCTTGGTTCTATATTGACCTGAATAATGTCACTTTCAATCTTTTCCGCCATTTGTATACTACTAGAACAATAACAAATAGACAAATAAACAATAATAGACAAATACAAATACCAAAAAAAAAAAAATTATTATTATATTTGGGACTTAGATTACATAATTTTCAGCCTCTAAAAATAAGACTGACAAATAAGCAGATTTAAGAGCGAAAATTGTAAATTTGTATTTGAAAATTGAATTGTTTTGAATTACAGTTTGTTTTATTTTTGACGAATTAGTTGAGCAGGACACTGCATTGTATTAAGTTAGATTATAGGGATAATATAGTGTTAGCATTATCATTATTTTTTATGGTTCCTAGGTAACTAGGCGCAACAAAAAAAAAAGGATAAGTAGAACTTCATAGAATTTATTCTGTTTTATACTTGTTAGGTTGGGTCATATAACTTGTTTAAATACACAAAAAAAATATGTTAAAATTTTAAAATTTTTAATGTGAAACAAAATATTTTACCATTTAATATTATAATATTGCCTGTGCTTTTTTATATAACAGAACTATATGGAACTGTAGTAGAAGTACAGTGGATAGAATTTACATATGCCAATCGCCAACTCCACCAAATTATTGTAATATATGAGCAGTGCTGATCATCAATAAATGCAACATATGGTCTGATATGGCCCTATAGTTTGAAATACTTATTTAAAAAAAAGAGGGCACTCACACTTTAATTCCGGGTGAATCATCAGTGTAAAACCTCCACATGCCACCTGTACCCGCTCCCGTGTTTCTTCTCGCTGTCGTTGTCGTTGTTGTCTTCCTTTGCCTTACGGTGCCCCCGGTACTAGATCTCGGGGCGGCGCTTTTTGAAGGAGACCGACTACCGGAGCCCACACTTGTAGCGCTCGCTGATGCAGGCTACAATCAAAATGAACTATACTTATTCCGTATAACAATCGAAAGAAATAAGGCTACCATTTTTGATATTCAATGCTACTTAAACGACTCTATCACATAAAACACACTCGCTTAAGTAAGCTTCTTGTACAACCTAGTTTCACAAAACTGTTTTGACACGTTGCAGTGTAACGACCTCCCTACTTCGTGGGCTATGCGCAACGCTACGTCATGATGATGTGTACCATAGGCATGTTCCAAAATGGCTGGGCGCTTTGTTCTTCGTAATTGTCGATCTACGTGAAAAAATTATTTGCAAATTCTTGATATTTGTGGCGTTTAGAGGAAAGATTTATATTAATAAAAAAGCCAATTTTTAAATTTGAATCGAATTGAACGTACCATTTTTTAGATTTAGTAATTAACGATTCTTCGTTTTCAATTGATCACATTTCGCAAACGTCAGAAAATTGTTGTTCTTTGATAGTGTTTTCCATAGAAGATAAATCGACGTATCTATGAAGATAACCTCACTTTTATACCTCACTTTTATATTTGTTTTTATTTATTAAGGAGACGTTATGGCTGAGCTGAATGAACAAGATAGTCTATTGCTTCAAAATTCAATCAAATACTTACACGATTTATGCAGCCTCAAGGAGTTTAATGTTCCAACTCTGAAATCGCTTTACAGGTATCACGTTTCAATATCTAGTAAGCTAGGTTTACATATTAGTAATTTTAGAACGCGCAGTAGACTGATGGAACTCCGAAACCGAGTTTACCTTCCTTCACAACTCAACAAATCGTCAGTGCGATGCAAACGTTGTTTTCTTAATGTTTTGGATGGTGGTGCTAGTTTTAACATTCAATCTATGAAGCTAAGCAGATTTGCTAGAAAGGTAATAGTTAAGGCGGCGAGAAAGCGCGTATTAACAAAGTACCAAACCAAATACTATGAACAGTTAAAGAAACAGTATCCTGATGGAATTGTTGATCAAAATCGATTGGTAATATACCTTCATTTCGTTATTTTAGTTCAGTTGAGCAAAGTTGCCATTTTGTAGGTAATTGTCTGCAAGTACTGCAAACAACGGTCGACAATCCGAATGTTGAAACCAAAAAAACCTCTAAAATTGACGAAAACTCAGACTTCCAAAAGAAGGAAAAAGAAGAAAAAGGACAAGTTCTGTGGTTTAAATGAAAATGAAGTGCTTAAAGTGGCAAGCAATCAACAAACAAAAGAAGTTGTAGACTTGACTGAATCTGCTGTGGACCTAGTCAGTCCCAAGAAGCTTCACCCACTAAACATCAGGAAAAGTAGAATTTTTGAAACATCAGATGTGAATCTGTTTGAAGCAAGCAAGAAATCAAAGTTTAAGAAGGCAACTATAGTTGAGAAAGAAACACCAAAGAAAAGAACAAGAAAAAGGAAAACTGTTAAAGAAAAAAGTGCATCTGAAAAATTACAGCTGTTTTTGCAGAATTTATGAAAGGTAGGTTAAAAAAAACTCTGTTCGTGTTATCATATTGTGATGTATTTCTACTTTTTAAATATAATAAACTCCAAAAGGAACAAAAGAGTTTCTCTAAATATATAATTGTTATTTTATTTGTCAATGGAAAATCATTCTATTTACCTATTCTAAAGGTATTTGTTCCATAACAATCTGAAACAGAAAATATTGATTATGGTTTATATTCCAACTTAAAGACACAAACACACAAAAAACACAAACTATCTATTAATGCAATGTATTTTTGTGCATATTATTAGGTTGTGGCAAAATTAAAGCAGTTTCTTTTTGCAAAAAATAAAATGCATCAAGGTTAATTTTTTGAATCAATTGCATGGCCCCCGTATTTACGGGTAGTTCCCTTTAATCGCCTTACAATGTATCAGAACTCGTGGTTCACAAAATCAGGCAGTATTGTTATGTTTTGGTTAATATTTTTAGTTTAGTTTAGTGCTTAGCAAGCACATTGACAGACATTTGCTAAGCGACCCACCAGTCTCTCACCTACCTTGGCGCATAAATCTCGGTAATCTTTGTCAGTGACTGCCGCAAGTCGTTCGGGCACCTCCTTGCCTCGTCTACGCAGCTCCTGGCTGACCTCGACCAAATCCAAAATAGAGACTGGGTCCAGCTTATGTCTGCCAATGAGCCCAACTAAATACTCGACGTAATGAAGCCTACGCACACACACAACAAACACTGGTTAGAATATTTACTGTCCCTTTAAGTTTAAGGTGTAATTTAAGGATAATATGGATTAAAAACAGCATTTTCGCGGTTGACAACCCAGCTACCTGTTTAAGTCGGAAACGGTACATTTCTTTGGGCGTGCCGTAAGCGTTAGGGGGCAAACGTTTCGCCGCCCTTCTAACAATCGTCTCTAAATCGTCTTCCATCAATATCTCGATGGGGTCTATATTGTGCTTTCTTATTAGCAGACTTAAATACTCTAAATAATGGGTCCTGCAATAATTTTAAGTTTTCTCCCTGGACCCGAACTTCATTTTAAAAGACATGTTTGTCGCTCGTTTAAGCCACGCAGCAATGCACGCCCGCATTTTAAGTCATTGGAGTGCTACTTAATGTATATACAAGGTGTGATTTTACTGACATCATATAATTTAATTACTGAATCTGGAGCCCAGCCTGATACAAAATCGATATTTTGTTTGATCCAATTAAAATTATTTAGGATATTTATCTGGTAGGATCCTAATGATACTGTTAAAGTGTATTGTTATGACTCAGGTAATTTTAATTAATTAACACTAATCTTAGATAATGCTATTGGACGATAAACAAGACACGCGGGTTTACGACTTACCTGATATAATTTTGTAATGCATCCATTCCAAATAACACTTAATGTTGTCCTTTCTCACTGTATATTTATAAAACCATAAACACCCTAACAAATGAACAGTGATATTTTATTGAATAGTCACAAAACTATCAAATAAGAGGATACACTAAATTACAAGAATAGGAAATAATAAAGAAACATTAATCCGACCTTGACCTTATTACATACCTGACGGGATAGTGAGTTGTATTAGTTTAAATCTACCTAACGAATAAAATTCAACGCTCTGTGGTTACGTATATAAAAATATTACAATTTCATTAAACTTAGTAAATAACTTACTCCCCACTTATTTGTAGGATCATTAATATGGTACTAAATCCGCTGACTTAATTGTTTCTCGCATGTACAGGCTGATTACCTCTATTAATGAACTTATTACTTTGCGGCATAACAAACTCAAGCCAGGAACAAAAAGCCTAACGTACACCACATTTAACTGTTTCCAAACAGTTGCAGAATAAATGGATCAACCTCTGTCAATCTGAGGGTACTGACTTAAGTGTCATCTGTTCATTTTATATCAAAGTTTGTGTATACTTATATATGTGACTTGCCCCAAATTTTAATGTATAATACAGATTATTATTAATCAGAGCTTGTTTTGGGATTATCAACAACACTGTTCTACTATTTTTCCCACAACATAGTGTTAATGCAGTTCAGTCTACAATGAACTGAAAGTTTTCTAACCTAGTGAAGAGAAAATCATGATAAAACATTAACTGAAGATGTTATTTGATACGCTTGCGGAATGATTAATAATAAATTATTGCATAATAAACTTTTTTCGGTATTCTTGAATATAGTGAACTAACGACTGGGTTATAGCATATAAATATAACTATTATTCAATTATATTTTCTCCAGTGAAGTGATATTAGAAGCACATTATTACATCATATTCACTGTAACAAAAATCTATTTTTAAACTGAAGTGAATGGTCTTCTGTGGCAGTCTCCTAAATGGAGAGAAACAATTTAAGGAGAGTAAAATGAAAGTGCAAAAAGTTGGTTACTATATTCTAATATAGTATATAACTAAAGTATTACAATTTTAAAGCATACGCGCAAAATCTGTAAAATTTCTTACTAAAAAAGCTATCATTTTTGGTGCATCAACACGGGCTTGATCAATGTGGCTTCTAAAGGGCAGCCTTTTGTCTCACGTTACACCCAAATCTTCAAAAGTGTCACATCCTCTTAATACTACCTGAGCCAGGTGGTAATTAAAAGCTATAATATTAGTTATATTTAAAAATGACTTTGTCAAGCATTTATAATACTGTTTAAATTTTTTCCTTAGTAGGTAGGGGATTAGACTATTTCTTGTAGTTTTAATTTATGATATTAGCAATATTTATACCTCCGTTTGTCCTAACAACTGACCGGGAACCGTTATGTGTTATTGGTGCCAAAATCTAGTTAACACTACTAAAAAAAATATTTTTTGGGGTTTGAATTAATAAGATCAGCAATGTTTGTATCAAAAAATAATTGGGAACCCTATATTTGCGCCAGCTCTCCTTCCACCAAGAGATTCATTCCTTAAAATATATGACGCGATTTCAGTGATACCCTGTATAAATAGAGCGACTTAATAACGGGCCTGCAAAGTTTCAGAAATATGACGTATACTGCGTGCCTGGCTATATGGTACAGTATTTACCTGCAAAGGCCCGCGTGTCCCGCCAGCACTTCATTATTGCATATGGTATCCACCAAGCGAGTGGGCGTTTCCCTTTGCAACGGTACCAAACACTTGATAACGGTCCCGCTGGGTTTGTCGCCTGCACTGGCCTCCGTGTCGTAAGGAACTTTGTGGTCCCGCAGCAACTTCTGCAACTCCTGCGGCTCCTTATCCCTCAAATAGAACAAGCAGTTCCGCGGATGGTGGGCGTGGAGACCGAGCTTCGCGCAGTATTGACTCAAGCCGCACTTGGCGCCCATCATGAAAGGTTTGCCGCAGCCGTAGCAGAACTCGTACTTGCACTGGGTGCAGGTGAAGTGCATGCAACCGCCCTTTGCCAAAGAATATCTGAATTTGCACTTGGGACAGTCTAGTCCGTTTTCGGCCAAGTGCTTAGCCACGGCCGTGGCCTGGTTTTCTGGATCGTTCGCGTCTTTCCATTCGGCGAATTTCTCACAAGTGATACCTTCGTGTTGTTTTTCCCACTGAAAAAATATTTGTGTTTTTGTACTAGTGACGTAGTTCACATGCATGGATTGAACAAATCTAGACTTCCATTAGATTGCAAAAAATTTACCGCTCCGATTTTGGACGCAATCGGCCTGCAATTTGGGCTGACATGTCCTGTACGCGTCCTATATCAAGGGTTAAAAATTTACCAAATAAATTTTTAATCTTGGCGGACGCAGTTTGTCATTTTCTAATGGGTTTCTTTTTACAAAGTTAGGAGCCGGGCTCGGTGAGTTTGAAAATTTCCAATACTTTAATGCATATTAATCTCCGTCATGGCGAGACTCCATTCTTAGTTTCTACTTAGTGAATTTTACTGAGCATGTTGGCTGTTAAATTTAAAACAGCAATGCATTAAGTATTTAGTTGCTCTAAACAAATTTGTTTTTCGAAGTAAATAAAGAACGGTAAGGCCAGCAATGGTAGTCTAGGTTACGGTCTAAATTCATTAAGTAATTAGTCAGTGCGTGTCGTTGATATCTTACCGGTCTTCGGCAGTTTGCGCAAGTGACGGACTTGCAGTCTGGACATATGAGCCTCTTCTGTCTCGGATGGGCGATGAATCCGGATGAACACTGGAAAAATTCGAATCAACGGGTACGAGTACTTCAAATGTCGATATTGTTGATTAGAAATTCGATTTTGAAACACAAGCGACATTTTGTACTTGTCTTGTGTCTGTGTATGTTAGTTTTTAAAATATTCTTTAAAAGAAAATTTAGTAATTACTTAAAGCGGTAAGTAACAGAGACTGTTGGCTTTATTTAGAGGTTAGAAAATTGAAAAAGCATATTTGTTTGTATGTAGATGGATGTACATATTCCTTTTGATGGTAAAATCAATTTTATTTTTACAACTATGTCAAATCGGATGATAAAAACTACCAATCTTCCGCTAACTTTCTCCTTATATCGATTAATAATTCTCACCTGAACGCACCACTTGAAATTCGGATCTTGCATCAGCGTCCTGTCCCTCAACTTTTGCTGGAAGAGCTCGTGTACAAGAGGGTCCAGTATAGCCTTCAGTAGAATATCCAGGTTTGCGAAGTAATCGGATATTTCGTCCCCAGAAATGACACCGGAACCGAGATCCGGTTGTTTGCAGAACGGGCAATTGCAGTCCATGATGCTTCTATCCATAATCTGTACCGTGAAGTAGTTTTTTGCGCATTCCTGACAGCACTTGTGAACGCACTTCAGCATGGACACGATCTGTGCAAAAACAATATACCGTTTCCTTCAGTCTGGAGTAGCAGTGGTAGTCGTTTACTTGGTTCATGGGATATTTTCCTGCGCACAATTCGCAGTCTTGCCTCAGGAAGGCGATCGCGGCGTCCAAATTGTTGCAGTCTTTTACCGCTTCGAGAGCTTCGTCGGCCGAAAACTTCAAAGCAATTAGGCTTACAGCTAGTTCTGCTTGTTGGTAGTTCTTCACCTCACCTTCAGCCAGTAATCTTCTAGCTTGGCGCTGTGGAAGCGTCAATCAATTAGAATTTAACCGTCATTATCCCACTTCTGAATTCGTGGAAACCCCAACAAATGTTTCAAATTTAAATAAACAATTCCGCTGATGTTTTGATTTATCTGACTCTTTACTCAAACAAAGCAATAAGTAAAAGTTTCGGGTTTCCCGTAGAACTTAAAATATTGTACTCAGGACCTTGTACGTTTTGTACGAGTTAAAATTAAATTGATTGAGATATGTACTACTGAACTAGCGACAACCCCAGCCACCTGGCAGCTTAGAAGTCTTTTCTTACCTCCATCTTTTCAATTTCGGTAAGATCTTTGACATCCACAGCTCCTAAATCACTTTTACTGTAGTCATCTTCGGTCTCGTCCAGTTCCTGTTCTTCTTCGGAACTGTACTCCTCGCTTTCGCACGTTTCCTCGATGCTATAGTTCTTGCGTACACCGCTGTCCCATTTTAACCTATCCACATCGAGATTTAAACTTTTCTCTGCAAAATTCTCAAATTGTCCTGTGTCCGATATGATTTCCTCGTACTCCTCGAAGTCATCGAAATCATCGTCGGTACTGGGATCTAACAAATCTTCAATATTGCTGTCGGACACGGATGACTCGCTGTCATTGTCCAGCGACTTTGTGTAGGACATTTTCTTAGAACTGGCGTTTGATTCGAAAGAAGTTTTAAATGATGGTAGACTAATCTTCCTAGTCACTTTCGTTGGAGGTTTTGTTGCGACATCTGCCGATGTCATACCGCTAGGTATATCTTTCGGCAACTTTAGCGGTTCCATATTTTTGGATTTAGCGGGCGGACTGGGCAACTTAATGGGTATTTTACTCCCGCTGGTATTCGGGGACTTGGGCTCGGAAGAGACGGATCGTTGTCGCGAAATAATTGGTATTTTGGACGGTCTTTTTTTGACCGCAGTCTGGTTATCCTGTGGTATTTGGATTTTCGTGGTACTCACTGGTTTCTCCTCGTTATTCACTTCAAATGACGATGAACTTTCACTCATAGACTTACTAGGCTCCTTGTTCAAGTCCTTTCCCGGACCACCAGCCTGAGTCGTGGTGTTGTCTAAACCACTTTCCTCCTTTTCCTCTATAGGCGATGGCGGTGGTTCTCCTTTGGGCACCACATTTTTGTACTTGGTGTATTTTTGACTGTCGGTTTTTTTCACGGGTTTTTTTCTGATCAGCTTCGGTTTTATTTCGTCGACTTGTAAATACTGTGGTTCGCTTGTATCGGCTACTTTATCTGCGCTTTCGGGGGTATCGCTGCTTGATTCCGTCGTGCTAGATGCCGATCTTTTTTTGTCTAACTTCTTTCTTATCCTTCGAGGGGATTTTTTTTGCTTCTTTTTCGATGTGGGTCCGCTGGGAGGCAAATTTTTAACATTTCGTTGGAACTCCATTGTTGTGGGAGTTGTGGCCTCATTTGGGGCTGCTGTAAGAGAGATTACTTCTTCTGAGATAATTCGACAAATTGAAGGCACATCTTCAATGTTTGGGTTTTGCTGCTGTTGTTCACTGGATGTCTTCGATTGACCCGCGATAGTTTCTGAGGAAATTGTTCCTGCACTTGTATTACCTTCTCCAATAGGTGTATTTAATTGTTCCGTGTTGCTTACATCGTTTTTTTCATTTTCCTGTTCAGTACCCGAAATGTCCGTGGGTTTTCGAATGGCAGTTATTTTAGTGGCATTTGCTTTTTCAACATGAGCTTCAGTGTCGCCTATTTTCTGAACTGCCTGACTCGATATTTCTTGTCCATTGGGTTCTTTATTCTCTTGTTGGATTACCGCGTCTGGCTTTCTAATAGTTGACGATATTATCGCCTCTCCTTCAGGTACTGCTTCATTTGTCCGATCGGCTAATTCGTGGAGAGTTTCTGTTACAGTGGCTGTTGATATATCTTGGAGGCTATTAATTGAGTGTGCGCCTTTAGTACTCCCTGCTTTTTCAAAGGCCTGTGCTGAGTTATCCTTAATTTGTTGAACTACTTGAGACAATGTTTCCTGACTATTAAGACCATTATAGTCTACTTGTACTACGGCGTGGTCTCCAGTAGTTGGTGATTCTATCGATGTTGTTAACTCTTTTTCAGGTACGGGCTCATTGAGTATCTCTTTCGCTGCCTTTTCCGATGTCGACAATCTATCATTTTTTTTTAAATCATCAGTTATCTTTTGCAATCTGTTAATGAAGGGGGATTGTTCAATAATATTAGCTGTTTTCTCGTACTGTCCGCCTTTTTGGCTTATTGTTATTTTAGTGATTTTTGCTTCTGCTGCACTGTTTTCAATTTGCTGAGGTGTTTGAGACGTTTTTTGCTCATCGATAACTTTATTTTCTTTTTGGTCTCCCGTGTGGTACTTTGCAGTAATTGGTGATATATCGTTCACTGTGTCTTTTTTAGGTGCTGGCTCGTTTTCCCGACCGCCTGATTCATCGTGAGTGGCTTTCTCGGCCACTGACGATTTATTGCTAGTTTTACTTTCACTATTTTCATCTTCGAACCCCGTTACTTCTACTTCTTTAAGATTATTTTTTGGTGAAACTGCCTGAGACAATGTTTCTTGTACTCCTTCTGGGACTCCCGTGTAGCCCTTTCCAGTAAGTGGTGGCGCTTCAAGTACTTGTTGAGTAACAGGGTCAGTATTTTGATCGCCCGATTCATCTACGAGTCCTTTTGGTGCTTCTTTATTTGGCGATTGTTTATTAGTGTTAGGACCATCACTTTCATTTATTTCTGTCTTATTTTCGTCAATCGTTTTGCTGTTCTCAGTTTCCGGTGCCACACTCCATTCATTATTATTTTCCTCTTGGTTTTTTTCTTCCGCTCCGTAAGAGTTTATGTCGTTTTGCTTTAGCCCCCCTTCACTTTTCTGGTGGATTACAATCTCTTGATAGTTTTTAGGATTAACAAGCTCTCCGTCGCGTTTCACCTTTTGCGTCTCGGGAACTTTATCAGCCTCTTTGGCAGACTTATTGGATTTCAAAATAATTTCAGCTCTGCTTTCCTTCAAATCGTCGATGACCAACGAGCTTACAGCGGGCGAACTCACCAGTTGTATATTCAAAGTGCTGACGCTTACTTTTCTGGGCGGACTCTGGGCCAGAACGGCTACGTTTTGAGCGAGCAACGAGACGTCATCGGTGGCGTCGACGAACTCGTCGTTTTCTCCTCGACGCAAGTCGTCGCTCTCGCTCGAGCTCTCCGTTTCAGGAGTGTCGCTCTTGTCGACCTCAGCGCCGCATATCGGAATCAGGTAATTATTGTCGACGACTTCTATAACGGTACTACTCTTTTCGACATATATCTTAGGAGTTGATGGCGTCGGCTTTTCTTCATGTAGTAAGACGGTACCGTCATCTTCGACAACAGGAGTAGGGGTCTGGTTGCTAACACTCGAGGCAGGCTTACTTTCTAGGTTAGGGGTACTTACATGAGGGGGCGTGTCAAAATTTTCCCCCGTCGAATGATCACTTACCGCATGCGCATCGACTTTTTGTCGTTTCTCTTCGTCGCTTAGCACATCTGCAAGGCAACACTCATTTACGCCGCTCAACACTGTCGCAAATCTTACCGTCGCCCCTGAGTTGTTGCAGCGATGCCCCCTCATTACCTGCCTCGTTTTCGGTGCCCGTCGGCGGACCCCAGATCCGCATCAGAAATGGTTTTATTTGCGTTTTGCTCAGTTCGTTGTAAGCTGCCTCTAAGTCACCGTGGTTTGTGGTCAGCACGGTCACGATGTCTTCGCGGCTGAAATCGCCTCTCGTCGCCAATTCCGTATACTGCGAAACAAACATTTTCATCGCTTAGCTTATGTCACGATAATAAATTGTGCTGACGCATCTTGGAATAGGAAATTTTTGACGGGATAAAGACATAGCAAGCAGATTGTGTCAACAAAATTAAACGGCAACACAGGTGTTATATCAATATGAATACGTTTTCTTCTGCTGGGTGTAACCAAACCAGAGGCAACGAGCTATAGGAAGGGGTTTTGTCAGAAAGAAGAACCTAGATAAAACTTTACAACTATGAAGACACACAAAAGATCTTTTGGGTCGCAGTAACCGACAGGTCAATCTGAATCTGAAGAGATGACAATAGCATAAGCAAAACCTTTGGGGGTAATTAAACTATGGCTAGACTTTCTCTTTAACTCTATATCTCAAATCAAAGGTTTTAAACTGTCCTCATGGATTTGCAGGGAGGAAGGACAACATGGAGGAGTAGCAAACTTTACGAACTAAAGTGTTTCAGCCAAAAACAGGACAAAACTGTGTGGTTTATCACTATGTGGAGTATTTGTATGCGCGGCCATGAATGTCAGTGGAGTGACAAAAATATAGTAGTTATGGTATATAGACCACCATTGGGAGACATAAAAAGATTTTTAGGTAAGATGTTGTCAAAAATACTCAAAGAAAAAAATAACACATATTTGTAATAGGAGACTTTAGCATAGAACTCCTTAAAGAAACTAAAGCAGACTCTGAATTCGTAGTAATGGCGACGTCTTTTGATCTTGTGACGACCACTAACGTAAATACACCTACTCCTGTGGTATTGACAATAGAGTACTAAATTTTATTTCAAACCATTTAACACAGAACATTGAGTTTGAGGTTAAGACTACAAACCTAGAGTATAAAAATTCTCTTAGAGGAATACAAATGCAGTTTTCTGTGCGATTTGGGAAGAGAGAATTTTGAAAATGTATATTGCCTAGACATAAATGGTGTAAATTACCAATGCGATAGTTCATGGACACATACATAAGACTGTTTGATCAATATTTTCTTGTAAAAAAAATTACACCGAAAAAAAGCGTTACCCCAGAAATTATAAATTGCAAGAAACGACTAGATTTATTATTCACATTGAGTAATCGTGACGTACAATATAAAGATACTTATAAAAATACCAAAAAGGAATATGATGAACTATTTAGAAACTCATAAAGCCTTAAATATGACAAACAGATAATAAAATGAAATATTTGTTGGTCATCAGCAAAGAGATTACAGGGAAATGCCATCCCATAAATGAAGTAAGTCTCGAGGGGAATGTCGGAAAAGTAGCCAATGAATATAATCAGTTCTTAGTGTCGGTGATTCCAGAAATTTTAAAATCGGAACCATATATCTGTAGTATTCCATATAAAAACCAATCTATGATACTAAATCTATTAACACCTGAAGAAATTTTTGAACTAGCGGCAGATATCAAAAATAAAAATAACAGTCGGGTCGATGAAATACCCGCAAGTATTACTAAAAAGTCGATTGTAGAAATTAAAAAAGTATTAAGCTACTTAACTAAACTAAAATTAGCATTAATTAAACCGTTATACAAAAAGGGTGACGTCGAAAAATGGACAGCTATAGACCAATAAGTCTGCTGCCGGAATACATAAAAATCTTTGAACAAAGTGATATCTAAGCCAAAGTGGACAGGATGAAAAATCAAAAGTTTGAATTAATAGCCATGGCGTAGTTCAGGGAAGCCCCATTAAATTCATTAATGACATATACATATGCATGGTTAAAGAAGTTTCCACACAAATAATAATAAATTATACAGATGACAGGAACATCCTAATTGGTTACTTTTGGGGGAAAAATAGTACCATTCAAGACTGTTTTATAAGTCAGAAAAGGGTAATCAGAGTGAACGGGTCGAAATATGTTTAAAGAAATGAGATTTTCTTCTGTATACGCTGTATACATATTTCAATGAATTATGTTCTTTCACAGAAATAAAAATTTATTACAGCGACTAAATACAGAAAATTATAACACGAAATTCAAATATTATACCTTCCATCGCTTGAAAATCACTCAAAAGAGTCCGGTATATGTGTATATGTGTATAAACTGTTTAATAGGGAAATTAAAAAACTCTTAATTGCACTTGAGCCGTATAGCTTAAACTGCTATCTAAACATGTAAATAATCCTTATGTAACATTAAGAATACAATATAGTATTACGATAGATTTAGCAATAAGTCCCTCGCCCCGTGCGTGAGGCGGGGAGCTCTCGAAGCCTGGGTGAGAGAACGGGCTGTGGTGGGCTGGAGGGTTGCTCAGGGAATGAGGCAGGCCCGCCCTCCCTCGGACCAGGGAGCTACTTGCACTGACCAGAAGGGAGTGTAAAGCACTAAAAGGGGCCTACACATAACATTGCAGGCTTAGGAGGCATCTTTGCTTGCTAGGCATTGGAGACGATCCGGAGTGTATGGAAGGGGAGGAGTCGCCGTATCATTTGCTCACCGAGTGCCCTGCTTTGACATGGGCAAGATTTGGAGTCTTCGGAACGGCGCTGATCGATCCGGACTCAGTGCACGGTATTGGGCTAAAGGAGTTGCTGACGTTCTATACGTCGTTCGACGTTCTGGACGCCCTCTAGCGCGGTCTGGGGGCACAACGGGCCTAAGTGCTTGGACGCCCGCGCCCCCCACCCCCTTAATACCAATACTAATACCAAGTCACTCTAGTTGTAGTTGACTTATTGCGGGTCTTTGACGTGATTCATTTATTGTCAACTTGCAATTTACTCTGTTGCAAAAATCTTTGCAATCAATTCATTCTATTGCATCGGAATTGAATGAGAAATAATGGCATTAAAAGGACGTGATGTTCCAGATCTAGTAAGACGAGGCAAAGCTAGAATAAGAGCGGGGAGAGATATCAATAGGATGCCTGATGATTGAGTTCCTAATGGAAAACAACAATAGCTGTGGTCAAGTTAAGTTAATTTAGTTTAAGGCGTTAAGGAAGGTAACGAACAAGCGAGAAAAGGAACAAATAAGGTCCACAGGCTGCGATTTCCGGGGTTTACATTCACATTTGAAGAAGTAATAGAATGCCCTGTGAAGAAAAGCACGACCGTACACCTGATATTTCCAGCTTTAAAAATGAGGAAAGGCAGTGGAAGACCAGAATATTGGTCACACACAATATATCCTAAATCGTAATTATAAGAAAAGGGGAAAAAGAAGAAGGGGCAATGGACTCGACACCCAAGATTTGACATTTCGGACAGTGTTTTATACAGAATTGTAAGAAAGTAAATCTGTTTGCCCTACCCTTAAACGTTTTATTGCTCTAGGTTCCAAACCAATAGAGTATGTAAAAAAATTCTTTGTGGTATTCCATTTACGTGTTTTGTGCGTTGCTTACTTTCTTTTGCCTCTGATCGACACACTCCTGCACCGCGGGCCAGAAATCGCCCTTGTGCAGTCTAAGGGCGTCCCTGGCTTCTTTCTCGGACACTGTGCCGACAATGTTCATGGGCCCTTCGCGTCCCATCTGAGTGGCCAAAGTTTGAACGCTCGCTATCGTCGCGTCCCAGTGCTCTTTGAGCCACTCGATGGGGTTCGCGTCTTTGCAGTGCAGTAGCGCTGCCTGGACCTCGTCGGCGGTGTACTTGTACTGCTCGGCTTCCTAGAAATTGAACTTGTTATTCCACGTGTTTGGATTGTTCCTTAACCTTAATATATATTTTTTTTATTTACGCCATATTGACAAATACGGAAAGTATACGGCGTGTCACTTTTAAAATTTCGTAGGTGACAACTTTAATGAACTATAAAAGATGCAAAATCATTTCCTCCGAGATTAGATTTTAATGAATACAAACTAGTTGCTTTTACTTAATGGTTGCCAAACAAATCCTTCCAAATGTATGATAAACTGGAGCACATGCCGCACTATTGAAAAATAAGCAAATGCTTTGCTTGGAATGAATAAATATGTGGTTTTCCCACGGGTTTAGAAGATAATGCTCGTTTTTTCTGAAGATACCTGAGTTTCAAAGTTCGCGTTTGGCGGGCTAGAACTGTGTTTAAATTATGGCGCTGATGGTGAATCGAAAAGTAGCACGTTTAGAAACTACTTTTTCGTTTCAACGAAGCAAACGTGCATTGGTTAGTCAGTCATTTTTTAGTAGCATTAAGTTGTAATTAATTGTCCAAAGCAGCGTTCGTTGCACCCTCTTTCTTGAACATGTCGCGCCACTTGTGTTGTATTTGAGTTTCGGTAAGGTATTATTTTTATTATTTTTGTATGACAATGGCACAAATTGAGAAGGTCCTATCTTATTATTATTTTTAGAATGGCCGAGAGGGGGGTAATCGCATACTTCAATTTTAAATCTCTCCTTTTTGAATGAACATCGTTTTAAAATTGGGATAAATTTTATTCTTTTTTGTGTAAAGTGTCAATGGCTGAACGCAGTCATTGAAAAGGGTTCTTCACAGGCCATCGGCGCTGCCCTCAGTGGATTATTTATTTCGATTGCTTTCATCGCCGCTAGAGGGCGCTTTGCATTATCACTGCAAATAAAATTTCTCAAAAAAAAAAAATTAAATGCATCAATAACACTTTTATTGCAAATAATATAGCTGAATAAAGGTATAGTAAAAAACGCATCTCGATTTCTCTTGACGAACCTATTAACCTCAGAAAACGAAATAAGAACAAAATAATGTCGGTATTCATATCGTTGCATTAATTTTTTTGAAAACACCCATTCTGATGACGTAAACCACCCTCTAGCCGCGATACAAGCAGTCGAAATTAATCCGCCCAGAAAGAAGGGACTTTTTTAATAACTAACCAAAATGCGTTCAGTCATTATTCCACAGGCTACTGTAATATACTCTCGGTCTCGTCACCTCAAAATTCTTCTTCAGCTCTTGGATTATTATCAAAATAATTATAAAACATATTTTAAAGTGCGATTTAAATGTTACACGGTTGATGAAGAGAATAATAAAAAGTTTTTGTTAGAAATACATACATACATATTTGCATCGGGAGAGGATGAACTAAATATTAATATGATCCTTTTGAGTTGTCCTAGAATTCTCCTCTTTCTGACTGATATTGTCAGTTCCTCTCTATTAGATAAAGTGTTTGCGGGGAAGTGGGAGGTGTCGAAATTTCCACTCCCTAAAAACTCCTAAATCTTACATTTTAGTGACATGAGACCTATTTGTAGTATATTACCAGTATTATTAAAAGTAATTAAAAAAGTATACTATACTACAATTATCTCAGTAACAGACTTTAATATGTTGAGTTGAGATACTCTGTCATCTACAGGGCCAATTACGTGTGGTGTTCCACAAGAATGGATTCTTGACCCTGTCTATATATTATTTATATTTGTGACGTAACATCTTGTTTGTACTTTTCATTTTTTTCGTCAACTCACAATAGGGCACAAATATTAATAAATGGATATTTAGAAAGATCAATACAGTTTTCCAAATAATTATAATTTAGAAATTAATACAAAAAAAATCTTCAATAATAATATTTGGTAAACAGTGTGATATTATTCAAGATACTTTTCTCATAAAAATTCACGGTGAAGAAATAAAATGCTCGAACACTGGTAGAAATTTGGGACTCGATTTCGATATTAATCTTCGTTTTAAACTTCATGTTAATAAGGTGATACCCACTGCATATGTCAATCTAAAAATCAACTTAAGCGTCTCTATAGAAAGTACCTTCTCCAGATCGAGTGTGTGTACTAGGTGATTCTGAGCAGAGCGGGATTTGTTGTTTTCTTTTTTGTTATGTTTTTTGTTTTTCCTTATATACTCTTTTTATTTTCAACTATTGAAAACTTGCATTTATTGCAAGTTTTCAATATATTCAATGTTATTGTTTTCAACTCCTTTTTTGCAACTATGAGGCTAATTTTTGATACTTTCTGTATTATTTTGTCGAGAAATAAATATTACTATTTACAATCATGAAACCGCACATCACATCTTATTCGATGAAACGAAAATTTTTGCATGTAATCAGTTATCCTACAAAAGAAAAATCCGATAATCAATAGAAATCTCTAAACAACCAATAGTCATCAGAGGCAATGTTTACGCCCCATCCTTTAGCTCCACCCAACTTAAACAGTATATAAGCAGGTACAATGTAGAATGCGAGTCATTTTTAGTCAAGCTCTGAAGAAGCCAACAGGATGATTGCCAAAACGTCAGCAATTTCAGAATATTTTTAAGTTGTTATTGATATTTATTTCGGAAAATGTCCGGACCACCCATCACGTTCCCTATCCCTTACTACGAAACATTGAATTGAATTTATTCCAAATTAAAAAGATGTTAATTTTGTAGTTATCTGTAATATAAAATCCTTTCTCAAAAATCGACATTTAAATTTCTAGAAATTTAACAATAATTTCCAGGATTCTCGCTTTAGTTATATCTTTGCAACAATTACTTTTTGACATAGAGCTCTTGTTAATTGGCCACCCAGTGCAGTAAACAAATAATTTTTTAAGTGTAGCAAATGCTGTAAATGACGAAGCTGATTGCTATGCAGCGCAAGCAGAATATTATTTATAGGTAACGTAACCCACTCTTTTCCTTTATAGATTTGCTTTTACTTTAAGTAAATGCTTCATTTTTATTCGTTAGACCTAATGTTCCTTAGTTAATTGTTTAATTAATCACTGTTTATTGAAATTTAACTCACTCTCAACAGTTTGACCAATTCCAAGCCGTGGTTTTTGTACGAGTCCTTTCGTTCGACGGTGTCTAAATATTCTGGGTGCAGAGATTCGCTCCTTTGGTGGTGACTTAGAGGCTCCGGTTGATCTCCCTGCAATTCGAAACGTCCCTAATCAGACTTCGAGTCCTCCAACAACAATGCGAATACTAAGCATTTAAACTCAAAGCCTCAACTACTGCGCTTAAGTCTACGTATCGCGTGTAAGCACCCTGTAACTCCTGTAATCTTGACTGGGCCTGCGCTGGTAGTAAAGTTCGGGCTTCCTCAGGTCCATGATGCTCGCAGAAATCCTGGGATTCACCGGCGGCTTTTGTTGTTTGCCCGTTTTATGGGCGGGCCCGTCGAAATACGCCTCGTCGTAGTCGTAGGGGGCGGGGCTTGGCTCACGACTCCCCGGCAAACTCTTAAAACGAACCAGATAAATGAATAGATACAAATATATTTGACCGTTTACTTGCGAATCGGTGGTGAACGACAGTCTGCTCGATGATCGATGCAGGGACCATTCGGAACCCCTTTTGGAGGATGGGGTGTGCATCGACTGCGATCTTTTCAAGTCCCTGTTCTTGCTGTTTCGGCTCACCGATCCGCCCCTGGCGGACCTCGGGCTTCTCGTCGAAATGTTGTCGCCAAGAGATAAGACGTCTTCGTATGTCTGGTAAAATACATTTTTGTTCCATACGTTGGAAATACACTGCGCAGCAAAATTGTGAAACAAGAAAATCTAATTGATGAAAATTTATAATGATTTAAACATTATTCCCATAAATTCATGTTGTTGAGGTTGAACCTTATCAATAAAATCGAATCTGAGATTGTTTGAAAGGAAAATGAAATAACGAGCCTATGAGATGAGATTTTTTTCACCTGAAGAATCTACCGCTGCGATAGCACTTGTAGAAACCGATACCACAAGTGGCATTCTGCTGTGGTGGGACAGAGAATGACGGAAACCAAAGAATATGCATGAGAAGGGACCACCCACTTAGCTTGGGTAGTGCAAAATTATTTCCAAGAAGTGAGAATTAGAACTGTCATTAAACCCAACTCAAATATGAAAATTGAACAAGATAGAATCAGAAACCGAAATTTAAAAATAATTTTCGATATTTTTACAAAATATGCTTTAAATTCACGGGGTAGTGGGAGAAAGAAGAAAAGAAACAAAATGCATAAAAAAAGCAATTTGTACAGTGTCTTCCAAACTCTACCAAGGCTACCTTTTCAGGTTGAAGGTTGGCATTTTTTTCACTCTTTGTATCTCGGTTAGGCGCAAACCTATAGGAAAAGGTGAAAACTGCCTAGTGGATAGGGTTTTTTTTACTTAGGATTTAGTGGCGTAGTCAATTTCCTTCCGAAACTCTCAAATTTTGATATATAAATCAAACTTGCTTTTTTAGTAATTATAGACTTTGTTATAAGCTTAAATTACATAATTTATTACAAAAAGTTGGTTATCAAAATAAACTTGTGTGTGTGTGTGCAATATTCAATGCACACCTATTAGATCTAATTTCTCATAATCTTAATGAAACTAAAGTATATTAGGAAAAACTATATGGGTGCTAGAGATATGATATCTTGCCTATCTCGTTAATACAGAATCTTATAAAGCAACTATGAAAAAAAATTGAGAAGGTGACCTTGTAGCATTCAAAAACCACCATGGCCGCTGGGTGCGCGATTTTTACGGCAGTATTTTCTCACAATAGGCTTGATCTTGTTAAATGTTAATGGAAATTGCTGTTTAGAAAGAAAGTAGCGCCAAGTGCAGGGGGGAAATGAAGAGGCTTGTGCGGAGGTTGGTTTGCATAGCAAACTTTTTGACTTTCAGAAGAAAAATAATTGGATGTTACGTATCCTACCGAACTTCTTAGGGTGTTTAAATATGCCAAACCTGCAAAAACACACCGTATGCTTGGCTTTATTAGTATTGAATATTAAGAAAAGCCTTTTCGATAATTATGTCCGAAATGAAAGTCGGCTTACGCAAAGATAATTCAAAAGATTTTATTCGGATGGATACGGGTAGTTAGTTGACGTTGAAGATATTCGCAGTTTGACAGTTACGAGCTTATGTTCAATTCGAGAGCAGATTGTGTTTATTAGTTATTGTTTCATAGTTTTTATATATCATCGCGTAACTTGATAATTTTCTTTGGCGATAACGACATAGCGTTATATTTGTAATTTCATGTGTAAAATGATAATCGGGTGGAGTTCTCCTAACGATATACCGTTTTTAAAACCTTTTATGGTTTTGACGTCGGAATGAATTTAGGACCCGCGTGTTGTAAAGCGGAAGGGAACCATTCTTTACAGCACGTTTACCACAAGCTATGGCCGTATTTAAGATGTTAGGCGACAAAAAATGTGCCTTGCGGACTGTTTTATTTTAAGAGTAGTGAAATTTTCTTTGATTAAGCTGTTATATTAATTCATATTAGTGTGCTTTTTATAAATCTTCCTAAGCTCGATTTCAAACGGAATTTGTCCATTAGGTAGCTTGATCTCCTATATTAAAACACATTAGAAAGCTTAAACAGATTTCCAATTTAGGAGTTTAATATAATGACTCTAAAATATATGTATATAATTTATAATGGATGTTTTCCCAGTTTGCTTCATTTATATTTATATTTTTATATTTATGATAAATATTATAAATTAAGAATGTTTTTTTTTACTGCAATAATAATCGAGGAAACTCATCCATGGAACTCTACACAAATCCGTCAGCTTTCAGGATTTGTAAGTACCGAAGTACGGTTTTGGAACGTCATTCTGGAACTGCGAATTTATTTATTGAGGGTTACAAAGAGAAATCCAAGCGACGTAGACCTGCGGTTAGACCTTCATACACATTTACCAAAGTTAAATACCGGATTATGTCCTAAAAACGGTATATCGTTTGGAGAACTCTACTTATACTTTATCAGCGACGCAACTATTATCAGGATGTCATTTTTTTTGCAATTGAATTTAAAACGAAAGGAAATTTGCGATTTGCGAATTAGTTCGTTATTTTGTAGTCCATTGTCTGCTGAGGGATAATTGTTTTACTACCAGACGAGGGGTTTTCTGGAATAAGTAATTTTATTACTTATTATCCAGTTTGAGGCATTTTATCAATGAATTATCAATGAATTCACTATGTTAATACTATTTAATTGGAAGGGGTATAAATTCTCATGTTGTGATATCGTTCGTGGGCAATACCTGGGTTGACATATGCTGTGGTGGAGGCGACGTTCCCGTCGATGTCGTCGTCTTCTGCGCGTTCGACGACGCCGCGGAACCATTTCCCATTGACAAGGCACCATTTAACTCACTCGCGTCTGTAAGCACAGGACCGGAATTAGACGCACACAACACAACGTTATTATTAGTCACGAGGGACGGGGTTACGAGAAAAAACACACACACACACACGAACACCGGGAGGTCGCGGGCACACGCGCGGATCATCGTTCCTTTATTTCTTTTTCTGGAAGGAAGCGAATTTGGTGCCGGGCCAAAACGATATCTTTCTACTCGGCCTACCTGTCTTCGGGCCGGCCATTTTCTCGCCCGCCACTGTCGTCGCGACGCTGACCTTGCCGAGGCGATTGAGCACCGATTCGGTCTCGCTGTCGCCGCTCATCCCAGCGTTCTTCTTAGCCGGCGCCGCCTCTTCCGCCACCGGGTGCGGCGCACATTGGGGCAAAAGTGCTGTTATGCGCAAAATAAGCAGATTATTCGATAGACATTTATGCAAAACACAACATGGGGTTGTTCTGAAAATTGTTCAGTTGTTCAGTCTATCTAAAATATTTTCAATGACGCAAGGTTTTATCGCGTCATTGAAATTTTACATTGCGTCTTTGAATGATACTAGCAATTTCGGATATATTTAATAGCCTTACACAAATTCATATTCTCGAAGTAATACACATCTGATAATAAGTATCCTTTATATTATAAAAATTAAGGTTGGCGTAGAATTGAAATGGCTAGTTTTGCAGTCACTGGTTTACCCCTGATTTTGCTCCGTGATTTTTGCGTACGGGGCCTTCGTGTGCCTTCCTAGGCATCATTTTTTTTAATTTGCCTACTGATTACCGATGAATGACGTCACTTCTGGAGCGAAAATCAAAGGAGTTAGTTTTCTGATTTCTGATTCAACTCTTCATGGTCATTAAGTCCTTCGGAACATAGAAAATTACAGAAAAAAAGTTCCCTGCAAATTTTATGATTTTTATTTTATATGTATAAAAAAGTGTAAATACACTGCAGTTTAGCATAAATATAACCTTTAATTTCCTCATGCAGATATCGACAAAATGATTTTTTCCAAATTGGAAAATCTTGGCAACCGAAATTTAACTGGGGCTTAGGCGCGCACTTAACACAACACAATTAATAGTCTCAGTTTAGATGATATTTAATTATAAGACACCTAGTCCAGAAAACGAGTACGAGAGACAATTCTGAACATTATTAATAATCGACATTATTGAATCAATTATGTTGGCATTCCAAAAAAATAAAAAAAAATTATATCGATGATTATTATTTTCAAAGGGAATTGTTATTTTACTTATATACAGGGTGTTCGCAAAATAGACGGACATATTTTATGAACGTGGGTCCAAAAATGCAGAGTTTTCAAGATACTAACAAATTAATATCTAAACAAGATATTCACTCCATTCTGTTGAAATTTCTCAATGGTCTTAATAAATTAAAATTATTAAGTCCAATGGCTCTAACATAAAGTACAACAAATCTTGGAAATGTCCATTCTTTTCCGTACACATTGTCACTCGACGATGTCAAGCTAAAATTCGAGGTCCATTTTCAAATTTATTTCTTATTCTTATTATTCCATTGTTTCTATGGAAATAGCGTAAGTCATCATCTTAAGGTGTCCTCACAAATAAAAATGTAGTGGATTTAAGTCAAGGGAACCCGGTGGCTATTAAACTGATCCAATCCAATTTTCCCCAAGGGTTGTTCAGATGAGTTCTGGCAGCTATACTAAAATGAGGAGGAGCTCCACGGTGCATAAAAGTTATTTGGTTTGTACATTTAGAGAAACATCTAGCAGTATGTTGAAGAATGGGGATTTTTGTCACTCCCTACATGAGTGCGATGGTAATTAAAAATACCATCCCACCGAAATCCTGTTTTGCCCGTAAAAAGTATGTTTTCATAAAAAAAAACTATTATTATTACCTTTTGGTAAAATCATTCGAAAAACTGTAAACAAGGCAAAAAATCTTTTGGACAGGATAGAGCGATACAAAAGTTGCTTTGGAAGAACCTGCTGTTAGAATGATTACCCCCCAATTTAGTCGCTATAAATTTTACAGAAAAAGGCAGTGGCGTGCATTTATTAGGGTTTATTAAGGTGAATTCGCCTCGTAATACACCAAATACCATTGCCAAATTTCAACACAATGAAGTGAATATTTGTTTAGAGATTACATGAATTATATGTTATATATAGTGTGTTCAACTGTACACCCTTGTGAAATCTTTGTTTATGGATCGATTTTGATAATTTTTTTTGTTGGATACATCTTTGAAAAATGCACTAAAATCTTGTTTTGCTTATTGCATCAACTTAAAGTTATGGCCAACTGGGACTATTAACATATCTATTTTCGTCTATTTTTGGAACTTCTTGAATATACTCGACATATTTTTCAAACACGAAATGTGCAATTTGATATTTTTTCCCCTTTGGTGTAGCTTACCCGTTTTCGCGTTGTCTTTTCTTCTCGCCTTCTTCGTTCTCGACGTCTTACAGCACACCGAGCACACTCTGGTGCCGGGTTCGTTAACGAACGTGCAGTGCTGGCACGCCCACGGAGAAGTCGGCATCGGACGCTCCGCCGTCGATTCTTCTTCGTCTTCTTCTTCTTCCGCGATCGCGTCATCGCTCTCCGAATGCTCATCGTCGGTTTGGCTCGACGAAGACGCCCGTATGCTCGTCCTACTCCTCACGGACATCCTCTCGGACCGGTCGGCGTGTTTCGACCTTTTGGTCTCCTTGGGCGCCTCCTTGGACGTCGCCGCGTATCTTCCGACCGACCTCCTCTCGCTGAAAGTCGATCTCCGATCGTCGAAGTCGTCCGCCTCTTCCTCATCCGACGTTTCGTACTTTCTCCTGCTTTTCCGGCTCAGCGTTGATTTTCGCGATTTGACGCTGTGGGTGGGCGACGCGGCCCTCGAGTGGCTGCAGGCGCGGTACCCTCGGGGGTACGGGTACACGGGGGGCCCGTGCCACGTGCCCATCCACATAGGGTTCGGCGGATAACCGCCTGCATTTATACTCATGTTGCTGCCGTGCTGGGACTCGCAGCAGCACTGTTCGGGCGGCCACTGGTTAGGGTGGCAAGGCGGATAGTTTAGCTGAGCCATGGAGTGGGCCTGCGACGAAAAGGTGGAGGTCAAAAATTTGTTAGAAAAAAATACGAAAATTTAAAAACTTTTGTTAATAATATTGGTTAGGGGTTGACAGCGCCAAATTAAACCTTTAAATGTTTTAATTTCAACATAATAATTCGCTTATTAAGGTGGTTATTTATAAAAATAGACGATATTTTTAAAACATACCATTTCCGAATATACCTTTTGTCTACACCCAAACGGAGTGTCAGGCTTTGTACAAATTGCTATCAATGGTATTGCACGACCAAAAATATAGTGCATGTATTGCTGTGACTTTAAAGTATTATTACCGTATTATTAACCGCAGACGTTCGCGGGACCGTGGTAAAACCCAACCCAACAAATGTAAATTCTGCATTAAGTAGGTTTTGCCTGCGACGGACCGTAACGAATATTTGTAGAAAATTGAAATTTTTATTTGAAACGTAAATGGACCGTTTTAGCCACCATGATTAAGCATTAATAAGTAGAAGCGTTTATTTTAACATCAGGTGATATGCATCGTTCTTAAGAGTTTAATCTAAATTGCAATATGTTCGTATATATTATCTAGGTATTTGACTGTGATTCTTACAGTAAGTACGTATTTATGTACCTGATTCTCGAGCTTTGACCCTGCGAGGCTGTTTTCAGTGAATAGTTCAAAAGGTAAGGATAAGTACATAGTTCTTCGATTTGTAAACAATAGTAGTAGATAGAGCTACATCATAAAAATACATTTTTTTAAGGTTCCTGTTTTTAACGCTTTAAAATGTGGAGGAATTTAAAAACGAAGTGGAGATGGTAGTCGAATCTAATGACGATTTAGAAGACGAACTACCTCAGCAACGAAAAAAACGGATCCATTTGTCTTCGGATGCTAAACAAATTGTTTCGAATTTTTACAATGTTATAAGAAATTCACAAGGGGGAGTAGGAGCAGCATTAAAAAAACAAGTAACATAGAACGTAATAAAAAATTTTATGTACATGTTTCAAGATTTGCTCGGCGAAAAAGATTGAAAACATACTTATATCCTGCTTGTTAGTGTAGGTAGATAAATTCCTAGAACGGTCGTGGGTCTGCTCGGTAGGGTGTTCTATAAGGGGCTGCGGTTTTGGAGTAATAAACAGTAAAGGTAATCGCGGGGTCAGCTGTAAAAGCACTAGAATCCTGGTCGAAGTATAATTGTTTCCCTATATTTAAAAAAAATTATAGAACCCTGCATTCAATTCTTAATTTTTTTGTTATAAAAACACGGCGGTCATTACATAGGGCGGACAAATTAAAGGTTAAGTGAAGTTTAGAAAAATTATTGCAATGATAGTTTTCAATAAGTTCCGTATGTAAGTTTTGAATATCTACATACCTCGAGTCGTTCCTAAATTAGAGTCACACTAATTTGCGTACAATAGACGACGAATTTGGTGAGTGAAAGTAGTGTGATAACTGCGTTACTACAGGTAGTTTATTATAATAATAAATGTTGTAATGATTATAGGTTCATGATTATAATTATCGAAATGAACACATAATTGATATATTAATTATTCTAAGATCAAGCAAATAAAAACTTATATAGAAGTAAGAATAATATGCAATACAACTTCATTTTGTAAATCTTTGCAAATTGCTGGAAAGTATTAAGAAACAGATATTATTATTAAATATTTGTAAAAACAAACATAATTTTTATAAATTTCAGATCGTGTATCTTGAAAACAAAGTATTTACAGAACTGTGTCTTCAAATCATTCCCAGGTTCATCACCCGAAAAAACGCCTCGGTTATATTTTTTAAACTTGCTTAGTACATTGTGATCAATTTTCAAAATTTTCCTTTTTTATTTTTTTTTTTAAGAAAAAATTATAAATATGCCAAAACATTATAAATAAAATACTGAACAGTATTGTGTAAATTTATATTTTTGGTTAGTTATTTTTAATAATGATTATATTTGATAATAAAATAAAAAATCAAAAAACATACATATATTTAAGTTATAATTAAAAAAAAAATAAAAAAATGAAATGTAAAATTAATAACAACAATAACTAACCAAAACTATAATTACTTAGTCGTTCAAAAAAGGTTCCGCTAATTTTTAGAGTAAATAGAATATTAAGAAATAACCACTATCACTACTTTGATATATTTCATTTTTTTTTTTGGGAAAAAATGATATTTGTTAGTTCTCTATAAGAAAAAGTACTCGTGTTTAAAGTAAAAGAATATATATCGCGTTTAGAGTTATTTATTGTTTTAGCAAATAATGCTGACCGAATTAATAAATTATTTTAAATAGTTATTATAAATGAGAACGAACTATCTCAGCAAATAATGATTGTTTCAACAAATTACGAGGTACGAAAATCTTCAACTTACTTTTTGTTAGCAGTAAATTTTATGACCAAATTTCAATTTGGTATCTTAAGCCGTTTCAGAAAAAATAAAAAAAACCATGGCCGTATCTTCTGAAGGAGGCATTTTCGGGCGTATCAATAATATCAACCAAACTGACATTATTTTTTAATATTTAATTTATCCTCTACATTCGTGGAATGTTTTTTGTAGCCTAAAAAAATTGAAACATTAATATTAAATATAAACATTTTATAGACAGTTTTCTTCATAATTTTTTGAATTTTTATGGTTTTTCTTTTTTTTTAGTATAAAAGACTAATTTAAAGAAACTGGTTGTCAAACAAAACTGATAATCTCTTAATGTTATTAGAAGATATCAGGTTGGGGTTCTTCTAACATGGCTCAATGTCATCATCAATTTTTACGATTTAAATCGAAAATTTCACATTTAAATCGTTTCATATCGTTTCGGTTACTCTGTTTTGATAACCAATAGACTATAGATACCTGTTGCATCGGTAAGAACCCGTGATGGTGATGGTAGTGCGGCAGAGAGTTGTTCAAATCGAACACCGATGTGCTGTGGGGGAGAACTCTGCCCGGTGGCGGGCACGAAGTGTTGCTGAGTTTCCTGCTCAGTCTTGATCCCGTTTCTGAGCCCGATACACTCCCGGTCCGACTGCGCCGGTTCCACTGATCCCACTCCGGGTATCCGCTGTCTCTGCTGGAAGGCTGCGAAACGTGCTTAGTTTTTGGGTCTCTTGCAGATATGCAGGGTATCAGAATATTATCTTTCAATAATTTCTAACTAACATCTTCAAATTTCAAATTCTTAAGATTATAAATAATGGAAATAGAAAACATTTTGTCAAAAAAATCCGTTTTTTTTGTCATTATTTTGTCCCCCGGAAAGACTAAGGAACTTATAATTAAACAACTGACTATTTTTTTTGAATAGTCAGCCAAATTTCAGCCGGATCGGCTAACGTCGACCTCGATCCAAAATTTCATTAAATTTGTGATTTTTCCTAAAAATTTACATTTTTAATTTTTTAAAATACCTACTTCGCTCCGAGAAGATTGAAATTTTTACGAAAGATGAAGGTCGATGAGATCTATCCGTCCCCCCAGCCCCCTCCATTTAATTATACTTAAGCATTTTTTAAAAATTTGCAGCGTCCCACAAAAACTGTTCCCGACGGCGATAGGGGAAGGACCGAGGTAAATAACGTATAAATTTCAAATTTTCAAAATTATAAATAAGGGAGATATTAAAGTTTCAAAATTGACCATCGATTTTCGGGCCTATTTTTGAGCCCGAAATGCGATTTCGAGGTGATTTCTCAAAAGTGGATAAAATTCTGCATAGGGATGTTTTCGAAGACGAGAAATTCGAATTTGTAATTACTTTTTGAAAATATCGATGAATTATCGATATTTTTTCGAAAAAATCATTTTTTTACAAATATTTGGGCCCGCGACGGGATAAAAAAACTTTTAATACCCTCCCGACCCCCTATTTACGTGCCCAATTTCAGCCGAATCAATCGGATCGGATAGAGCAAGGACTTTTGACTCGATGGTAAATTTCACTTACAATAAAAAAACTAACCTGATCGGAGTCGGTGACGGCCAGGGGTAAATTCGGAGTGGTTCCTCTCATTGCCAGTTGATGTTGACGGTACCTTTGTTGCAGAGAGGGACTCGGGCTGGGCATTTGCATGTGTCTAGAGTCCTCTGACCTGGTGGGACTGCTCGGAACCAAAGAACTCGCTCTGAAACCTGAAAAAATCCGTCAGGCTTGACTACTCTCTAGCATTTTTACTTACGTACTCGGATAGTTTACGAAATTTGGAGTGGGCGGTAAGGGTCTCGTACCCAAACTGGACCCCCTCCTCAGACTGTTGGTTTTATCTGCGAAACTGTTGTCGTCCCTTCTGGGCATCGTGAACGACGAGAATCCCTAAAAAATTGGAATTCATTATCGCTCCACGTTTTACACCTCCTGTTAGACGTAGACGTATTGTCAGTGTGAAAATAAAATAAATCTCACACCGCCAAAAATACGGCAGTTTATTTCTTCACATTCAGATTTGGACGTAAAATGTAACTAAATTGTTTGAACTAGTTTGGTTAAATCTGAATCTGAAAATAACCCCACCCCCATATCCACATATATATGGTGTCACGCAATTACCTGACAGTTCAAAGCGTACTGAAAGTTAGTGCTCGAAGCTTGTAGTTAAGGCTTTGGATTTAAATGGATATACGTAATTTAAACAAAAAATGAGCACGTACCTGATTCTGTCTCAGCGGAATGGGGGTGGGGCAAGGCGAGGGGCCGACGGAACCGGCTCTCCTGTGTCTTCTGGGGGGCGGCACGGGTACGCTCGGAACTTCGCCCTTGGGTGGCAAGGGGGGTCTAATAGACTGCGTGCCCTTTCCTTCGACTCTCTAAATCGGAATTTCGTAAAAAAATGTGAAACGGCTGTGCGATGATAATTTACCCTTCTTATATGGGTTTGCCTCTTTGGGTGACGGTGGTACATGTCGTCGCAGGAAAGGCAGAAATTCTGAATACACTGTTCGCAGTGTACAGACACCGACGGCGACGTCGAACCGCATAGCTGACAGGGTTTTAGTATGTGCGTTTTGGTAACTACGGATAAAAAAATGTGGTTAAATCCGCTTTTCCCCTAATTTAGGGAAATTCTGTGCAATGTGGCAACACCGCATGGGAAGTGTCTGCGAAGGCGATGTCTAACCGCATAGCTGGCAGGTTTTTAGTGGGTACATTTTAATAAGTGCAGATAAATTAACGTGGGTAAATAACTATTCTCTTAAATTAAAGAAAGTGTGGCAATGTGGCAACACAGCATGTGAAGTATCTGTGGATAATCGACGGCGATGTCTAACGGCATAGCTGACAGGTTTTTAGTGCGTGCGTTTTGATAAGTGCGGATAAAGGAACGTGGTAAAATGTACTTTTCTCTTAAATTAAAGAAACTGTGTGCACTGTGACAACAGCGCATGGAAAGTGTCTGGGTTAACTCCTCAAACGCCAAGTCCCAACCACATAGGCTATATACAGTGATTAAGCCCATGTAGAAGCAATTTAGAAAGAAATCAAGTGATGAGGAATACGTACGTGTTGCGGTTTTTGGCATCACTGCCTGAGCGTTAGAGTATTGTTGTCCGAAATCGATAATTTCATAATCAGGCTCCTGACCAGGGTGCTTGTTCGTATATCTGGATATAACGTTTTCGTCTTTAGGCACCGGCGGAGGCGGAATGCCGCTGGATCCGCTCTTGTTCTGAAAATTATAGGCACTACTAATTTTGGCACATCCACTAAAATCTTGTTTGACGGCGATTTACTTTTTGTTAGACAAAAATATTAGTACTATCCCAATTATCAAAATATCTTTGAGGGGATTGATGATGCCAGCAATTTGGGATGCAAATTTCTCTCAAACGAGCCCGACCATACACAGTGTTAGTGACCTTGTTTACAACACAACCAAATAAATCGTCTATTTTAATTGGAATTTAAATTAAATAAACTCCGCTAACTCTTTTAATAAAGGTTGCCGTAAAATCAACCGACAATAAATTTTAATATCCAATGTGGATAGGCGCGGCAAATTTTAAATTTAGACTGGTAACTTTTGTCGCGCTGGCATTGGTAGCATCGAGTGTTTTTACTTCTGCTCAAATATGGCGCATCGATTGACAAAGCTTTGACAGTTTTGGTTTATAAAACTTATTAAAATACGTATTTGTTTTGTATGGAGATGTTTACTTTGCCGAATTTTTGTCGGGTCTGCCTTAAATACGACAAAAACCTGATCGACTTGGCTCATATCGAGAATGAACCGAGCGAAACGCTGATGAGTAAACTTCAGCTTTGCGTTTCCGAAGTGGTGGGTATTTTTTTTTGTTTGTTTTCTGCAGAATATGCCGCTATCGTTGTTTCTTGTAGGAGTGGACCACCTTCAAGCCTTTGTTATGCCATCCGTGCATCAAGCGGCTAAACATAGCCTACAGTTTTAAGAAACAATGCGTCCAATCGGCTGGCGTTTTAAAAAATTATGTCGAACTTGTGAAAGAATCTCAGAAAAAGAACGAATCTCAACAAAATGTTACGCCGAAAACGGAAAGTGGCATGCCTCCTGGTGGCGCATATATGTTGCTGCCTAATCAAAAGTATGTGAAAATACTTGTAGGTTCCCAGAATCAAGGCACTACAGGAAATACATTTCAAAATGTTTTTTTAAATTTAATACCTACCGCCACCTTGAACGCTGTGCCCGCTTCCAGCGAGTCGGCGCAAACGAACAAAGACACTAATCAGAATGTTTTTTTAAATTTAAATAACACTTTTCAAAAGTTCATACCACTGGCCCCTATAGATACCTCAATAAAAGTGGAACCACCTCCCCTTAAAAAGTGCGAGACCACAAAGCCTACAAATGTTAATGTAAATCAACTATTGACTGACAGTAAAGCAGAGGAAATGAGTGTTGAAATTGATCCTACGTCATTGCTACAGTTGGAGCATGATGATGGTAGCAATGAAGAATCAGCCATTAATGACTGGGATGAGGTGATAACCCATTCAAAAATAGATCCAAAGGAAACAAAGGTGAATGGGGACGTAACCCTAAATGGCAAAGATTCAATGTATGGAAACTATGTTCCTATACTTCCAAAACAGGAAGACTTTTTTTCGGGTCAACATTTTTTGTCTGGCTCCTTTGAACCAAGAGATATTGTTTGTGAATCATGCCAAAGAACATTCCCTTCTCTGAGACTGCTTAAACAACACTTTAAGCACTTCCACTTGGGGAAGTTGCCTTTTAAATGCGAGTACTGTTACACAGAGCATTTGACCAGAAGTGATTATGAGTCATGTGTCAAAAGCCACAAACTAGAATCGGACAGTTCAACTAACACCTCTCTCACATTGAAAGACTTTGCAACTGCTTCACCACAGGCTTTAGACGCTCTCTCCCTATCAGATTTTACGACCCAACAAAATTTAATACCCAATGAAAATGGACACTATGTTTGTGACATTTGCAATCACGTTTTTAAGAATTCGGCTGGAGTTTTGAGGCACAAGGTGAGAAAACATAATCACCGGGAAGCTAGAAAAAAATATTTTATTAAAGGCATGAAAAATGCCAAGTGCGATATCTGCCAGCGAGAGTTCTCTACACAGTCATACATGCAACTCCACAGGAAACTGCACATGAGAGACGATAAGGGTTATAAATACAAAGTATTGGGAAGGAGTAAATATGACCTCAGCAATGAAGATAAGGACAAAGAGGATAAAGCTGACAAACCTTCAGACGATAAAGAATCCCATGAAGGTACCCAAGAAGATGAGGAGCATAGTGATTCTAATGGCGAGCACGAGAGGAAAAAAAGGAAAATATCAATTGAGTCACAGGATGATTCGGGAGATGAAAAAGACAAAGGGGAGACTGCAGATAATGACAAAAAGGACGAAGTGGAAGACGAAGAAGATTCAGAAAGTGAGGATGAGGATCATGACACTGATGAGCAAGTGAGCGAAGAAAACTAAGACTAGGGTAGATCTTTTTTGCAATGCCATGTGGTATGTTGAGAGTGATATATTTACTGATAGGCCCACTCGAGCAAGCTTATTGACACATAATAATTGGATTTTTATATATACATTTTTTTTGCCATTTAGTTATTGTACTCTGTATACACCACTTTAATTTTTGAACTGAACTAGATAGACGATACTTTACTGCAACATTGTTTTAAGTATTTAAACATTCTGTAATATCTTTTTTTTTCTATCAGCATAAGGTTTTATACACTAGGTTAGCGTTAAGGTTAATTCTTGATTTTTTTTATCGATTAATTATACTTTGTACATATTTTTCTTAAATTTTCGAATAATTCGTCCTTTTTTAATAGATAAGAGGATATGCCTTTTAATTTTTTTTTTGCAGTTTTAAATATTATTTTAAATTGAAAGGTATTAAAGGCATATTTTGTAATATATATATTTGAAATTAAGTATATCGCCTAGTCTCAAAGCAATTTCAGTAATAACAGGACCCCATAATTTGTGCGGTAGAAAATTTATGAAACGAGAAGAATATATAGGAATTTCGTGGGGTCTGATTAGAAGACAGGCCACTTTTAAACTTTTGTAAAAAGTGCTAAACCGGCAAAATAGGCTCTTCGAGTAAAAAGTTAAACTTACCACCCATTGAGGCATGTTCCTCGCCAATCTCAGTTTGGTAGACGGATTCGATATGGCCATAGGCCGCCATTTGTTGTCGTTTTTATTCTGGAAACATATTTCGCTAAGATTACCTTCACGACACACTTTTTTTTTAATTTATATATCATTTGTATTTTATATATCGTACCCACAATAAATATTTTTTGAGAAAACTGTTGCCTTTATTCCTAAAAATATTTTTTAATTGAACATATGTTGCGAAACGTTAGCTCGTTAACCCCAATAGCATATTTAATATCGAATTATTTTAAATGAGTATAGGAAGTGTTAAATCTAAAAATATCACCGGTGAATATTTTAGGTATTTATAATTTTAAGCATCGGTCAGCGGCGCGAACGTTTTTGAACTATTTAAAATATTTTTATAGTGTTTGATATAAAATTTAAGGTCTGAAGTAAAGAAGAAACCGTTAAAGTACTTTACGCAGAAAGAGATTACATTCCCTACGCGGTTGTAATTAAGCACACACTTGTAAAAATATTCTATTTTTAGTGTGCGGGAAAATTATACATTAGTGCAGGGTTTCTATTTTGGGCCGAGTTTTGAATAAGTTATGTCATGTTGACAACCTGTTGGGCTCATAAACATTGGTTGAAAGAAGGAAATCGTTTGGGAAGTCTTAATGAAAAAAGTATCTAAAACGTGTAAAATTTGTCAGTTAACTCACGTTCATAATTAAAACTGGCGCCCTTTGTTCGAAGGGTCAGACGCGGTCGCAACGTAGCCAAAAGGGCCACAAAACGGGACTAAGCGCCGCCAGCACACTGAATAATCTCGCATGTCTGGCCGTATTCTAATATTAGTGTGTCTTTTTTGACAATTTGCCAAAATTCGTGAGTTTAAATACGGACGCGAGCCGCTGCTGTAGGTATTCTCCCGTTTCCTTTTTCATATATTTTTTTTATTACGAAGTTCATTATCACTGTTTCACGTTATTTGTTATTTTTGAAACAGCTTTGAACGAGCGAAAAGAAAAAAGGTCATACGTCCCAACGCGATTTCTTCAAGAATGGGCAGGTGCAAAAAAAATCAAATGACATATCTATTATCTATAATTTACGTGGTTTTCATATTTCCTGATTTATATGATCTGCAAGCTGTATGGTCTGCGTTAAAGAAGCACGTTATGGGCAGCTGACTCGCGGCATATTGGCGATCTTTTTTAGTTTGTGGTCTGTGGTCCGAGTTTTAAGCTAACCTTCGATAATTTGGTTGGTCACTTTTTTTGCCGGTTTTTTTAATACAAATTCTCGTATATTACAAACTCTTTTGGCTTGATTTTGTCGGTATATTCATATCCTTAATCATCTGGTAAGTAGGTTAAAGCGGCTAATTTTAAGTTTTATTTTAAGAAGACTCATATTTTTTAACCTAGTTGGGGGTTAAATCGTTATTTCCTTATTTCGCTTATTTAAAAATGAACAAGTTGGTAATACCCCCGTCACCAAATTGGTACGAGAGTGGAATTGGGGCCTGTGCTCCAGATAATACCTTGGTATACGGAGCGCGAGGGGACATAGTGGTCATACAGCCAACTTTTCTGGGGGAACCGGACAATGTCAGTATTATAGGAAAAGCACATTCTCAGAGGTATGTTCAGTATTGTATATGTTTATGCTCTCCTGTAGTATTTATTTTAGAGTTATATCTGTTTCCTTGAATAAAAATTGGGGAAAGCCTAATAAACTAGCGGCTACTGTAGCCGAAGATAAAATTGTGAAGGTTTGGAATCTTTGGACTTTGGAAAAGAAAATTTCACATGACAAGCATGTAAGCATAAGCGAGATTGTTAAGAGCAATGTTAGGTTAATAATATTGCAATTTGTAGCTTAATCAAGAAAAAGTTGCTGGGGTAGCATTTGCTGCAGATGACAGAGTGATAAGTGTTTCAGAGAATGGAGTTGTGGTTGTATGGAATGTGGTGTTGAACCAAACTCGTGAGTTGAGCAATTTGTTTGATTCCAAAGTTGTAATTACATGTTTATCAACATGTCCCCATGCCAGTTGGCTTACAGCTTTTGGACTTAAAAGTGGGCTTATTGTCATCACAGATTTAAGAGGAAGTGGTAAAATCCTGTACAAATTACGTGGTCATGACAAGCCTGTTGTGTCACTCTCTTGGTGTCCTGTTCCATTCAATATATTTCCTATTAGACCTCAAAATGAGGTAGGTGGTAAAGACGTTAAAGGCAAAGAACGAATAGCACCAAATTCAGAAAGACATGTTGAGCCTTCAGCCACAAAAACCCATGAAATTCCAGGTGACACAGTCAATATTCCAAGCCCAAACTTGAATGTGGGTGAGGAAGTCGAACCCCCACAATTAAATTCTTTTCAAAATGAAGACTTTAAAGAGTCTTTGCCCAATGGAGCAAAATCTGAATGTGTAAAGGAAGAAGTTTCAACACCAACTGATCGTAACATAGTGGACATGGATTTAGATTTGACTTTAAATCTCAAAGAAGGAAGTATATCACCAGCTACAGTTGGTCAGAGGAAAGAGAATCTAGATTTGGTTGCTCCCAATTTAGATGCGGTTGTAGAAAATATTGCAAAAGATAAAGATAGTCTCTTACACTTGGAGGAAACAGGCGAACCAATTGTAAGCACTGAAGAGGCTCGAAGGGAGTTTCTTTTAGCATCTTCTGCAAGAGAGGGGTATCTATTTTGTTACAATTGTTTTTAGAATAACTAAAATGTTTCCCATTAGTAATATCTACATTTGGCGAGCTGGCACTGATGGGCGGCTCCAAGCTTTTATCAATCTTACCCAGAGTAAAGCTCAATCTAGAAAGACACGCTCATACGACAAAATGTTTATCACTTTGTGCTGGGTTTCACCCAATGCCCTGCTATCTTCTTCCAAATCCGGTGAGCTCTTCCAATGGACTTTGCCAAAACCACAGGAGTAAGCGTGTTTTTAGTAAAATTTAAGTAAAACTGATTGAAAAATTCTAGAGTGTCAAAACAGTCTCGTTTAATCCATCGCGACCATCACGGGCTTATATTTAACATATCCGCACCCATTAAACCATTAAAGGAAAGCGAAGCATCAGACGAATACAACGTCTGGTCATTGGGTCAAGACCGTTTGGTCCTCAACACAGATCTGCAGAAGGAGAGGAAAAATCTGAACTGTTATCCTACACTAGGTGCCAGCATTACCTGTTTTGCCCAATCTCCGCTGGATCCAAACAGGTACTTGATTTTTTAGCATTGTATTTTGAAAATAACAAACAACTCTTACAGATTGGCTGTGGGCACCAATGACGGTCACATTAAAGTATGGGACCTCAGCGTGGAGCACACTAAACGTATAGTGTTCTCCAGCTTCTATCAAAAAATCCAAAGCAAAGTGACAACTTTGGCATGGCATCCAGTGCAGGAACGGTTACTGGCTTATGGCACGGCGGAGGGACGTGTTGGCATAGTGGATGCAGTATCGGAATCAAAACTTCCGAAACTGTTTCCCGATTTTTTTCAATCGCAGATATATAGAGTAGACTGGGGTCCTATGGGGGGCAAGAATTCGCACATAGGTTTATATGTGGTGGCTCAGGGAAAATTGGTCATTTTCGATATTAAAGCTTTCGATAAAGGTATTTCAGCACTCGGGCGAAATATGCTATTCAATTAATCGTGTTCGTAGATCCGACTGTAGTGGACGTCCCCGATAACACTTTCGTTTATACCATGTCCTGGAAACCCGACTACACTGTTATGACTTTGACAACTAAATCGGGCGCATTGATGATATACGGGGCTGATTTGCAACTAAATCGCACCTTGTACTTACACCAAAAGTTACAGTCTATAGTTTGGCATCCCGCAGCTGCCACTTCCACCTCCCGGTACTCCAAGGTTTTTGCCACCACCGAAAAATTTTCAGAGTGCGTCGTATATGACCTGAGCATTCAAAGTGATGACAGCGACCGAATGGTAATGGCGAAGTTTGAAAATCGGGGTTGTGTAGTGAATTGTGTAGCATGGAATCCACACTGTGAGACTCAGCTCGTCATGGCGGGAGACGATGGTGTTTGTCAGGTAAATTCGGGAATTGACTGGTTGTTAAAAAGGTGAAGGACGTCATTTTGATTTTTTTCACAAAAAAATACTAGAGGACAAACAATATTTTGCCACACCTTGGGAAATGACAATTTTTTTTTGGCTTATAGATTTGCGATGTCGAACAGGACACCGTTTTGCTCACCTACACGGACCCAAATTTTGATGGCGTAACAACAGTGATATGGAGTCCTTTGGACAGTGATTTTATTGTTGCGGGTTCAGTTGCCCAGAAATTGATCATTTTCAAGGTTTCCGAGCAACATTTTGTTCCCAATTCTGGTATGCTTTTCCACAGTTCAGTAATATACAGAGTGTTGTATTATAACAAAACGATTTGCGTGTTACTAAGGACAGTGTCTTTTAATGTGACGTAATATGAATCTACTGTATAGTCTATGCTTCAGTTTGAGGGAGGGAATATTATATAGTAATGCTTTGCTATGCTTTGATATTAACTTTTAAAAAATTAAATAAGTCATTATGTGATTAAATTAAACAGGACTTGCGCTGTAATGATGAGAGGTGGACTATGTTTTAAGAATTTTAGAATTTTTTGTTATGTGTGTACTCCTGGATTAATTATGCAATACTTTTTGGGGTTCCTCCTTGTTTGCAAATTGTGTATTCGTAGCACAAAAGTGCATTATTAGGTGCAATTACAACTTGCCTCCACAGGTGGTCCATATTTTCAAAACCTTGATATGCTCATAGCTTTCTTTCATTGGTAATTTTTTTTTAATCGTGATTTATTTCAAAGAAAAAGTTGGCCTACGAAATCCACGGATTCCAGCTCGTAGATATACTTTTTTTTTAAAAGAGGGCCTCAATACAAGGTTATAAAAGCTTATAAAGCACTGCCTGCCAATATTCGATAGATGACTGTGATTAATTTAAAAAAGAACTGTTCAAATACTTAAAATTTAAATGTTTCAGTAATTTGCTATTTTGATTGAAATTGGAGGTTTTGAGGTTATGTGTGTTGGACTTTGTATCTGACAGTAAAGGAAAATAATAAAAATAAAAATTGCATCTTCTTCACAGAGGTGTTTTACGTTTTCGACGTATCAGAATAGAATTCTCGAATCACTCTTGCAATTAGCAAATTCAATTAGTTAGTTGCTGAAGGTTGATGATTAATCGCACTGATATTCGTAGAAATAACATCTTTGAGAAACAAAAGACTGGCTGCTCTGACTAAAGAGGCGACCGATTTACTACCCAAAATTAAACAGACAGAAAACGAAATGAACCAGAAATCATCGAAAAATAGCTCTAAAAGTCAGATTCTGCCGGTTTTTTATACGCCAAAGGAAACAACTCAGGCTTCTGACTTGAGGCAGTTGCTGTCGCAGAAATCTTCGGGAGAGCCCAGCGCGCTCCAGCTATTCGGAAGTCGCGAGGATATGTTAAAAATCGTGGACGCCAATAGTGGGTAACGTTTGAAAAAAAAAAACGCCTCATTGACGAATTTCGTTTCAGTAAAAACTTTAAACTCCCGTGGAAAATACCAATCGAGCAACACGTTGTCCCTTTGGAAAGGGGACATCAATTGTGCTATTAAAGACGCGATCAAGGAGAAAAGGGTAACCCCATGGATATTATCGTTGTGCCCCATGGTTTCCCCAAAGTAAGATTCCTTTCCTTGGAGGTTGACAACTCGCTTTCGTTCATCTCGTAGGTTGTGGCAAGAGGGTTGCGATACGTACGCCAATCAGTTAATGGAAGAACCCAACGCCGACCCGTTAGAGATTGTGACTTACCTTTTGGCATGTCATAAACTCGAACAGGCAGTCGAGGTCCTCTGCGATAGAGGTCTGTTACGCGAGGCTTACGTCTTGGTTAAATCTAGGTTGCCGGATGACGACCCTATGGTTAAAACAACCCTTGAAAAATGGGCCAAGGGATTGACTTTCAATGGCAGTTTCGAAATGGCCGCAGAATGGTATGCCGTTACGCGTTTGGAACGACTTTCGCACTATTTTTTGTAAATTTTAGTTACATTGCTCTGGGTAAATACGAGGAAGCGGCTTCGGTATTGTTTAGGAGATCCAATGCCGACCTGCTCGAGGTAGCGGTCGACATTGCGCGGAAATCAGGCAACGAGGAGCTTCTCAAGGCGGTCCTATTCCGGTTCAACGCGTTCAGGAATGCCAGTCCCAGTTGCGATGGTTAATCAACGCCGTTTTTACGCCATAAGGGTAAAACACAGTGAAAGCAGGTTTCTTGCTCACTGGTAACCATCCCTGAGATCAGTACCCAATGCCCGCGTTTATTTAGTACACATTATAGTGCATTTTTATATGAACAAATATTAATTGCACTTGATAAGGTACTACATCATGGTGAAAATCACTATTTCAAGGCGCTAAGGGATGACCAGGAACGCTTTTTTCAATACACCAGAATGGAATAGGTGACCTTTGAGTTTATTTGTAATAAAGTTCAATATCGTCCAATGAAACACTGGCGTAATCAATTTTCTCAGTTGTAAACAGATTGTTGAGGTTACATAAAGTAAAATAAAAAATAAAAGAATTTATTGTCCAATCATGTATAAATATTTAAAGTTGTCAGTATGAGTCAGTATAACAAACAGTTTACGCATATACAAACAATCTAAAATTCGTAGGCCATGTAGCTTTCAAAGTGGCATTCAAAAAAATCTATCATTGTTCTGTTAAAATGTGTGTAATAGCTTTTAATACCAATGAAGTTAATTTACGATTGAGTTTAGTTTACACGATGTTAGGGAACACACATCATTTTTATATCTGGTATCATACATGTGAAAATCAGAATTATGCACTGATAGATGAAAAATGAAGGGAGAGTTAGTGTTTTCATTTTTTTTAAATAGTGTCTTGTAGTTGTCCAAATTTTGTGCACAATTCAATTCAAACAATCTTTTTTGAATTTTAAAGATTCTATCTGCCTCTGAAGAGTCTCTGTACAACATTATGCTATATGATATCACATTTTAAACTGCAGCAGAGTTGTTAGTCAGTTGTTAGTAAATAACTTTACCTGAAACTACTGTAGAAGTACCCTTTGTACCAATAGGTGACGAAGTATATGCCCTGTAGATATATTACACATTTTTCAATATTTGTCAATAACATTCCTATTAACATATTTCCGTAGGTTTTCACGGCCGGTGTTGTAATTAATAAGTTTTTCCGGGCTGACAAGCTTGCTACTGCTACTGCGGCAGCCATCCGCACTGTTGCGGTACTAGTGCCGGATAGCGAAGTGTTGTAACGCTTGGACGGACGGCGGACTGAGCGGGTGTTAATACAGCCTGCCTCCTTGCCAAGTTGTTCGTATACGGTTTCGTGTGTGTTTTCTTTAAGATGTTGTGTCTTATTTTATTCACTTGTAGCTCTTGTTAAAATTGTCTTTGTGTTTATGTATTTCGATTGTCTCTCGATGTAATCTTGCATAATAGTGCTTCTTCGTGTTTTCAAATGTGATGTTATGATCCCCGTTCGAAAACACGTGCTTCGCAGCCACCGATTTATCTACTTGTCCCAAGCGGCAAGATCTTCTATGCTAAACGTGTAGTAACGCTACGTTTCGTTGTACCAATATAGACGTCTCCTCTGGAACATGGGATTCTGTATACCCTGGTTGACGACAACGGTTAGCCGATCATGGGTTTAAAAATTGATTTTACATTATGTTTCGCCATTATTTTACCGATCCGGTCCGTTACGCCTCCGATGTAAGGGAGAGTAGACCGTCCGGTGGCGTTTCTTCTTTCGTCTCTTGTTTATTTGGTTTTTTGGTCATATGACCATACAACGGTCCACTGAGGATAGCTGTGGCAATAGCAGTTGAAAGCTTTGGTAGCAAAACGAATAGACCACACGTTGGTTTTCTGAGTGCCGATCGCCGCTTACTCGACGGAACTATAATCCTTTGTTGCAAAACGGTACTGGCCATAATGTACCTGCGCGCAGACTCTGTGTCGCGCAGCTCTCGACAGTTGTTAAAAATGTGTGTTCTAACTATCTTCGACCCATATTTTTTATATTAAAGATTGTGTTTTTTTTTTTTTTAAATATTTCTCTAATTTTGATTTCAAAATGTCGGGCCCAGGTGAAGTAATATTGTGGCGCCTGTGAATCAGAGGATGCGTGCCGGTGGCCATAGTGAGGGTGACTTTGAAAATATGACCCAATCAAACACACAATTTGTGGAACTACCGTCTAGTTTACAAAACAATATTTTCATGTAAACAGCTGTATAGATGAATCTCTGGTTGGAACAAAATGCCAAACCACCATGAACCAATATTTACCAAATAAAAGCATCATAGATGGGGCATAAAATTTTGGATGCTCTGTGATTCTATTACTAAATATTGTTTAGGTTTTTATTGTTTTAATTACCACAATTTAATTTTTTTAAGTTTGGGATACTATTTCAATAAACATCTATTTACTGACAATTTCTATATCAGTATAAAGTTAGTCAAGTCACTTCTGAAGAAAAGGACATACACAACTGGACTATAAGGCGCAACAGAAAGCTCATACCCAAGGAAGCAAAAATAACGAACGTTGGCGAGTAACGCAGAAATTCTAACGTCTTCTCATCGCGATGAACAGTATTGGAAATGTAACAGCATACAAATTTTTTATCTATAAAAATGCACTTTTTTAATCAGTTTGAGTTAGTCTTTTAACGAAGTTCATCTTAATCCTCCAGGATTGGATAAATGAATAAGCAGCAATAACACTGCAATCTCTTGTAAGGTCCATGGTACACTACAGACCGGTCTGCTCTGACAATCTGCTTGCGTATTGACCACCTTAGAACCAGCTGCTCAGAGTAAGCGATCGGCACCGAGAATCTGACACTACCTGTTGTTAGTGGCATCCATCTTGGACGTACCTTTATAGTTTGAAAGGGTGGTAATAATAGAGAGACTTGTAAGAGCCGATCAGCGTTGGGTGCTGGTAAACAGGAAACCTGCTTCCACTGTGCTTTTACCCTAAACGAGGTTGAGCTGACAGTTATGTTTTAGGCGAGTCACACCAAGAGAAACGGGATGTATCGGAAGAAGAATCGATCGAAAACGGACACAATGGGTCAGATTCTTTAGTGAAAGTCGAGAGCGATGCAGTGCAGATGTCGAACGAACCCAATGCCACATCAGGTAGCTTATCGGGAAACGGCGACACTAAGTTCGTGGAAGAAAATAGCGTCGGATCGAGTTCGGGTAATGCGGCGCCAGACCCGAGCGGCGAACCTGAATTGGAAGCGTGTCTCTTAGAAAACCCAGTTGAAAGGGAGTCGGTAAATCCAGCATCATAAAGTTTCTGGATCGTCACTAGCGAACAAGATTTTTTTTGTTTTTGTTTGGTATTATGTTAGATTAAACGAAGCGAGATTATTTTTTTGTTGATTTGTGTTCAGTAAGAGTCGCTCACTCTTTTGTTTTTTTTTATGGAAAAGTTGAAAGTTTTTTTGTTGGGAGTGCCATTTGTTAAGTTTTTAGGAACAGGTAGTAGTTTGATTTTCAAATAAATTTTCTATGTTTGTATCTTATGGTTTTCCTTAAACCGTATAACAACCCATAGCACATGGAAGTGGGTTCATTTTAAAGTATTTATTTTCAAAAACACAGATACAGTTGTCAAAAATGTCATTTGCGCTTATCCTATGGAAATTATGTGTATCTTTAAGCCTTTTTGCTTACCATAAGTCTAAAAATTAATAAATGAAAGTAGAAAAGTTAATCATATTCGAATCTAATACAGAAGAATACGCTTCTCCACAGCCTTCCTGCAAATAGGGCACTCGGACATCTGGTCCCCGCACATTTGGCACAGCCCGTGCCCGCACAGGAAAATCATGTTCTTCAAACGGTCCAAGCACACTGGACACATTGTCTGAAAGCATTTGCACACCATATGGGTCAATGCTAAGCCTACAAAGAACTTATAATACCTGCTCTTTGATGTCCTGCAACTGCTGCTGCAGTTTTTGGATGTCGTTGGTGCTGGTAGTGTCGCGTCCGCCGTTGTTCATTATAGGCCCTTGAGGCAAAATTTCGCTCGACGTCGGCTGTTGAATATCCTCTTCTACGTCCGCTTTCACCTCGGATATCGTTCCGGTGCCGCCGCGGCAAATTGCCATCGGAATCATCAGCTCGATCTGAGACCGACATACCACGCACTTCTTCATTATTTGTGCGCAGCTCTCGCACGCGCACATGTGCGCGCACGGCATGAACAGCATCGACGACTTCTTGTCTGAACACACCATGCATTCCTCAATCTACGACGGAGAATATTTTTAAAAACAAAATTTTTCAACCAAAGAAGAGATATTGAAATTTGGTTTTGTTTAAGTCTAGCCTGGCTTCTGCTGAGCGCTGTTCTAAACTGAGGGCCAATTACTCTGAAAGCACCTTAAATACTAGCTAGTAGCAAAGGGTATAGGAGAGCTGTTTAATTTCTTCGCCGATGACCAAATCTCAAATGGACAAGGTTTGTATCTGCAAGTGGAAGAGCGTAGCCTACACTACAGCACTTATGCCCCACCAGGTCTATTGTGCTTCCACCTGGACGGAGCACTCGACTTTACATCAAGCCTAGTGACTTCACGTACGCGATGACAGCTGCCAGAGTGGTCTGTTTGATTACCGTCTTCCTGTTCGCACGTCTTGCACGTGGGGTTCTATTCAACCCAATTTGAATTGGTGCTTGTTAAGTAATCATTAACTGTAAGAATACCTGTAACGAAGCGTAGCTTTTAGACATAGTCAGGTATTGTTTGGCTGTGGTTTGGGTTGGATAGTTCAATAGCTTCCTACCTAGCCAACAGTTTTCTTCTTGGAATGTGTGTGCTCTTCCATCTAACTAAGGAGGATCACATTGTCCGCTGACGCATCAACAAGGGCACGGTGACATTCTACATTCTAGTACTCGTTCTGACGTAAACCGTGGTCTATGAGGTACCAAACTGCTTGTCTGCCATCTGTAAAGATGTATGCAGTTTTACCAGTAACTTCGCACCTGGCGTTTGCGGCTACAGTAATGCCAGCATACCGACCCTTTTTTACTCTTCGAACCATCGGTGTAGACGTTAATTACGTCTGCCTCGTTGATGCGTATATTTCCTCTAGTGTTTGTCATGTAGGCCTTTTGGCGCCATGGCATCCGTTCTCGCCTTTAATAGCGAGACCGAGATCGTCGCCTCATTCCAGACGCGATTCTGCCATGCTGCATGCCCCGCATTGCACCAAAAACACATCTGCTATGTATGTGTGTGAGACACAGTTTTCGTTGGTGTGGTTTTTATGGCATGCCAGCCTTTGGATCTGTTCTAATTTATGGTTCGCAGTTTTCTGTTGTGCCTTGTGGACTCAAGCAATTGTAATGGCTCTTATCATGATCATATGAACCTCACGTTTTCCCTATGAAACTGCTCATAAGAAATATATTCGTTTTCAATGTGGGAATACCTAACGTGCTATCGAGTGCCGCTCCAAGGTATTTTACAACCTGCCTCGGTGAAGCTGAGTTTAGTACTTAAGAGCTCGGGTGCGTCCATTCTTGTGAAAAGAACCGATCTTCCTGACATTGATGGACAGAGGGTACTCTGCTCTGTACATTTCTCTTTGAGTATTTTAGTGCTCTTCGAATACTTTCGAGCGTGCACTCAATTGTAGAATGAACAAATTATCAGTATATGCAACAGTGTGTAGTGGAGAACATATTAAATACCCATCCAATCACTGTTTCCGATGTGTCTATTTCAGTGAGGGAATCTAAAAAAAACGCTCCCTCTACACATCAATAAGCACTCCGAGGGTTGACCCCCGGTTGTCCAGTGATTACTTGACACGAGCCAAACGTCACTTAGTGCCGTTGGTCTCCTGTGGATGCACGCATATTGGTTTGAGTGAAGTGGCTTCTTAGTAACCACCTCATCTCTGATATACTTTTCACATAGCCGCTCTAAGGTTTTCAAACAGGCTTATGGAGCTGTAAATTTTGGAAGTAGAGTTAACCTAGCTTCAATAGTTTTGGTAGGAACACTACCGTCACTTTTCTGCTGTACGAGATATATGTATATATGATGTTTACATTATCGATCAGGCTAGAATTTTTTCTAAATTAGCTAGACATTAATTGAAAACCGGACCTCCACTTCCACTCCCATTAAGCTTAGTTGTCTCTTAGGCCGGCAGTCCTCCGTCAATAGACCTATCATTATCCTTACGGCCTTTCTTTTGTGGCTTAGCAAGTCAGCAAGTAAATTTGGCCAATTCTTCGGCGCTTTCGTTACATTTGTGGCCCATAACAGTGTCTCTGACTTGCTATGTGAGACACCAGTCCGTCTGTACCGATCGATACCTAAGTGCAATATCACATCACCATCCAGCCGTGATCAATTAATTAGTTTTCAGTGCAGAACATTGTTATCATTTAAGGTGCATGTACAGGCCTTTAGTTTAAGGCAGCCCTCTGAAGAAGCGAAAATTAAGCGAGACAGAGACATACCCGACGCGAGAAATCCAAATTGTAACGTCAATGCATCTAAAAATGTTACCTTAATACGGCTCGTAATAGATTCGCGACATAAGAGGCACTTTTTGACCCTCGGGGCGCAGCCCGAGCAGCATGTGACGTGCCCGCAAGGTTGAAACAGCGTGTCTCTTTTCGCGTCCGAACACACCAGGCACTCGTCAAGCGGCGAAGTGAGATTCGAGTGTTGGGTGTTCTGGTTCGGCCCCATGTCCATCTCGCCGCTTTGTTTGTCCTTGTGGCACTTCGTCAGGGTTTTGCAGAGATTCGGATCCGGACAGAGGTCTAGAGGTGTCTGTCCTGATAATAACAATTTCGAATGAACCAGATAAAGGAAAAACGATTGCGAGGCAACCGACCTTTTTTATTCTTAATGGTAAGATCGGCTCCATTGCCCGCCAGGAAGCAGGCGATACTAGCCGAGGACTTCTTGTCCGAGCCTTGGGTACCGAGACCCATAAGGAGTTTGCCGACGTCTTGGACGTCTTGCAGTTGTCGCAGTTGCGACAGCGTGTGGTGACGTAACGCCTCGTGAAGGGGTGTGTCCCCGTCTTTGTCAGCTATGTTGAGATTCGCGCCTTCGCGCACCAGGAGCTGTTAAAAAATGCGATTTGATAAAATAACCAGAGGTACGGCAGGTGCCTCGGGAGACTCACCCTCACTATCTGGGTGTGTTGCCGTTCGACGGCGAGGTGTAGTGCCGTTTGCAAATTGACGTTCTGCAGGTCCATGTTGGCCTTGCCGTGGAGAACCAGCTGTTCGGCGACTTCCACGTGGTTGTTTAGTGCGGCCAGGTGAAGGGCGGTGTATCCGTCATCCTTTTTCTCGTCGACGATCCACGGGCGTGGGAGTTTGGCCAGCAATATTTTCATGGCGCTGCAACAAAGTACATTTGATGTTATTACACGAATGTTTATTAATATGCTAAATCTAAATCTTAAAAAATAATATTTTACAAATAAAACCTTATAACTGAATTTTCTTTGACATGATAAATGAAAAGTATAATTCGCTAGTACGGTATGTTGACTAACGTGATCCATATTGCATTAGTTCTAACCTAGTGCGAGCATAGTGCAGAATAAGTTCGATTTACCCGTGCGCAGGCAGGCAGCCGGCGCAACACACTCGACCTTGTTTGGATTCAGTTATGCGGTACGCCGCTATCACAACCATAAATAATAAAATACCATATTATTAAAAAGAAAAGTAGATGTGTGCGAAGTATTGATGTTAGTTGTCAGCAGATCTTTCTACTCGCCGATGACCAAATCTCCATCGACATCAACTATCTGATGAGGAGGCATATAGTTAGGCGGGTTTAAAAATAAATTTTAGCAAACCCAAATATCCATCAATGAATTCACCCCCCTATAATTTAATATATCGGACAAGTGATCGAAGTTTCTCAAGACAGACGTGAATTTTCTTAGAAGTTGCGACGCAATGAAGCAAAAACAAAGAATAAATGTACAAACAACGATATCAGAAGAAATCGAGAGACGCAGACTTCACTGGCCTGTCAAAAAGGGAAGCCCTACAGAGGAATGCTTAAAACAAGTCCAGAATGATATTGAGAGAACAAATAAAAAAAGAAAATATTGGATGGGCATGGAAGCCTGGAATAGATGATATATACACGGCGTTCCATGACCATGACTGAAGTGGCTTGGAAGTGTGTTGCTGGGGTGATTTCAAGTTAAAATGTCAAATATAGATATATCCGGAACTAACGGAGCTACAAACGTCTGAAATTTTAAAGACCATTTAAAAAGAAACCGCTTTATTGAATTAGTTGCTTCAGTATTACCTTCGGCAGTCAGTATTATACGTATTATTATGGTGAATATCGTCGATGATTTCTCACTCTACAGTACCTTGTAGAACTGTTTTTAAAAATGTCCATCGATGTTTGAGAGAAACAGGCAGGTTTCCTATAGCTACTTCAATAGGAACTTGGTCAAGAAGAAGCAATACTTTATACGATTGATGCTCTAGTAGTGTCCGAAGAATATTAGACTTCCGTAAGCCGGAGGAGAGTATGGAGAATTTTACACAATTTCGAGACTTGAATTTAGTCTTTGGATATTGAGAAATCCTAGATTTATTTATTCACCCGAAGCGGATTTCACAACTCAACAATACTTGAAAATCCACGACAAACTCGGGAATTCCATTTTTATTAGATTTTTGGTGAGTATTTGGTGAGTATTGATGACCACCTCATAGGCCCGTTTATAACCGTTTAACTTCCCACGACCATTCGTTATTTACGTTTCATTGAAAATGATCTTCCAATATTACTGGATGATGTTCCTCTTAATGTAAGACAACGAATGCGGATGGATGCACGATGGATCCTCACGTTGGTCGACAAGTAACAGAATTTCTTAATCAAAATTGTACAAACCAGTGCACTTTAAGGGTTTAGCAATTCTTTGACCAGCAAGCTCACGTGAGCTTAATCCTTTAGTTTTATGGGAAAGACTGGAAACTTTAGTTTATGCAGAAAGTATTAAAAACAGAGAACTGGTAGCTGGAATTATGGATGCCACAGAAACAATTCGAGCTGATCCTAAGAGCTAGACTATGTAGACAACTGAGTAGACATATTGAACAACCAATTCAATAACATAAAATAAATTAAATATACAAAAAAACAAAGGAGTTTCTTTGTTTAAAATTTCAAATGCTTGTAGCTCAGTTAGAATAGTGTTCCGGGTCATTTGACATTTTTAACTTGCAATCACCCCAGCAACACACTTCCAAGCTATGGCAGTCATGTCGTGGGACGCCCTGTATATTTAACCTTTTCCAGGCCTCCCTGCCCAACCAATATTTTCTTCTTTTTTATTTCTTCTCTCAATATCATTCCGGACTTGTTTTAAGCATGCCCCTGCAGGCCTTCCCACCACCCTGTATATACAAGGTGTTCTCAAAAAAAATAAAGAAAACTTAGTTTTCACGGTTGAGCACAAGTTGAGGTGAGCTGAATATAAATGTCATCTGAAGATTGCTAAAACAATCAAAACGTCGAAATCGATACTCCTATCAAGTCTCAAAAACCGAAAATCATCAAGTTTGTATTCCTCGTAGCCTTCCTAGCGACTGGGGACGAAAGTCATTATCGTTAAGTGACGTAAGGAAACGAATGACCGGCCAAAAGAGAGAAGGAGAAGAAACACTCGGTAGTAATATTTCCAATGGACTGTTCCGGTTTGTGCAATACCGAAACGTCGACAAGTTCGCGATAAAACCCAAACTCGACGTTATATATTGTTTTTTTGCACGAACATGGTCGGCGCGTAAAGAAAAACCGGAGGGACGGGCGGGGCGTAGGCAAATAAAAACCCATCATATCCATCCCGGCGTAACGTGGAACGACCCTTATCCCCAATAAAAAAAAGGGGGCAATAAAAATGCGTGAGTTGTGGATTTGTTCTACACTCTCTTCGGCGAAATGTCAAACTGCTACGGGCGCGGCGCGGACTAAAATAAACATAAGCACCGCGTGTTTCTTTAAAGGTGTCTTCTATTTCTATCTTGGAAGACGCCAACGTCGTGGAAAAGATCAACGACCCGCCGGGATCGGTACGACAAAACCGCTTGGGTGTGAAATTTACGACGACGATTACGAAAACGATAACTGCGTTGACGAGGTGGTGGAGAGGGGGGACTGTTCGTGGTGACAATTTTCGAAAACTAATTTGAAAGCCCGATTTTCACTTTCCAACAAGTTGCTGTGATCCTTTTCTATTTGCTGCAATAAAAACAAGATTCTAGTGACCAACCTCTAAAAAATAACTTCGTAAGTTACTAAGCGCAAAATGACTTATCCCTACTCGGCGTTGATTATTCTGATTATCCCATCAAATGATGCTCATAAAATGCGAAGCACTTATACCAAACATAATTATTAAAAATTAGTTTTTTCTAACGTCCAACGTTCCGTTGCCAACAGAGGATCCACTACAAAAATTGCTGAAACTCATAGATCTAATAAGAACAAGTTTTAATTTGCGGTTGCATGCAATTAATTGGTCCAAGAGAACATTCAACGGCAACTTTTGTAGACGCGGCGATAAATAGCATAATGAAAATCTGACTTAGCGTTAATAACCTGTTCATGTCGTTGATTTTTTATATTGATAATGCGGCGCACTACGTCAAAGTACCTTATCCACAGGCATTTAGTTCGTTTTCTACGTAAATTTGACGTCATTTGACTCTGACGCAATAAGAGATGTCATCTCTGATTGGCGTTCAATATGAATCCATGCGGCTACCAGTTTCCAGCATACTTAGTGTGAAGATCAAGATCCCACCCTACGTTACAATAGAAATTCGTTTCTACATTTGAATTGGCACATTCATTGCATACAAATCAATATACAGCGTATTATTTTAGTGCATTGGAACAGATTGCACCATAAATAATCTAACAAGTGAACAGTCAATAGTTAATTCACTAGCAACGAAAGTATCAAATAAGAGTCTGGATCACACTGCAACTGCAAACAAATAGAATGAGGTCAGTTTCGGCCCACACTAATTACACGGAAGTTACATTTGGATAGTTTAAATCTGAATAAATAAGAACTAAAAGTTCAGATTTTCACGAAATTATATATTTTCACATGACAATTGTTTCGACAAGACCGTGTCTTTATCATGTGTGTTGTCGAAACAATTGTCATATTAAAATATATAATTTCGTGAAAATCTGAACTTTTAGTTCTTATTTATTTTGATAAATGGATTTTCATCAAGTAAAAGCCTCCTCCGTTCAATTAGTTTAAATCTCCCTAACGAATAAAATTAAACGATTTTTATTTTAAAATAAACAATTTAATTAAATCTTAGTAACAGTTAACAATAATACGAGTTATTGATTTCAAACGACTGTGAAGACGAAACGTTCAGTTAAAACTGATACAAGTCCAAAAACACATTTAGGGAGCATAAATACCTATTTAGATGTTTATTATTATTTTTTGGTTACAAATGAAAGTTCGTGAGAGAATTAATTTGTGGAGATACAACAACAAAAGTGTTTATGAGTTCGTGAATCAATCAAAATTCGGGATTATCCAGGATATTGATACAGTTCGCCCAAACATTAAACTATAGACAATACATTAAATAGTGAATAGTGGTTAGTGATTTTGTTAAAAGCAATGTATGGAAGGACAACAGTGCCAAGCGGATGGTTATTGTGAAGTGTATGTAGGCTTCTTCAGACCTTAACTGAAACTGGCTCGCATTCTACTCTGTACGTGCTGATATATTGTTTGAGGGGGGCGGAGCTAAATGAGGGGCATAAACATCGTTTCGAATTTTGACTAAGCAAAAACCGACGCAGGAGGAATCCAGAAGTTTTGTAAAAAGCATTACAGTAGCCTGTGGAAGTTTCTTTGAAAAATTAACAAGCCTTGATGGAGAGGACATCAAGCGCAAATGCAGAAAGTTAGAGGATCACCGACTGAAACTGGTAAGATTACTCTGTACACTGACATTTTTGTTTCGTTGTAGAGAACATAACGTTATCCCCATTTCCTTAAAATATCCCATCACATCACAACCTCATCCGCTTATAAAATTCTTCGAAAATATAGTTTCGCTTTACTTCGAGAAAGAATTCATCACACCCGTAAAGAAATAGACCAAATCAATAAGGCTCTTGTGTCTCTACACCTTGAAATTTCTTCTATTTTGTCCCCATCCGAGTTTGATACCCTTTCAAACATGATTCATGACAAAGCTTTAAATCTTCATTTATCTACAACCCAAAATCACATTCAGGAATTTGAAAAACTAACGTCAACACTAGGAAAACCATCAAACTCTTCTAAACCACCAAACACTTTAATAAATGTATCATCGCACCAACTTTCGGAAACTGAAAAATTAGTTCTTTCAAAAGGTTCCGACTTCGTCCTTGCCCCAAAAGAGGAAATCATTTCAAATGTCGAGTCTATCCTAAACAAACTGCCATCTCAAACAGCTAATGAAATTCGATTTGAAACCTTAAAAATCCTTAAAAAATCAAAACCTCCTAAATCCAATATTACAAAGCCTGAACGCATCGCCCTAA